TAGATCCCAGCTGCAACGGCCACATGACGATGATTTCATCAGCCCGATATCTTGTTTCCACGGCTCGCGTGTCTGATTGTCAGGCCTCTGCATTGTCTCTGCGCCCGGGTGGCTCTGCGCTCTAGAAGGTTTCTCTGGCAAGCAGCCTTTCTTCCAGAAGGAATGGAGTGCTTCCATGACATTGCCCCTTTCACACGGCGGAGCAGCCGGGAGCCCTTGCACGTTGTACTGTCGCACCGTCGCAAGGCCCTTGGATCGAGATTGCCCATGCCATGGCGAATAGAGGCCGGCTTCAGACGTCAGTGACAGAGCCGAATAGGCATGGGCTGGGAAGGGGGTCGCAAGGGACCATTCAAACAGCTCCAGCGCAACTTTGTTTCGTGACTTTGATACGTGCTCTGAAGGCGGCAGCCAATTTCAGAGAGTCCGAGCGTTCATTAGATGGCACTCTTGCACAGCGCGCCGTAACATTGCGGCCATGGGCATAATAATACCGTTCTTCAGAGTACGGCTGCCAAGAAGGAGCCGGCGCAAACAGATGGACGACGGCAGCATCTGCGGCGGCTAGTCTCGTTGACCGTCCTTGTGAGGGTTGCCGCGTGGGAAATGAGCGGTAATGAGCTGCGCTGCATTCACCCAGTGTCGAGGCGAGGCGAGGCGAGGCGGCTGCTGTTCATGTAAGGTACCAGATGTCAGACACGGCCGTACCACTCGGACGCGAGAGATGCTGCGCGTTGGATGATCTGGGACTCGGGATAATGCGAGATGCAGTGGCTCTGACCGCAATCCGTCCGCCCTCCACGACAGCGCACGCGCGACGAGGCGCCAACGGTGACTGCCCAATCGAGGAGGGGAGTGGCCACATGGAAGCTTTGGAACATTCGTCTGGCACAGGGTCAGAGCACCGCCAAGTCTAGCTTATCTGACAGACAGTGGTGGCTTTCGTGGTTGAGCACGCACCCGAGTGCCGGCGGACATATTCTGGCCTGCTGGCCCAGGACCAAGGAGCTGTCATTCATTGTTGGATGACGGGGATGACGGTATTGTCGGTAGAGTCTGCTGCGTATTCAGCAGCGAGAGTGGCCAGACTCCCAGCATCAAGTCAGTTCAGACCGGTGAGGGCCGTTCGTGCGGCGGGCAGTCCCTAGCAACATGGGAAACAGATGCGAGCCACCACCCCTGCTCCGCCCTATCGTAGGTTTTGTCTGTGGGGATGCGAAAGGTAATTTGGTGTCTCATTCTGGCACTTGACTGGGAGAGGAGCGATCCACTCTTTTGGTGGAGATGATGGCAGAAATAACCCGATTGTTTGATGATGACGAGGCAAAACGAGAGAAAAGGCAAATAGTGGCCGGGGGTGTTTGGTAGGCGAACCGGCGAGGCAGTGGGCTTGTGTCGTGCCCGATGCTGGGATGCCGGGTTCCTGACGAGGGCCCCTGAATACGGTGGAAGAAGGGGTGAGAGATGGTGAGAGCGATGGTAATGATGAGCGACACTGACGAAGCGACGGAGGCGGTAACGGCGGCAGTGTCATGAGCTGCAGGTGGTATGGACTACGGACGTAGTAGTGATGGCAGGTGGTCCCCTATTGTAATTGATGATGATGCAGGGCGTGCAGATCGGTCCGTATTGTTTGTCTGTTTTCTCAACGGCTCATCTGCGTCGACGTTGACACGAGGCGTGGTGGCCGTAGTGGATGGTGGCCGGTGGGCGAGGGATGTGTCGATGTCCATGTTCCGAGGAAAGGACAAACTGGCAACGGCAACGGCATAAACCCAGTAATAGCATCAGCCGCAGGGCTTTGGCACCGCCTGGGCAGAGCAGGGTCGAGGAAAGTATAGCAGGAGTAGGGTAAAGACGGTGCGTTGCGTGAGGAGTCGTAGGGTAAGGTAGGGATCGAGTGAAAGGTGCGTTGTCGTTGCCGTTGTCGTTGTCTTGTCGTTGGTGCTCGGGTCTTGGTGCATAAGGTCTGTTCCTGAAATTGTCGATGGTGAGGGCAACGAAACATAGATTGGCGAGGATGCTGACGAAGATTGGAGACGGAGAGGTCGACCTCACCTCATTCCCATCAAGGCCGCCAATGGCAAAGACGGGCAATTGGCAATGGTAAAGTCAGCGCGCGAGGACCGGCTCCAAAAGCTGCTCGCAGGGCGGTCCCGACCCCTGAATAGCGGTGATCATCACTGACTCCAGGCCCAGCAGGTCCAGCAGAGACGGAAGGACCTGAGAGAGGAAGAGCACTGTACGCACTGGGTACGGCAGGCGCGAGCTTTGGCAGGTACGTGTGGTGGGAACTTACGGCAGGTACGAGGCAGAAGTACAGAGCAGCGGCAGTCAGGTGGGAACTCAGTGTAGAAGTACTGTTTGGGCCAAGGGAGGGCAGGAAAAGAAGGAAGAGGAAAGGACGTGGAAGGCGAGGAAGGCAGGGAAGGCAGACAGACAGGGCAGGCAGGGGTGAGAGGAAAGCATGGGCATGGGCATGAGGTGGGCACGCACCCTTGCCCAGATGTATCCAAGTACCCCGTACCGTACCTGCCGTACCTTACGCTGCCCGTTCGTTCCTGCCTCAGCGTGAATTGGCCCCGGTCGTCCAGCGTCCAGCGTCCAGCGTCCCAGCTAAACCGTTCGTTTCAATTCACCAAGCTTCCGCAGTTGGCATCTTCTCACTTGACCTGACTTGGGGGGAGGGTGCGTTATGCGAGTCGGGTCTCTCTCTCACTGTGTTCTGCTGCTCTTGCTTCCATTACTCTTGCTGAGTGTGTGTTGCGTAAGGTGAGGACGAATGTAAGGAAAGGATGTGTGTAATGAGTGTGTGTTGTATGTGTGTATGTGTGTGTGTGTGTGTGTGCTATGTATCCATGGCTGGATAACATATGTACGTGTGTAATGAATCTTTTTAGGACGAAAAAAAAAAAAACATATCCTGTCTCTCTCTCATTCTCACTTTTCTCACTTTCTCACTTTGCTCACCTCTCATTCGATTCATAAAAGTAAACCCATTTCTTTTGTCCCCATCCTGCCCACCGTCACTCCCTTCTACCTGGCCCCCTACCTGGTTAAACTGAGGTGGTTCTTCTGATCGATCCGTTACCCCCCCTTCCCTTCCCTTTCCCTCCTTTCATCCACCCCGGTCTCACTAAAAGGATCGTCTCCGTGGTTGACATTTCTATACTAATACCTGCCGAACCCCGTCCGTCCGTCCCTGCGCTCCGCCGCTTGCTGCGTCACAGCTTCTTCCCTTCCTTTCCCTTGCTCTGGTTTCTTAACCTGCACCCAACACCCAACACCCAGCACCAAGCACCAAGCACCAAGCACCCGTCCAAAAAAGCTGGAAGGGGGGTCCTTTATCTTACATATCTTAACGCTCCCTCTGCAGCAGAGACAATTTTCAGCCAACCGTGCTTTCTTTTCCTCTCTTTCCTTTCCTGCAATTCGACGCCCAAAAGCAATCCGATTGCAACCCCGATATTCGAGATACCCAGGTCGAGGTTACAGGTGAGTCGCAGCATTTCTTGTTCACTTGACTCCTTCACTTCTCTGTTGTTGCCGTTGTCGTTGCCGTTGCCGCTGCCGCGTCGAGGACGAGTGTCACAGCTATCGAGGTCGACGTCGACGTCAACGTTTGTCCTTCACCCTTCACTCCTGTTTGGTCGTTTGTCGCCCCGTCTTCAGCTTGGCCTGTTCACCCGGCTGCGTTCCTGTTCCTGGCTTGCCAACGCCGTTTGGTTGTTGCCGCTGCCGCTTCCGCTCTGCTGTACTGCACCGCGCTGCATTGCGCGTGGCGGTACGTACCCTTTCTGCCGTGTTGGCCCCCGGGGTCGTCCAGCGCCTTGGTCACGTCGCCGCAGCAGCCTCTTTCTTCTATTTTTTTTTCTTCCCCTTCCTCGCGCTTCTTACACGTCCACTTTTTTCCCCTAACCCTGCCGGACCATCTGCAACCCCGATCATAAGGTTTCTTGGCCCCCTGTTACCTCATCTCGTCCGAGACCTCAGCACACGCGAACTTTGACAAACACCTCTCTACCTATCCTGGGCAGCCCTCGGCTTCGGAGGCACCAGCTTTTTCTTTCTATTACTTCTACTGCCCATCCTGGCTCTAGCACTACCATCACGGCCTACATCACTAGCATTCCGTCGACACCCAACTGACAGAAGGCGCGCGTCTACCAGGTCTCACTGACACGACCGCCCTCCTCCCAATCCAGTCAACTCTCCTTTTCTGCCGTCATCACTACGACTCGACTCGTACACCCAAACCGAAACACCACCATCCCTCGATCGACTCCACGAGTGCTCTGCATCTCGACGCCGACGATTAATTCACGGATTTTTTGGTGGGCTGTGCCGCCGTCAAACGAACAACCGCGGTTCAGCACCAACTTCTGAGATTTTTTCCCGACCCGACGCGCAAAGTATATATACCGTCACCGCTTCGGTCGCCGACTGTGGGACGTATTCGGATACCGTCGTTGGAAGACGCTGCGGTCCCGACCCCAAGCGAAAGCTCGACCCGGGCGGATATTTTGAGCGGCGAGGACGAGCAGCATACTGGTCTGTGATCTATGATCGGTCTGTCCCGGATTTTTTCCAGCACCCGTACCAGGTAAGCCTGCGAGCCAAAACCCGTCAGTCTGATTCAGCCCGGATCCGCCACCAGGTGCTCCTGGCACCTCTAGTCATGCCAGAGAGCACGCTGGGCTATCCCCGCGATCGAGTTGCCTTTCCCTACCCTGCCGGTGGAGTCGTACCCAAAACGCTCCCTACTCGTGGCGATGTGCTTCCCCTCAAGATAGCCCTCGTCCCCCCGGCGCGTCCTCTCTAAGCCTCTCTTCCCCTCAGAGTCGCTCACCAATACTAACTTTGTCAACAACACGCAGTCCTTCTGAACCTTAAGTCACCTTCGTCTGACGCAGAAAACCGTCCGAAAAAAACCCTCCTGCAAGCTGGCCATTCACGCCGCAGGGGTCTCGACAGCCGTTGGTGATATTTCTCATCGTAATATGAGGTCGCCAATTCCCGGCGAAGTAATGGACATTGGCAACTTGATGAATCAAAGAGCTATGCAACAACACGCCCCCATGCCCACCGGAACGACACCGGAGCGCCAGATGCCTCAACTTCCTCAACTCACCGCGAGAAACATGCCCGAACCCCCGATGGACCGCGCCGGTTCTCCTCACGGCTCCGAACACTCCCAGTACTCGCGTCACACGATGGACGGCGTCCCTCGATCGTACCCTTCGCCGACCGCCATGGTCGGTGGCCCGATGCCCATGCAGGTGCCTGTGTCTCACATGGCTCCCATCCTGCCCGGCATGCCCTCCGACATGGGTCAAATGCATCAATACAAGGCCCCCGAGCCTCAGCAGCCCCAGCAGCCGACAAAGGCTTACCCGTGCAGTACCTGCGGCAAGGGCTTTGCCCGTCGCAGCGACTTGGCTCGCCACGGTATGTCGACTTGAGCGACGCGATGAGAGAATTTTGGCTAACTCGTCCCAGAGCGCATCCACAGCGGAATCCGCCCGCACGTGTGCGACTTCCCCAACTGCGGCAAGCAGTTCATCCAGCGATCTGCGCTGACCGTCCACCAACGCGTCCACACCGGAGAGAAGCCTCACATGTGCGAACGCTGCGGCAAGCCCTTCAGTGACAGCAGCAGTCTGGCCCGTCACCGCCGCATCCACTCCGGCAAGCGCCCGTACAAGTGCCCGTACGCCGACTGCCAAAAGACCTTCACTCGTCGCACCACCCTGACGAGACATCAAAACCACCACACCGGGACCGTCGAGGAGGCCGCTGCTGCCACCGCCGCCGCTCTGGCTGCTCGCGGCGCTGCTGCCAAGCCCACCCGCTCCGACGGCGATGCCATGTCTAACCGCGGCTCGCCCTTGACGACGCCGTCTCCCGGCCAGCGCACCCTCTCAATGTCTCCCAGCGCGGACAACATGCACCGTGCCACCGCTGACTTCCAGTACATGGGCAACAGCTCGCTGCCTGTTCACCTGCAACGCGACATGCACGTCGGCAGCCCCGCCTCGACGTCCTCGGCCGGCTACAACAACGGCATGAGGCCGACGTCGCACCCCACCGGCTACGGCCCTCCCCCGACCTTGGAGCCCAGCGTCGAGCAGCACTCGGGTCCCGGCAGCGCAGGCGGAAGCCCTCACATGAGCAGCGTCGGCTGGCAGTCGCCCTCCCACGTCCCGTCGCCCTCGCACAGCAGCAACGGCGGTAACGGATACACCTACCCCGATCCCGACGGCTACCCGGCGGCGCCCTCCCTGGGCGGCCAGATGTTCTATGGCAATGCGGGACAGGTTCGTCGGCCCCAGAGCACGGAGCCTCCCACTGCTTACGACATTAAGGGACGTCAGAGCGAGCTGTGGGCAGGCGCCCACTAGGAGAACTCTCGGGGCGGAATGTACCAGTATCCCGCGCCTGGTCAGTGATATCCTTGACAGATCACAACAGGCCGCTTTTCTTTGGTGTGCTTATTCCATTTTTCTGACACGAAAAGTTTGTGCATGGCAAGGTGGGGGAGGGTAAATACATACAACTTTAATAATGCGGGCTGCACCGGGAAAAGGGTTCAGGGAGATACCAAAGGGACGGGCAGCCGTATGGTTCGTTTTAAAAACACGCCGCTTTCTTTTGTGTTGATAGACTTGGCGGGGAATCACAACTTCATGACGACTGGGCCTGCATGGGCATTGGCTGGAGGCAAACGGTTGGGAGGAGTTTCCAAGACAGGAAACACGCGCCCGGCGGATTGGCGGGACATCCAATAAAGGAACTGGAACTCTGTTTTGTTGCGGGTCTTTGTATGCAAATCTGTAATAGACAATGAACGCTCATAGCTATGCTCTCTCATTTCATGGTGGCAGTTCAGCAGGGTCCAGTGATTCTAAGATGGATGTGAATTAAAGGTCGCCCAAGGTCAGTACACCAAGTCATATTCCATGGTGTCGATCTGACCTCAACCAACTGTCCAAAATGTTCATTCCTCTGATTTGTATTTGCCTATCAGCATGAGATGAAGCCGATAGATGTATTGCCAGACTGTGTCTCATCGGAAAGAGATCCATGAGCAATTCGCATCTGGCTTTTGTTTTCTTCTTGAGGATGTCGACCGCCGCTTCGTGCTGCTCGATGCCCAGCGAGATGTATGGAGCGGACTGACGTGTCGGGTATGGTGGTGGATGAAGAGGATCCAAGGTTGTGGCGGCTGTCTCCCTCAAGGTCACTTAAACTCATGATTCTGTGGAAACTTAAGCTGCGGGAGGAAGCAAAGTCTCCAGTCCATGTGAGACAGAATACCACCTCTTAGGTCTGGAGAGAGGCAGAAGCTGTGACCTACGAGGCCCGGAGTATCTTCAAAATGTCGGCCAAACTCACCCGCATTGAGGGTCTGCTCTGGTCGGGTACGTGTTAAGGCGATTCGGGAGGGTGTTCTCAATCTCATTGTAATTCGTCAACCATGCTCAAAAATTCATACAGCTTATTCTATCCAGGTCGCAATGACCCAGCAGCATTCGCGTGTATGTTAGAACAAGCAAATGACGACGGCACGACCAGGGGCAGCTTGAGGATCGATCTCACGATGGTCAGTGTGCTGAGACAAACGGGGGCGGCGGCGGCGCATCTCTAATTAATTAGCGTTGCGTTCGTTCGGGTCTGGGGTACATGAGAAAACGAATGAACGACCCGCTGCCGCTTGGCGAGTTTAAATGCAAAGGGCCTTGGCCGTCATAATGGGATCCTGTCAGACAATAAGAGAACGCATGGGCATCTGTCAGCATTAATCAACTCAACGTGTGTCGTGCGTGGTCCGCTTCTTATTAAGCCGTCATGTCATCTCGACCAGGAGAGGTGAGGTGTCAGATTTCGGCCGAACTCATCGCGCGCGCCCGCGCCCGAGACACACACGCCCTGGAATTGTTTTCTAATCGAGTGCTGTTGTCTCAGTACAGCCCGACGACAATCATGAATGAGGCGAGACAATTGGCGGCCGAGGCGCTGTTGGTGAGAATAATCAGAAAATACGGCGGCGAACAGGAAAGGGAAGCGGATCCGCTAGCCGTGGGGTGTTTTTGGATCTGGTTGGGTGGGGTTTTGTGATTAGTGAACCGCGATGCGTTCGTTGCGCATGTCACCCACGGGGCTCGGATGATTGAAGTAAGAGTATGGAGGGAGAAATCGGGCTGGATGACGCTGAATGAACCCGAAAGAGAGAGAGAGGTGTGATTTGGTGAGACGGGTAGCCTACTAAGGGCATGGGCGTTGCGTTGCGCCCGCGTGGGATGTGGACGTCTCGTCTGCCCAGTCCGAGGGACTCAGCCTAGTCGATGGTGTTGGCTGACCTCCGGCTTTCCTCGTTTTCGGGACACGGGAGAGAGGGGGAGAGAGAGAGACAGCACCTCTCACTCGGATTAGTATACAAGAGACACACAAAAACAGCGCCCTGTTGGTGGAACACGGGAAAGGCGCGTATGTGTATGTCTCGGGGGTGCCTGTGGGATATAACTCATCCCACAGGCGACATGAAAAAATTATAAGCTGATTACTATTCACGATGTCTCTTTCCGAGCGCCCGAATTCCCACCAACGCAAAACCTCGCGTGGCCTTAAGATGTAAGGCTGCCCCCTCCCCGGGACGGCAGCGTTTGCTTCACACCCCACACACACCATGGTTCAAGAGTCCTGATCCATTCTGGAGAGAGTTGACGCCATCGCGAGCCGAGGCTAATCTCTGCTTTGGGTACGCTAAGAATATCAGTTCTCGACAACAGGCTCGCTGCCCACAACAGAAACAATTGACGAATTATTCATCTGAGAAAGGAGAGGCATTTGAAAAGAAACCAAAAATGACCGTCATTCGAATCGAGGCCGTGACGGATATGCTCTGTCCGTGGTGCTACGTCGGCAAGAAGAACCTCGACCGCGCCATGGAGCTCTACCGCGAGACGGACCCGACGGCCGAGTTCGAGGTGGCCTGGAAACCGTTCTACCTCAGCCCCGCGATGAAGAACACCGGTACGTCTGCCCCGTCTCTCGCCGGAATCTACACCTTTCTCTCTAACACGGTCCAGGCTACGACAAGAGGAGCGTCTACGTGAGGAGGTTCTCCATGTCGGGCGACTACGACACCGTCTACGAGCGCGTGTCGTCCGTGTGCGGCCGCGCGGGCATCAACCTCGACATCAGCGGGACCACGGGCAACTCGCGCCAGTGCCACAAGCTCATCGCGCTCGCCCTGACGAAGGGCCTCGACGTCCAGGACAGGCTGCTCAACGCGCTGCTCCGGGGCAACTGGGAGGAAGGGGCCGACATCACCGACCGCGGGTTCCTCCTGGCCGCGGCGGCCGAGGCTGGGCTGGACCGGGGGGAGGCCGCGCGGGTGCTGGACAGCGAGAGGGCCGGGGAGATGGTCGACGGGGAGGTCCTCCGCGCGAGGAAGGCGGGCGTGACGGGCGTGCCGACGTTTACGGTCCAGGGGCGGTGGCGGGTCGGGGGCAACCAGGAGCCCGACGTGTTTTTGAGGGTGTTTGAGCGGGTTGCCGAGGAGGACTGAGAAGTTTGTTATGAAAGCGAGTCAGCAGCATTGTAGTAGCGCGGATGATACCACAGTCGAGCATCGGGGGGGTCTGTAAATGATTTTTATTCATCGTCTTTTCTGCCCGTTCACCACAGGACTCGTCCCTGATCGGCCGTGACAAAGCCAGTCTGAAACCCATCTATAAGGACTAAGAAGAGGGAACGCCCGCGAAGGTTTTGAAAACAGCCTGCCGTCCAACAAACGCCGTGAAATGCAACCAGAGTGTGTATCCCGTCTACCGCTTGGTCATGTGGCTGTAGTCCTTGAGCAGGTGCTCCATGTGGGTGTTGGTCGTCTTGCCGGTGCGGCGGACGGCGCGCTTCTTCTGCTGCTTGCCCTTGGGGTCGACCTTCTTGATGAGGCTGGGGTCGGCGCTGGCGGGCTTCTGCCCGACCGAAACGAGCTTCTTGACGATGTCGTCGGTGCTGGGCACCTCGACGGCGTTCCACATGCGCTTGAACTCGTCGTCGACGTGGTGGTGCAGCGAGGCGTCGTCGAGCCAGATGGCGCGCGGGTGCTGCTCCTTCTTCGTCTTAACGATGAGGATCTTGTGCTCGCGTTCCAGCTCCATCAGCGACTGGTCGCAGTCCGGCCAGCCGTCCTTGAGGTCCTTGACGGACGTGCCCTCGGCGTCCTTCTTGCTCTGCAGGTGGCGCAGCAGCGAGATCTTGTCCCTGACGCCGGGGATGATGGGGCGGTGGATGTAGGTGCCCGTCCGCCACGTCTGCTCCGACAGCTTCGGGTCGGGGACCCACTGGATGCGAGGATGGCGGCGCATGGCCTCGACCAGCTGCTGCTTGTGCTTGTCGGTGCTGCGCGTCTGGCCGAGATGGTCAAAGATCTCCGTCGCCGTCTTGGCCTCGTCCTTGCCCTTCAGCCACTCGAGGGCGTACTGCATCTGGGTGAAGACCTCCTGGCCGAAGCTGGTGTTTTGCGGCTGCGAGTAGACCACCGCGTTGGGGTCGCGCTTGCGCTTGCCGGAGGAGGCATCGTTCTTGGACGCCGTGCTCCCGACGGACGGCGAGGGCGAGGGCGGTGCCAGGGACGGCTTCTTGGAGCTCAGCTTGCTGGCGGCCGACGCGAGCGAGCTGTTAAACGCTGCCTTTTGCTTTTCGAGGAGAGACGACATCTTGGCGGGGATGGTTTCAGATCCGTGGTATATAGTGCGATGGTTCGAAGACGAAGAGATGCCAGTAGATGGCTGCAGAGCTCTTACTCGGTCGATTAGGTTAGGCGGACTCGATCGCCTAGCCGATGACCAGGCAGCCTCGCACGAGGCGCGCGTCAAACTCAAACGCCCGGTTCAAGGCGAAGGTTTTTCGATGGCCTCCAAACTGGCTACCGTGTCGTCCCTGCCGTCTCGAGGCGATCGCGCCGACCTGTTGGTCAGCCCCGAGGTGTCGAGGTGTCGCCGTCGCGGGTTCTGCCTGGCGTCGCGGTCGCTCGACTCGATTCGTCTTGTCGTCCTTGACTCGCTTCCTCTTGCCGTGGTCGCCGTTGAATTCGCACGTGTGTAGTCGGATGGTTTCTGCGGACAGCCGGTGGACAATGACGGCGCAGGTGGTGTGACGGAGGGATGATTCTTTGTCGATCAGAGGTGGGATGCTGCTGATTCAAATCTCTGGGACGTTCGACGTTGTGGCGCACGGACGAAAGCTCAGCCACATTGGCCAATCTGGGTCAGCCACGACCTGAAATAACGATTCTCCGGCTGGAAGGTGTCCATCCCCCTGAAATACCTGGCTGGTAGGTAAGTGGTTGATCTCTTACTTGAATAGATCTGGAAGATGATTTGACCCAATTCTTCACAAACTACGTGGCAGTGTTATGGTAGCGGCTGTCAAGGTTGTCTCTAGTGGGTGAATCGTGTGGCCGCATAGATACGGAATGGCCGGGGTTGATAATGGCACCCAGTTTGGAGCTTGCACCATGGCAAAAGTATGCAATTCAACAGTGACAGGGCGAGTGGAATCAGCTCAATGGCTACCTCCATGGCTGTCGCGAGCCAGCGATACCGGCGAGCTGTCAGCAATGCACTCAGCCAGCAACGCACCCAGCCAGTCACGACACTCAAGTACGACCTATCCAAGTCATCGCGTCTGACAGCAAGACACCAACTCTCCGTTGTCAACCACCTCATGTCCACTGCTGCCAATCCCCAAGCGACCGCCGTAACAAGGACCATGTCCGAACGTATATTCTATTAAAAGCATATCTTCACCGGCAGATTCGGCTCCGTCTCGAGGACCAGCCAGATCCTCCGCCGCAGAATCAACATATCAAAAAAATAACTCCCCATCGTGTCGTTACACCTCTCGCCATGTGATCGTAAGAGGCGAGAGAAGATCCCCGCCATCCCTTCCCCCATCACACACCCGCCTCACTGAACTGAACCCCCATTACAAGGCGGCGGCGCGGCGCGGGATTTCCGCTGTGGAAGCTTTGCGCGGTGACGGAATACACCCTCTCCCCAAAAAAGTACTCGCTTGAATCAGAACACACAAAAGTAACCCCGACAAGGGGGCACTTATGCGGACTGCTGCTGTTGCTGCTGCTGGTACTGGTAGGCGACGTAGGCGAGGACACCGCCGATGAGGAGGACGGCGTACAGGCCGATGCCGAAGCCGGGGCTCTCGGTGTGGCCGCCCGAGGAGGTAGCGGGGGCCTGCTTCTTGGGGGCAGGGTCACCGGGCTGCAGGAGAACAAAAGTCAGCTACGGATTCACGGGGATTGCGCGGAGAGGGAGCAACATACCTGGCGCTTCAGGTCGCCGATGAAGAGCTGGTCCAGGGTCTCGCGGGCCTCGTCGCTGTGGCCGACATCCTCGAAAGCCTCGGTGGCGTCCTGACCTCCGACGTCGAGCAGAACCTCCTCACCACCGCTGCGGAAGAAAAAGTCAGTTTGGGACGAACGGTCGGAATTGGGAAGGGCGGCACTCCGGTGGACGGCAACCGCGGGCTTGGCGACGACTTACGGGTGCTCGTCGACGAACTTGGTGCAGTCGTAGATCTTGTCGTGGACTACAATGTAGATGTCCTTCTTGGTGTTGTGCTCGGCAACATCCTGGTAGGTGAGTTCGACGCCGCCCATTGTGACAGATTTCGCAAAAGAGTCCGGGGTAGTTTAAACGTGGCTCCTTTTTTTTCGTTGTGTTTGTTGAGGACGCGAGCAGCAGCAAAACGGGATTGCGAGCTAGTTCGGTGTCGGTAAAACCGGTGGACTGGAGGATGCGCGAAGAAGGTGAGGAAGAAGAAGAAGAAGAAGAAGAGCTCTGAAGCAAACTTTTTGGCGAGATTTGGTGATGGTAGTTGCACAAGAGTAAATCAGACCAGAAGGACAGTGCCGGATGTTGTTGAGCCCGTTCACTATCGCGGATCCAGCAAGGTAAAATTGGGGGGGAGACCAAAACGCTGACAGCTGATGGAAGCTTCTGCTTGGACAGCACCGGTGAGTGGGCTTCAATGGACAGCTTTGGGGGGAAAAGGATATCGGGGGTCCGCTCAGGGGGGACGCTCGAGTCTCGGGCCAATGGCAGACACCGAAATTAGTGCACGGCTACGATGATTCGCTGGCCTGGTGGGCTTGGCCTCCAGGGTTTGGGGGAATTGAGGTGCCGTTTTTAGGGGCCGACAGACCGCTGGGCACCTCACCTTCACTCTTCAGTGGGACCCCGGCGGAGGTTGACTGTGATGCCGCCGTCCCTTTCGGCATCGCATTCGGGACCTGTCTGTCTCACTACCGTCTGCTTCCGAGGCTGCAATTCGTCTGCGTCTGGATATGTAAAACCTTTCCAAGCCTGCCTTGCCTAACGGCTTCTACGCCCTACCCGTGGCACCTACGAGGCCACGTCTCTCTCTCTCCCCGCCCGTCGAGACTCGACAAGCTGTCTTCGAGTCAGGGTTTACCTACTTACTCGGCGAGGAAGCACAGCAACGTATCCGTACGCATCCTTACCGCCCAAGCTACCGCGACAGGCAAAGACGGTTAGCTCGTTTCGAAACGGCTTCTCCCAAGGGCGGGATCCTGTCGGTGTCCGCTGGTCGTGGCTGGGGTCCACGATGGACCATCTTCTGCAGTTCCGCCTTTCCAAACGTCAATCTGCGGCGGCGGAACACACACTGCGGTAAGCTGTCGTCACTCGGAATTCCAGCCACAGGATCCGTCTCCAGTATTTCGTGTTCGTATCCTTGCATCGCTGCATCACCACCAGCCCGACCGAATGCAACGCCGTAAAACTGGCCTGGTCCAGTGTGTCCCGCGGGGTCGTCTTTCCCACCGGGATACCCACAAGTCATTACCGTCCGTCCGCCAGCCACTGGTTGGCAGTAACTGACCGTCGGAATCTTCCTTATCTTGCCGGTTCCGCGGGGTCCTGGCAGCGTAAATGGCGCTCACGGACTCTGGGCCGGCGGTTCAAAGTCCGAAATCCCACGGAGCCACACGGCATTGTTCCACGACCTGGCGTGGCAGATCTGGTTCGGATAGACAGCTGTGACGTCCTTCTTCAGCTCAGAGTGTAAAACAGGACCATTTCCCAGTCGTCAGCCCTCCGCGTGCCTGGAAGTTCGGGATGATGCCGAGGCACTCCGGGATCGTGATGTCAGTTCCATACAAATACAAAAGGCGGGGAACGCGCGGGGTAATCGAGAGATGGCTTCTGATATCGGCTCGCAAGGCGTCTGGACCGTCCTCGCGATACATTCCCTAATAGGGAAAAAATCGCCGGTGTACGGTTTTGCTGCATCTCATCGACTGCCGCACTGAATGACTATATCAAGCAGCACACCACTGGTCCGTCATGATAAAACATAACTTTGTTCCAGCTTTTATAGGACCCAGCATGCCTGCTCAACGCATGGAAGGACATCGCTCTAATGCCACGAGTCTACTAGACACAATGCATCGCCAGCTCATCGCCTCGTGCTGCCGCCGCCGATATCCTGTCCGAGGCGGTACGACGTGATCTTGTCCCACTCAATCTTCTGCCTCGTCACGGGCAGCTGCCGTCTCAGGCCCTTGAACGCTCCCTCGCTGAGGCTCGTGAATCCCCTGTTCAGCTCCTCCTGGTACTTCTTCTCCGAGGTCGAGATCTCCCGGACGATGCCGGCGCCGGTGCCCGAGACGCCCGTCTGCGTGGGACGGCTGGTGAGCAGCCTGACGTTGCCGTCTTCGTAGTAGTGAACGTCAACCTTGACGGAACCCTCGAGGGTCTCAGACGAGGGGTCGTAGATGTAGAGGGAGCGCCAGCGGCCGTTCCTGGGTAGGTCAGCAGGGCACTCTAAGTCGTGGGGCGGGGCACTTCACGCCACGGGGCAGAACGTACCAGAAGTTGTTGGGAGAGTACTTGTTCGAGACGATGATGATGGCGACCTTGGAGTCGTTCTCAGTTGGGTAGACACCGTAGGCCGCGTTGGGGAAGTGCTCCTGGACGTAGGGACCCAGGCTCTTCAGCGTCGACTTGCTGTACCTCAATCAGCGCCATCCATCGTTGCCAGCAGTATAACCCACATCAAGTCGGCATTGGCGCTCTCCAGAACGTAGCTCTTGGCATTGCTGGCCTTCTGTGTGGTGTGGTCGAACGAGAAGCTCGTGGAGCTCTCCACGTCAAAGTACTCGCCGTCGCCGAGCGAGTTGTGGGAGCTGATGATGACCTGCGGCGTTCCCTTAGCTTCCGATAGTCTCTTCGAGCACCGTATCGACCGACCTGTTGGCTTCCGCCCGGCAGCTTCGTCGTGATGAACTGCTCCTCATTGTACTTCTCGAAAGCCGGCTCGAGGCTGGAGACGAGCTCGGGGTCGGACACGGTGAGGGACTTGATGTCTTTGTCGAATTAGTTATCGGGCTGCGGGACCGGGTCGTGGCCGTCGTTACCTGCGATGACATCTGCGAGCTTCGTACAGGTCAGCTTAGCACGGGAGTGGAGTGGTCAGCTTGGCGCACCTCGCCCGGGGGAGCTCCCTCCACGAAGGAGGAGACAGTATCGACTTGGGACATGGTCAGGTCTGCGTGAGAAGCTGGTATCGCGATGTTGCGGTGGGAGTGATGCGGCTGCGATGTCGAGCTACTTGCTGGGACGTTGAAACGTAATGCGGGGCAGTTCCAGGCGGGATGCGCTGGGTCGGGAAAGGGGCAGTAATTGTTAGCGCGAGACCTCCACCCGGGCCGAAAGAAGTGGGCTCTACAGGTATCTTCCATCGTCGTCTTCCATCACATTGGCATCAATCACTCATCGTTGGGCGGGATGATATTAAATCTGTATTTTTTCTACTCTTGATATAGATCGCATGCATTTTTAAAACCAATATTCCAAACATCGCTAGGTCTTCATGGGTATGAATTGCTGCCCCTCCTTCTGCCGCCTGTCCTCAATCAGTAATCCAACACCCTCTTGATGTTGTCATAAACCCCTAAACACATTAGTACTTGGTCGGAGGCTCAAGGGACACAACTTACTGGCAACATCTGGGATGTTGAACTTCTCAAACAACAACGGAGTGTGAATGCTCCACCCCGCAACCCTCGCAACCGGCGCCTCCAGCCTGAGGAAGGTATCTGGATCCTCTTGGATAACAGCAGCAACCTCGGCGCCGATGCCCGCGTTGACCATGGCCTCGTGCACCACAATGCAGTGCCCCGTCTTGCGGACGCTCTCCAAGACGCACTCCTTATCCCAGGGGTAGAGCGTCCTGAGATCGATGAGCTCAACCGAGATGCCCAGTTCCTCCTCGGCTTTCTGGATGGCCGACATGCACGTATACAACGGCTGTCCGTACGACACAATCGTCACGTCCTTGCCCTCCTTCAGGACCTCCGCCTTGGACAGCGGCAGCGTGTATGCCCCGGAAGGGACCTGCTCGACGGCGGCGCGGTACAGGATCTTGGGCTCCATGAAGATGCATGGGTCGTTGCTGCGGATGGCCGACAGCAGAAGACCCTTGGCCTGGAGAGGCGATCTCGGCATGATCACCCGCAGTCCCGGGATGTGCGTGAACAAGCTCTCGGGCGATTGAGAGTGGTACAGGGCGCCGTGTCCGACGCCGCCGCAGGGCATGCGGACGGTGAGACCGCCGACGCTGCGACCGCACGCGCCGTCTCTGTATCTGAACTTGGCGGCCTCGTTGACGAGCTGGTCGAAGGCCGGGTAGATGTAATCGGCGAACTGGATCTCCGCGACGGGGCGCATACCCTCCGCCGCGGCGCCGATGGCAAAGCCCATGATACCCTGCTCCGTCAGGGGCGTGTTGAATATCCGATCCCCGCCGTATGTCTCGGCCAGCTTCATCGTGCACCTGAATACACCGCCGAACGCGACGTCCTCGCCAAAGACCATGACGGAGTCGTCCTCGGCCAGCGCGATCGACAGGGCGTCGTTGATGGCCTGGAAGAGGTTCATCTTCTTGGTCGTGCCATTGCGGACCTCCTCAGGCAGCTCTTTCGTGCCGAGGGCCGTTTGAGAAGAGTGCGCAAGTAAAGACGTCGTCGAGTAGTCGACGGGAATGTTGAGCTTCGCGTTGGGCGGATGCGTCGAGTAAAGCCGAGAGACGGCAAGGGGGAGCTGTGTCGATACTGACGGCGCCAGCGCTCGCCGAAGGGGACGTAAGGAGATTGACCTCATTTTGCACGAATTCGAACCGACGGGATTGGACTCTCAGTCAGTTGCACGGTGATGGTCCAGAAAGAAAGGAATCAAGCCCGCCGGCAAGATGAGGGACGTCGTCTTGACCCGAGGGATGCGGCCCGGGTGATCTAAGTTCGGCTTGCAGCGGCGTTCGCGGGGTCGCAGCGGCCCTTGGCGGCCACCAACCCCTGCTGGCACTTAACGCCCTGATAAGAGAGGATCCGCCCCGATTGTTGCCCTGCCAACAGCCGAGCCGCCAATGCGGCGCCAAAACAGGGCAGTGGACAGGAATACGATCTTGGTATCCTTGGCACCAACACGTATATACCTCTGGAATGGGCGCAGGCCAGCAGCATTCCAGAGAAAACGACCACTAGCACTTTTACGACAACGTTGCGCCTCCCAAAATGGCGCCCGGCGAATCCTCGAGACCGTCATCGCATCGACCGCGGGACTCGGAGGGCAGGAAGCACAAGAAACGACGATCCCATGACCAGCGACCGAGACGACCAGCGACGGACTCGGGGGAGAGCAGGGATGAGAGGAGATCGCAGGGTCTCTCGGTCAATGCGCTAGATCAATTGAATCAAGAGAACACGAGGAGACACAAGAGAAGGGAATCCGATGCGGACAGACCACGAGACCCAGCAAGAGACGCAGAGCGGCAGAGGCTGAGGGAGGAGAGACGAGAAAGACGGGCGCGTCGCGCAGAGCGAGCAGAGCGTGCAGGACGAGCAGAGCGTGCGGAGTACAGCGATGCTCCAAGGGAAAGGGATCCGCCGAGGGAGAAGCCCAAAAGAGTGAACAGAGACGAGTACCGCGATGCGCCGTACGAGAAACCGCGGAAGGACCACAAGAGCAAGAAGAGGAGAGTAGTGAGCGGCGCCGTCATGGAAGAGGGCAGATCGCGTGGGCTTAAAGGCAGCGGGCTGAGAGGCGGCGGATGGGGCAGCTCCGACAGCAACAGCATCGAGAAAGAGTACCTGGTCGATGACCCCCCGAAGCCGGTCAAGAATCGCAAGAAGCTCTGTAAGTATCATCGAGCGGGTGTGCGATCGTCAGCTAACGGCTACAGGGATCTGCGCCGGAGTCTCCGTGGTGCTCCTCATCATCATCATCGTGGTGGCAGTGGTGGTCAGCAAGAACAACGCCAACAAGAGCGACTCGAAGACGGTCGATCTCAACGGCGAGGACAAGAACAGCATCCCGATGAAGTGGCGCGGGACTTACCTCGACCCGTGGTCCTGGGCCGACACGACGGACTTCAACGTGACCTTCACCGACGAGATGGTCGGCGACCTCCCCGTCATGGGTCTCTACACCGACTGGGACGACTCGAAGCGCGCAAACGACAAGGTGCCGAAGCTGAGCGACAGCTGGGGGTCGTACGGGTCCAGGCCCGCGCGCGGGGTCAACGTCGGCGGGTGGCTGAACCTCGAGCCCTTCATCACGCCCTCGCTCTTCGACTACGACTCCCGCCTGGGCATCATCGACGAGTACACCCTCTGCAAGCACCTCGGCGCCAGGAAGACGGCCGAAGTCCTCGAGGACCACTACAAGAACTTCGTCACGGAGGACACGTTCAAGCAGATCGCCGACGCCGGGCTCGACCACGTGCGCATCCCGTTCAACTACTGGCTCATCGAGGTCTACGACGGCGACCCGTACCTGTTCCGCACCGGCTGGCGCTACCTCCTCCGCGGCATCGAGTACTGCCGCAAGTACGGCCTCCGGGTGAACCTCGACGTCCACGGCGTCCCCGGCAGCCAGAATGGATGGAACCACTCCGGGCGCCAGGGGGCCATCGGCTGGCTCAACGGCACGGACGGCGCGACCAACGCGCAGCGCAGCCTCGACATGCACGACCGGCTGTCCAAGTTCTTCGCGCAGGACCGGTACAAGAACATCGTGGCCTTCTACGGCCTCGTCAACGAGCCCAAGATGACGGAGCTGAGCGTGACGGACGTCATCTCGTGGACGGAGCAGGCCTACAAGCTGGTCAAGCAGAACGGCATCAAGGCCGTCGTCGTCTTCGGCGACGGGTTCATGGGGCTGGGCAACTGGCAGGGCCGGCTGACGGGGTACAGCGACCTCGCGCTCGACGTGCACCAGTACGTCATCTTCAACACGGACCAGATCGTGTACACGCACAAGAAGAAGGTCGAGTACGCGTGCGACGGGTGGACGGAGCAGACGGTGCAGTCGATGGACACGTCGACGGGGTACGGGCCGACGCTCTTCGCCGAGTGGTCGCAGGCGGACACGGACTGCGCCAAGTACGTGACCAACGTCGGCTGGGGCAACCGGTGGACGGGCACGTACGACACGGGCAACGCGTCGACGTCGATCCTCACGCCGCGGTGCCCGACGCAGGACTCCAAGTGCGACTGCGGCGCGGCCAACGGCGACGCCAAGGGGTTCAGCAGCGACTACAAGAAGTTCCTGCAGATGTTCGCCGAGGCGCAGATGCACTCGTTCGAGAAGGGGTGGGGGTGGTGGTACTGGACGTGGGACACGGAGAGCTCGCCGTTGTGGAGCTACAAGAAGGGCCTCGAGGCCGGCATCCTGCCCGCCAAGGCCTACGACCGGGACTTTGACTGCGACAGCACCGTGCCGTCTTTCGACAGCCTGCCCGAGTACTACCGGATGTAGGCCGGCGCGAGGCGGTTGTGACACCGGAGGCGGGACCGGAGACGGGACCGGAGACGGAGCCGGGGGGTGGTGAGTTTTTGCATGAGAAGGGCGTTCGGGTTAGCAATTTGGATTTTTCAGTACGAAGCATATACAGATGGAAGTAAGGGATGACGGGACGAGAAGTCATGTATGATAATAACGAGGAGATGCATATGATGCTCCAATTAGATAGATCAAACAAAGAGATGGGTATTCATCGATCCGCGTCTGACAGTAGTCTGACCGAGTGAATCAATCCAAAAGTGATTATAAATGCACGCAACCACCTCCGGATCCGATTTCCAACGCCCGCAGAAACTCCACGGACTCAAATCCCGCGATGACACCAACTCGCACGTGGATGCGCCCTAAGGATTCTCACGCTGACGCTACCGGTTGCCGGCGCCGAACGGCCGGGGCAGCTGTCAAGCAAACACACAGAAAAAAGCACAGACTCGACTCGGGGTCGGGATCGGAGGCAGCGTTGAAATGGCCCTCGCGCTTCGGTGTCTCCGCGAAGAAGCGAACCTATGGAATGTGGCACTTGCCGTGATTGCGAGTGGACCACATGCCCGGGTGAGAAAAGGTGTTTGTCAGGCGCTCTTGATGGGCTTTAATGATGACATCTAATGACCGTTGAAGCTTGTGGTAAAGGCTCACCTCATCTCATCGCCATGTGAAATCCCGTCTGATCTATGTCTCCTGTCAGTTCTTCAGCTTCTGGAACCGCCCAGTCGGCAACGCCCAATTTTAGACCTGCGACTCGTTGCAGAACACTGAAAGGGAGAAGGAGAAGAAAAAAATAAACCGTCCCTGTCTCACCCGGCCCCCAGATGCCGAGGGTCTCCCGTCGAGCCGGCGCCGACGTCATGTCGGGCGGGTCATTTCCGACAGTACTAACGTCCCGTACCCGCGTCCCATTGCCGCCATTCGCACTTATCTGGCGGTAAATGCACACTCACACTCACACACGAATTGACAAGCTACCAGGGAGTGATGGTGTGCTCTGCGTGCTAGAACCAAAACGGGCGCATATTCTGACTGGGCCGTTTCTGGTTCTGGAATGGACCCCCTTTCGTCCGCTCTTCTGGCGGCTGTTGGTTCGGATGATGATGCTGCAGCTCCTGTTTGTTAGATCGCATACCCATGGCTCATCCATCCACTTCCCAGGATGGGGGGCTAATGAACGTCCACCAAATGTCCACTCTCGCCTCGAACTCGCTTCGCCGCCATGACGAGATCCACCCCTAATCCGGGGGGAATTCCTCTAAAGGCGAGCCGCGTTCTGGCACCTTGCTGGGCTGAATAATCGTTAGGGTGAATAATGGAAAAAATTGCCAAAGACGTAATTACTGCAGCGCCCTACTGATGTTCACCCGTCGTTGACTAATTAACGTGGGTATCGCCAGCGAAGAGGCGGTAGCAACACTTTCGTTCTAGTCATCATCGTCAGGTTTGTTGAAAGCGTCGCAATGGGAGAGGATCCCGTTTCTCCTGCTCCTAAATAAAAAAAGCCAAACACCCGCCTGCAACGCATCTGTTCGCAGGAGAAAAAAAAGACCCTGTCTACAAGGTGCTCAGCAACGCGACGATCCACAGCTGCTGGAACTCGGAAGCCGGTCCCATATTAATCTCAGGGCGGAACTTTTCGAGTACGATATCCGACATCCGCGCCGTCGTTATCAAGCTGGCCGTCGCCAGTCTAATTTCAATTTCCCAGTTCGTAAACATCGAATTCGATGCTGTCGTCGTCCGCATCAACAACCATGACGGACGTCGAAAAGGCCGAGAGCCGGTCGTCGAACCCCGACTATGACGACGCCACCATCGCCGAAGACTCGGGCTTCGAGCCCATCCGCACGGGCGCCTCCGGCACGCGCTCGCTCCGCCAGTCGCGGTCCCTGAGCCGGACGAGGTCGCAGAACGGGTACGGCGTCGACGAGTACGAGGCCAGCGACGACAGCCCGCAGCGGCAACCCGAGAAGGACCCCTTCGAAGTCGGTTTCGACGGCGGCGACAGCGACCCCATGTGCCCCCGTAGCATGAGCAAGTTCAGGAAGTGGCTCATCGTCTGCATCGTGTCCTGTGCCAGTTTTTGCGTGTAAGTGACGAGGTTGCGCTTAGAGTGAGACGGCAGTGTTGACGTAAGACAGCACCGCGGCTAGTTCCATCTACACATCGACGTATGCGCAGATGGAGGCAGAATTCGGCAATTCCAGAATCGTATCGACCGTCGGCCTGTCAGTGTTCGTCCTGGGAATCAGTCTGGGCCCGATGTTCCTCAGCCCTCTTAGCGAATTCTACGGCAGGCGGTTGATTTACTTGGTTTCCTGGTCCTCCTATGTAATCTGGATCATCCCGTCAGCCGTGGCCAACGGGATCGCAGTGATGATCGTCGCCCGCTTCCTGGACGGCCTCTCAGGATCGGCCTTCTTGGCCGTCAGTGGTGGTGCGTCAGGAGACCCGGTGATGTTCGCCCGTGCTTGACTAACAGCGGACAGGTACCGTGAGCGATCTGTTTGCTCGCCACGAGCTTCAGGCGCCCATGCTCATGTACTCGATGGCGCCCTTCATCGGACCGTGCATCGGCCCTCTGATCGGCGGTTTCATCAACTTCAACGCCAACTGGCGCTGGACGTACTATGTCATGCTGATGTGGTCCTTTGTGCTGCTGGTGGCCATCGTCGTATTGGTGCCCGAGACTTATCGTGAGTGCTCCAGGTCCCCGTGGAGGGTGCGCCCCTGGGCTAGTGCGCGGCTGACGTGTGCGTACAGATCCGATCGTCTTGCGGACCAAGGCACGCAAGATCCGAAAAGAGACAGGTGACGAGCGGTGGAAGGCCCCCGTCGAGAAGATGACCAAGTCCGTCGCCAAGACCATCGGCCTGTCGCTGCTGCGGCCCTTCCAGCTGCTCATCTTCGAGCCCATGGCCCTGAACCTGTGCATCTTCTCCGCCATCCTCCTGGGCATCCTGTACCTCTTCTTCGGCGCCTTCCCGCTCGTCTTCACGAACAACCACGGGTTCAACCTCTGGCAGGTCGGCCTCACCTTCCTGGGCATCCTCGTTGGCATGTTCTTTGCCGCCGCGACCGACCCCTTGTGGCACCGCATCCGCAGCAAGCTCATGGCCGACCTGGAGAAGGAGACGGGCGTCGAGGGGGCCAGCGAGCCAGAGTTCCGCCTTCCGCCAGTCATCTGCGGCGCGTTCCTCGTCACCATTGGCATGTTCTGGTTCGCGTGGACGACCTTCTCATCGGTCCACTGGATCCTACCGATTTGCGGTTCCGCCATGTTTGGAGCTGGGTGAGTCCGTTTTCTCTTTGCACGACATCGCAGCTTTTCCCCAACGTGGAAGAAGGCCCGTGGTTCCGCAGCATGGTCATGCTGTGTCCTGGCATGCCCGTGGTTGCGTCAAGCCGGCTTCCGTCTGCAGGTTCATGTGCTGGCGTATGCTTTCGGCCGTTAGTCACGCTTTGTCAGGCCTCACGGACCGTGGGATGGTCTTGTTTTTCTCCCAACTCCATGCAGGAGAGCTGCGGCTGACCGTCTGGATGTTTCGCAGGATCGTCCTCGTCTTTACTGGCATTTTTACGTTTCTTGTAAGTGTTCCCTGTGCCACCGGTGGCGGTCCAGGGGTCTGGAATCATTCTCCAGGCCCGGGGGTCACACGACAGGACTTGTGTGCTAAAGTTGGGCTTCGCAGGTCGACGCCTACCCTCTATATGCAGCGTCAGCCCTTGCTGCGAATGCCTTTGTGCGATGCTCGTTTGCTGGTGAGTGAACCCGTGGCACCAACGCTCTTCCAGTCAGCTGGGTTGTGCCGTGTCTCGGACGGCGTTTGCTGACTTTTATGCCTGACAGCCGCGTTCCCGTTGTTTGGGACCCAGATGTACACGAAGCTCGGATACCAGTGGGCGACGTCACTGCTCGGCTTCCTGACGGTCATCATGCTGCCGTTCCCGTACATCTTTTTCAAGTATGGCAAGAGGATGAGAAGCCGCAGCCGCTTCGCCAGGACCGACTAGCGCCGTAAATTCTCCGTGGATGGACGTTGACGAGCGGGCCGGGGCGACGAGGCGAACGGAATCAGACGCGGCCGGCACCGCACAGACTCTGCACATTGGTGTGGAGGACCAACACTCTTGAGTGGACGACAGCGTCGCATGCAGCCTTGATGCTGCTGCTGCTGCTGCTGGCACATAGTGTGCGCGTTCCTGACCCAGACTGTTGAGACGCAATGCCACTTGGCATTATTGGACGACTGCACTGCACGCAGCAGATGCGGCTGTTGATCGTGGCGATCGTCATTCGTGACGGCAGCAGCCGTCTGCGGGTGTCCAAAGTCCTGGACTGTCATTGACGGACGAGGTTCAGGCAGCCAGACCGAGAAGGCTGGTGGGTGACGCGACAGGAGCAGTTTGTCGAGTGGCTGCCAATGATGGGAGAGAGAAGCGGTTGGATTTGTGCTCGCATGCAACAAGATACCCCCTAGTGGTTGCTGGACTGCAGATAGAAGACAGACCGATGCTCGGCACGTCGGCTAAGCCAATGTTAATGCGACATCGTCAAAACGAGCCGTGTCCGTCGTATGTGCCCGTGTTATAGGTCGCACATGGTAAAACTCGCTGATGTTGGAGCTTGGTCGTTGTCTTGGCTCCAGGCTGACTGACTTATACCACTCCATGGTTGTCATAGCGAGTAGTATGTAATCGTGGAGTGTAGACGTGGACCTGAGCGTGGATCGTATTGGATCTCACATGCAGCGACTCAGGAGCAATGGCAGATGCCCAATAGAGTGGCCTGCAGCGACGGCGTTAACGTAATGCCGTGCTACCGAATGACACAGAGACGAGGGTATCCAGGGAGCCAAGGCAGGTCAGAGGAGCCGAGTGGTAGTCGTTATTAAGTGATGAGTCTCAGATGAGATGAGATTTGAGGACGTTGACATAAGAAATGTAGATTGAGATCGAGAAACAAGGCGGACCATGTCGCGAAGAGCATTGGAAGCTTGTGTGATGGAGGAACCTTTGCTCGGATTGCAGCTGGGTCCAAGTGGCCCGCCAATCTGCGTGGAGGCCGTCTTGCAGCGGCAGGCAGCTGAGGTACCGAGTACAGACTACAGACGAGCTTGCAGTGTCAGTGTCAGCAGCAGAAGAAATCCGGTGAAGCACGCTACGCTGCAATGACATGCCGAGGACCTTGGTGCTCTCGGTCGTGGTGACGGGAGCCGTTGGCAAAAGACTCTAGCGAGAGATGTAGTCGGAACCTCCGAATCGGTCACGATGCTGCGAATTCCATGTACCCGATACACAGTGGGGCAGTCTGCTGAAGCCCACTCAAAACGCCCACTTCCCTGCCTCGTGAGCGAATCGCAGACCCGACATTTTCTCCAAGAAACCCCGCAGCTCAGCAGCAAATCTTTGACCAACGGCAGCGAGGCTGGGTCTTCCATCCCGGTACCTTTTGCTTTCCATTCGCTTTTGCCGACCATCTCTTCGCTTCCTCGTCAGCTCTCCGACGAACGACTCTCTCCTCTTCCACCCGACCGAGGATAAACATCACGAACCCCCCCGGAGCCCGGAATCGACCCCGACGACCGCCGCGATTCTTCCAATTCCGCCGCCGCGACCACTGCGATCCAATCCGCCCTACGAGGACCGGTACCACCTCGAGATAGTCACCGTCCGCGTGCCGTGTCTTCGATGCTTGTCTGATACAAGCACAAGGGCCACGGCTACCTGCAGACACCACTCGAGGCCTCGACCTCTCAGAACCTCCGTCACATCACCCCGGCCCTGCGCCGCCAGTCTTCCATCCGCACCCTCGACCCTGTCCCGAACCCCGTCCCCGTCCCCGTGACCTCATGTGGTCCGCGACGCGAACACCGGTCTCCAAACGACTGCGCCAACTGTCGAGTCCTAGTCCCGCCGTGACGAGAACGTCGCACAAGGAACGCCTCTTTCCTCTCCACCAACACACCATTGGAGACTCCTGACTGCTGAGAATACGAGCTTCACCAGACCAACGCCCTCCCCCTCCCTCGCCTCGTCTGCGCCGGCCTTGCTGGGCCGTCTGGCAGGAGGAAACAAGTCTGTCCCGTCCATATTGCGGGAGCGCACAGCGCCTATTCTGGGCCCATCCCACGTCGAAAGCGGGAGCCTGTGTCCGGCTGGACTCCTATTCGTAGACCGCTCGCCGCCCCTTGCGCACGCAGGTTCAGGGAAAAACAACTGCAAGCCGTGTGTGTGCTGCACCAGACCGACCCCCGGTGTGTGCCACTCGAACTTCTGACCGCAGGAGGATTTTCATTTTCCCTTCCTATTCTACGACGCCCGCCAGCGAGACACCAGGCCACACGCACGTCTGGGAGTGAGCCGTGTGGTTTCGCAAACAGAGCATCAGGGTAATTCCTTGACGAGGGCTTGCAGCGCCGTGCCGTCACAGCGGCAGCCCGCTTGCTCCATTGTCCGTCGTCCTGCTGAGGGGAGCCTTGTATATAAAATCCAAGACAACATGCCGGACGGCCTCGAGGAACCCGGGACTGAGGTCTCGGATGCCATGTCTGATAATGACCACGAGTACGACGACGAGACGACCGTAAAAGACGACGAAGACGAGAAGATGGCCGAATCTCACGAGAGCGGCAACGACAACAATGGCGAGGTGAAGAAGAAGTACGATCCCAAGGACCCCTCGCGGCCGAGGAGGAAGAAGGCTCGCCGCGCGTGCTTCGCCTGCCAACGAGCCCATCTGACCTGCGGTAAGCTCTGCCCGATTCCTCAGGGTCCGGCTCGCGATAGTCTGTGGTCAAGTGAATGCGTGTGACTGTCTCCGTGGTAATCGGCGGACACAAATCTTTGCTCTGCTCTGCTGCGCCCTTTGCGATCAACCTTTGCTGATGTGATGGCTACAGGAGATGAGCGACCTTGTCAGCGATGCATTAAGCGCGGACTGGCAGAGGCCTGCCAGGACGGTGTTCGTAAAAAGGCAAAGTATCTCCACGATGCGCCACCAGAGGCTCTCCGGCCCGTTCTGGGCCCCAACTACAACCCGAACGCGCCCCCGACGCGCCCCAACGGCCAGCGGCACCACAGCGGGACCTCGGAGACGGCCTCGACCGCCGGCAGCACGTTCTACGGCCAGAGCTCGAACGCGTCGTTCCCCGTGTACTCGGGCCAGCAGACGCCCGTCGGAATCCCCGAAGGCATCCCGTTCCAGGCGCAGCCGTCACCGATATCGCCGTCCTTCCCGCAGCCGGGCAACAACGCCCGCTCCATCGGCGGCATGATCTCGCCGCAGGTCGCCAGCGACCCCTTCAATACGTTATTCGACCCGAGCAACCCGGCCATCTTCAACTTCGACCTGGAAGGGCTCAACTTTGGCAGCCAGTACGGCGCCATGGAGTTCGGCATGCTCGGGCACATGTCGTCCGGCGCGGCGGAGACCCCGCCGCGCGACGGCTCATTATCCGGACCCAGTGGTGAAGTCAACTTCGGATCCACAAACGTGTTTGGCAATGGCAACAACCAGTTTGGCCAAGTCTACGATAGCGGTATGATCAACGATTTCATGGGTGTAGACCAGTCTTCCAACGGCATGTACCAACAAGGCAACCTGCAACATGGCCTCCCACATGCCTACGCCATCGCTGCTGGCCCAACAAGCCTACATAGCCCGAGTACAGACAACACCGCGAGCCCGCAACCTACTAACTTTACGTTTGAAGGATCTCCAAGTGGGAACTTTGGCGCTGTCGGAAACTCCCAGACCATATCCGCCCCCTCTCGCCCCAAGGCCAACAAGCCCGGCCAGCCCCAGAAGTCGGGCCCCCACTCCCTGTTGGGCAAGCGACAACGCGACCCTTCAGCCATCTACGAGACCGTCAAGGAGCCGTACCCGTACCTGGCCGGCTTCCACGCTCTCATCGACTACCTCCCGAAGAGGTTCTCCGCCAACAAGACGCTCCGCATCGCCAAGGCGCTCTCCAGCATCCGCCCTTCCTTCATCGCCTGCACCAAGACCCTCAGCCGGCAGGATCTCATCTTCATGGAGAAGTGCTTCCAGCGGACCCTGTTCGAGTACGAAGAGTTCATGCACCACTGCTCCGCGCCCACCCTTGTCCTCCGCCGCACGGGCGAGATCGCCGCCGTCAACAAGGAGTTCATCGCCCTCACGGGGTGGAACAAGGACGTCCTCCTCGGCAACGAGCCGAACCTCAACGTCAACACGGGCGGCACGGCCTCGGCGACAAACAGCGGACGCAACACCGGCCGCGCGGGCTTCTCGACGCCCAAAGTGCCGTCGGCAGCGCTCGACCAGGCCAAGAGCGAGGGCGGCGCCCGCAAACAGCCCGTCTTCATCGCCGAGATCCTCGACGACGACAGCGTCGTAGAGTTCTACGACGACTTCTCGCATCTCGCGTTCGGCGACAGCCGTGGCAGCGTCAACCGGACGTGCCGGGTGCTCAAGTACCGCACCAAGGAGCAGACGGAAGCCGCCGCCTCGTCCGACATGACGCCCCAGCAGGACCCCCGCAAGAGCATCCTCAGCAACCGCGTCACCCGGATCGACGGCGAGCACGGCATCTCCAAGATTGAAAAGGACGGCAAGGTGGACTGCCGGTACTGCTGGATGATCAAGCGAGACGTATTCGATATCCCCATGTTGATCGTGATGAACGTGAGTAGCCCGAGTCCTGTGGGGTGAAGCTTGCTAACAGAGCCAGTTCCTTCCGTGCTATTACCAGAACAAGGAGCCGCATCAACTAGCCGTGTAGTGAGAAAGGTAGAAAAAGGGGCGACCAGGGCATATATGAAGGGCATGGGAGGCGTTTTGGAACGGTCTGCGAGTTTCACAACCAATCGAACATGGCTCTCTCGAAGAGAAGCCGGACGGCGCATCTGGGGCTTGACGGGTTAATGGTCTATACTTCCATGGGCTTCTGCCAGTTATTTCTTTCCAGCTTTCACTTCAGCCACCCCCCGGGGGGAACGGACAAACGACCACCCCGTTTTTGACAGAGGACAGATTCCCACAGGTTATCAAATGATTCAAATTCTATTCTACGCTGAATCCCAGTCCGATCGTGAGACATTATAAGAAGCAAGGGTGCATCTAGCTCTCCGCCAGAGGCCGCACCAGCCACTCCGCATCCAGCGTCCCGGCCTTGTCGGCGCCGGGCCGCAGCGTCGCGGGCGGCGCCCAGGCCGGCCGGTCGAGCGAGTTGCGCGCGACGTCGCAGTCGATGTTGATGTCCTCGATGAGCGCCTCGAGGGTGGTGTAGTCGAGCTCGTCGCGGACGAAGCCGAGGATGAGCAGGCGCATGTGGGAGTCGTAGAAGTCGGCGCTGAACTTGTGCAGGACGTGCACCTCGGCGGAGCGCACCGTGTTCTTGTAGAAGGGGTTGTAGCCGATGGACATGACCATCGGGTACAGCTGGAACTCGAGGGAGGGCTGGGCGGGGCCGTGGCCCGAGGCGACCCGGTCCGGGTGCGAGGCGGGCAGGGCGAGGGAGGCCCAGCCGAAGTAGACGCCCGACTTGGCCTCGTCGATCCAGGGGGTCGCGGCGGCGTCGACGGGGAGGTTGGCGGTTGGGATGCCCAGCTGTGAGGGGGTTTAGTCTTGGGATGAAGGTGAGGAAAAGGTCAGATGTTTGCTTACTTCCTTGGACCCGCGGCCGAAGCCCGAGATCACCTTGCCCTCCATCTTGAGGGGGTACGGGGGCTCAGGGCCGGAGTCGGGGCCGACGATGAGGGGTCGTGATGATGTCGTTTTGGCCATGGTTGATTGATGGTCTTTCTGAATAATCACTGAAATGTGAGAGACTGAGGGGAGCTCTGTGAGGGAGGCACTCGGGCGTCAATTGAGACGACGTTGTGATTACGGACGGGAGTGAGGATAGATTTGAACCGCGATTCAATCTCAGAAAAGATGTGTAAGCGTCACAAAGCAATGATGAATCGGAGGTCGGCTGTGGTGAGAATTGCGAGTGAGTCGTTCGCCGTTGAGATGTGGTGGGGCAGGCAGAAGCTCTGATGTGATGGAGGGGTTCGGGCAGGTTCGATAAGACTCCGAGCGTTATCAATCGACACACCGGGGAGGGGCAGCTGTTGGGATTGGTATGTGGGGCCACGAGCCCGGAGGGACGCTCTCGTCACAGGCCGGAGGGTGCCGTCTGACACGGCATTTTCACGACGTCTTGCATACACATCATCGTCCAATGATTTCACTATAGACATCCTGCAGGATAAGGTAATGCAGGGGTGATCCAACCGGCAGCCATTCCGACATAACAAACTGGTATTTTTGGTATAATCTGCTAGACTCCCAAAAGACATAAAACAAGAAAACATTCCTGTGTTGCCTGGGCTTGACCTCTAAAAGACAGTGGTGGTATTTCGTACACGAGCGTACGCACGAGGGATATCAACAGTGAAATGGAACACAAATATCGACAGGAAAACAGCAAAGTGCTGACGACCCCGTCGGCTGACGGGTCGGACAAGCCCACACTTACACGCCCACTTACACCAACAACTCCTCACCTCGGACGTCGTGGCACCCGCACGGAACAAGCTTAAGAACGCGCCGACGACGACGCGATTGGTCCCGAGAAAAAAATCTCGCCGGCGTCGTGGCACGGCGGAAACATCCCGCGAGACGAGACAACCGTAGGACACGTCCACGTCGTGTGTTCGGACGATGGCAGTCCTCCATCGCCGCTGGTCCGTAACGTTCCACGACCAGCAAAACACACATACACACGCCTACGACCGCGGCCACGCGCCGTGCTTCCACTCCGTCCGGCCCAGGCGCACAATGTCTGCGGCCTCAATCACCCACAGGCCGTTGGGCGCCTTGCCCTGCTCGACGAGGATGCCGGCGTGCACGGCGGCGCGCGCAATGACCTCGGCGTCCTGGCCCAGGCTGTCCTGGACGTTGCGGCTGACGAGGCCGAGGGTCTTGACGGCGGTCTGGAAGATGCCCTCGCCGGCGCCGCGGCTCTGCTCGCGTTGGCCGAGGATCATCCCCGGCTTGAGGATGATGCCGTGGTCGAAGCCGGCCTCCTTGATGGCGTCCTCGACGCCGTTCTTCATCTTGCAGTAGGGGGCCTGGCCGGAGATGACGCCGCGGGTGCCGGCGCTCGAGACGAAGACGAAGGCCTTGACGCCGGCGGCCTTGGCGGCCTTGACGAGTTCGACGTTGAGGTCGTGGTCGATCTTCCACTGCTCGGCGATGCTGCCGGCGGCGGCGCGGGTGGTGCCGAGGGCGGAGAAGACGACGGTCGGCAGCGGCTGGAGGGCGGCCAGCTTCGGCGGCCAGGCCGTGGTGTCGGGCTCGATGATGGGCTTGAGGGTGAGGCCGCCGGCCTTGGGCGGACGGCGCGAGATTGTGTTGATGACGGCGAAGGCCTCGGAGGTGATGAGGGACGAGAGGATGTGGGAACCCACGAGGCCGGTTGAGCCGATGACTGCGGCCGAGTGCGCCATGGTAAAAAAGGACGAGGTTACTTTAGGTCGCAGTGAGTGATATGCGCGATGGTAAGACGACGTTGATCCCGAGTGTCTGGTTGAGTTGGTAGGATGGAATTGTCTGTGATGCTGCAGATGTCGGCGCTTCCTTACTGTCTGTGTGGGATACAGGAGAGAAGAGAGCAGGACGTCTGTGTCTGTTGAGGCCGGGCTTTATGGGACTTGCGCCCTTTATCGTTTTCCTGCGCTTTACGGCCCAATGAACTTTTCGACGTCTGTGTGTCTTTCTGGCGAGACAGGGCCGTGAGGGGTTGCGACGAGGCAAGCGGAGGGGACGGCGGTATTGGAGACGGTATAGATGGTGTATGGCTGTTCTGCCGGGGGAGTGACTTGGGCCAGGCGTAGATGACGAAAGACGGTCGACTTCAAGCAGAGCTGCTTTACACCGGCGCAAACTGGGACGACGAACAGCAGGGATGGACGGGGTAGGAAAGGACGATTGGGAAAGAGTTGGAACGCCCTAGTCTTTTAAGCTCAGACAGGGAGGTCGGAGCGGGTTTCTATCACGGCGGTCTTCGCACACTTCCACGAGTGGACTTGGCTAAGCTGAGGTGCTCCGGAAGGAAAAAGCCCCACACCTTTTCGACGTCCGGTGCTGATCTCGTCATGCCATGGCCCGGATGGTACAACGTCACAGATCGCTCTCTGGAGCCGGAGCTGGGAGCCAAGGTCGTGGTATCTGCGATGATACTGATCCACCTTAGGTTCGCCCAGCTGCTGCTGGCTCTGGCCGACCGGCGCATGAATGGCACGGTACGCTTCATGACTAGCCTTCCTTCGATATTTTTTGACTTCCGCCTCGCGAGCAGGTTCTGTCGAGTTCGAGACCCGACGACTGAGACGTTTGGAAATCCGGTTACTCGGAAACCAGAAGCGAGCCCCAGAGTGAGGCTTCCGTTGTGATGGGATGAAAAAGAAGAAATCGGAGGGGACAGTCAAGTCCGCAGAGCCGGGTAGCTACTCATGCAAACTCCGCTTAGACGGAGAGCTCGGTACGTTATCGCCGCGGGATCCATGGCTTGCGTTGTGCTTTTCAACAGCAGCCCCGGGCAGCTGACTTGCAATGTTTTCTTCGAACGGGGCAGGCAGGCCTGGAAAACGTTTACAAACCTTGATGCCAAGGCTATTGGTGTAATCTAGCAACAGAGATGCACCCCCGGAGGCCGGGAGTCTCGACTGGGTCATTTTTCGGCGATAAAAGATGAGGTGACGTGCGGATACTCCGCCGTTTTGGAGCTCCATAGCGGAATCCTCGCGCGGAATGCCGACTCGGTCCTCCCGACACTGTCAATCAATTGACAGACCCGGGAACCGAGTCTGCACTCAATGAAAAATACTTCACATGATGAAATGCCACTCAGCCCCGCAACAAACTTTCGGCACCGGCGGCCGTTTGACTGAGGTGCGGTCAACACTGGACAGCGATGAAGTTGGAGGTGAGGCGGTGCAGCCACAGCAAAAAGTAATGGAAGGCACGCGGGGTACTGAGGTGATCCCTGCAGCTCCGTGCTAAAGAAGCTCCCCCGCTTGCTGCGAACCTTTCCCCTCACCACTGTGACCTCGCCGCTGACCGAAACTTGCGACACCACACGACTGCCTAGCCACATCATCGCCGTTGCAGCCTCACCCTTGCCTCCATAAGCCGCTCCTCGCCCGGACGGCATCTCTTGACCTCCAACTTCAATCCCAACTACCAACCTACTGTTCGCGGAGCTCGCCCGTCCGCCCACCATGGCTACCCAGTACGAAAGTACGCAAAACACACTCTCTCTTCTCGATACGAATACTAACCGGCACAGTCGAGCATAACATCAAGCCCGGACCCTCCACCGAGTCCGGGACCCGCCGCGTCGACATGTCCTCCTTCACCTCCTTCCTCGCCAACCTCACGACCGACGCCGCGCCCTCGTCCCCCCAAGAACACCGCCACACGAACCCCCACGCGACGCCCACCCCCGTCGACGCCGCCGCCCTCTACCACCTCCTGCAGCAGCAGTTCCAGACCCTCTTCTCCACGGCCCCCAACGACGACAACGCCCGCTTCCTCTCCTCCCTCGTCGACGCCCTCGAGTCCGACATCGCGAGCCCCCCCTCCGAGATCCCCGGCGTCTCCCAGGAGTACCTCGACTCCCTCGACCGCGTCAGCAAGAAGTCCATCGGCAAGGACGAGGCCTGTCCCATCTGCGCCGAGAAGTTCCTCGACGACCAGTACCCCCTCGTCGTCCAGCTGCCGTGCCACAGCAGCCACCGCTTCGACCTCGAGTGCGTGAGCCCCTGGCTCCGCAGCAAGGGCAGCTGTCCGATGTGCCGGAAGGACTTGACCAAGAAGAAGGAGCAGATCGTGATCGAGGACGACGAGGAGAACGACGATCCGGATGGGCTGTATGCGTAGAGGGGCGTGACCCGGGTTCTGTGTAGAAGCTGCGTGTGCGGGCGGTGTCGGAGTTGGCTGGAGTTTGGGGCTGCATTGATATCCTTAAGTCAATTGACTTTCACGGCAGGGATGAAGCAAAAAGAAGCTATTAGAGATGCTCAATTACGATGCAATTGTGTCGAGACAAAACGCCGTCTCCGTCCTAATGCTGTTTGTTTACTGCACATCCCTATGCCATGCCATGCCATGCCATGCCATGCCATGCCTTCCTGTCCATGTCCTATGTCCTATGTCCCTGTCATGCCCACGATGCCCTCAAAGACTGCCGGCCTTGGGCGCGCTCCCCCCCTTGCTCTTCCCGCCCTTCTTAACCTCCTTGCCCGCGCCCTTCTTGTCCGGGTTGGTGCCCTGCGGCTTCGACTGTTTCTGGTTCGCGCCCGACGACTCGAGCTCCTCCCCGCCTGCTGCGCGCTCCTCCTCGGGACGGGTCCTGGAGGGGTCGAACGCCTGCGAGTCCTTGGCGGCGTCCTGGTCGCGGCCCGACTTGGTGGCCTCCGTGCTGCCGGGGTTCAGCGAGTTGCGGTCTTGGCTGTCCTTGTAGGGGAAGCGTGTGGTGGCCGTGTAGGCAAAGGTGCGGGTCGTGGTCGGAGCTCTCAGCGAGGTCGCGGCTCGGCGGTTGATGGTTCGCAGTGCCTGGAATGCCATGTTGACGTGTGCTTCGGCTTTGGGGTGGTGCTTTGTTTTGTTTGTAAAATAAACAGAGGTCGATCAATGGTGAATTGGGTCTTCTGCGTGGTTTGTGTAGGAGAATTGGTGAGGTTGTCGCGGTTGGAGCTGCGTCGAAGTGCTTTACCAATCTGTGACGTCATTGCTACGTCCGGTAAACGATTTGCGGCGCACCCAGCTTGTCATCATTCTGACTGACACATTGCACTGGAGCTTAGCCGAGCCGGGCTTTTCCTACCTTGATAGCCTGTTGAAGAACTTTCAATTGTGTTTCATCACATTGTGCAGCAAACATCGTGATGTAGAACTCTCTGCAACTGCTGCTATCAGCTCCAACCCGGCCAACCTGCCACTACTCTGGAAAGCTATTTCCGATGGGAACAACACTGATCCAGAAACTCTTCAACCATGGCGTCTCCTTTGCCCGCGGCCGATTGGCTCGCGGCGAAACCTCCGCTCATACTGCATCCGGCGTCAATCGACCGCAACAAGCAGAGACATGGCCACAGTTGCTAGACAGTCCCGATCCAGTCGGCCGTACCGCACCGCAGAAGAATGATTGGCGTTCTGCCATGCGAAAGGAGACTGCTGAAAATCATGCCTCCTTGGGATTCTCACGAGACATGCCATACTTCACCGTCATACCAACCCTATAGGGATTTCAAATATCTTTGAAGCTTTTGCCCAATACCTTTGATCAGCATGAACGGTCGAAACAACACTGCCCCGCGAGCTCCCTTGTCAAGAAGGCTCAGTCGAGCTATGAGACTGCCACGCCGTGGGCGATGCTATTGGATCTCGTCAGTATTATCCGGGGTTGACAGCCACGAACGGTCTCGGCCGAAGCAACCACTGGCTAGCCGGTCTCGGTTCGTGATCCCCTCGGGTGGCGCGGAATGGCTTCATCCCCATATCCGACGAGGACTGCTATGCTGTAATAGGCGGTAATGCCCCCAGCAAGCACTGCAAGGCAATTGCCCAAACCGTTCCTGCCTTTGAGGCCTTGTTCGATGGTGCGGCAGGTTGAGCCACAGTCGTTTGCGCCTCCGGGAACGATCTCGACGTGCCTGGAATGAGACAATCCCTATGCTGGTCTTCGTTGCGTGTTCAACTCTGAGAACTGATCGCGTGCGCGTCCTGCACCAAGAAACAGGAGGCGGCACAGCGCCGGTAATGGCGTCCCGAACTTTCGAGAGACGGTCACTCCCAACCCTGCCAATAAATCAATCGATTTGGAATGATACTGCGTACACGCATTGCTGCGGCACAGGCCGTAAGTGACGACGGCTGGCCAGTGCGGTCATCTGGTTGAAAACGCGCCTCTGCAATGCTATTGCAGAAGGGATTCCCGCAGCATGCAGCCTTATTCTCAGACTTGAAGAACGTTGCAGCGCCCTGTCATTTCCCAGGGCACTTGCGTGTGTACCGGTGGGTTGAATCGCAATACCGACACAGTGATACGCAGAGAATTTGAAAATAAGCAATGGGAGATGCCACTGGAATGCCAGCCAGGGATCAGCATAGCGCCTCAACGCCTCTGCACGAGAAAGGGAGCTGGATGGCCATCACTATCGACATCACGGCGGTACTCTTGGCAGGCGTTGCTCACTGCTGCTTCCCCAGTTGCAAACGGTTCATTTGCCCGTTCACTGCTTCGTCCACGTGGAAGCAGACGATGCACGATTGACACGAGCTTCATCGTTTTGATACGGCTTCATATGCCGTCAACTACGCGACAGTCAGCAACGCCGTTTCAAATGCGGAAGGTAACCAAGCTTAAATAGATTACCTAACGGGGGAGGTTGAAATGAGGCTCCTGTTGGACGCGTCCAGACGTCAAGTCAAGTTGGATACGAGCCGAAGAACGCGCGGGGCCAATAGGTATATGAACCCCTGAATATGGGGCCTGCCAAACTAGGCGAGAGGACCGACTGTCGCGGCAGTCGTGTTTTGGGTTTGAATGCGATCTGCGGGATCAGCGACGTAAGCCAGAGATGCCTGGAGACGCAGCCGAGACGGTTATTACCGGCGGGGAGAAGTCGGGTGAGTCGCGTGTCGCGTGAGGCAATCGCAGCGTGTTGTCAGCTGTCAAATGTTGAAAAGGGGCAACGAGGGATCGTGTGTGTTGGACGGAGATGACCGGCGTTGAATGAGAACAGGTGCGCTCCTGAGCTCCTCCGTCCGGAGCATCTGAAACGAACCTGCAGATTTGGGATGATCTCGTTGGGGTAACAATGGACGCTGCCAGCCTGCGATATGCTGTTGGCCGTCTGCTGGTGGGATGGACGATTGGACCTGGAAATTACGTTATCCCACGGGGTCCATGGAGTTCGAATCATCGACGAGTCGCTATTTTGGGCGCAGCCGAAGGGAGAAAAGGTGGCTTCTATTGCTTATTGTAAACGTCTCAACCTGTGCCTGGTTTGACATGCGTGACGGGGCGTGGCGTCGAGCGGACGACTGTCTTTTTTTGTTTCTTTCCCCGACCGCGGTTTCCACAGCTGCAGCGTCTCGAGTTGGCTGACGTTCGTGCAGGGTCCCGCGTGGCACGGTGGAGGGCGGACGGGAAAGAGACGAGTCGCTAATCTGGGACGGCATGAATCTAAGGGGCAGAATCTTTCCAGAAGGCCGCTCATGTTGGCGTTCCACATGGTTTCCGTGTCTTGGATTGGTCCAGCCCTGCGCTGCGTCGGTTGGCGGGATGGCCGTCCAGCCATCATCACGGTGTTGATAGTCGCAAGATGGCTGTAGCGCCAGGGATTCCAGAGCCCCAGAAACCCTCTCTTCAGCTGGAGGTCGTCCTCAAACGCTCCCGATGGGCGACATGAAGGAATCAACTGGGGCCTCAGAGGTTCAACCTGGAAGGTCGTGGGCCCAGCCCGCCAGACGCGCCGACGAAGACATGCCCGCCTGCGTAGGTCGACCCACGAGTGGGAGCGGTGCGGACCTCTCCCCCGAAGCGGAAAAGACGTCGGAGATGGGCGGAGAGAGAGCAAAGCGATCTTGCAGTGTCGTCGATACAGTTTGAACGGGAAAGTTCTGGTGCGAGAATCCAATGATCAGATTTAGAATTGACGGTATTCCTTTTGACGCAGCTCGCAAGACAAGTGCGGCAAAACGGCAGAAGCAACGTGAGGTGCAGCATGGCATCGGCCGCACGTGGTTGGCAAGGATGCGAGTTCGACCTGCTGCCACCTCTGCCGCCGGCTTGTTCTATTCCTGCTTCCGGCCACACCAACGCACGCCGCCCGTTTGCAGGGTGAATGCTGTTGAAAAGCGCTGTGATGGTGATTCTGGCGTGCAGAGAGACCAAACGCCGCTAGACCTCTGCTGGGCTTCCATGTCTCCAAGGTTCGCCAGTTGCAGATGCGTTCGTGAATCCGCAGTGGGACGCGGCGGTAGCATGGTGCCAAGGCCGTGATACTGGAATCGAGTACGGGGATCCGAGACAACTTCCGGGTCCTGCTCGAGGGCCACCCAACAAAGACTTGTGCTGAATCATTCTGTCCCATGCGGACATAACGGAAGCCATGACGACAGGCTGCTTTGTTGTTGAATAGCGTCGAGATCCATTGTGGGAGAGACGACGTCGTGTGGAATTGAGCGTCGGGTGAGGACTCGGCCGGAGACTAGAAAGAGGTCGGTTCTAGAGCTGGCATTCGACGGCGGCGGTTGACCTCGTGGCCAGGGTGTTTTTGACCTCTTCAAGTGGCATAATAGGTTGTATGTGAACGCATTTTGCCCTCTTATCGTTGACCAACTATGCACCGACGGGAAGATTTAGCTTGTTCCGTTAGGCTAGTCTGCTCGACTTTGTCGTTCTGGGAAACATTGCCCCCAATCTGCTTGTTGCCAAAGCGTTCGGCAGTGGTCAGTCTGGACGTGGTCGGATGCTGTTGACTAGAAAGTAGCTGGGCTATGTCGTAGTTGTGCTTGACAAGTCGGCAACTCGGTGGTCAGAGTCTAGTTGAAGCAGCTTCAATTCAATGTCCGTGTTGACTTCCATTGACCGTGCAACAGAAATTCAAAAGTAGACGGGATGCCATTGGTCGGTTCGTATCAGAATGACTTGTCTGAAAATGAGTAGTGGTAAGTTGCCGAGCCTCAGGCAGTCGGCAAGCACGTCTGAAGAAGTTCTTGCCCTGGTTTGTGGTTGCAAGCAATTGCGGCAGCAGCAACTGAGGTGCGCAACTGCCCACAACTGCTCTCAACCGTCCGGGGCGCACGTCCCTCAGCCCACGATAAATGAGGGGTACATGAAGATACTTTCTTCTCGTAGCGTTCCTCTGGCCGGTGTTTCCCCCGGACAAACCTTCCTTGTCTGCCTCTGGGAGCATCACATCCCTAACCTTCACTGATTTTGCTGCCCGGTGAGACCGACTGCAACCGCCTTCCGACCCCAATCTGAGGATTTACGAGCTGTGCATGTACCTCAACGGTATCGCCCCGCGTGCTTTTGCTCGGACTCTCCAACATCCACACCTCTCACTTGGCATCGTTGGTTTTTCTCTCTTTATTTCTTTTTACGATTTGCGACATGCGTGCTGACCAGGCGCCAGGCCTGGGCTGAGAACGCCTGCAGCCTTGAGACCCTTGAACTCGAATCATGGTCAGGGTTTGGATGTTTGTGACACAATCATATCGATTGGGGAAGAGAACCGAAGGAACCGAAGCCAGCTGGGACGACGACAAACGGTCTTATGTCCCCGCCCTGCACCCGCAACACGACCTAGACCTGTGGCTTGATGAATGGCATTTTGACAAGCACCTCCGGAAATTCGAGATGCCCAAATGGATGCCACGAGACGTTTTCGCCCTTGCTCCGTTCTGGAAAGCTCTTCATCAGGCTACTCGGTATCTAGGTAGGCACGGTCTGCGGCGTCCACGCTACCGAGTTATCACTTGGCCAGGTACGAAGGCAATAACACTTCCAACGTGGTTCGTCAAAAACCCTTGACGTCCATGGCCTCGTCATCTTCTCCGGACAGACCTTGCCATGAGGGACAAGGTGCCTGGCATCGACTCGACGACGCCTTGCCTTCTTTGGCAGACTTCTCGACCAAGTCATCTGAAACCTGACGCCTCTTTGTCTTTACACGCTGCAGCCGCTATGCCTCTCATGCTCGAGCTGGAGCTTTCCGGGAGTCTGTCTCTCTCTGTCTCTCTGTCTCTGTCTCTGAGCATCGTCCGGTGTCTGATCTTCTCCGCCCCTGCTGCATCACTCATCGATGTTTTCTTCTGCATTACTCCCAGACCGAAGTTCTGCCCGCATATTCGTAGCGGTAGTCTGGGATGAGGCTAATCTTCTTCTGCAGATGCAAAAGAAAAAAGAAAGCAAAAGACAGTCTCGACAGGGTATCGTCGGTCGGTCTGCAGGCCAGGGATGGCAGGCCGGGTTCAAGTTGCTTTGTTAATTACTAGCATCATCCATCATCCAGCAAGCTCCTCGCTATTGGCGACCCTTTGATCCTGGCCTCGTTGCACAAGCCTGTCGGTTCCCACCTTCGCTCCCACTCCCACTTCCATTTGGATGGCCCCCTGCCACACCACACGCAAGCAACCCGCCGCCCACATTACCACCACCACCACGACAGCAGACAACGTGGGAGACGGCACACGGTACCTGACCACACGGCATCTTACCGCTTGTTGCGTTGCCTACGAGCACGCTGCATCTCTCAAAGTCAAAAAAGCTGCCCGCCGTCCTCTGTAGTGTACGCAGTACTGAGTCTCCGTACGGATACTGCCTCAGTAACAAGCACGCGCTAGGCCCCGGCCTAACCTTAGCTGACCTACATTACCGACCGATCCTGCGTCCATCCCGACAAACCACCATGTACAGAGTAGCAACAGAGAGATGTAGCCTCGGCGCCGTCAGAGTAACCCAAGAGCACGGCCGAGATATCTTTGCCTGGCAACGCAGACCGACAGTTTTCACGGACGGAAGACAACGACAATGCTGCCGACGCCAACAGACTATCGACTACGCCAAACAGATTTCAGTTGTCGTCGTCGTCGTACGTAGAGCCTTAGTCAGTTCTCGACACTAACCCTTGGTGCGCTAGAAGGGGCACGGAAGTGTTGGGGACGCCGTAGTGTAGCCGCTTGTCTCGCCCACGAGCTTGACAGGCAACCTAGTACCTTATCGCTGCCGCTGCATCCCTCAATGGGGATCCTTCCGGCGCGGCCTTTGGTAGAGTTCTTGTGATGCATACTCAAGTACTCTCCAGGCAGGGCGTCCGTCTGTACATGCATCCGACAACGAGTCTTCGTACTCACTCGCCTTAGCCTACCTGTCCTGCATGTTTGCTCCCTTCTAATCTGCTTGTTTGTTGCGCGGCGTGGTCTGGGCTGGCCATTGGACGTTACTTTTCATCCCCCTGGGGGCCGGCCTGGGAGACAGGACGGAGAAGAAAAAGAGAGGCGAACATTTGCATCTCGCCGGTCTCCTTTTTCCCTCTGTTCTGTCTTTCCTGTCCAGCCAGCCCTGGTCTCCGAAACAGGGAAAAGACAAAAAGTAGCACATCCCTTCTTCTTTCCGTTACTCTCGTCCTCCTCCCGCCTCCGCTCTGTCCTGAGTCTGTTCTGTTCTGCCCTCTCCTCGTCCTTCCTCTCCGCCCTGTCCTGTCCTGTCCTGTCCCGACCCTGTACCGGACCTAGGTATCCCTATCCCATCTCATCCCAATCACCGGCCATTGAACGGCCCCCCTCCTCGCTGGCTGGCCCTTTCTCCTCCTCGTCTGCTCAGGTCTCGTCCTCTCAGGGAGTCGCAGCGGTCTCCCCCCTCCACCGCAGTACCACCAAGTCCCCGATTTTGAGACCGTCATTCGAAGCAACTGGCCCTCCATCCCCCTGTCACCCCGTGCCAGCTGACTGTGACGGACTCCACTCCTATCTATCTGCCTCCATCTGCTCGCTCTCTCTCACTTGCTGCTGCCCTGGGCTCTCTGGCTCTGTCTCTCTTTCTCGCTCCGCTCCAATTCATTGCCTTCCATTTACTTTCGCTCTCATTTTGCCCCCGATTCCAATTCTGCGGCACCTTCATCCCAAGAAACACAACCACCCCGTTTGGATCATGGTGCGCGACAGTCAACACTGCTTTCCCTAGATCCAACCAGTGTGCAGACGTTAAGGCCATTGAAGACGACTGCACGTCGCAATGGGCAACAGCCAGGGCAAGCCCATCGACTTGGATGGCGAAGGTATGTCTTGCAGTGCTCCCCGACTATCGCTGAATGGCACACCTGCAACAGCCTGTTGCTGCTGCTGCTGCTGCTTTTGCCGCCGCCTCCCCACCACCAATCCATCACCGCCGCCAAGCTAATCAACTCCCTTCGTCGATGCAGTCAACCTCAACCACTTCCGTCTGCTGCGAGTAGTCGGCCGAGGCGCCTTCGGTAAGGTGCGAATCGTCGAGCGAAAAGACACGAACCTATCCTTCGCCTTGAAGTACATCCGGAAAGATGAAGGTACACACACACACACACACACACACACACCGCCTCGTTGCACTGCATCGTCACTCACCCCCGACGGCACGCCGTGCACATCCCATTCGACTACCAAGATGCTGACAATACTCCCATCAAACAGTCGTACGATCCGAGAGTGTGCGGAATATCATTCGAGAGCGCCGGATGCTCGAGCACGTGAACCACCCCTTCATTTGCAACTTGAGATACAGTTTCCAAGACATCGAATACATGTGGGACCGCCCTGCCATTGATGCCCGATGATGCATCCCGCTGACGTCCCTTCAGGTACTTGGTCGTCGATTTGATGAGTGGCGGTGACCTTCGATTCCACATTTCGAGGAAAACCTTCACCGAAGACGCAGTACGATTCTGGATTGCCGAGCTGGGCTGTGCACTTCGGTACATTCACAGCCAAAACATTATCCACCGCGATGTCAAACCCGACAACGTCCTGCTTGATGCCGATGGCCACGTGCATTTGACCGATTTCGTAAGTCGATTGAATGGGTTCTCGAGATGGCGGAGCTAACAGAACAAGAACGTCGCCTCCGACATAGTCCCGGGCAAGGTTTTGTCTAGCAAATCCGGCACACTCGCATACCTCGCTCCTGAAGTTTACGCTGGCAAGGGCTACGATGTCCGTGCAGATTGGTGGTCTCTGGGTGTCCTCTTTTACGAGTGCATCTACAATAAGGTGGGTCTCCAACGCGGAATCACCAGATCAGCCTGACTGACATGACAATCCACGCAGCGACCGTTCGACGGCAACTCAGAAAGCACCCTGAGCCAACAGATCCAGCTCGCCAACCCCAAGTATCCCGTCACCCAGCCGGCCGTGTCCCTCCCCTGTTTATACGCAATTCGAGACGCACTGAACCCGAACCGCGATACACGAATGGGTGCGACATGGGAGAGCTTCACTAAGCACGAGTTCTTCATGATGATCGACTTCGAGGCGTTGGAGCGGAAGGAAATCGAACCGGTCTTCGTCCCTGCGGCTGACAAGACCAACTTTGACGCCACGTACGACTTGGAGGAGCTTCTGTTGGAGGAGGCTCCCCTCGAGGCGAGAGCCAGACGTCAAAAGCCCCGCGAACGGTTAAAGGAGGACGCTTCGGAGAAGGAGATCAGGGAAGACGAGCTCTACCGCATGATCGAGAACGAGTTCCGGCCGTTCGATTACACTCTGGCCGCGTACAAGAAGTATGGTCATGAGCCTCACTCTGTGTGCGACGAGACTAACCATTACAGAATCACCGGCCAAGGCGAGGAAGGCTTCCTCAATGGCGACCAAGTACTACACAACGGCCCCCAGGCCTTGACCACAGACGAAGCGACGCCCGCCGCCATGGCTACCAACGGTGGTGCTCCCAGGAATGCCGCACCCCCCGGTCCGTTACGGAAGAGTTCGAGCCTGGAGAGACGACCGGGCAGCAGTCACAGCTCTATGCCCCGACGGCCAACAGTGAAGCCGCCTCCGATACCCCATTACCCCGGCGAGTACCACAACCAGAGAGCGCCGCCGCCGAATGCAGCCGGCAAGCGAGTCACCAGTCCCACCGGCGGCATGCAAGTCACCCTGGACGGAGGAGGCAGCTGGTCAGAACTGGCCCGACAAGATGCCACGCTTCCCACAGATGCCAACGCCATCAATGACGGCAAGTCGGAGAGCTCGAGCGGCGTTTTCAGTTTCTTCAGGGGCAAGAAGGGAAGAGGACACAGCCCCAAACCAAAGGAAAGGGGAGTGCTGGGCAAAGAGGGAGCCAGACAGGTCATTGGCTAGAGGACGATGTGGGATCGGCTGAAGAGACGAACAGACGCGCAGAAGAGGACGTATCAATACCCGAGGAATTCAGCAAAGCTCGAAAGGGAACACGGATCCCGCTCTCACGACCCGGCGGAGTGAAGGATGGGAGGACACGGCCAGATCGTGGCGTCCCGAGGACTGCTGCCAGAGCTTGAGACCGTTACTCGGGGATGCAGTGCTGAGGCTACAGTATTGCACGCTGCGACGTCTGGAAGGCAGAGGACACACACTACTAGACCGGCCCGGGCTGCATGTCACATTGGCGTGCCTCATCGGCGGATGCCAGCTAGAAGGAGGCCAGGCGGCCTCTGCTGCGTACGATGACCGGAGATGACTGCATGGCCGGCCGGCCGGGGACCGGAGCTTGGGCTGTTATCTCGACTCACCTCATCGCGGGGATCCAGGAGGATACACCGAGGGGCAACCAATTCATGATGCATCAAAGACGGTATGGAGCGTGGACTAGCGGCGAGAAATAGGACCATCAAGAATATACCCTTTGTAATAACAGGCTACTTGTACATGCACACACGCCTTCTGCGGTACTTCTCCAAGAGCCCCTCCAGCCGCGTAGTCCCAAGGTTGTGACCCCAAACTGATGGATTACTCTAAATGTGCGTGCGTCGGTCGTTGACTTTGCTCGCCTCAACGGGGATTGGATGACGTTGGACGATTCGAGCAAGTCGGCCCCCGGTTCCGGGACTCGCCATTGGCCGACCGCCCGCCGCAACCGGTAAGTGGTCTCGACAAAAAGCTCGGGGGTGGCACCGCAGATCCTCTCGCCTCCCACCCACTTTCCATCCAACTCAAGCAGAAGCAACCACCACCACCACCACACCCGAGCAGTTGGAGCTGTCAAATGCCGACTCGATGCCGCCTTGGCACAGGCAGGTCCGGAGGGGAGGCATGCGGAGGCATGGGAGGACGGAAGAGGGGAGGGGCGTAGTAACGAGACCGAGATGACCAGGATTTCCGATGTGCAGTAGCTGTAAGCATACAGGGCATGGTCGAAGAGTCTCGTGATTCTGGGTTTCTTTCTTGTATTTCGTGTGCATGGGATTCGTTTCTGCCGCGTCGTTGACTGGGGTAGGTAGCTAGCTGGGAAGCTGGGGGAGGAGATGACGGTAAGGTAGCTTAGCAGTAGCTTGTGTCCATCCGTACTCCGTATCGCCCCCCCGACCCTCCGCGAGTGAGGGGTTTCCTCCGGGTTTGGGTTTAGGCAGGCTCATAGATAACACACACACACACACACACACACACAAACAAAAAAAGATGATCCCTCCGTCTGCCTGCCTGCCCCCAGAGCTTGGCCGCGCAGTGTAGACACACATCACACACCGCTCATCGACAACCCATCCCTGGCGATATGGACAGGTGCCGTGCTTATCTTGGGGGGGATCATTCATTCCACGTGCCGTTTATTCCTGTTCTTCCTACCTTACTCCTCGTTTTAAAATCCCCCCTGTGCCAAAAAGCTACACAGCACACGTACGGTGTAGTGTAATGGGTGGTTGGGTTCCCACGGTGCGGAGAGAGGCCCTATCGCCCTTCCGCCTTGTAGACACATGGCACACGTTGTTGACGGCCATCCGTGCTCCTCCTCGTTCCATTACCTCCAGACGATCATGGGGTTAGGTAGGTAGGTAGAAAAGAGAGATGCCAGCCGGGTCGTCATCCGCGCGGCGCAGAAAACCACGAATCGTTCATCCCGCTCGGCCTCGGCTGCTGCACCCACCCCGTTCGAAAGGAGAGAAACCCGCGCGACGTCGTCAAGGCCTCTCGTCCGTCCGTCCGCCCGCGCCCGCGCCCGCCCGCTCTTCTGCCCGCACCCGCGAGACGATGGGGTGGAGGGAGCTGCGATTCGGATGCGGGAATGCGGGATGGCGGGTGCGGGCGGATGCGGGGTGTGGGTTGGGCAACAACACCCACTGGAACAGCTTCCAGGGAGACCGACCGACCATTTCAGGACATGGCATTTCTGTCTTTGCGACTCAGGTTCGGGCTGGCGGCGTGCGCCAAGACCGCCATCTCGATCTGATGTTTATACGACGGACGCATGGGATTCTCGGGGGGGCTAGCCCACCGGCCAGGGCTGAAGGCTGGGTGGGCGGGCGCCCGTCCGTATCACGCGTGTATAAGACGTGGTTGTGATCCGATCCGTTGTTCAGTGACATCCCGCGGGAGCGAGTCGGACGGGCTGCCCCGTCGGGGTTTGAAAAAAAGGTCGAAACGACCGGCCCCGAGAGGTGTGAGGCTCCTCCGGTGAATGAAAGCATGACCAGCGTCCGCGGGATTCGAACAGGGACGGTGTAAGTCCAATGTGGAGATTCTCATTCGTTCGTCGTCGGAACACCCTAACTATCTGATACTGATGGCATCAAAATTACAGCTAAAAAGAAAAAAGGACAAATCCCCGTCGAGTAAAAACAAAACAACCGTTATGGTTGCCGCCAAGTCATCATCGTAGCCTCCTAAAACCATTCTCAATCGCTCGGAGGGAGTCTCCCGCCACGGCCAGGCCAGTGCCTTACTCGTGGGCCGATCCGGATCTCCTGCTCCGTATCTAGATTTCCGATATGTGATGAATAACCATTCGCCTTGCCATGGGTCGAAACCTTGCGTTCGCCCTGTTTTTGGTCCGTGTTAAAACGCCTGCCGTCCCCAGAAAACCTGACCTGTTCCTGAAATGCTTCCAAACCTGACCGCCCGACCCGATGCCGCGGGTACGTGTGCAAATGTACATGGAGACGTCGCAATCGATCAGGCCTTGGTCTTGCCCTGGAAGCAGGCCGCCGCGTCCTTGCCCATCCACTTGTTGACGACAGACTGGAAGTCCGTCTCAGACACGACCGGCCCCTGACCCGAGCACTTGGCCTTCTTCTGCAGCTCGGAGCAGAGGCCGTCGAGGTCGAACTCGCCGCTCTGCACGCTGGGGCAGTCTTGCAGCTTCTCCCTGTTGAGGTGTGAGTAACTTGAAGCAGGCTGCTCTTCGGGGTCAACGTACCATATCTTATTGCAGTTGTAGTTCTCGGGCTTGACGGCCTCCTTAACCACGTCGTCATCGGCGTTCTTGGCGGCATCGATCTGGTCGATGAGGTTCTTCTTGGGCTGGGCGGGGCTGGGCGCCGCCATGTTGTATGGTGTAATGAAGTCGGCGTCGAGGGCTTCGTTGAAGAAGCTTTCGTCAAAGTTGCCTCCCAGGATGTTCTCCTGAGGCTCTCTGTAGTTGCCAAAGAGTTGAGGGTCAAACTGTCCGCCGTTCTGCTGAGCGAACCAGTCGATACTGTTGGTGTCGATGCCGGCGAATAATGATTGCTGGCCGGTGTGCTCCTCGCCGATGGTGGTCATCGTGTCGACGGGCTTGAAGCCCATGGGCGACTGAGTGAACGGTTCAGGAGACGTGCCGCAAGACGAACTTGGGCCGGCGTTTGACTGAGACGAGGCCGATGGCGAGCTGGTCGATGTGCCGTTGTGCATGCTGTACGGGCCAGAGTCAACGCTGGCCCGGGACGTGCCGGTGCCGTTGGAAGCGCTCATGGACGGGCTGAAGAGAGAGGTGAAGGTGGCCAAGTCGTCCTTGGTGCTGAAGTCCAGCCCGTTGATGATGTGGGGGCTGTTGTTGTCCTTGGTGTTGAGAGGGCTCACGGGGTTGCTCCCATTTGTCTGGGGCGACGCCGAGGATCCTGCTCGTTGTACGGGCTTGGGCATGGTCGACCCAGGGAGGACGCCAAACTTGGGGAACTCAAATTGGAAGTTGACATCACTCAGGTTGCCAATTGCGGATGCGCCGAAGCCCATGGGCGACTTGCCGTGGGAGACGGAGCGCGTGCTCATGGCGGCGAGCTTGGTCTTGTACTCGTTGAGCTCGCCCGTCATCTTCTCGATCTGGGCCTTCAGGATGCTGTTCTCGCTGCTCGCGTCCTTGGACGCCTTCTCCAGTTCCTCCACCTTGGTCTCAAGATCCTTCAAGTGCTTCTCCTTACGCTCACGGAACGCCCGTTGAGCGGCGCGATTCTGGGCCTTGCGCTTCTTCATGGCATTAGAACATGTTCACACATCAGGGGGTGGCGACACATACTGAGCTCGGCTCGGAGGTAAGGGGCTTGCGCCCCGGCTTCTTCGGGACCTTCTCCGCGCCCTCGCGTCTCTTGGGGTCGTTGCCAGGCGAGCCCTCGTCGTCCTCATCGTCGGGATGGGGCCTCTTGTCGGAGGTGTCGTTTTCGGTGGAATCTGACTTGGTGGACTTGGTAGACTTGGCGGAACTCGGGATGTCTCCAATCATCTTGCCCTGGTCGTTGGTGAAGTCAAAGTCGAAGCTGGAGTCGCCAAAGTCATAGTCGTAGTTGTCGAGGTAGGGGCTCTCCTGGAAGCCGTTGGCCGGGGCCTGGGCCGGCGAGGTCTGGAAGGAAGAGGGCGACATCGAGGTCGCCTTAGTGCCGGGGGACTGGTTCGCGGCCAGCTGCTGCTTGTTCGAGTTGAGGGCGGCGAAGAGCAGACTCTGCTGCTGCGGGGTCAGGATGAAGTTGGTTGGGTAACCACTGTTCGTTGCAGAAGCCATTGCTAGAAGGATGCGAGGGAGCGAAGTGGTAAAGGTAAAGTGAAGTCAATTCGGTGCGAGAGGGCTATGAAGTGAGGTGGACTCGGGAGGCCGATTGCGGCTCGAATGCCGGGACGCCGTGAGATTCGAGACAGCCGGTTCGAACGGTGATATCGCCGGGATGGAAGTGTTGTTCGATAAAAGCACACAACTCTCGTGGTCCTTCTCCGCAACACAAAACACCAGACTCGCCGTCGAGATGGGTAGGAGGCAAAGTGTATGGAGTTTAGGCGTAGGCTGGGGATGTGACGAAATGGTACCAAGCTGGGGTCCAGTTGGAGGGACGGTGCAGGTGCAGAGTTGGTGCCGTTCCGCTTAAGTTGCTGCCTGAGTCACACGGCGGTCGCCAGGCCGCCAACTTTTTTCAGTGTTGATTCTGCGGGATCCTGATCCAGATCCAAAGATTCCACGGGATTCGGAAGGATACGTGCTGCGAAGGGTGTGCGTGATGCGTGTGCGGTAAGGTGAAAAAAAGGTTGGTGGTGTTGGCCGCAGTGTAGTGCGTCTGAGGAGTGAAGTGGAGAGAATCGAACTGAATGGACGGCCGCAGACGGTGAGGAGGGGAAGAATTTCAGCGCCCTTTCAGCGTCAATTTGTCAGCCGTCATATGAGGCGTGGGTGCCACTTGGAGGACGCCAATCGAGGAAAGGCCAGGGCCCAAAATGGAGGGGGTCGGCAAGGACTCAGGGAGTCGGGGTCCCGGACGGAGGGTGCTCCATTGGAGCTTATCCATTGGCTCGTACGCTGTATCGAGGGTCCGCTATCGCCGATAAGCACAAGGGCGGGAACCATCGTTTTCGCATCATTCCGTCGTCGACCCTCCAATTCTTCAATCTCGCCCCTCTTCCGCCCCAGAAATGTACTAAAAGTCCCAAAAGACGGTACACCACTGCTTTGATTATTATGGCAATATGACTTTGGTCAGATTGCCCGCACCATCAAAACAAGCGCAGCCCAGAAGGGATCGAAGGGAACCATATCCCGCTCCAAGGCACCAGGCTCGCTCCCCCTGTAACGGTAGCTTCCCTCAAAAAGGCACATTGTCGATTTGCCACGCATCCTTCTTGCTGCCTTCTGGTTGGCGATGGAAGGGGACCTCGCTTCGTCGGCATAAGCAGCACCAAGACAGACAGGGCAGGCGGGTGGGTGGAGGCTCCGGCGGACGAATATCATGGAGAGACTGTCCGCGTCTTCGGCCCTCTGCCTCTCGTCCATCGATTTCCGTCTCAACCACATCGGATCATCGCGACTTCGCAATCTCACAGCCCAGGGCTCCCCAGGCCACAGCCTGACATCTCAACGCGATATGACGGCCAGACGACACCGGCATTAGCTGGCCATGGCCAGTCTGTCGCATGACGTGGGTATGGCCCTCATTGCGTAACAATGCGAGTGGCGGGTCATCGGCCAAGATCCAGAGACGAGTTCCGCACAGCGCTGCGCCTGCTGGTGCTGCAACTTCTGGCTGTCCAGCGTCCTCTTCTGGCTAGCCAGCCTGCCAATTCTTCAAACGGCGCGCCCGGCCTGTTGGTTATGAGTCAGGGTCATCCTCCCACGGCTGCACCACCATGCTCAAAGCCGCTTCACCGACCCTAAAGACCGGATTTATGCCCATATCCGTGCGGAAGTAGCAACGCCGGCGAAGCTGCAGCCCCGATACCTTGGCCAGATAGTCTTCTATCCCTTCCTTGGCCCGACCGAACCGCGAGCCCTCACACCGCATGGCACGACAAGCAACCCATGCGCAGGCTTACGCTCCAGTTGCGTAGGAGACTGGCGTGACTGGCCGAAACTCTAATCATTTGTGGCCGTGGGACCGTCTTGGCCCTGATCAACTGTTCACGAAGAAATTTAAGAAACGGGCGCTGGCACTCGTTGAAAAGGGGGCTGCATCTCGCTGATCGTGTTCCTGCCACAACCGCGAGATCTGCTCCGGGAATCAGGGGACGACGTTGGAAGCTGTCAACATCCGGATGACAAATGACATGCTGATGACTCTGTTTCAATGGTTGCTTCCACAATACCATACAGGGATCCGAGGAGACGAGGAAACAGACGCAGTTCGCGGCACGGGCTCCGACCAGACGAATGAGACGGCTACTGCCTCTGTACTCCGCGCCCTTCGTGCCTGTTATGCTGTAGCGGGATTCTTAGTAGCTGCTGGTCAGGGACCAGAAAACGATCGACCTGCTTACACTCTTGCTTGCATAAATCGCCACGCCCGAGAAGGCGTCTAGACCCGAGCTGCCCCATTCGAAAAGCTTACACCGTAAGCCTAACTTGTGGCCTCGTGTGACAAAAGGCCAGCTTAGTAATTCAAGAAGAAACGAATTTGAAATGGCGTCGGAACTTTGGGGGTCAGAGGCTCGCTTTCAGTCAAGTGTGTGCTGGATATCAGGACTCTCTATTCTACCTTCTAACACCAACTACGTAGTGGATGAAATGTTCAGTTTCTACCGAGTAAAAGCATTCCTTAAGCGTAAGGATCACTTGAGTTGCCTCAGCTGCACGCAAAGCTGTAGCGCAACGGTATATGGGAATTGCGATCACTAAACAGTAACACCACCATCACGGCCTCGGCCATTGAATTAGGCGCATGTGAGCCTTTTGAGCCGTCGCAGTAACAGCCGTTGCCACTCGGGATGACACCATCCTGTCCCGCTCGCTGCCGCCTTCGTACCCGGGGTAGTTATCTGGTCAACCAACGCCGCGTGTAAGCTGCAGCCGCTGTGAAGCACCTGGATCCCGTCTTTGGCGTACACAGTCAGATTACCAATATCCCGGGCTGTCACTTCAAGTTCAGACCTTGGCAGTCGTTGTCTCTATCGTCGTGGTCGTTGGACCCTTCATGCAGTAGAGTAGGTTCATAGGGATGACTCCCCTTGCCCGCATGCGACCGTCTCATTCTCCCTGTCGCCGAGTCGATGATTGGAATGCCCTTGTCGTGCAGGTGATGCAAGCAGTGTCTTCCAGTTGCAGAAACACCACCGAGAGAGAAGCGGCAGTGACCGCGCCGGCTCCACACGTGCATCGAGGCACCCGGGCCCCGCATTGACCACCCTGCAGCCGTCCACCCCGCCCATCAGGGGGAGAGCAGCCTCACGTCAGAGCCAACCGTCATTCGCCCGCCAGTTTCGACATCTTGCACGATTTCGCTTCACCTCTGCCCGCCAGCTAGCCTCGCGACGGACCATCGAGCCTCCGAAAGAATACCTGCGTCAACCCGAGCTTGGACTACTACAGCCTCGCGATGGATCTAGCATACGACCACGTCCAGGAGAGCACTCTCCCCACGCACGACGATAAGAAGAAGGACGGCTCCAAGGACCCCAAGAATGACCAGCCGCAGGCCTCGCTGAACGAGGACCTCCAGGAGGCCTACAAGGCTCTCTCCACGAGCGCCTGGGGCATGCGGATCGGCGGCTTCTTGGGGAACGCAGTGAAGCAGGTAAGAGAACTGTGGAGGCACCCACGACGGAGGCAGCGGCTAAACCGGACCCTAGGGGCAATCCGTCTACAAGGAAGCGTCCAAGGAGGTCACGGAGCTCGGTGGAGATGCTGCCAAGGGCTTCACATCCATCATCAACCGCACGCGGTCCCTCACCATCAACACCACCGAAGGCGAGGCTTCCGGAGATAAGGGCAAGGAGACCGACGAGACGACGCCGACCAAGACGAGGGGACAAGCCTCCGACGAGGCCATGAGCAACTCGGAAAACTACATGACCAAGATCCGCGCCGAGGCAGCAAGGAGGCTCAAGGAGCTGCAAAAGGCGGAGGACGCGGCCGACGAGGCCCTCCTCCGCTTCGGCACCAACATCAGCAACTTCCTCAAAGAGGCGGTCAGCATCGCACCGCCCTCCGACTCGAACAACCAGGGTCGAACCGTCTTATTCGAGAGCAAGGACGCGCAGGGCAAGCGGGTCATTCACACCTCGAGACAGGACGCGCAGCTTCACGTTATCCACACGAGCACGGAGAGCTTCACAAAGGACCCCGCGACGGAAGAGTTCGCGACATGGGGCAAGACATTCGACGTGGAGAAGAAGACGGAAGACATTAGCAACGACCTGAAGCAGTACCCCGAGCTGCGCACGACGATGGAGAAGCTGGTGCCCGACCAGGTCCCGTATGCTGAATTCTGGAAGAGATACTACTTCCTTAGACACGGTATCGAGGCCGCCGAGGCCCGGCGCCGGGACCTTCTCAAGGGTGAGCTTGGTTGGTCGAATTCCACGACAAAGCGCTAACTGCTACAGCCGCATCCGCCGAAGACGAAGTCAGCTGGGACGACGACTCCTCCGAGTCCTCAGAAGAGGAGTCCTCCGAGGAAGACTCCGACGACGAGGCCGCCCCCGCTACCGCCTCCAAGACCGAGCAGAAGAAGCCCGTCCGCCCGCCATCGACCGAGTCCTCCACCACCATCCAGCCCCCTGTCCAGGCCTCCCAGACCACCCTCAAGCCCGCCGAATCCCGCAAGTCCAACGACGAGAAGTCCCAGCCCGATAGCGACACCAGCTACGACGTCGTGGGTGACAAGTCGGGCGTGCCCAGCCGAGCCCCCAACAGCCCCAAGGGGCGCGAGAAGGCCGACGACAGCGATGACGAGGACTGGGAGTAGGCGTAAAGACTGTATTGCTTAGGCTGGCGTTGCGGGGTTGAACTTTTTTCGTATGGCAGCTCTTAATCTGCGGACTTTTTTGTACATCAGCCGCGGCGAGTAGTGACCCCATCTCCTTGAGACACACAAGTCGGATATTTTTTCCTTCGCTTGTTTATCGCTTCTTCTTAGTGACCATGGTAAACCCGTCCTCATCGACCTCGGGCTGCGGCTTCTCCTTGGGCGCAGACACGAGCTGGGGCGCCTCGTCCATGTCGACGTCCTCATCCTCGTCATCCTCGCTGTCGTCCTCCCAGTCGGTCTCCTGATCGCCGCTCTCCATCTTCTTGTAGAGCCCCTCGACCTTGGCGCCCTTGCGGCTGTCCCACTTCTGGCGCAGGTCGTCGATGGCGTCGAACTTGCCCTTGGCGCAGTCGGCACGCAGCTTGATGATGCGCTCGGCGACGTCGAAGCCCGTCTCGTCGTCGACGTTGACCTCGAACTCGTCGACCATGACCTGCAGCAGGAACGTCTCGACGTACTCGGTGTCGGGCTCCTCGACGGCGTTGGCGGCGGGCACGGCCTGGCCGTTGGTGACCTTGCTGTACGTCGGGAACAGCTCGGCCACGGCGCCGGCGAACCAGTCCCTCTTGTCGGCGGAGTCCGGGCCGCCCCAGTTGTTCTGGACGGCGAGCGAGAGGGCCGGCCACATGTGCAGCGACAGGGCCACGGCCTGCTCGAAAGAAGACTGGCACGCCTCTGCGGAGAGTTAGTACACTGAGGCAGTGATTCGGTTTGAGCAGCTTGACTGACCTGCCGTGATGGGTCCTGTGGTTGCCATGTTGACTGTGTTTGTTCGCGGGGTAGTTTGGAGGGGCAGACAATTCGGTGACAGTTGTGCCAAAATCACAAATTTTTGAAGGATAGTGCGCGCGACGATCTGCACTGTCGTGGGCGCTGTGTGGGGCTTCCCGGGTCAGGCCTGGGCAGGGTCCCGTGCGGAACCTTGAGATTGGGCATCCCGATGCGTGATGATTCCCGCTGCCGGCAGCATGCTTGCTCGACAGAAATGTGAGAATAACACGCTCAATTCTCATGATCAAGTCTCGTAAAATATCGTCAAAAACACGCCAAGCTCTACAGTTTCTTTTCGCATCATTACCTCATTTATTGGTTTAGGTTTTGGTCCCCAGCATCCATACGACAATCGACCAGGACCGCGGACATTATCACCCACTTAGTCTCTATGTGATGTCATCGGTCCCCTATTCCGGTAGCCAGCTTGAGTGCGGTTTCAGGGTCAGCTTTCTTCTGTGCTCCTCCACGACGTGATGGTCTGTCCACTGGCTTTGCCAATCACCTGGGCAGCTTCAAAAAGCATCGCGTCCGCCGGTGCCGAGGGTCGAGTCGTGGTTCTCTCTCTTTAGCTACCTAACGTCGTGATCATGAATCCGCTGAAGCTCAACACCACCTCCGTGGGACTGGCCGTGACGCCAACCGTCGTCTCCACACTCTTCTCACATGTGAGCATTCCTCCCCCATCCTTCCCCGGATTCCTGGACGCGATGCAACCCAGTCGGGACGCGTAGCTGACCCAACAATCCCGCCAGTACCTCAACCGCAACCCTCTGAAACAGAAACCGACCGCCCACCTGTCCTACGACGAAGGCCTGCATCTCGTCCGATCGTTCCTCGAGTTCGCGTCCCAGCACACGGTCGAGGAACTGCAGGCGTTCACGGCCCAATGGGTCCCGCATCCGCAATGGGTCAAGGTGGAGGACGCCGACATCCCGGAGGAGCACGTCGACAAGTCTGCCGGGCTGATCGAGGCGCAATTGGGGCCCGCGGGTGTCCACGCCGTGGGTGGCCGCAAGTGGTGGCAGTGGAGGAAGCCGCAGAGTCCCCTCAAGGCGGAATGGATCGAGATGCGGTCGGATTACCACGAGCGGAAGAAGAACGACGGCAAGACGAAGCGGGTGATGCTCTACGTGCACGGCGGCGCCTACTTCTTTGGTAGTGTCGACGAGCACCGCTACCAGATGCAGCGTCACGCCCGCAAGCTCAAGGCAAGGGTCTTTGCGCCGCGATATCGTTTGGCACCGCAGTTCCCGTTCCCTTGTGGTCTGCAGGACTGTTTAGCGGCGTATTTGTACCTGCTCACCGTCCAAGATCCCAGCACGATCGTGTTAGCGGGTGACTCGGCGGGTGGTGGAATGGTGCTGTCCATGATGGTTATCCTAAGAGACCAGGGCATCCCTCTGCCAGCCGGCGCGGTTCTCATCAGCCCGTGGGTTGATCTATCCCATTCGTTCCCCAGCGTATCCGGTGACAACCCGTTTGACTACATCCCGTCGTCGGGTTTCCACCACCGTCCGTCACGGGCCTGGCCGCCGCCGAACGAAGACGATATGGCGATGATGAGAGAACAGGCCATCAAGGCCCGGGCAGGCAAGGAGAAGAATGCTACGAAACTCAATACGCTTGAGAAGAAGCAGGCCGCTCCAATTGCACTCACTAACTCAGGCGAGGACGGAGCCGCTGTGAATGGTGCTTCCGGGAGCAAGGCGCCGGATCTGGCAGATCCGAATCCCCGCAAGACGGCACTCCAGCTGCAAGTGACAATCGACGGCAAGCTGACCGTAGTCAAGGATCAGATCCAGGTGAGTGGTCCAGTGTTTCTACGGAAGCACGCTAACGTTCGAAGATGTACACAACCAACGCGCTTCTGTCACACCCAATGGTAAGCCCTGTCATGCAACCGACACTCGGGGGACTCCCTCCGTTACTCATCATGGTCGGAGGAGGCGAAGTCCTTCGTGATGAGCAGATCTATCTTGCTCACAAATGTGCAAACCCCTCTAAATATGCGCCCCCCGGTCTGGATGAGGCAGGCTTGGCGCAGGTGGACAAGTACAGGCCAACAGACGTGCAGCTTCAAGTGTGGGATGACCTCTGCCATGTAGCTCCGACGCTCAGCTTCACCCGGCCTGCCAAGTACATGTATCGCGCGGTCGCACAGTTCGGTGCCTGGGCTCTGGCGAGAGCGCAGCACTCGGAGATTGAGATCTTGGACGACGACGATATCTCTGTGATTTCCAGCTCCGCGTCGGAATCTGATAAGCCGGAAGAGGGAGAAAACCCCGAGAATGCACCGCAGCTGGTCGGGAAGGCCGGCATGCCGTTACCCCCGTTCAAGAAACACATGATCCGACAACGGATCACCCGACACGGCGTCGTCCACGACCTGGTGCCTGAGTCTGAGCTCCCTGGGTGCACCATCAAGCAGGAGGAAGTCGGTGTTGTCAGGCCCACGCCGGTTCAGAGGTGGCTTAAGACGAAGGCAACATTTGACAAGAAGTTCTCGAGCACCAAGGCCAAGGTTCACAAGGCCATCATTAAGGATATGGCATCCGGCTTCGTCGATTTTGGTGACGGCGAGAACCCGCCACCGACCGCGCTGGCTGGACGACGAAAGGCTACCGATGAGCTGGTTGATCGCAAGAAGCACAAGAGCTTGGGTCTGGCTCTGTGGTCACTTTGGGGGTCGAAGCACGACGAGATGACGATGGAGAGGGAGAAGAAGGCCGATTCGGGGGCAAAGACGTCCATGACCACGGAGGGCTCAGGTGAAGGAGCCAGGTTCTTCCAGGATGTCGAGCAGCAGGATAGGGCGCCAATTGAACGGCGAGGAAGCAAGAGACGTGTGGTCGTCGATGAGCACCAAACGTCACAGGCCACCGACTCCCAGGTCACAGATTCGCAAACGGAAGTGGACGAGACGGCCGTCGAGGCCCTCATTGAGAAGAGGAGGGAGCAGGAGAAGCAGAACGATCATCTCAGCCCGGACTACGTCCCCGGAACCGGCGTGGCCGGCAAGCGCCCGTTCCTTGACGGCATCGCCCTGCCGTTCAGCCTCGGCAAGAAGGACGCGGAGACGGCGAGCATGATGACGCTGATGTCTGGCGGTGATAGTCGACCCATCAGCCCCATGCCACCCATCGACCGCGACCATGATAGTCATGAAGTCCACGACAGTCAGGCTACTGAGGTTTCCCCTGAGCCGACGCCGGGAGAAGAGGCCAAGCGACCTCAGTTGGATAACTTCGTTACGGCCGCGGAGGACCTCCCCATGTCCAAGGACAAGGGCAAGGGGAAGGAGATCGCTAATGGGAACGTCGAGCAGACGGCGTAATCCCTTCGTTCATAAATTAACCAGCCAGAAATACCCTAGTTTGTACTCTTAGTGTGTAGTAGCCAGCCATCAAAAACGTACCGATACCACATGTCGCCAGCGTTTGGTGTTGATCGTTTACATATTGTTACAGTGTATCGAGGGTATATACAGCTCTTGTACAGCTCATTCGTGGCCTCAACGCCCCTCCGCTTGAATCATCCCGCCGTCCGCATCTCCCTTCCCCTCCCCATCGTCCGAAACAGCTTAATTGACACCGTTTTGCTGCTTCCAGTTCTCGAGGAAACGCTGCGGGGAGCGGGGACCCAACGGGTCTTTGCCGTAATCGGGAGGGAACGCTTCGACCATATCGGACACGAACGGTGTGAGCTGCCGCGCAGTCGTCAGTAAACAGATACAGAATCCAGGACTCAGCAGCAGCTGCTGCCGCTGCTGCTGCGGTAGAAGAACCAACCTGGCACGCCTTGAGCCCCTTCGGGACGACGTACGTCCGCACCTTGTGGAACTGGATGATGTATCCTCCGTACTTCGTGTGTTTACCCGTGGGTCCCGTTCGGTTTCCCTTGTAGAAGCCCTTGTTGACGTCCTTGGTCGTCAGGCGGACGTGCCTGAACTTGAGGACTTGGAGGACGGGCGATGGCCTCATGATGGCGGGGCCGGGGGGTTGTGGACGTGGAGGTGTGCTGATGGGGTTTTGGTTTGCTCGTCGGCGACCGCGACTCGGGATGCCGTGCTTTGTCGCTCGTTTACGTTCGTCAATTGGGGTTCGGGACCGCGTCGTCGTTGTCGTCGGCGTCGATTGGTGATGTGGTGGTCGCCGTCTCCGAAATTTTGGGATGCGCCGGATTAGAGTTGGTCCTCGTACCGATTGTTGCGCGGGAGGCGGGAGCACGGACCCGATGAGAGCCGGTTGGATTTCCGACGACAAGCCGGGGAGGCTGACAGCTGGCGCCGGCTCGTTAGACTCCCCACTCATCTGTTCGTTGCCAGGCGTTCGAACTTCCTCATTTCATCTTAGGCACTGACAGCAACCACCACGCAGAAAGACGAGGCGCTTGTGGTTCAGCCAGCAGTGCAAGAGAGCATGTCTGTACTGGATAACTCTACGATTTGCGGAACTGGTGCTCGCTGGAATCGTCGCTGCGCTGCGTTGCTTCTTCGATCACGAGTAGTAGGCCATTTCAGGGCGGTCGGGTATCTATCTAGGTAGTTCACTTTTGTGTAGCTCCTGTTTCGGAGACCATAACACAATAGAACCATATACCCCTGCGCAGACATGGTCTTGGTCGCCTCTTTTGTCACTTATATTTTTGGGTCTTCTCAACTGAGGTGTCATATCGGCACCCAATTTGGGCTGGGTTGCAGGAGCAGCCAGCTGCCGTCCTGGGAAAACCGCCTTACTGTTGGTCCAGGCTATGCTATGTGAGCACCAGCATCAAGAGATGCTGCCATTGGACGCCTGATTTTGTACCATCTGCAGTCATCTGCCCACATGGTTCGACTTGGATGAGTGTAGGCAACCCCGCTTCAGTACGAAAGATCTTCCGCCTCTTTCTTCCCTTCGCCAATCTTCTCTTGGTCTGAAGGACCGAACTCGCGCCCTAATGTCCGGCCTCGAAGCCATCGCGGCCCTCGGGCTCGCGTGCAATATTCTCCAGTTGATCGGTACCGTCGGCAGCACCATTACAGTCGCAAGAAACATTCTCGAAACTGGCGAGATCGATCCTGATCTGGAGAAACACACCAACGAGTTGACAAGCCTTTTTCAAGACGCCGAGGGGTCTCTGAGTCAAACGTCACAGCACAAAGGCGATAAGGAACTTCGAGCCGCAGCAGGCCAGGTTCTGAAAGCGACTAGGGAGTTCGGGTCCGAACTGGTGAAAATATCAGGCGGCGCATCGAAGGGCAAGATCCGACAAGTCATCGGGGGCACCGTCAAGGGTCTCTGGAGACGGAAGAAGCTCGACGAGTTGGAAGCAGAAATATCGAGATGTAGAGGCATGTTTGAATCGCGATTGTTACTCAGCCTCCGGTACGTTTTCTTTCTTTGACAGAAATGAATCGGTATTGATAGTCACGGTATGTCAGCCATCGCATCGATCTGGGTGCTCTACAACAAAAAGAGAGCTTCGGTCAACTTGACAACTCTCTGAAGAGCTTCATCAAGGGCCTATCAGATGGCCACACCAAGCTCGAGGAACTCATGAAATATCAATCGACTACTCTCATAGACCACGTTACAGAAGAGTCTCGACAAACGCGCCAGGAGATTTCCGCAGCGATAGAACCTGTGGTTCAGAAGATGAATCATGAGGAAAAGCAGCGATTCCTCGGGAGTCTTCGGTACGATACTATGAATGAGCGGCGCAATCGGGTCGAAGCTGCCCATCCCGGAACGTACAAGTGGATCTTCTACGACAGCGAAGCTCCCAATGTAGACGACGGGGACGACGGGGACGAAGATGGAGATTGCGACACCAGATATGTCCCAAAAGACGGCATTCCCGACTTCATCAAATCTGCCAGCGAGAAGATATATTGGATCAGCGGAAAGCCCGGTTCAGGGAAAAGCACCTTGATGAAATTCATGCTTGAAAACTCCCGAATGGCAGATCTCCTCAACAAAACATCTCCAACTGGTGCGAGCAAGATCGCTTCACACTTCATCTGGGCTGCTGGCGCCCCAATTCAGAGAAGCCTCAGAGGCACCTTGTCCTCTCTTCTGTTCCAGCTTGTTACCCAGGACGAGGGAGCACTGGATAATCTCTTATCGAAATGTCCCAACAATCCTCAGCGTCTATCTCTAGGCGACTGGTCCGACCAGCAACTAGCTGAAGCACTCAAAATTGTTTGCAGCAGTTCACGAAGCGTCATTTGCTTGTTCATCGATGGCCTGGACGAAATCGACTCAGACGACACAGACAAAGTTCTTGCTATCATCGATGATCTTTGCACATTGACTCACGTCAAGTGCATTGTGTCAAGCCGCCCGGAACAGATCTTTTCTCGCCATTTCCGCAAGCTGGAAACACCCTCCTTACGCATGCAAGACTTGACGGCACGGGATATTCGACTTTACGTGCGAGGAAAACTTCGCTCTTGGTCTCATAGCCCTGACAGGTATCACGACGTCGTGAAAACCTTATGCGAGAAAGCAGACGGGGTATTCCTATGGGTTGCGCTAGCGCTCAAAAGCCAGCGACTCAGTGCGGAATACGAAGACGACCCCGAGATTGTGGCCCGTCGCTTCAAGCAGCTACCAAACGGGTTGTCTGAGCTCTACAGCGATATGTGGGATCGCTTGAACGATGACAAGTTCATCTACGGCGAAGAAGGAGCGAAGTATTTGAACACGTACTTAACGGCTACGCATGGGGTCCTCGACATGGATGTTTCGACGATGGCATTTGCAACACATCCTGCACTTATCATGGGATCGTCAAAACCACCAACCCCACCAATTCTCGAGCACATGGAGCGGACGCTGGAGAAGACTGCTGTTTGGCTTGAAGTCCGAACAGCAGGCTTGATCGAAGTCAACCCCAAGTCTGAGACAGTCGAGCTCGTCCACAAATCTGCTCTGGAATTCTTGAGAAATGATGCCAAAGGCTTGGAAATCATGAACCTCGACACGAGGCATAGAAAAGAAGTAATACTTTCTCTCCTCGAGGCTAAACTGGCTATCGTTAAGTATAGATGCGACAGTGATCGCCTGAATCAACCCTCACGCCTCCAGAGAACCCTATCCTTTGATCTATGCGACAGAACAAATGGCTTGACCACTGTGCTTGGCGACATAAAGGCTTCATACGAAGATGGAGAAATCACCGAAGTCGACTACTTAGAAGTCCTAGATCAAGCTGCAGCAACGTACCATGCAATCAAACTATTAGGAAACAAATATCCGTTTCGGCAGTGTAAAGAGTTTCTTTCGTCTTTGTCTGGCGACTATTTTGGTTTGATGGCTAGATTCGGCTTCTTTGAGTACGTCTCAACGAAGATCGAAAAACATTCAACGAAAAAGAAACCATCAATGCGGTACCTAGAATATCTCTGGGCAGAAACCTGCAATGCGAGTTACAGTCCAGAGATCCGCTCGTTTTTCAGATCACGGGCAGTCAAGTGGTCGCCGAACCTGCTACCGCGGCAGAACTCCCTTTCCCTAGCCTCACTTATTGGCGGCTACCAGCGTACTGCAACGGGGTTGATTTGTATCAAGCCGCTAAATTCAATTTTCCATTTTCATGAAGTTGAAGAGGTTGCCCTGGGGAGACGATATTGCCACAACATTCTTCAGGATGCTTCGCCCGAACACTGCATATTGTTCCAGGTTTCCTGGAACCGCCGGCCGAATCACCTCTTCGAGCATAATCTGGAGTTCAACGTTTTCATTGAGCTGCCCTTGAAGATGCTTTGGGAGGCATACAACTGGATAAAAGATGAACTGTCCACGTCATTTCTGGATGTCGTGGGTTCTAGAGAAGACCTCATGTCTGCGATGCCTGAGTTGAAGCCTAGGTTGATTTTCATACAGTGCTGGGACCCACCATCAAAGTCACTTGAGTTCCTCGACTTATATCCCGAGAAATACTTTTCCCTCAAGACTGAAGAGGACAAAAGGTTTGTGACAACTGCCGTTATGCAGGAGTTGGTGATGGCCCAGGAGGTGCAGACCTGGCAAGAGGAGAGTAGCGCGCTACCCGCATTCTGTAATAGCAGGATCGCAGACAATTGCTTCGAGACAATCAGCACAAGTCAATTCGAGGATATCCTGATCGAAAGAGGCCATGCTTTCAGGCCTTCGCAAGAGAACCCATGGCCACCTGCAATGTTCGAAGGCATGGCAGGGCCAGGTGTTGGGGAAAACTCGGGGACTGAAGACTACCCATCAACGCCGGCAACAAAGAATGGCTACAATGCCCAAGTTTATACATGGAACATGGGTGGCGAGGAATTCAAAGGTGTCATCGAGGGAGATGGTCTGCGAGTTGTGAGATGACGCAGGTGGCCGGCCTTAGGAGTGCCCAAGTCAAACATGAACTTGAATAAGACACAGTCTGCTCTTCACAATAGAAATGAGACGCATAACTTCTTTGTAGCTCTGTTCGATGGTACCCGCTCCGCATATCTTGTTACTCCTGAGACTAAGATGTTCCTTCCTTGGCTGAGTAAGCTCATAGAAGCTGTTGTCGTCTATGTAGGCAAAACTCTCGTGATGCTCATCCCAAGTCGAGTGCCGCGAGCTGACCGGATAGAGCGGCAAAGCAAACACGTCTTCAAAGACGATCATGCCGTAGCGGGGCCCATAGTCGAAACATGGACGAAAAGAACCTAGGAGCTGAGAGTCGTTGAAGGCGGGTCAGGACGTTTTACACCGTTCAGAATAAGCCCAAGGCTCCATAACTCACGATCAGGTCGATGTGACACCCATGCCAATGTGAGCTGTGAGTAAGGGGCGTGCTGTGAATGAGACCATCGTCGGATTCTTCGGCCTCCGGGGGGAGCTTTACATCTGAATTGAGGCACTGGACGAGAGGAACTGATGCAATATTCTACGCAACACAATGCAGCCACCAACCCTTATTGTTCTGGCTCGCCATACTTAACGAGTACACATTTAACATTTAATATTCTGAAATAATAAACCGTGTCCTGGTAAGCTTGATCAGGCGCGAATCAGTTCTTGTCGTTGAATGATAGCGCTGACATGGGATATGTAACACATAACTGGACGAGAGGAAGGAACCAATGTATCAGCTAGTGAATCTGAAAAGAGATTCAGTGTGTGTGGAGTGATGCTGGGCTTGTCCTCACGAAATCTTAGACCCGGTCGATAGGTTTCCTACCTATCCAACCGCAATAACTTATTTTATATGCTCATTCTTCAACATGAAAACCTCGGGTTATGCTGTAGAGTTCTTCATCCCAAAAGACTACGGTAGCTACTGAAATACGTAAGGCAAGCCTAGTCACATTCCGCGACTTAAGCCAAGTCACTAGCAGGAGGATAACTTCAGACCAGGACTGGGAAGTGTGAGAGTCCCCGATCGACACAACTCCATCACCGCACGTCCTCTCGTCCCTCCTTCATCCGTGCTTTTCCGTCCCCTCCCTTCCCCTACATCCCCTTCGTCTCCGCCAAGCCAAGACCGGGGTCCAGCGAAGAAGCAGCACAACGCCCACACAGCCAAGCCTTCAACACCGGGGAAGAAAAGAGCATACGACACGACAAGACCGCTTGGCTGTGCCATCTCATACCTCTCCCACCGCCAAGTCTGTCACTCGCACTTGGCCATCACTACAATCGAGTCCCGGCAGCGTAGCATCCTCGTGGCGCAGGCGGGAGTTGACCACTTACACCGTCTCCTCTCACGACAGCAGCCAGCGCTTCAGACAAATGCCGAGGACGTGTCTGGGCATGAACGACAGGCCCTCAAGGGTGGTTCCTCAAGCTCAATCTTACGTTTTTCTTTGGAATGTTCCGTCTATGTATGCCTTCTACGGGATGCCGTCCCCATCTTTGTTTCAAGTCCTTCCGATGCCGCTGCTCAAAAAAGCGGACTCGAATGTCATTGTGGCTCCATGTGCCGTCGCAGGCCTGCGTCCGTCCCGCCCGTTTCCCGTCTCTTCCCGTCGTCGTGCGGCCGGGGGGCTTGGGACCCCTACCGGAACGAGATCGTGGAGGGAGGGGGGAGAGATAAAACAAATTATACCCAGCTTACTGCGGCCCAAACGCCAATATTATCCCTCGTCCCTTTTTCCCTCTCATTATATTGCCTAGCCGCTCTCTCTCTCTCTCTCTCTCTCTCTCATCTCCAACGATGTTCCCTTCACTCCTTCAAGTCGAGTTTCGCCCGCTGGAAATCTCGGTCTCGACGACTTTGCTCGTGTCCTTCTTCGTCCGCAAAAGGATGTCCTTGAGCGACCTCCTCGGCTTCTTCTCGATTTTCTCGTAGAGAGCCTTGTGTTCGGTCTGGATGTTGTGTTGGTCCTCGTAGTCGACGTGGACGAACGCCCTCTCGACGTCGCCGAGTCCTGTTTTCACGATGTCAGATGCGGGCTATCATCTGCCTCATGAACGGCACTCACCTTCGACCTTCCTCTGCAAGTCCTGCGCCACGTCATGAGAGATCTTCAACGGAGTCGATTCATCCATGACGATGTCGATTTCGACGTAATACTTCTGACCGGCATGGTAGGCCCGGCACTATTCACTGTCAGACGGCCTCAACACACTTGGCGACTCAACTCACAGTGTCGACTTTGAGAATCCGAGTGTCGTGCGTCATCGCCATGTAAGTCAGCTTGGCGAGGAAGTCCCTCGGCGCGGACTTCCCGACCAGCAGCCAGACCTGCTCAAAGGCGTTGGCGACCCACGAGAACAGGATGAGCAGGGCGATGCACATGGCGCCGATCGGGTCGAGATACCACACGAAGCGGTCGCCAACCACGGACATGATCAAACCGAAGCTGTTGACGACGATGTCGTTGCGGTGGTCGATCTGCGGGCTATTATTAGCGGCTGTCATCCGAACGGGGCTGACGGGGTTCCCTACGAAGAAGACATGCACCGAGGGGTACTTTCGGTAAGCGAAGCAGTAGACCATGAGGGTGGCCTTGGCGAAGATGGCGACGCCCACGATGACGATGGGGACGATGTGCAGTTCCTCAGAGGCCCGCTTGCCCTCGCCAAGAGCGCGTCCTGACTCGACCTGTCCCCCGTATGAGCATCTTCAAACCCGCCCAGGCTAGACGTCACTTGGCAGACTCACCAGCAATTGAATGGCGACCGTGGTCATCAGAGCACAAAAGAGGATGATGCCAATCGTCTCGATCCTGGTTCGTCCCTATTTCATTTTCACTTCTGTCAAACCCCGGAAAACCTGATGCCAAGGCGTCGCGATAACTCACCACCGGATACTTGTAGACGCTCGGCCGGGCGGCCAGCCACGAGGTGATGAGCATTACAAAGGATGAGACGAGATCCATCTGGACGGCTCTTGGTCAACTTCTACGCCGGAACTCTTAAACGAGAGGGTCCTACTGACGAATGCGTCGGCGGCAGTGGCAAACAGCTGGATTTCACACGAGTCAACAGAGTCCGTGAGCGCGAGGTCTTGGTGGGTGGGTGTATACCGATAGGGACCCGGTAGAGACTGCGGCATAAAGCTGGATGACGAAGAGGCAGAAGTTGACGGTGAACGAGGCTCTCACGGCGAACTTGATCTTGGGCCCCATCCTCGCGTCCTCGGCGACCTGCTGCCTCTCCTCATCTTCGGCTCCGAGGAACTGGTCGATGAGCTCGTTCTGTCTGTTGTAGAACTTGGAGAGTTTCCTCTTGTTGCCCTTTGGGTGCTCAATCTTCATCTGCTTCTTGGAGACATTGTCACGGCGGTGCCGGCCAAAGTCGTAGGGATCGGGCCGGTAGAACGTGTCGATGGTGGAGGCGTCCGCCCCGTCGACGTTGGACGACGTTCTGGCGTCGTTCTTGGCCGTGTCATTCGTAGTAGACGTGAAGAGACCTTCGGCCTTGTCGTCCGTGCCAGAGACTGGGGCTGGTGTGATGCTGTCGTCTTTAAGGTGCTGGGCTGGTTCATATTGGGCTTCACCTTTCGGATCAGTTTTCAGATCACCGACAGAGTTGCCTCGAGCTGAAGTGAGTGAAGGCAACGGTCAGCGGAGAGTGGTGGATGGTGTAGTGGGATGAAGCAATGACAAGCGGTGGTCAGTGTCATTGGGTGGGCAGGGCAGTCCGATGCGAGTAGCAACAGCAGACGTCGCACATCTTGGGATGTGATGAACCAGCAGATGGCCGATGCCCGGGGAAGAGGAGGCGAAGGCGAGGCCAAGTCGAGGCAAGGCAAGGCAAGCAAGGCAAGGCTAGAAGAGGGGGGTGAAGGGGGGTGGGCAGGAAAGAAGGCAAGCCGAAACCCACGTACTGGACGATGGTTGGACGTAGTCCTGAGACTCGCGTGGAGTTTGCATTTTTGGGAAGCTATCGAGCTGGGTTCGTTCTTGGGTGTTACTATGCGTTGGAATGGGAAGTGAGGAATAAGAGCTGACGCGATTTGCGAGTGGGAGTAATATATTAAACGACGACGACCGCCCGTCTTGTTGGAATTCATGTCATGCTTCCCAACCGCCTCCGCATTCCGTGCCGTCCGGGGGGAGGGAGCCCGCCGGCGGATGCAAGAGACGGCCCCTTACGTCGACGATTAACAGTAAGCTCTCGCAGAAGAAGACCTGGTTCCATGCATGTGCGGGCGGGCTAGAACGTCGAGAAGAGGGGGAAACATTTCAACCCCTGGAAGGATGACGGCAAGATTTCATGATTTGTGTGCTGGATTCGAGCTCTCTGCCGGTTGTTTCTTTGCAAAAGTCCACGGTTCAGCCAGTCGAAGAGCGGTGATGAGGCACGCGGTTCGTCGGTCAGGGGGCATCTATTTGCGTCTTCCCGGTCGAGGGACAGTCGAGCCGGGTCGAGTAAAGTGTAAGCGAGGGACGATCGTAGGCGGCAAGCGGAGTCGAGTGAAGTAACGGGCCACATTTGGGCATGGTTGGAGACGAAATGGCAGACGTGTCCCTGCGACAGTTTGTCACGATGAGTTGTGGTGCGGCATGGATGACGACCAAAGGTTGAAGACGATCAGGACGACGGTCCGAGCGAGTTGACGATGATTGGAGGGAGGAGCTGTTTCACACCGACGGCCGACCCAGAAGCCGCACCTGCCCTGGACAGAGACAGCTTTTGCCAAGAGTTTGGGGCTGTTACAGGCCTTTCCAGGTGCAGGCAACTGGGCGGGGGTGAATTACGCGGTACGTAGTAGTCGTAGCGTAATCCGGAGCCTCCAGTTGGTTCTTTTCTTCTCTCTTCATCTTTCCTTTTCTGACGGCGAATCAAGACAATTGGACACACGACACTGGGAGCATCGGAAAGTCTTGCATGTTTGTTTCTTCCCAAAGCAAGATTGAACGACACCACACGCAATTTCCCCACTCTTTCTTCGTTTCCAACTTCTCTCCTCCATCTCAGCTCGGATGCGATAGTTGCTTTTCCATCCCTCTGCTATTACGCAGTACACACACACCCACACCACCGTCGCCCATCACCACCAAAAAGTGCAAGATTTCACGGACGAAGCTGTCTCCAGCGTCCCAGATATCGCCAGACGACGCCATTCCACGTCGTCTCTCGTCTCGCCCAGCCTCGCTTGATCTCAGACGCCGAGAAAGCTCCTCTTTTTTCCTCTTTTCCTTGGCTCTCCAAGTTTGAACTGCCCCGGCCAGAAACCCTTCGTGCAGGACGATTGACGACTTCTGGGCGCCCAGGATGCCATCCCATCCCATCTGTGAGCCCATTCAGAGTCAGTTCGCTGCCTCCAACATACGCAGTGCAGCTGTGGTGCATCAGCCTCCGACTAAGCCCCGACCCCGATCGTCGCGGTGGCTCTGACCGTTTGGCCCCAACCAACGCCCACCGCCCACCGCCCACCGCCGACATAGGCAACTCAGCACGTGAGACGAGACACAGGAGTCGACGCGGACCCGGAGAGAGACCCAGTCAGCCACCGCGCAGAGTCGCAGACCCCAGAACTCGAAAAGAAGCAGACCAGAAGGGTGCGGGTGCGAGTGCAGAGGTCTTACGCCATCTTACAGAAGGCTTGCAGATGCGAGAGCGGATGCACAGAGACTCAGACCACGACTAAGGTGGCCATGTCGACTGCCTGCCAGATTCCCGCCAAGCTTAAATTTCATACCCCAGGAAAACGACATTCCAATGGCCTGCGAAAGGGGACAATTGTGTCAGCGGCTTCTTGGCTCGACTCTTGGCTTCAACGGCTGTGCCTGTCCCGCCGCCTCTGGCCTCCATCCTCCAGCCTCCCCCGCGCCGCCAACGCCAGGGAGGAGCCTCTCTCCAGAGAATCTCTCCAGAGTCAAATCGACTTAAGAATTCTCCGACTGGCGACCCTGGACGCAGACCCCGGGAACCTGCCGTTTCACACAACCCAAATTTTCATATGCCGGCAACAAGCCCCATTCGACTCGACGCGCACCCCACGTCCACGACACCCCTGCCTCTGCAACTAAACCCTTGGCCCTTTACCCGCTTGGCAACTTTCCGATGGAAGATCGACCGTCGTCTCGTTTTGGATTCTTGTCCATCACCAGTCGACCAAGGCATGGCAGAGTCTTTTCATTGCCAAGCGCGACAGTCAAGTCAGCCAGAACTCGAGACGAATGACCGCCGATAGACGCAACCCGCCCTCCAATCCGTTGTTTCCGTTCTGTCAGGTTCAACCGGGCTCTCAGACTCCCCGTCTCGTTCTGCCGGCAAATCATGCTATAACGAGAAACATGATCGAACAATTCGATAACATCGGATCCGGACAACAGCGGGGATAATCGATGCCCAGAGACAGCCTGGGTCTCAGGCACAGCAGCAATCTGCACCGCAGAACCGTGGTCGACTTAGCCTACGTCCATTCGGTGACGGTCTATCCTTTCCTCTGCCTCCGCCCCATGCTCACGGCCTCTTCCCACGGTAACCTTGTTCCCACTCAGGTCCTCCCGCCTCCCGCTTCCCGCGAGGCGGACGCTACGGCCACGAACCCACTGCCTCTGCCCTCGTCAGCTGCATCATCCCGGCCGCAGTCTTCTATTTCTGATTCGGCTGGGCGGCATTCGCGCAAGGCCTGTTGTCCCATGTCAACGTTTATTCTTGCCTTACCCGTTTCCACGCGGGAAGTATTGCGCGGGCTGTCATACACGAAGCATATTAAAGCAAGTCGAGCCCAGACTTTGCCAAAGCTCAATTTCGTGCTCGCCACACAGAGCGTCAGGTCTCGTTCGATTCTTATTGCGCCCGTTTCTTCCTTCCCTTTTTTCCTTTCTCTTCCTGTCCTTTTCCTTTCTTTCCTTGCCCTCTTGACAATTACGACAGCGGGGACTAGATCAGCACCTTTTTTTCGTCTGTTCTATCCACACTGAAGCTGCGGGACGGCTTCTCTTGTCCCCTTGTTTTCAGTAACACTCCTTTTTTCAAATGAGTCGTTGTTTTTAGACGGCCCTGGACAATTGGCTGTCCTTCTTTTCTCGACTTTACTTCACTTTTTATACCGAGGCTACCAATCGAGTAGTAGCCTCTTTAAATCACAAAATACCATTTTTAATCAAGATGGACGGTATGAAGGAGCCCAAGCCGCAATGCGGCGGCAAGAAGGGTGGGCCCAGCGAGTATGACGTTGGTTTGCACGTTGCTGGCCTCTGTAAGTCAACCCGGCGAACATCACTCAACCGAGCAACTTGGCTAACTTGGCGCAGTCTTGGTGTTGGGATTCTCAATCTTTGGTACGCACGCAAGCGATGAGGATCGTGGGGCCGGAAACTAACTGAGTGGATGCAGGCGCTGGATTCCCCGTGGTGGCCAAGAAGGTCAAGTGGATGAAGGTCCCGCCCAAGGTCTTCTTCGCCTGCAAGCATTTCGGTACGGGTGTGCTGATCGCGACGGCATTCGTGCATGTAAGTGAGCATCTATGAGTGACGCATCGTAGAAACTCACACGTCGCAGCTGCTCCCGACCGCCTTCGGCAACCTCATGAACCCGTGTCTGCCGGACCTGTTCACCGAAGACTACCCGCCTCTGCCCGGTGCGATCATGATGGCCTCCATGTTCATGCTCTTCGTCATCGAGATGTGGATCAATTCCAAGGTCGGCGGCCATTCCCACGGAGGCCCAACTGGAGATGTGATGCACGACCACGGCGGTCACAACCGCGGTGCTGTCGCGCCCCCCAGGCCCCCGCGCTACAACCGCAGCAGCTTCGACGCCGAGGCCGACAGCATCGACTTTGAGAAGAGGGTTGCGCAACGCATGTACGATGAGAAGGCCGGATTCCCGAACTACCAGGAGAGCACCTATGGCGCGCCGCCCGCTTCCAACCTGGCCGACTCTGACATGCCTCCCTGGTTTGTCGTCTTTTACGAGCAGTACGTGCGCCAGCGCATGGAGATGATGAACATGATCCGAACCACCCAGGAGAAGCAGGTCTCTCAGGTCAGCGTGCAGGAGGTCAAGCAGGAGGAGCCGTTCTTTGATGAGGAGGGACAGACCGTTGATCCCGCCGTGTACCGCAAGATGTCTCTCAACATTACCATGCTTGAGGGTGGTATTCTGTTCCACTCGGTGTTTGTCGGCATGACCATTTCCATTACCATTGACGGCTTCATCATCCTTCTCGTCGCCATTCTTTTCCACCAGATGTTTGAGGGTCTTGGTCTTGGTTCCCGTATTGCCGCCGTTCCGTACCCCAAGGGAAGCATCCGTCCTTGGGTCCTCGTCGTTGCTTTCGGTACCACCGCTCCCATCGGACAGGCCATCGGTCTCGCCACCCGGAACACCTACGATCCCGACAGTGCCTTTGGTCTCATCATTGTCGGTGTCTTCAATGCCATGTGAGTTTGTTTCCTACTTGGGCGTGGGCTGCAGCTAATGTCACCAGTTCTTCCGGTCTTTTGCTCTACGCGGCCTTGGTCGACCTCTTGGCCGAGGACTTCCTGTCCGAGGAGGCCAACCGCATCCTCAGCAAGAAGGACAAGATCACCGCTTTCTGCTATGTTCTTGCAGGAGGTCAGTTTCGCTCATTCACACTCATTCACACTATACTGATTTTCTTCAGCCGCGGGAATGTCAATCGTCGGTATCTTCGCCTAAGCCGTTGCCGACAATCACTTGGATCTCCGATCGTCACTCGTCGACTAGTACCACGCGAGGAGTTCCACCACCCGATCCTGTCGAGGGTCCAGTCATCACCAACCCCCGATACCCGAAGGGCGAGCGAGCGGCACAACCATCAACACTCGACAGGACATGATAGCAGAGAATGAGCGCTCGTTTTCTTCGATGCTGCGCCGGATTTTGTCATCAAGTCTCACGCGGGGAAAGGACTGTCACGGAGCCTACAGCATTTCTCACACAAAATCTACACACATTCGTTATTCTCGCTACCTACCTTCCTCACCCCTTCCAGCAGCGCGCTGGAAAACCTTGTACAATAGTAGTGATGTGGTGTTCTAACTCTCGACCACCGCATGACAGTGCATACGGACAACAGGAAAACATTTGTTTGGGAAACATTTTTAGGATAATGGTTTTACGAGCATACTATGCGGTGCGGCTAATCATCGAGAGCGCACAAACATTACGAACAGCACGATAGAAGCATGGAATTGGATATGTACGATAGTAGCATACTCCCCAGGGAAAGGGGTTCAGTTGGCACAAAAGCTAGATTGCATCAATATCACGGTCTTAACATCTTATGATCTTCGAACTACTGGCACCGGACCCCCCCTCTCCGAGCAACTTTTCTCCACCATCGTGGTCTATGGATTTATAAGCGCTCTGTGAGAGTCATCCCACGTCCGTCTCACTAAAGATCTGACGTCTCAGGCCCGAAGAGCCCGAAGAACGCCGACTGGGAAGCCTGATGGAACGCGATCTGATAAGCAACCGCCGTCCACAAACGGCGAACGATGAGGGTTAAATAACCGAACAAGAGCTCGATTAGACTTTCTTCCCCAGACTGGCTCGGCGTCTGAAATAGAGTGGTAGATAGTCAGGGGAACAGAATAAGGAAAGCAAAAGACAAGATGCCAAGAAGGTACCGAACGTGTGTGAAGCAGTCGGTGGAAACGCGAAAGAGTGCTGGGCGATATCAGACAAGACGTCGAGAGAGGGTTGGCGCGTTGCGGCGTTGGGGGGAGCATCCATGTAGTAGTTGGCTTGGTGTGGCCCTTCTTAGATGGTCGTAGAGCTGTGATGGCATCACTCGTTTCTGTCTGTCTTCGCTTCTGGGGGTTCTACGCATTTCAGTTTCTCATGATGGTCATTTGCTTCTTGCCGTCAGGGGACGAACACAAAGTGCTACTCTGTGTCTCCCCTTCGTGCCGGGGGTTACGGGGCGTCGTTGTTAGATTTAACCATGTCTTGTATAAGGTTATTACACGGGCCGGCGAGGGAAGACGACAGCGGAGGGAAAAGGGAGCGGGTGGAGCAGAGCCTCCGTCAACGCTACCTAAGCTGTGTCTTGCAAGGGACATGCTACTCTGGCCTCTGCCTGCCCGGTTGTCTTTCTGCTGCCCCGTGGATCTTGTTTGCGTGCGAGTTGAGTGAGTGCCTGACCGTCTATTAATAACATCCCAGACATTCAGAGACCGGGGGTGGTGTGTGTGTGTGTGTGTGTCCCCCTCCGTCTCCGCGACTCCAGACGAAAAGAGGGGCAGGGGTTTGAGGCTTGGAGGAGGGGGCATGGTGGGCGGGGTTTCGTGAAGCATTGGGCACGATGATCGACGGCGGTGATGAAAGGTCTCGTGGTCGTGGTCGTTGTCGTCGTGGTGGTGGTTCTAGAAGTTGTTTCCGCGGTGGGTTTGTGTGCGTGTGCGGTCTTGTTTAAGGTGCGCAGCTGCAGTGAGGCGCAGGCCAAAGGTACGTTGGAAAAAAGGCAACCTTCTTCATCCAAATCTAGAGCCTCTCTTTTCCAACGGGAAGCACCGAGGAAACAAGGTGTTGGTAACCAGATTGGCTTTTGCATATAGACCTTTTCTTGGCAGATGCCCGATTCTAGGTGGATCATGGACACCCAGAATGAGTCGATACGGGCAGGACGAAGCGAAGTCCTTCCTGCCAACTTAGGTTGTCAACGTCAGGCATCATGATGTTTTATTTTCGGTCTTCAGTTGAAGATGAGTAAACATGTCTGTCCTGCTCACTTACGTCTGTTTGAGAGAGAGAGAGAGTAGCTGGATGAGAGATGACGGACGACCGTGCGGTTGCATCCGTTGTTCGGCACACCCTCGACGGGGCGCTCTGGTTGGTTCGAGGGGTGATGTATCAGAATGCGACGGGGGACTCTTTGACAAATTCGGGGGAGGGGGCTTGGCGGCTGCCGTCCGGCCGAACCTATATCTCTCTCCTTCAGTACCTTAGTTTCGCTACCAAAGTATTCAGCCATATCAAACGGAAAAAGGAAAAGATTGTAGTGTTATTCTCTATGCGCCTTCACTCTGAGGGGGGTGCGGGTTGGCTGATCCGGAATGAAATTACGCATGCGTCTTGCTGGATGCAACTGTATATCACTTCTATGCTATATGGTATTACGTCGGCACCCTCCTGTCTCAGGGAGGAAGATTTTCATCCGACGTTTTGGAGCAGGGTGACTTGCATCTCTCTGGCGTGGTGGTGCCACGCATGAGAAAGAAACCAAACAAAACAGAAAGTCGAACCGGCAGGTCGCGAGGCCGAACCAGACTTTGGAGCGCCTGTTGTGGAAGCAGAGAAAAAAAAGGGTCAGCAGCATTGGTGCGTGATGATGATGATGCGGTTGGTAGGTAGGGGGGAGGGTTTCATTCGGGCATAGTTGCCTTCTGTCGCATGCCTCACTTTGGACTTTTCTTCTCGGACGAAAAGGGGTCTTGAGTCGCGATGTTATTGCCATATCGGGAATACTCAAGAGATGGCAGTTTAGCAGTAGTGGGAAGTCGTGGCGGAATTTCGTCATTTGCTGAAGTTGAGATGAAAGGAGGGAGGGGGGGAAACAGAAGGGGGAAACAATACGAGTGGAGGAGCATGAATTGACGGGAAACTCTGCTGAGCTTGAACTTCCTCTTTGGCCTTTGGAAACAATGCGGCGATTCAGGAGGGTAGGGCGAAACGAAATGCTCAATATGTGGTGGTGGTGTAGATGAGGCTGACGAAAAGCAAACACACACACAATCTTGGGATGAAGTCCCGGCGGACACCGAAAGTGCAGCCGAGGCCGATTGTCCGCGGGCATCTTCACGCGGGTCGTTTTGCGTCAACCGATGAGAGAGAGAGAGAGAGTTGATGCGTGTCGTCTCGTCGTTTGGTTTTCATTCAAACATTACACAATTATCTACAGAGAAGGTGGCCCAAGGTGGCCAGAGTTCCACCCCATCCGACCCTTTTTTATACCCAAGACTTTTTCACGCTTACTGAACAGTAACGGTCGTGTTCCCGCGGATGTCGTCGGACGAGGATCCGACGAGGATCTTGAAGTCGCCGGGCTCGACGACATACTGCATCTTGATGTTCCAGAGGCCCCAGTTGGAGACGGACAGGTCGACGTTGACGGCCTTGGTCTCGCCGGCCTTGATGAGGACCTTGGAGAAGCCGCGGAGCTCCTTGTTGGGGACGACGACGGTGCTGACGACGTCCTTGACGTAGACCTGGACGACCTCGGTGCCGTCGCGGGTCGAGTTGTTGTGCACGTCGACGCTGACCGTGACGGTGTCGGTCGGGGATACGGTCGAGGAGGAGACGGAGACGTTGGAGTAGTCGAAGGTGCTGTAGGACAAGCCGTAGCCGAACTGCGATTGTTAGCACATGGCATGCCAGAAGGGAATGGAGACACGCTTACCTCGTACAATGGAAGAGGGGTGTTGAGGACGTAGTTGCTGCCAAAGACCAAGGTGCCGTTGTCGTACACCTTGCCCGGGTTGGGCCAGGAGCGGGCAGAGTTGAGGTAGTCGTAGTAGACGGGAGTGGTGCCGACGTCGTAGGGAACCGCAACGGAGAGCTTGCCGGAGGGGTTGACGTCGCCGTAGAGGATGTCAGCAAGAGCGTGACCGCCCTCCTCACCCTGGTAGAACATCTGGATGAGGGCGCCGGCCTCGTCGGAGATCCAGGGCTCGGTGATGGGTTTTCCGGAGCTGAAGATGACGACGGTGGGCTTGCCGGTGTCGATGACGGCCTTGACGAGCTTACCCATGGCGCCGACGAGCTTGAAGTCGTGGACGTCAATGTGCTCACCAGTGGTTGCGTTGAGGCCGGCCCAGAGCTCGTCCTGGTCTCGAGACCACGTGCCCACAATGACAACGGCAACGTCGGCGGCATTGGCGGCGGCAACGGCCTCCTCGATTCCAGACTCGTCGGTGGACGCGCGGTCAACACCCTTGACGTAGGTGACAGTGCCTTCGCTGGCAGCCTTGATGCCGTCGAAGGGAGTAACACCACGTTGCATGGCGGTGTGGATGACGTAGTCGCCGTACTGTCTGGTCAGGTTGAGATCGAGTTATCCGGTATGGAGCACTTACGTTGACGCGGTACGGGTCGTTCTCATCGCCGCCAGCCATGGGTCCGAGGACGGCGATGTTGGCGCTCTTCTTCAGGGGCAGGGTCTCGTTGTGGTTCTCGAGGAGGACAATACTCTCGGCGTCAAGGTCGCGGGCAATCTTCCTGTGCTCCTCGGTGTTGAGGTAGTCAAAGACCTCGTCGTCAGGCACGCCGGTGTAGGGGTGCTCGAACAGACCGGCCTTGAACTTGGCCTTGAGGACACGGGAGACGGCGGTGTCGACAATGTCCTCGGGCAGAGTGCCGTTGGCGACGAGCTCGGGGATGTACTGGAAGCTGTAGCGGCCGCCACCCATCTCGACGTCGTTACCAGCCGGGAGGGCCTGTTTTGGTCAGTGACTTGCGCTGGCGAGGACATGCTGCAAGACATACATTCATGGTGATGCAGGTATCATCGGTCTCTCCGCAGACATTAAAGGCGTTGCCCAGACGCGCAGTACCGCCGGCGTCAGACTATTGTTGTTAGCCAAGGTCAGTGACGATACATTGGTGAACCTACAATGACGTAGTACTCATAGCCCCATTCCTCACGGAGGATCTCGGTCAGAAGGTGGTGGTCGGCAATGGTAGGGACACCGTCGTAGGAGTTGTAGGAAGACATGATTGCCCAGGCATCGGCCTCGAGGATGGCGCGCTTGAAAGAGGGCAAGTAGGTCGTGCGGAGCTCTCTGGGACCGCCGTGAACGGGAGCCGTGTTGACTCCCTGCTCCGGAGTGGCAAAGGCAGCAAAGTGCTTCACCATGGCGCAGACGCCGTTCTCTTGAAGACCCTTGGTGTAGCGGTAGCCGTACTCGCCGACGCTTCTCTTTGTTAGTTTTCTTTGCCATTGGATGGTTCACCGGCACGTACAGGAAGGGGTCCTCGCCGTAGGTCTCCTCGACACGGCCGAATCTCAGCTCGCGGGCCAAGTCGACAACGGGGGCGAAGATCTGGTTGACACCGAGAGCCTTGGACTCAACGGCAATGACTTTGGCCATCTTCTCAATCAACTCGGGGTTCCACGAGCATCCGTGGGCAATTGGAGAGTTGAAGATGGTGGCATTGAGGGCGAGGAACCCGTGGATACCCTCGCTCTGGATGAAGGCCGGAATACCTGGACAGTCTCAGCATCAATTGATCCAATTGACTCCCATCGAACTCACCCAGAGAGGTGTTGTGTACGAAGTAGTCCTGAGCGACCTTTGCGCCGTACGAGATCTTGTCTACGGTCGAGTACAGACCGGTCCAGATGGAGTTGGCTCTGTGCTCGGCAGCCCAAACCAGGCCCGTCTCGTTGAAGCGGCCATCGGTCAGGTTGAGGTAGTCACGGATGTCAGCCTGAAGCAATTGGGCAGTCTTCTCCTCGATTGTCATGCGCTTGAGGAGATCAGAGACTCTGGTGTTAATTGGGGCCTTGGGATCCTTGTAGATGGGCAAGCTGCTGTTCGTGCTGTTCTGGGCGCTAACGAGCGCGGCCAGCGAGGCGAGGGCCAGAGAGAGCTTCATGATTCCTGACCGGACAATGGAACACAGGGTGACGTTCGGCTAAGGCTCCAGAGATCAGAGGACGCGACTCGAGCATGACACGCGCAGCTGGAGGGTATTAATACGCTCGCAATCCGAGTCCACGGTTCCGCGAATTCCCAGACCGAAGCGACATGATCCCACGGCCAAGGAAGCTACATAAACAGACGTAATTGCTTTGGGGCAAACAGCCGACGGGAGAAGACCTTCTCCGCATCGATCACATATCCCCAGGCCACCCCGGAAGACAGTCCAATCTGGAGAGATGTAAAATGCAACGGCGTAATTTTGCTAGCGCAGCGGTCTTGTCTGCTGTCCATTGGGCGGAACTTGGACGACCCCTGACGGTTCGTGGACCTTGGCCTTGCGGGGAGTGGCGGTGTTGGAGACCTAGACCGGTGACCTCACGACGAACAGCAGCTGTCGGCCAGCTAATTAGGAAGTACAGCAGACGATTTCGTCGCCATGTTGGCTTGTGAAGCTGATGATGGGCAGTTGAGTGAGGGGAATAAGATGAATTGGGGTTGAGGTTGGAGAAGCTCATGTCGGCCCCAGATCTGCAGGAGCGGACTGGGGGAGGGGTTCGCTTGGGGCCGACCAATAGCCGGGGCTTGGCAGGTGGGTCTCTCCCGGCTGTTTTCCACCAATGACACGGCTCGCGGCCCCTACTGATCCGGAGCCCGAGAACCGCACAAATCCGACCAACCGCAGAGGACGCGGCGCCGGGACGGCAGTGACCCCACTGCCCCACAATGGATGGAGGAGATGGAGGTGGCCCCAGATCTCCGCAAGAACTGCAAAGTGGTCTGCTGGTGCCTCTTTGCTCCCAATTCTTCTCCAATCCGCATTTCTTCCCGCTCTCGTTCTCGCCAACACGATCCTGCGCTCTCGGGCCGTCTGCCGCAGCCAATCGGTCGACTCTAATGGCTAAACCCGTGGACATGAATCAGCGGCCTCGCCGTCGAGGCTCGCTCTATTGCGGGTCCCGGCGGGATTGCGGCCACCGGATTCGCTGGCGATATTCCCCGATAGCGGGACTCTGCCGTGCGAGTCCTCTCTGCTCCGCCTAATCCTTTTGCCCTCGACTGAGAGACCGTCGTACAAGAGACGAGATTCACTCTGTTCTGAGCAGCCTGGCTCAGTCGCGTCTTGACTTTTCAAAATCTTCAGTTCGTGTGTTGAGATACCCCTTTTTGAAAGCTGTCCAACATGGTCCGCCTTCGCGATGGAATGTGGCTGCCCGCCGAGGGCACGGCGACGGAATACGCAGAGGAAGTCTACTATACAACCGAGATCGAGGGCGGAAAGGGCCTCAGTTTATTGTGCCCGACGAGGAAAATCAAGTCTCGGGGCCACACGCTGAATGCGAGCACCGTAACCATTGTAAGTCAAACCTTGGATCCTCTGCGGCACGTCACTTACACCAAGACAGGATGTCAAGGCCGAGTTTGACGGCGTCATCTCAGTCGAGGCGACTCACTGGGCCGGCGCGCTCAACAAGGGTCCTCATTTCGAGCTTTTCCCAGATGGCAGGCCCGAGGTTGAGGCACAGATCAAAAAGGGTGACAAGGGCACGACGACTTTATCCTCGGGCTCGCTGTCCGCGACCGTCCACCCGGATTTCGACATACAGTTCCACAGTACCGACGGCTCCAAGCGGCTGACGTCCCTTGGGAGCCGAAGCGTCGGCCTGGCGTACAACCCCCCGCCAAGCACGCCAATGCAGACCGGGGACATGCGCAACTTCAAGCACTACATGTTCACCCAGACCACGCTCGGCGTCGGTGAGACCATCCACGGCCTCGGTGAGAGGTTCGGCGCCTACAACAAGGTCGGCCAGTCCATCTCGCTCTGGAACGCCGACGGCGGCACCTCCAGCGAGCAGGCCTACAAGAACGTCTCTTTCTGGCTTAGCTCCAAGGGCTACGGCGTCTTCATCGACACGCCCGGCAAGGTCGACCTGGAGATCGGGAGCGAGCGCTGCAACCGCCTGCAGACCGTCGTCGAGGGCCAGAGGCTCAAGTGGTACATCATCTACGGGCCCACGCCCAAGGACATCCTGAAGCGCTACACGACTCTCACGGGCCGCGCCGGCAAGGTGCCCAGCTGGAGTTTCGGTCTCTGGCTGACGACGAGCTTCACAACAAACTACGATGAGGAGACCGTCAACACTTTCCTCGAGGGCATGAAGGCCCGCGGCTCCCCCGTCGACGTCTTCCACTACGACTGCTTCTGGATGAAGGCCTTCACCTGGACCGACTTCGTCTTCGATTCGGAGCGCTTCCCCGACCCCAAGAAACAGATCGCCCGCCTCAAGGAGTCCGGCCTCTGCAAGAAGGTCTGCGTGTGGATCAACCCCTACATCGCCCAGCACGGCGAGGCCTTCAAGGAGGCCGCGGACAAGGGCTACCTCGTGAAGCGCAGGAACGGCGACGTCTGGCAGTGGGACCTGTGGCAGGCCGGCATGGGCCTCGTGGACTTCACCAACCCCGAGGCCTGCGCGTGGTACGTGGGGAAGCTCAACACCCTCTTCGACCAGGGCGTCGACGCCATCAAGACGGACTTTGGCGAGCGCGTGCCGACCCTCGACGTCGAATGGCACGACAAGACCGTCGACCCCGTCAAGATGCACAACTACTACGCCTTCATCTACAACAAGGTCGTCTACGAGGCCCTCCAGAAGCGCTACGGCGACGACGAGGCCGTCCTCTTCGCCAGGGCCGCCTGCGCCGGCACCCAGCGCTTCCCGCTGCAGTGGGGCGGCGACTGCGAGTCCACCCCGGAGGCCATGGCCGAGTCCGTCCGCGGCGGCCTCGGCCTCGGCCTCAGCGGCTTCTCCTTCTGGAGCTGCGACATCGGCGGCTTCGAGGGCTACCCGCCCCCCTGGATCTACAAGCGCTGGGTCGCCATGGGCCTCCTGTGCAGCCACAGCCGCCTGCACGGCAGCAGCTCGTACCGCGTCCCCTGGGTCATCGACGACGACGACCAGTCCGACGAGGGCTGCTCCAGGACGCTGGCCAAGTGGACCGCCCTCAAGTCCCGCCTCATGCCCTACATCTTCGCCCAGGCCCAGGCCGCCGTCGACCAGGGCATCCCGCTCTCGCTGCGCGCCATGTGCATCGAGTTCCCCGACGACCCGACCGCCTGGTACCTCGACAGGCAGTTCATGCTCGGGCCCGGCGTCCTGGCGGCGCCCATCTTCGAGGAGTCGGGCGAGGTCGAGTTCTACCTGCCCCGGGGCCGGTGGACGTCCTTCTTCACGGGGGAGCACCGCGAGGGTCCGGGCTGGTTCAAGGAGACGCACGGCTTCGGCACGCTCCCGCTCTACGTGCGGGAGAACACCGTCCTGGTGCTGGGGAGCACCAAGGCCGTCGGTGCCGTGTACGACTACGCGGCCGACGTCGAGGTGAGGCTGTACCAGGTCAAGGAGGGCGCCAAGGCCGTCATCGTCGACAGCGAGGGTAAAGAGGTTGGCGTGCTGGAGGTCGGCGCGGACGGGAAGCTCAAGGATACGTCGGTTCTCAAGGGCGACTTCAGCGTCACGGAGCTATGAGGTTGTGTGGTCATGTTCACGAATGTATGAGGTTATCTGCATTATCTAGGGTTAAACGGCGTAGACGCGGTGCAAAGTCATGGGTTTTACCAGTTCAGTTGTCGGCTCGTCGCCATCGTCACCGAGAGGTCTGCCGGCCCGTCCCAGCGGCCATCCCGACCAACCGGGAGCAGTCGGGTAACGGCTATCTCGTTCAAGGCGTCCCCGCGCCAAGTCAGTGACGTTGGCAATGAACCACTCATCTCATCTCCGTCCTGCGTCGCTCCCCCCCTTCTCAATGGTCTGATTCAAATGAGTCCTTTCTCCAATTCCCCGACCTGACGATCCCCATATTTCGTCGACTTCCACGAGCAAGGTCACCCCTCTCATCACGAAGAAGAACCCCTGGTCGGCCAGAGTTTCCCCGCGAACCACGACGATCGATCCCCACCTTTCGACCCTGGTCGTTCCCCGGCCCCTCATCGCGACCTGACCCCGGATCCCAGACAGCCCAGTCAGAGCTGTCCAAGGCCGCCGCTACGAGTATGCGCTGCTGCGTTGTTCGCCTTCTAGATGGGCTAAGAATTTCTCTCTGGTTTCGCTACCTGACGTGCTGACTTTGATTTGGACAATGGATAGTTGTGTTCTCATCGGCCGTGTCCTGATTCAGCTTCCAATTTGACTAACAGGGGTTTCCCCAAATGCGGGGTAGGTAATCCGGCAGGATCGGATGACGTTGCCAGGATGGTGCTTTGAGATCTTTTGAAGACTTCTCCCTGAACTGGGCGGATGAAGTCTTTGAGAAGATGAGAAAGGCCGCTTGCGTAGATGGAGCTCTTCTGTATAGAACTGCGAGGAAAGAGTTAGGAGAATCGATCACAGCCTCTCGGACTCGAGAGTAATACTGTCTGCTTGTATGCTTCCTCTCCAGGGACCAAAGACCAGGAGGTCTCTTTAATATAATCTCATTCTGTCCCGAAGCGATGGTAGATACCAGCGAGATGGATCGCGTTGCAGGGACCAGATCCCAAGTTCCACTGGAACCGCGCAGTTGGAAGCCTCTCAAGGGCCTGAGTGCGACTCTGCGATACGACTTCAAGGGTGGTCTGCGTCCGTCAGATGGGGTCGCTTCTAGATGATTGTAACATGTCTCATTGGGCTCCCTTAACGCCTATCCCGGCAGTATATGCAAGAAGGATCTCTATGGAAAATGTGTGAAAACTTCTGCCCCGATAGCGTAATCCAGGCATCCGACGTCCCGCAAAGGGTATACCTCAATATGAACCTCCCAAGGCATATTGTATCATAGCTAGTTCAAATCAGTCCACTGGGGGTCTGCGTTAGCCTCTCCTTCTGAAAGCGTCTTGCCGGTCGACCTACGTTGTCCGGTGCGTTCGTAACCTCCTCGTACGACTGCAGAATCTCGAATCCCATCGCCATGACATGTTCATAAGCGTCATCTTGCACCTGTACGCCGTTAGTCGAGGCCTCTTACCATGATAAAGAGGCTACATACCCAGCTGAGCACCGTCCTGGCAGATTTGTGCGCCTTGTTTTGCCGAACACCCATCAACGTCAATCCCTGAAGCACCAGCGTGTCCTGCGGCCCAGAGTGCACCACGGGCGCGAGTACACCGCCCACTTCCTCGTCCCCGTTGGGCAGGAGATGTGGTATGAACGTCGACAGCGGGCTCCCCGGTCTGCAGATGATGATCGTGCCCAGCAACGCGTCTCCCGGGCCCTTGGCTCGCACGATACCGCACGCCTTGGTCTCCTGCAGGGCAGACTTGTACAGCTCAAAGACCTCTGGGTTCGCGTGGGCGCCGACGTGGCCCAGCACCGTCTCGGCGTTGTCCAGGCCGTGAATGAGATCGAAGCTGAGGTTGGCTCGTTGGATGCTCTGCAGCAGACCTTCGGGGATGCTCCAGCTACTGAGATCGTTGATGATCAGATTGGTGAGCCGCTTCGGGAACTGAACGTCCCATCCGTTGTTGGCGAACCAGTTCTTGACCCCTCCCTCGTCGATCGGGATGCCAAGGAAAACGCCTGGGTAGGACGTCCCCAGCTGCAGTTTCTTGACGCCCCGCTTACCGGTGAGGTGTCTCAGGGCTCTCCGGTGAAGGGAGCGGCCGACCGAGACGTTCCGTTTCGACGGATCCACAAAGATGGCGCCGAGGATACCGATGCCGTCTACCACGTACGTCGCCGCAAACCCGTACAGGGCGTGCGTGCTGCTGTTTCTCACCACGAAGTGCGCTTCCTCGATGTCAGGGTTGAACAGCTCGAAGCAGGCCGCCGATATATTCTCCAAATGGCCGAGGTCGACCGTGTTCGCCCGAGAAACTGCCTTGGTAAGCTCCTCCAGCCCCTGACTGTCACGCTCGCGGTCGAATTCCTCGACGATCCAGTGCTGGCGCGACTTGAGAACCTTCTTGCTCTTCCGTAGCGTCCCGGGAAGAGTCCCCTTGGGTACGAACATCCCACACAGAGCGCGGACCAGTGCGCTCATAGCGTTTTCGGTAAAGTCAAACGTGCAGATGTAGGTGCCGATGGATTTGTCCATGGCGAAGTCGTAGGGAGAGCTTACGGCAACGACGATGACTGATTTCTTTTGACCGCGCGTGCGAAGCATGGAGCACATCATCTCGACGTGCTTGGTGAACCCGGCCTGATATAGGTTCCTGTTGGCGTCCGCAGTCACGATGATGATGCAGGATGCCCGGTTGATGAGGTTTTCATGCACTTCTATACTTAGCTGAGATCGTCACATCAGAACAGTCGACTTACCTGGTCGAACTCCGTTTGCAGTGTAGCTGGTGTGGAGGAGCTTGCCGTGGCGTGCTCGAGCTAGAGAACGTCCAAACTCCCGGAAGACGCCCTCTCCACTCATGATGGCCCCCTTTTCCCTGTGGAGCCATTTGTCATGGGCTGTAGGCGCAAGCATCTGCGCATCTTTGGCCTGTAGGATACTCTTCGTCAAGCTTGAGGCTGGTAATGGCTTCACAAGCGGTGTCAGGAGCAGCAGCTCCTCCTCTTGATGCATAGATTGCGGTAAAGGCAAAAGCTTCTCCTTGTCACGGATAACCGTGATAGAGTCGTCATATGCTTTCCTTGATAAAGCCATGTGCGAGGGGTGCAGCTTAGACAGAAGCGATATGCCAGGAGGGTTGAGGGCGGTCTGCCAGGATGTGCATGTGTCCTTCAGACGAAGCACCCGCTTGAGGGAGGTGAGGATTCTGTCTTTGGAGAAGATGCCGTTCTCAACACCGAGCTTGAGCCCCTTGATGGCCTCGAGCTGGACATCGTAGGCTCGGCAAAGGAGCACGAGATCGCACCCGGCTTCTACGGCCATCACAACCCCGTTCTGCACACCCAGCTCATGGGTGAGTGACTCCATCTCGAGGCACTCGGAGATGGCAACTCCATCAAAGCCGAGTTCTTCCCTCAGGAGGTCATCCACAACTTGGTTGGACAGGCAAGCATGAGATACGTTCATAGAAGGGTTCGAAATACCACAGCCTCCAACGAACATGGCATCAAGCTTCCCTGTGGCGATGGCGTTGCGGAAGGGCACCAGAGCACTCAGACTCAATTCTTCCAGGGTCTGAGTGATGATGGGGACTTCCAGGCTGGAGCCCAGAAAGTCCAGGTTCCCGTACGAGGGAAAGTGCTTCCCGCAGCACGCGAGGCCTGCATCACGAATACCGTTGATGGCTGCGATACCGTACTGAGAGACCTCCTGGGGGTCGTCCCCGGTGGCGCGGACTCCGACTGGCTGGTACCTCGCGTTGGAGAGAACGTCTAGAACAGGGCCGAGCATAAGGTTGATGCCACATGCTCCGACTTCAGTCGCAGTAGCCTTTGACACTTCGTACGCTAGCTCGACCCGTCCCGTGGCGGCCACGCCCATGGCGCTCGGGAACTGGCACACGTAGTCCTCATCGAAGAGACTATTCACGCCGCCGTTCTCCTGGTCCAGAGCAATAAGCAGGGGCTTAGGATGGCCGGCCTTGTGAGCGATTGTCTGGAGTTCCTTGACCAACTTGGCCGTCTCTTGGGCCGCTGCAGGACATCAGCATGGGTTGACTGGGACAGATTGGGGGCGGAAAGGAAAGTGCTGCTGACTCTTGAGGTTCTTGGCCGTCAAAATGATGGTTCCGAGGTGGTGGTCCTCAATCAACGAGCGTATCTGAGGCGTCACTTCTGTGCCATCCCAACCCATGACGAGCATCTGGCCAATGGCCCTGGACGAGACGAACCATGTCAGCAAGCGAATCGGAATAGCATCCACAGGGCCTGGCTTCTAGAAGAAGCAACGAGCACGACACGAGACGGGACGAGACGACAGGGAGGGCTCATGGGAGGGCGGGTCGAGGAAGAGGTAGACGTACCAATCGAGATCCTGCCATAGTGGGTCGAGCTCCATGTTGAGCTGGGCCATGGCGAGCGGTCTGCGGCTCGTCACGTTTTGACGCGCATAGTACTTTTCCAGGTAGCGTGTCTTGAACGGGGAGAGGTAACGACGACCCTTCTCCGGTGTTGACGTTGACGTTGACGCTGACGTTGAGTCCCCGTTGATGGACGGACGCTGATGCTGGTGCGGATGCTGGCGCTGGTGGTGTCTGGAGCTGTTGCCGGGTCCATCGCGCGTCGTCTGAGAGGACGCGGGCTGCAACTGAGTGTGGGACGCCATGTGCCGCGCTCTCGGGAGGGGTGGTCCGGGCTTGACCTGTCAGACCCGGCCCGAAGCTGATTGGCTGCCGGAGGGCGGGGATATCGAATGGCCGATTGGCGCACGGTCCAAGAGTCCAGGCGGGGGTGTGTGGAGCGGATGGGGCCGATGCTGAATGGTACGTACCGTGACAAGGTCCACTTTCTTCTGTTAGCGTTCTGATCTTCGGCTTCGACAACGGAACGTTACATGGAGCCTCACCACGTCAAACCTTCTTTTCCAATTCCCCGTCCCGCCCGACACCTCAGTCTGTGTCTGGTGTCTGCGACTGTGACAATCCGTCTTGGATCTTCCACACTCCAGTCCCTGACTCGATGTGGGCCTTCTCCGATTCTGGATCTTGAGGAGGGGGTGCCGAAAGCAGTGGTGCGTCGTCGGTGCTTGGGTGCTTTCGAGTGAAACAAAGCAACAGAAACGAGTCCTTTTGCCATGTGGACCGGCCGTTGGTCAAGTAGTCTCTGACTCGGAGGGGTTCCAGAGGCACCTGGCGCTGCAACGGACACCTTTCGGAGGGCACCTGGCACTTCAGTCTCCAATGCTCCATCCCCACCGAGGGCACGTTGATGCTATCGCCTGGTGATGTGCTCCGTCCTATCTCATACCACCATGTGTGGTGGCCAAGTCTCTGTGACTGTGAGGGGCGATGACGAGGTCGCCAGCGTCTTGGAAGCCACCAGACTTTCATGCAAGCCGGGCCATGCCGGCACCGTTGCCTTTCGCCGAGCCGCAGCGGTTGCAGCAGCCCGCAGCTGCACCGCCGGTGAATAATACCCGGATGACGCCCAGCGCTCCCTCTGCGTTTCGGAGCTGAGTTCATGGCGTCGATATTGAAGATCAACCCGCCGACCTCTCTTCTCTCTACACAGGAACAAATCAGCGCTCACCATCCAGTCTGACACCATGCCCATCGCCATTCCCCAGACGCCCAAGAATGGCATTACAAAATTCACAAACTGCCGCCTCGTGAAGGGCGACGCCCTGGTGCAGGAGGACATCTGGGTCAGCTCCGTCACGGGAAAAATCATCCACAGCCAGGCGGCCTTCTTCGATGACCTCCTGCTGCCGGACGAGACCGTCAACCTCGGCGGCCGTATCGTGTCCCCCGGCATGATCGACTGCCAGCTGAACGGCGCGTTTGGGTTCAACTTCTCTACTCTCCTCGAGGACATGTCGCAATATGGCAAAAAGGTCCGGGAGCTCAACAGGAAGCTGATAGCCACTGGCGTCACGTCCTACGTCCCAACTCTCACCAGCCAGAGACCAGAGCTCTATCAGAAGGTGAGCAAAGTCACGGCATCTCAAAGGTTCTAGAAGGCTCACGGATACAGGCCCTTCCATATCTGGGACCGTCTAAAGGCTCGGCAGCAGCGGATGAGGGAGCCGAGTCTCTCGGAGCACACGTCGAGGGCCCGTTCCTCAACCCCACAAAGAACGGCGTTCACAATGTCGACGTCTTGCAGCAAGCAGAGACGTTCGATGATCTGGTCGAGTGCTATGGCGCCGAGAACATTGAGTCTGACGCCAACGGCGGTGTAATCCCCATCAAGATGATCACCGCCGCCCCAGAACGTGGGCGGATGACAGAACTCATTCCCGAGCTGCGGGAACGAGGAATCATCTACTCCATCGGCCACTCTGAAGCTACATACGAAGAGGCATCGGCTGCGGTTGCTGCTGGAGCCACGATGATTACTCATCTGTTCAACGCCATGAGGCCTCTTCATCACCGCAACCCGGGTGTGTTCGGTGTCTTGGGTATTGCTGAGAGCCTGGCCAGGCCCTACTTCGGTATTATCTCTGACGGCATCCACCTGCATCCCACCACGATCAAGATTGCCTTCAATGCCCATCCTGATGGCTTCATCCTGGTCACCGATGCCATGCACATGATGGGCCTTGCAGATGGGTCTTACGAGTGGACCAACGGGGAGGACATGAACCATATCGTCAAGGTCGGCTCTACGTTGTTGTTGGAGGGCACAGATACGATCGCTGGAAGGTGAGTTACAGCTCTTGGTCTGAAGTGAACATCACTAACGGGTCTCAGTGCCGTCACATTGATGGAGTGCGTCAACAACTTCCTGAGATGGTCCGGCACGGGCATTCCCAAGGCCCTGAAGGCTGTGACCGCGACCCCGGCGGCGATGTTGGGTCTTCACGGGGTCAAGGGATCTCTGGAAGACGGTGCCGATGCGGACCTGGTCATCTTCTCAGAGGAAGTGAGAGATGGCGCCACACAGCTGGTCGTGGATGAAGTCTGGAAGGCCGGAAGGATGGTGTCGAGTCGGGAGGACACACAATCGCCGATCTCGTAAAGTGCGAGTCACATTTGTGGGCATGGCATAGTATGGCATAAGACAAGATTGAAAGAGGGACGAACCCTACAATAGACTGTATACTCATAGATATGAAGCAAGATGCATTATAGAAGAGCAGCATGAAGGAGTTTTGGGATATGGTGTAGTTAGACGTGACGTTTAGTCGGATAGCGAATTCATCTAGATTTGACTTACAGCCACATGCAACGGTCTGACATCAGATTGACCAACTCACCTCACTCAATCTCTCTCAGGAAACAAGAAGTAGGAACGCTTCGACTGCAATTGACGGGAAAATAAGACAACATTCCTACGATGTAGGTGGCGTACGGGTTCCATATGACCTTCACAAAAAAATGCGTGAGAAACAGTAAGATGGGCGCCCAAGGTAAGCGCTAATTTCCCCACGTAGAATGACGATGACCGCACCCTGATCTTCCAGTCCTCGAGGAACATATTTAAGACATTCAAATCCAATTTCAACTTCAATCACAGACTTCGTCTGACTTCATCTACTTTCAAAACGTGCAGTTCATCATAAGATCCATCATGTCCGCTTCAGACTCATCCCTCACCGCCGTCTACGAGGCCATCGAGAAGACCCTCAACGAGTTCCTCCTGGGCTACGAGAAAGCGACAGCGCACAACGACACATCCTACCTCTCGACCACGTTAACACCCGACTGCAAGCGCCGCTTCTTACCCGAGTCGTTTCTCAAATCCCAAGGCGCCCCGGGTGACTTCGCCACCGACAACAAGACGTACGAGGAGATGTTCTCCAAGCATCTTCCCGTCCACGCCACGCACAAGACGGAGATCAAGAACGTCACCATCGACGCCTGGAAGAAGAAGGCCGCCGCGACGACCGTTTTCCACTGCAAATACAGTGACGGAGAGCCCCTTCTGATGGAATTCGGGTGGTTCCTAAGCTTCACGGATGACGGGACGAAGGTTAATGAGGTCTGGGAGGTCATCGACAGCATGGAGGCGCCCAAATTCGAGGAAAAGTCCAAGAGGCTCTTGGAGGAGCTGGAGGCGAAGAAGTGAGAGTGAACGTTTGTCAATTATAAACACTGTGAGATATTCATCACTAAGGTAGTAATCGACACTCATTCATCGAGTGTATCTAAGTGAGGTGTTGGCAATTTCAAGCATGATGTTTGCTGCAGCCAAAATGACAGGGGACTTCATTGTGCTCAGCGGGGCTCATCTCCCCAGTGCACCGGGGATGCTGCTAAGAGAACCCCCAGAACAGACCCCATTAGGCGCCCCCTCACTGCCTCCACAGTGCGATAACGCCTGCAGCCGTTGGCGAGCTGGTCAGCCAATGGCGGCAGACCAGCGGCCTGATAGGGGTTGGCGCGGCGTCTCTCCAGTGCTCCACCCGACCTCCACGTCCACGGCTGCCGTGGGCTGGGCCTCCCAAGAGAGAGATCCCTCCGCTTCTGCATTTCAATCGACAGTCGCTCGGACAAGACATTCGCTATCCGTACTCAGGCGGCACATCGCCCTTTGCTTTTGCGACTTTTTTTTCTATTATTCTAGCCGCGCCCGTCCCTCGTTTGTCTATCGAACGTCCCGTCGACAAATTCCTCGCCCTCTGGGCCGCCCGACCCCTCTGGATCGTCCCTCGCGACGACGACCAGCGAGCGCAACTCGTCCTCCCGCGGCTGGCACAACCATGCGATGGCCGCGTTCCATTCATTATCGTCCGGCGCGACGCCTGGCGATGGCATGACTATCAACAGCACCGTTGTGGACGGCCTGGACTCGTCCATCTTCGACGAGTCTATCCTGTAGGTCATCTTTTGTGCGGACGGGAACGCTGCTGTCAAGCTGAACCTTCGCGGGCGGCTGTCGCATCTTTGGGACGGGTGTGGTGTGTCAGACGACTAACACGTCGGCCGCAGGGAAACGATGAACGGCCCCTTTCCCACAATACCCTTCACTCCGAGCTACGATTTCCAAGACCTGTCCACCACGGGCTTCGAGGACCCGTTCGCATACTCGAACCGACCCTTCGAGGCGCAGCCCGCGCCCGAGTTCAGCCAGGACTCACCCGCGCAGGAGCTCGACAACAAGCTGCTGGGCTTCTCGGCGCCCACGCTGAAGGCGACCCTCGTCGACGGGAACGGCCAGCCCGTGGAACTCGGGATCACGGCGGAGCTGTACGGCATGTTCTTCGTCGCGGAGGACGTCTTTGGCGTGGAGAACAGCGGCCGTCCCCTCGAGCTGACGTGCTACCGGCGGAACCTGTGGCAGTGCTCTGGACAGGTGACGGTGCCGAGACACATCACGCATGTGCTGGATGAGCAGGGGCGGCACATACCCATCTTCGAGCTTGCGGCTTCCATCATAGCGATCGAGTCCATCGAGGGCAAGGTGACGGAGATCATATCGATACCCTGGAAGAGCGCGCACCCGATCGGCGCCGAGGAACCCAAGTCGTCTGGTGGGCCGCCGAATATTGTCCTCGATTTGGCCAATGGGCAAGAGATGGACGCCAATACGGTCTCGTTGCCGCTGTCGTGGAAGAGGCTGCAGTTCAAACATGCGACGGCGAACAACGGCAGGAGGAAAGGTCTCCAGCAGCACTATCTGGTGCAGATAAGCCTGCTCGGAAAGCAGCAGTCTGGAGAATACATCAAGATTGCCGAAATACACTCGAGTCCCGTCATTGTTAGGGGGCGAAGCCCAAGGAATTTCGACAGTCGGAAGGACATCCCTTTGACGGGGGACAAGAAGCTCGAGAGGAGGAGCAACAGTGACGCTTCATCATCTGTTCCTCCCAGAGACAACGGCATACAGACGCCAGCACCAAAATATCAGCCACTAAACAACATTCAGGTAAAGAGCTTCTTTCGTTTCTGGTGCTGAGGATGACTGACAGTTTGTAGCAACCCGCAGACTGGGGCACGCCTCAGCTGTACCGAGAAAACAGCAACAGCCAGCCTCCCGCAAAGAAACTAGCCCTCTCACCGGGAATATCTCGACCACCAATACCAGCGTGGTCTTCGGAACCAGCGAGACAAGCAGCAAGGCCCTCGATGTCCAGTTCGCGACCGGGCATATCCGGGCCCATCAACCTGTCCCTGTCCGAAGACGAGAGGAGTCCAAACAGGTCCAACTCGGATGTGCAGAGCCCGCAATTTACCAAGTCCATGGCAGCTGTAGTCCACAACTCAAGTCAGAGCCCCAAAGAAGAGGACGACCTGCTGTACGAGTACTTCCCGCTCAGCGTGGACGACTGGTAAGTCTGCTGGACATTTTCACTTGCGTTCATAAGCTGACTCTCTTCAGGATGCCGCCCGTCGAAGCTATCTACCGGCCACACGTCGTCCACCACACGATTGTGCCGCCCGAGATCAAGGCGCAACAACTACGCAGCAAAAGCAAGCGCATGTTCACGGCGGAGTCGTGATGCCGATTTGAATGGACATTTATGCTTTTTATTCTCATACTATTGGCATGTGTGGGCAACGGCGATTTATATATGGATTCACTGGAAATGATTTAACGAAGCCAATTCTTTTTGGTGTGAGGTGTATTATAGGCTAATTTGGGCCATGCGCCCGTTCGGCAGACTGAGGAGGGGCAGATGAAAGTGGTTTGCAAAATGCCGAGGCGGTCGAGTGAGTGGAACACGTTGTTATACCCGGATGTAGTTACGTTGAACGACTAAGGAGAATTCAAACGCCCGAGCCTTCATCTGGCCGGGCGCTTTTTCGTATTGAACCAGAGCTGAGATGATCTCTCACCTGGCCAATCACATAATGAATGTGTTTGAAGAACTTGAACGACATACACAAAACTCCAAACTCCCCCCCACACACGGTTTCTATTCTCGTTCATCTCATCTCAAATAAACGTACACGGTACGTAAAAGGTCATTCTACTCATGACATGCGTGTCTAAGCGCGCCCCGATTTCCCTTTTTCCTGATTTTATCCAAAGTTTTACAAGTTCCCTTTTTTATGATAATTCAGATCCGTTCTACTATGCTACATTCTGGCCGGCCCACGAAATGATTTGCACCTGCGAAAGCGAGCGACTGTGCGGTTAAACGACTCGGCTTACAATCAATGATGCGCTCTCTCTTCTTCATCTCTTCTTCATGTTTCTCATTGCCCGCTCACTCAAGCGCCGACGGCGTTCACACGCAGCTGCTGCTCCGGATTCGGAGTCAACCGCCGCGCGAGCGCCGGCTCGGGGATGCGGGATGCCATGCGGTCGAGGACCGGCTCCGGCGTGACGGACCTCGACAGAGAAGACTGCTGCTGCTGCTGCTGCTGCTGTTCGGGGTTCGGCGTCAGACGCCGCGCGAGGGCCGGCTGGTCGGGCATGCGGTTGGCCATCCTGTCGGTGACGAGGTCCGGGGTGACGGCGCGCAGCTGCTGCTCCGTCGGCGACTTGGTGCGGGACTCCATGCTCTCGAAGACGAGCTCGATGTCCGGGGAGACGGAGCGGACGGGGTACTCGGTCGCCGGGGAGGCGCGGAGCAGGCGCGAGGTCGTGGGCTGCGGGTGCAGGATCGTCGGGGTCTGGACTTCGTCGACGACTGTCACGGGGATGGGGCCCGGGCCGGTGCGGATTCTTGAGGGGAGGATCTGCTCGAAGCCTTGTTCTCTTGCCACCTTTTCGATGCTCTTGAAGTACTGGGACTCATGTTAGCAGATGGACGCGCTTGGAAGAGAGGGAGCTCGTTACCTTGACAGTCTTGACCTGCAGCTCGAGCGTGGCGTCCTCGTCGACGACGAGCATCGGGTGGGGGTGCAGCTGGAGGCTGGAGAGCGTCCACATGTGGTTGACGCCCTGCTCGATGCACTTCTGCAGGGCGAGGGCCTTCTTGGCGCCGAGGATGATGGCGACGACCTCCCTGGACTCGAGGACGGTCTGGACGCCGACGGTGAGGGCGAGGCGGGGCACCTTGGAGACGTCGTTGTCGAAGAAGCGCGAGTTGGCGAGGATGGTGTCGTAGGCGAGGGTCTTGACGCGGGTGCGGGAGGCGAGGCTGGAGCCGGGCTCGTTGAAGGCGATGTGGCCGTCCTCGCCGATGCCGGCGAGGAAGAGGTCGATGCCGCCGACGGCCTTGATGCGGGCCTCGTAGGCGACGCACTCGGCCTCGAGGTTGGGGGCGTTGCCGTTGAGGATGTTGACGTTGTTGGGGTGGATGTTGACGTGGGAGAAGAGGTGCTTCCACATGAAGGAGTGGTAGGACTCCGGGTGGTCGCGGGGGATGCCGACGTATTCATCCTTTGGTGTGTGAGACGATGATCATGTTTGTCACTGGAATGGATTCACGCGTACCATGTTGAAGGTGATGACATTTTCGAAGGAGATCTAAGGAACCGGTCCGTCAGCCACAGACACACACTAACACACATCCTGATCAGAGGCGACCCTTACCTCTCCAGCCTTGTACTTCTTTACGAGCATCCTGTACACCCCCAGGGGACTGCTCCCCGTGGGCAGGCCGAGGACGAACGGGTGGGCGGGGGTGGGACGGAAGTTCTTGATCCTGTCCACGATGTAGTTGGCCACATAGGCGCTGGCCGCGTCGGCATCGTCACGGATGATGAGCCTCATCTTGAACAAGGTTTATGGAAGCGGTATAGCGTGGGGTTGCAACGATACGAGGAGGGTGTAGTATAAGCGCGAGCGAGGGGGTTAAAGAGATGAGCTCAGGCTTGCAGGTGAGGGATGTATTCAGAGAGAGGACGGGGAAAAGAAGCACTACGAGCGATGCAAAGCTGAAGGGGCTCTGCTTATGAGGGCACAACTGCTCAAGGTAGGCAGGTCTGTGGGCAAGGTTCGGAGACAAGAACGGTCGTCTCGCTCCCTTGAGGGGTTGAATCCCCTGAGGGGTTCCCCGTCGCGAAGCACAGCTGACATCACAGACTTTGCGGAAGGCCGTTCCCCCCAGAAAAAAAGTGTGCTGAAGATTTGGCCGTGGTGGAGGGATGGAACGTCACTGCTATCGGTGGTGTTTGAAAGTGGTGAGTCCCACCACCAACCGGGCGCGCGCGTCCCACCTTGGAGAAGACCGCGGGGAACATTGTTATCAACGTTGCCAGTCGTGGGTATCGGCCGAGTCACCTGGTTTCAGGGATTGGACGAGGACGCTCTTGTGGTTTGGGGCTGTGGAGGGTGTCGAGACCGACCAGCCGACGACTCACGAGACGAGGCTTCTGGAAGGAGTTGTTCATTTGGGTAGTGAGCAGCACCGTACAGCAAGTAGACCATGACGGAGCCCCGTTTCGACGGGCCATCGTCATCCATCATTTAGACTCGATATGGCCCGACGTCCCCGAGCAGGGGTTGGCATGTCTGTCTGGGAGTTGGTGGGTGTTGGACGAGCCAGGCGGTCGGGTCGGTATCCCAGGCGTCTTGGCTTCTCGGACGTCAGAACTTACGAGGGAGAACATTCGCGACGGGACTACTGCGGCAGTGAAAGTACGCACGGGTGGCGAGGCCGTCGTCGGCATGGCTAATGATGATGGGGGCCACGGCGTCCGTGAGACCGGGTCCCTGGTTTTGCTACATGTACGATCTGGCGGCTGACAACCTGGCCTGCGTGGAGTGAGCGTCTGCATGTAACTGATACGTGGGACCGAGGCTGCTGCTAGTGATCTAACGTGACGGGCATGGTTGCCGTTTGCCGCGTGGGACTGGAGTGCGACTGCGTGCTTCGGAGAATACATAAGCAGTGGTGTTATGCTAGTGAGACGAGGTCGGCCAGCTCGTGCTAGTGATGTGAGGTTGGTACTCGGATGCTGCAGTTTCGACGGTTTAGTTGCGTCTAGAAACAGAGACAATGGAACAACAGTCCGAGAACCGCCAAGAAACGTGGTGTTGAACGATTCGGCATTGACGGTGTTGTGAGACAAGAAGCATCCAGTAATGCACCATCGCTGATCGCATCGATAGCTGCTGCCATTGTTGAAGATGGAGAAAAAGTCTCACATTCCTCTCTCAGAGATAGACCAGAAACCCCTGTTCAATTGTTTCCCGGCGTCCCCGCTGTTGGTGGTTGCATGTTCCCGTAGCTGTGGACCTTAACAATTTCAAACTCCGCAGTGTCCCGTCCGCTTTCATCTGATTTGGTCAGCCACCACCTGACGAATACAGTGTGCAGAGTGCACCAAGGCCCCTATCAAAGGCAACGTTACAACTGGAGGGGCGACGACGATTCCTTCCCCATCTCACCTTCAACCTCACCACACAATCAGTGCTCCAGAGCGCATCCTGCCAACCAGCAAGACCCGGCAAGCAGGTCAAGCTGGCTGGGTGGTCTAGAGACGCCGCAATGGATTGAGGCAGGGTAGCTTGCAGCAGCAGTGGTAGCAACCGTCAGTGGCTGCCCGAAGGCGTCCATCAGACCAGCGCAGTCGCTGTTTCAGACCGGTACACCTCACTCACCACCTCACTCACACCCACTACTCATCTCTCATCTCATTTTTCCCCAGTGCTATTCCATCATCTCAAGGTCGTTTTCATCCCGGCAGTGGACCGGTAGAGGAGTCTCGTCTCTGGCCGGTAGCACTTCATCGTTGCACTCGACCCTCAACTTACATGCATCCACCCTAAGCAACACTCCCAACGCTCTCATCCCATCATCCTCCGTTATTTGGCCCCCAAATCAACTGGACTGGACCCGACTAGGCCAGATGAACATACCCTAGGATTACGGTGTGTCGCCCCATCACCTGTGCGACGTTGGAGGCGGAGAAGAGTCTTGCGGTGGTTCCCGCTCTCACCTCGACATCGACCTCAACCTCGACCTCTTCTGCTGCACGCCCTGGTCCCAAGGGTCCGTCTCTCCGTATCCCGGCGGCCATCTCTTCCCGCCCTGTAACCACATTCGGCCTGTTGGTTGCTTTCGCCATCGCCTCCCTCTGTTGTTGTTCAGCCCACCGCTAGACTTCCAACGCGACATCCTACCGCTCCATTCTCCTCCGTGCGTGCTCCAGTCACCATCCCTCGGCCGGTGCCTGTCGATCCGCTCCTCTGGCCTCTGGTGTCCGCCGTGAAGCCGTTTAAACCTCGTTTACGACGTCTCTGCGACCCTCCTCTTCCTCCGTCCCTCCGTCTCACTCGTCTTTTGCCTGTCTCCTCCCCGGGGATATGGCTCGTGCCTTGTTCTGTTTATCTACAGTCCACTGCCTCATCGGCTAGATGATCAGGCATCGTCCAACTCATCTCTTTCGCTCACATCTTACTTCAATGTCATGCGCCAACCTTCTCCTGCCATGACAACATTTCCGAGATCATTCCTGGCCGCCGTCGTCAAGCAGCTGCTGCGAGGCAAGTCCCTGATACAGGCCATTCTGGCCTTCTGGATCACTCCCCAACCCGTCTCCGGGAAGCCCTCGAGGACACCGTCGGTAGAGTGCTCGAAATCCGCGGCAGCGCTGTATCCGAGGACGATCGACGACTTCTTGGAGGAGGCCGAGGACCTGTTCCTGGGCCCTCTGGCCGGCAATGGACTCCTCGAGCTGTCCGACGCCCTGAAGGCCCAGTTCAGGGACAAGCTGCAGACCAGCATGGCTTGCATGCTTCCCTCGTACAACCATCAGCTGCCCGGCGGACACGAGGTCGGTCAGTATCTGGCCCTGGATGTGGGGGGATCGACCCTGCGCGTAGCACTGGTGGAATTGCGGGGCCGCGATGCCAAGGGCCGTGAGAGCGAGATCGTCCGCCTGAGCTCTTTCGTGATCGATGCGGACATCAGAAACCTCGAGGGCATGGCCTTCTTCGACTGGATGGCGGATAGGGTATTGGAAACCATTTGCAAAGACGGAGAGGACCCCTCACGACCCATGCCCATGGCCGTGTCGTGGAGTTTCCCCATCGAGTATGCATGCTCACTATGTTGTATAAGTCATCTCATGCTAATCATTGGTAGACAAACATCAGCAAAGGGTGGCCGCATCCACGGTATGGGCAAGGGCTTCCTCGCTGCCGAAGGCCTCATGGGCCAGGACCTCGGCGAGGTCATCGAGACCGCCTGTACATCCAAAGGCATGAACGCCGTCCTCAAGATCATCGTCAACGACGGCGGCGCCACGCTCTTGTCTCAGGCGTACATCCACCCGGCCACGCGCTTCGGCCTCATCCTCGGCACCGGCGTCAACATCGCCGCGCACATGCCCGTCTCCTCCGTGGGAAAACCGAAGTTCGGCAACCGTCCGGCGGAATGGTGGGACCAGGCACGCGACGTCATCGTCAACACGGAGCTCGGCATGTTCGGGCAGGGCGTCCTGAGCGTGACGCGCTGGGACAGGTCGCTGAAGCAGGGCCACCCGAGGCCGGACTTCCAGCCCCTGGAGCAGATGGTCAGCGGCATGTACCTGGGTGAGATGGTGAGGTTTGCCCTGATCGAGGCGATTCAGACCACGGGTGTCTTTGGCGGCGTTGTGCCCAAGTCACTTGATGAGCCGTATTCTCTGAAGGCGGAGACGATATCAGCCATTCAAGGGTAAGTCTCTCTGCCGTCTTAGAGTGTTTGTATGACGTGGCCAACATGGTGCAGCGATACGTCACCCCAATCCGCGTCGTCAATCGACCTCTTCGTCTCTCGCCACCCGTCATCTCACACCCCGACCTCGTCCGACGTATCAGCCCTCCGCGACCTGGCGTCCTTCGTCTCGAGGAGGTCAGCAGCCATCATCGCCGCCTGCCTGCACGCCATCTGGGCCTTGCGGCTCGAGGCGTTGAACGAAGAGGAAGAGGACTATGCCGGTCGGGAGAGGTTGGAGCAGGAGTCCGGGCTGGTGAGGACAATGGTGGCGTACAACGGCAGCGTCATCGAGCATTACCCGGGGTACCTGAAGATGCTCCAGGGGTACGTGGATAGGTTGGTCGGCAGAGAGGATAGGAGTATCGACCTCGTACCGGCGAAGGAGAGCTCGTTGTTAGGGGCCGGCGTGGCCTTGGCAACTATTGATGCTGCGTGAGGGCAAAAGCGCAGAGGAGGGACGACTAATGACGGGCGCTGTGGTAGACGTCGCCCTTGGGTAGAGCACGTGCATAATTATAAAGCGAGAATTGTGTTTCAATCACGTCGGAATGCTATATTGCTGATGATGGGTATCATACCATATTTTCCCCTGAACGCCCCTTAACCCGGTCCAGTAACTCTGTAATGTCAAGACAATATGTACGACTATTCATCATCATCATCGATGGTCTCCATCTTACGCTTTCGGCCCTGGGAACGTCTCTCCGACTTCACCGCCGGCCTGTCGTCGTCATCGTCATCAGAGCTGCTGCTGCCCTCCTGCTCCGCGAGGCGCTGCAACTCCTGGGCGCGCTTCATCTTGCGCAGGATCACCCTGTCGTCGTAAAAGTCCGACAATTGGAAACTCTGCGTTGTTTGTCAGTAATCAAAAGTTCTCGACACCGATCGCATAACAACGTACCTTTTCGCACCCCGGAACGGCACAGACACCGCGTCCCCCCGGCGCCTTCCGCAGCATGTCCACCAGCCACTGCTTCTCGTACGTGTGGTTGCACACGTGATTGCTGTACGGCTCCTGGAACTCCGCCATCGACAGCGGACACCTGTAGTCCCTGACCTCGGAGGCGATGATGAGGTCGTCGTCCTCGTCGTCCTCCGCCGCGCCGCCTTCGTTCTTAACATCCTGGCCGGCAGACATGCGGGGCACGACGGGGTTCCCGGCGTCGTCGAACCAGCGCTTGGCGTTGGGCACGGGCGGGCCGTTGTCGCCGTGGACGGACTCGTGCCAGAGCTTCTTGAAGGCGGCGTAGTCGTTGTTGAGGGCGTAGCGCTGGTACGCGTTCAGCCTCTCGTACTCGCGCTGCTTCTCGGCCCGGTGCTGGCGGAGGGTGTCGATGACGGACTGCTCCGGCGGCGGCATCTCCACGTCCTCGTCCTGCCCCTCCCCCTCTCCGTCTTGTTGTCCCCGCCTCGGCCTCGCGGCGGGGGCGGGGAGCGACTGGAAGTAGTCCACCGTGGCCACCAGCGCGGCCTTGTCGTCCTCGAGCTGCACCTGGCGGTCGATGAGGTCCCTCAGCGCGGCCTCGGCCTCGGCCGAGATGGTGGGGACGTCGGCCTCGAGCGCGGCGAGGTGCTTCTCGAGGCCGAGCTCGCGCTCCGACTTGTCCTCGAGGGCGGACTCCGGGCGCTTGGCGGCGACGCGGGCGACGGAGTCGCGGGTGTCGCGGGTGACGTCGTTGATGTCCATGACGCTCTGGCCGAGGTGCTGGATGGAGTTCTTGATGTGGGTCTGGTAGCGGTGGACGTCGCGGGTGTTGGAGAGCTCGGCGATGGCGCGCTTGGCTTCGTTGGTGAGGGGGCAGGCGAGGGGTTCGTAGGGCGGGAGGTCGAGGGTCTGGTCGTCGCCGTTGTCGGCGACGCGCCGTTCGGGGCGGCGTTGTTGCCGGCGGCGGTCGAGGATCGGCATGGTGGGTGAGAGGACTCGATGTGTGAACAGGTTGGTGTTGACGGTGTTGCGGGTGAGTCTTGTGGTGGCGATAGCGATGTCGATTGAACGGGCAGATGTGTGATGCAGTGAGGATGTCTGAATTTCTGGCAGATTTGGGAGACGCGATTGACGTGCCGCGGCGCGTTGGTGGGGGTCAAGATGCACTTTAAACAGCGGGGGTGGTCCCTGTCGACGACCGGGGTGCTGCGAGGTACGTATCTTTTGTTCAACACCACATCAACTTCGTTGGCGATAGCTGCTGTCGACGTCGACGAATTATATGTTTGACCAGGTGTTTGGGCTTTTAGAAATACTTCCGTAGTATGAAATCTGGTATGAGACTACCAACAGCTTCGCGTACTGTCTTCGTTCGAAGTGTAAATGTTTACGCAACGTGTAAATGGCCAGCCATCGATCCGGCTCGCTCCAGCTCCCATGCTTGTAAAACTTCATTTCTTTACTTTTCCAATAAAGCATGACCATATGTGTTCTAGGCTTGAAATTGAATGAATATTGGGTATGAAGAGTCTTTCCAATGTGTGGGCGACGGTCTGCCTGAGGCTCAGACGTGGAAAAGAGGCGACTAAAGTCTTCCAGGGAAGGCGCACACCTTTATAGTCCACCTCCGTTCAGTGGTCGTCAACAATGAGTCGGCGACAGTTGCAACATGGCCTAGGGGTGGATTGTATGCCTGGGTTTGGCAGAGTTCGATGGTTCGAATCAAATTGGTGGCTCTATATATATCCTGGAGTGGCTCATTGTTTTTTTTTGCCTTTTTCCTCCTTCGTCTTCTTTCTCTTGTTTCCTTTTATTTTTTAGTCTTATATTCGTATTTTCTGGAGCTATTTTCCGTTTTCTGTATGCTGTTACCAGAACTTGCTGGCGAGGCATGCTGTGAGTAGTTTCCCGGGTGGACTACGTCACATCCATCCGCGCGAAAGTCGATGCAGATGTCTCTTAAGGGATGCTGCATGCAGAAGAGTAATCCATCAGCTGCGCATGCCAATCCAGATTCCCAATTACTTCCAACTTCCTATTATGGATCACCTGGTAACAGGCCCGCTACCGCAATGTTTCTCACGAGGCAGCCTCAGCCCTAGCAAGTGTGTCTTACAATTTCAGGTCTGCCTTGCGCCCAGCGTCACCTCCTTGAGGTATTTCCCTGCGAACTGGGGAGTTCTTTCCTCTGTTCTGCACCCATCTTGTTAATCTTCCTGTCTCATTCAGACGACTCGTCACCTCATCAACTTTCACTTGAAATCTCTTTGACTTCGAACCGCGAATCATTCGTTCTTTTTCCTATTTCATTCTGGCTGGTAACATACCTGACCCATCAATACGTTTCGTACTCCAATAATAGGTATAGTTCAACGATCGCCGCCATATCAACGCCGCAACGAGACACGAGGCAAGTGTGAATGACAAGACATTGGCCACAGCACCGCTAACACCATTGAAGCACCAGACATCGCAACTAGCCGGCAAAGAGCACAACTTCACGATGTACCAATACGAACGATTTGTTAGGAAGACTTCCGACATCAGGAGGAGGTTTACATGCAGAAGGCACACAGTCATCTGTTACGCCCAGCTCGCAAGTCGACCAAGGCCAAGAAAGGCTGCTGAGTAATTCAGGCATCGACATCCGCCACAACAACAACAGTCAAAAAAGTGACGGCCGCAGACACCTCGGTGGTTTATGGCGTCCTAACTGGCTGCAACTACCCATTCTTTCCTTATTCCTGGGATTCTTCGTCTTCTGCGCTTTGTCTCTTTCAACAATGTGCGCAGTATCCCTTAAGTATGATGGCATGTTCGAAAGTCGGAAAAGCTACGTCTACCTTTGGCGCTTCGGTCCGACGGCAAGTATGTTGCTACCCCAGCTGTCTGGCTCCATTCATAGGTTAATAAGTGGCTTCCACAGTTCTTACAATTACGTCAATTCTCTGGTGCCGAGTTGAGACACAGGCTCTTCGATATATGCCCTGGATTGCTCGACGCCATGGCATGTCGCTCGGAGAGAATGGTTCCGCCCTAGACTACACGTCTATGCCGACCCCTACAATTCTCTATCAGTCCCTCAAAAGGAAGCATCATCTTGTGTCGCTGGTGGTTGTTGTATCGCTAGTTCTCAAGGTGCAAATTGTCCTGGCCCCAGGCCTGTACAGTCTCGCAGGTATCTCAAGCATGCAACAAATGGACTTGGAGATTCTCGACTCATTCAACCCGAACATGACGACCTCAAGCATGGACACTCGCCCATGGTACCTTGCTACGGCACTCCGAGATTTCAATTTGCGTCGCCCATTTGGTGTTACCGAGGATCATGCATTCCAGACATTCAACACTCCAAACGGACCAAGTAGAGGGACAGTTTCCGCGCCGATAAGCGTCACTGTAGACGGATATTTCACTGATGTCAAGTGCTTGAAACTTGAGTCTTGGCGGTCATCGAAGCTCGTGGTAACTCAGGATGCTTTGACAGAGGAGCCAACTATGCGTTCCGGCCTGTACACGGTTGACCTTGAGCTCACTTTCCAGGGCTGCAAGGGCCCAATCTCACTGAAGAACCAGAGAATTCATTGGATCAATCATACCGGAACAAATGATCCACGGGAATGGCTGGGGATATGGCAAGTTATCGACGTTGGCCTCGAGGAGCAGAGACCTTGCCCAAACTTGCCACAAACAAACATTCAAACGCTATATTACGCCACCAGAATCAACTCGTCGTCACCAGACTTGGTCAGCATGGCGGCAGTTCTTTGCACGTCCGCATCTTGGATATCTCAAGTGCAACTCGTTGACGATGGAATGAATCCAGTCACATCGGCGGTTTCTGGGGCAGATAAAACACTCATCACTACAGATTTCTTTCAGTTGATGTCGAAATCCCCTCCCGAGGGGATTCCCAACTACTATCCAGGAGGCTGGTGCCCGGAGCTGTCCACCGACTCGGTCTGCGGGCCTGTCGACGCTGCAATTCGACTGCTTAGTGTCAGACTCGGCTACCCCGACTACTCCGATGACTTGCGTCAGCCCCCCAACGATATTTCACTATACTCAACTGATGCTCTGTACAACCTCACCATGGAAGTATGCCGCTTGCTTGGTCCCTTAATTGGGCATTACCGCTTTAGGGAGGTTACCAACCAGAAATCTTTCATTGCCGGGGAAAGGGCAACAACTGTCGATAGACTTCTGGTTAACCCTGGAGTGTGTTTATCTATGGTGGTCTTTTTTTTTTCGCTCGGCGCAATTATCTTCTTTATACTCCTTCGCCACGAAAGGAGGACCACGACTTGGTTCAGAGACCCAGCAAGCGTCCTCGGGAACATGTTATTCTTCAATACGAATCCGAATTCCATCGCTCGACCAGCCGAACTCATCTCTACATCAACCTCAAACAGCCCGGTATGGATCCTTGGCTTCACTCCGTTCATTCTAAGAACGTGGATCCAGACATTATTTACCATTTTCGTTTCCTGCATCATTGTCGGGCTCTTATGTTTACTGCACCGATCAAACATCACAAATGGAATAACAACTATACCCAAGGAAGGCGTTATTACTTTTGCATGGACCTCGATTCCGGCTCTATTGATGCTCAGTATCAGCCTTTACATCAGTTGCTGCGATACCACGCAACGAAACCTTACGACGTTGTCTATTCTTTCAAGAAAACCATGCAGTGTCCAAGACCTCGACAGGTCCTACATCGATATGCTAGGACTGCAATCCTTGTATCATGGTACCAAGAGAAAGGTCTGGGGCGTATTATCGTCGCAGTCTCTTACACTGCTTTGCGGTTTCCTAACAAGTCTCACATCTATTGTGTTCAGCATTGAGGCTGTCGCAGAGCTTACAACTGTCAGTATTCAGCAGAACACCTGGTTCGGGGCTCGCAAGTTCGAGGAAGGATTTCAAAGAGGTAACCGGAAAAAGATAAGCGGCATAGTTTGGAACAGAGACGGGGCCCTTACCTATCCGAGAAACACTTATGAAGACCTGGTTTTCCCCGAACTTGGCTATCCGGAAACTTTGGGCGCATCTCAGAACCTCTCCATCCGGGCCACTGTTTCTGCAGCAAGAATCAACAGTAGCTGTGTCAAGTTGTCCCCGTCAGACTACAGCGCCACGTACGCACGAGGCACATTTGCAACAGGACAAGCAGGTTTACAGATTAGCCTAGTCGAATACGTCCTTTGCCCCAACGGCACCCGGTCATACTCCGGGAAAAATGTCTCCTTGGTCGCAGAAAACCTCCCGAATGGTCTCGGATATTTTGCTGAGACGTTCGACTCCCCAAATAACGACTATGTGCTGCGCAAAATCTGCAGTTTGAAGTCGTCGAACCCTTACAAAGATTATTACTCGAATGCAGTTCGGAGATCAGCTACCTATGCCTGGGGGTCCTATTCTCCCGAAGACAACAGAATCAGTCATGTAACAATGCAGAGATGCGATTATACTTGGGTAGAGGCCCCTACAGAAGTCCATCTTATCTCCGCGGGTGATGGGTATATTTTCGACACGGAGAATCCACCGAAACCAGACAAGACCATCTCCAGGCCATGGACTCCAGCCTTTGACGTACCGTTTACCTCTCACGATTCCTTTCCAGGACACAGTGAGATATCGTATCCTGAAGTGGCTTCCGTGGAAAATGCTACTGGCATCAAAAGCAAGCAAGTCGCGGCTTTGTTAAGGCCTTTTGGTCAATTTCCAATCGAGGCCTTAGGTGATCCAGCTCAGGAGGACCGCATCCTTACCGATATCAATTACAATTACGGTCTGATATGTGCTCAGATCGCCAACCTCGAGAATCGTTTCAACATGACTGAGCACTCTATGGATCGAGAACCGCCTTCGAACGGCCTCCCACCGATAGAGGCAACCGTCACTGACAATGGACGATACCGCCTGGTACAGCATCCCGGCATCACTTACGCGCTCGTTGCCATACTCTCGCTGGTAACCCTCGTCAACCTATGGTCCCTCATCGGCGCCGCCTCTCGCCGGTTTCTTGGGAAGAAATTGCCCGCCACCACTAGTTTCAAAGGTCTGGCCCCCGATGGCTTCAACAGCATGGCAGCTATGGGCTCTCTCATACGCGACTCGAATGTGTTTCGCCATCTGCCAGAAGGATCTGAGGTCTTACCAAAGGAAGAACTATACGATAGGATGTCTGATTTGAGCTTACGCATGGGTTGGTTCTACAGCAGAGAGGCCAAGAAGAGGATATACACGATCGGAGTAGTGGGAGATGATGACTTTGTATTTCTCGCCAGTAAGAATGAGTCGGTCAAGGAAAGAGAAGAGCATGGGCAGGAGAACGAGTGATTTTCAGGGATTATTTAGGAGCTACTGTTTTCAATTGGTCAACAGATCAATCGTTCTGAGGTTTTGCATCGTGTAAGTCCGCAGCAGTATACACATACACAGTGAATGAGCATGAGAGGTATGAGAACATGAAGGGCGAGAACGAGAACTGAACTATGGCGTATCTACTGTTGCGGAGTCTAGCACGACTCATTCCTGAGACGAACTGTATTACAATCTATTGAGTGTGAGGTAGAAAAATACTCACTGTGTTTTTGATTCATGACTTATCTGACTTGATGTGTATTCATGGTGTGATCCAACGGAGAACATAGGCCCTGCCTCATCCCGAGTGCCATGCTGCTTACTCTGTTTACTTTCTAGTGTCTGTCTCCGGCTCCGCCTACGCCTGAATCCGCTCCTTCATCTCACCACTCTCCATCCCCTTAGTCCTCTTATACGAAAAAACCCACTCAGCCGTCTCGACTAGACCCCTCTTCACCTCCTCAACCGAACCCGCAACTGGCCCGTCGTACTCAAACTTCCTCTTATTCTCCTCCCTGCAGGCCCCGCGCCGGCGCCCAAACAACGTAAACTTACACCCGTCAATCTCAATCGCCTCGTCGAGAACCCGAGGCTCCCCGACCATGGCCGCCACGCGACTAATCTTGCGCCTCAGCTCCGCGCTCTCCCTCTCGTACCGCGCGATCCGCCCCTCGACCTCGCAGCCCTGCCGCTCCCACCGCGCGCCCTGCGCCCTGCCCTCGGGGACCATGTCAGGCTCGCCGTCAATGATCCCGACGTCGAGGATGTGAGATGCGAAGGTCTCGGGGGAGAGGTCGATCATCACGAGGTTCAGCGCCGTCTGGGCCTTTTCGAGGGCGAGGAGGGCGGAGGATCGGGCGCGGAGTCGGTCGTGCAGCTCGTTGATGATGAGCATGAGGATACCCTGGTTGCTCGGGTCGTCGATGGACCAGGTGGCGAAGAGGTGCTTGGTGCGGGATGTGCGGTCGAGGTGGTCTACTTCTCTGCAGAGCTGGTCCAGGATGTTGAGGTCCATGGACGGGGGCGGGGGGCGGAAGTTGAGGTTGGCGGCTGTTGGGTAGGTGGTCATCATCTCGACGTTGTCAGTGATATATTGGGACATGGTATAGTTGTGATGTCGACTAGAATTCGTTTCTAGGTTCTACTTCGGATTGATATCGTCAGTCTTGGTTCCTGCTTGGTACGATCTCCAAGAAGACGTCCTTATATAGGACACAGGTCGAAGTCATGTCCGTCACCGTCTGGAAGACCCAGTGGTCTTGGAAGTGATGAATAGGTCCGAGTCGAAGTCACTGAATCACCAGAGGCGATGGCCGAGCTCTACATGCTCTATTCGATGACCATGACGAACATTGATAGACCGACTGGGAACAAGAGGTGACGGAATTTGTTGTATTCTTCAACGCCGCCGCGCGCCTTCCAGATATCCCTCATACCGCCGTCGAGGGCGTGTTTCATTCTATATACATAGGCTCATCTCATCTGAACAACTTCCCACCCCTCCGCGAGCCTCCCGCTGTATTTGTATATCATACACTCGTAGATATCTTGCCTTCCAATGTGATAATAACTTAGCCAAAACAAAAGTCGAAAAGTAAAACAAAAATGCTGTGAAAATGCCCAATGCCTGTAAATCATGTCTCGTATCCCTTCTTCACCCTCATTATCTTTCGTCCCAATTCGTCGCTGCTTTTTACTTTTTCATCCGCCCAAGTAGAGGAGCCGCGTCCTCGACCCCGCTGTTGGCATGCGGCGCCGCAGACTCGCACCCGAGGAAGACACCGGTGATCAATCGTCGACGATCTCGTCGCTGCTGCTACTACTCGACCCGGAGGTCACGCTCATGCTCTGGCGCGCGACGTGGACCAATCTGTAGATACCGAATGCGACACCCGCGAGCACGATGAAGAGCACGATGACGATGATCGCGATGACGTCGTTTTGTTTGACCATGGCGGCGGTTGTGGTGGTGGTGGTGAGGGCTCAGGAGGTTTCCCGTTGTGCCCGGAAGCTGGAACGGAAGAGACCCGTCCGGAGGAGGTGTGGAGTGCGCCCGGACTGTCGGGGTACGATGTGGAGCGAGCGGACGGTCCGGTGGGAGTCGGAGTCGCCGTGGCCGGGGAATATTTGGTGTCTCGGGAAGGCGAGAGAATTGGGTTCAAAAACCGTCGCCGTTGAAGATGTGTTTGGGTCAGACGTCTGCGGACTTGGGTTAGTCAAATTTTGTGTCTTGGGGAGAATTCCAGAGGAGAGTGAAGCGCACCCTATGTTCGCCTTGCAGTAGTCGCACAGGTCCCCGCGATGTACAAGATACCTCCGGCAGAATGGGGTCGTTTGGTGGAGTGACCGAGATCCGCTTCAATTGAGTCGAGAACAAATGTATTTTCGAACGTTCCCGTTCAATATCTCAATTGAGTCTTGTCGTGCAACATATCCAAAGGGAAGAGAGAGAGGGAAAACCCAGCAGAGTGTGGAATGCAGCCGGGCCAGCGCCGCGTTAAAAAGCAGCGTTGCCCCGCCACCAGGTTTCCCAGGCCAAGTCAATAAAATGGGAGAGGCTGGAAAACGCAACAGCGCGCGACCACCCAACCGCCCTCGCGGCAGGGGTCTAAAGCTGTTTTTTTAGTGGGGGCAGTCCAGCGGACAGGGGGGTTTCGACGCACCCAACCTCGCGGGTGCCGCATCTGCAGGTTTTCCCCCGTCGTCCCGCGGGCTGGGCGCAAGTATTCTCACCGCATAATTTGGGTGGCGGTGTACTTTGGCCGCCTGTTCCTGTCTGTTCCTGCATCCGGCCCCTCAATGACAGCCCTGCCCGTGTGGGATGTCTTCCCCTTCATGAACGTGAGACCGAGAGTCGCGGCTGACGTGGAGCCATTGCCGTATGGGACGAGGCAAGATTCGTGTGCCTGGACATCGGGCATCATTTTCGACTTAGTGCCTGGGTCTTGAATGTCTGGACCTTGGAACAGAGTAGACTAGTGCCCGAACGGCACGAGGCTCACCATCACGACGCAACGGTGAGGATTTCAACCCGAAAGCCAGATTCTGTTCCGTTGCAAACTATCTCCTAATCACACATGCCACACTGCCCTACACGTCGAGACGTTACGCAGCTGCTTCCGACCGCGAACCCCCACGCCTAATTACAGACGAGGTTCGCGCGGATCCCTTTTGAAGAACCCCGAGATGATTAAGAGAAAAACTCAAGTCCATGAAAGCCTCCTGACAATGTTAGATACTAGCAGCCCTAACGCCGGTCCCGGAAACGACAACCTCGCAGCCATGATATTGCGGCGCTCTACATCTCGGCCTCTGGCGCAGCAGACTCGGCCTTGGAGTTTCCAAAGTTGTTGTCCGCATCGGCCTCGGGCTCTGACTTGACAATGCGAATGTGTTTCTCGTAGAAGCGAAGCATCTGATGATTGGTTAGCGCGGCGGTCTCTAAGACGAGGCAGACGAGATCTTACCTTCTGCGGGCATCGCTTGTAGACCACTTCCGTAGGGTGCTTCGTCTTTTGGCCATTCGCCCAGTTAAGATAGATCACCAGCGCGCCCGTCTGCTCGTCCTGGCAGGCATCAATACTCTCGACTTCATCCTCCCAGCTGCCGCTGGGCAGAGTCCAGGCCTTGCCCTTGGCAGCAGTTGCGGATGCTGGTGGCGTAGAGTCGGCAGGGTGTCCGTTTCTTCTAGACCTCTTACCCGCGGGCGGCGTGGAGGTAGCGGGACGGCCGCGCTTCTTGGTCGCCTTGGCCTGTGACTTTTGCTCGAACAGCGCCTCACGACCGCCAATGGTCCTCAGGTACTCCTCCAAGATTTCGGCAGCGCCCTCCCTGTCGCTGTGTCAGTATTCGGTCGGTCGCTGTGACGAAGCACGGTGTGTCACTCACTTGAGACTGTCCTCGGGCTCCCACGTCTGATCCGACTTCTTCGAGTAGCCTTCCCACTTTACTCTGAAGTTGACCAGGCCCTGCGATGTGTGTCAGTGTGGGATCGCATGGATGCTGGGAGAGGAGCGCGTACATCTTCGCCGACCTGGTGATCGAGAATCTTCTCTACGACATACCTGAAGCAGCGTCAACCCCATTATCTAGCCACATCGTTGACGTCGCAATACGTACTCGTCGGCGTCAAGGTCTTCGTCTTCGTCGTCATCACCGTTCGCATCGTCGGCGTCGCCGTTGAGGTCGCCCGAGATCTTGGGAATGCCGGCGTCGCTCCTAGGTTCGCTCTTGGCATCACTGACGTCGTCCGCGTAGTCGATCGACTGGCTCTTCCCGCGAGTGGCTTTTACCGGGGCGGGGGCGACAATGTCGCCGCCCACGTCGGACATCTCATCGTCGCTGATGGCTGCGGCGCGGCGAGTCAGTCTTCTGTCTCTCTTGTAGGTCTTTTTGGGCGGCATGGTCGCAGAATGGAGGGAATTGAGGCCGTTGTCGCGTTGGGTATAGAGTTGTCGCAAAGTAGACGCGCTTTGCAGGTGAAGCGCGCAAGTGGTGCGAAGGAGAAGAGCTTACCGGGAGGCATTGCGAAGATTCTGTATCAGGCAGAAGATGCTCGAATGTTCGGGGAAGGTGCGAGACGGAAGTTGCGTGCGAAGTGTATTGAGGCAGGAAGTAGCGACGCGACGATTGTTAAGGTAGGTAGGTGCAATTGACGGAAGTAGCTGCCCCAAGCTGCAGAATGAGGCTGGGGATGGGAAAGATAGGTGGGAGCATCACGTCGCGCACGGCCACACATGGCGGGTGGATAGTCACGTGATGACACTGAGCCACAGTTCTCATCCCGTCGGCCAGTGCTTTCCCGACGTCAATCCCGATGCTTTCCTCCAACACGGGACCCCGTCCTTCTTGTAAAGAGCTTGTGTGGATCCTCCGAACCGGTGGACCAAGCTCCAGATCCAACCCGTTCGAGGTGCACTTGGATGGAAGGACAATCTGTTGAGATCAAGCAGATGCATCTCAGATAGAGAGGCTTTCGCAAAGATATTTGGACGTCAGGAAGCTCCTGGGGAACCCGATGATTCCCCGTCGCGCCTTTCCCGGTTTTCAAGGCAGCTAGGGCTGAAGCTGACACTCACCCTACTCAGCGTTATGTTTGACCCTTGATCTAAAGCAGCAGTCAAAACCTGGCTCGTCCTCCGACTTCAACGTTCCACAAGCTTCCCGCCAGCGGCAAAGCTTGACGCGAGGGAGAAGAACACGGTTGGCGGTTGCGAAGACCTGGCTTCGGAGCAGGGTTGGCACTTGCCAGCCAGCTGCTAAATCATTCATGCGCCTTGCCTCCGTCTAGGACTGACAACCAGAGTGTTGTCGTTGGTTGTGTTTTCATCCGGCAAAGCGCCGCCCCTTTTGGGGTGCAGAGTTTTGATGAAAACCTCACTACGCTTCTGCAACTGCTGCAGGTGAACTAGACACCAACAACTCTTGTCTGTTGGTTGGAGCGGCACAGTCTTATCCGCCTCCCTGGTTGATGACATAAGTTGTCAGCTCTTGCAGAAACATCTCAATCTGCTGCTGAAGAGACTGCGCCGCCGGCATTGAAGTCGCGAAATTATATTCGTCTCTCCTTCGTCCTGTTGCGTCGCGTCTTGCAAACGTCAACTTCATTCCACCAGTCCACGGTTATTGTGCTGACTAACAAGACCAATGACGGAGCCAATAGCGACTTAGAAGGGCAATAGCAGACGCAGCGAGGAGTAGAGTAAGAGTAGCATTTGTATGAGTGAGTTCTTAGTCACATACAAGACACGTACCCTCTTGATGGAGTCGCAAATAAAAGTAGCTGCGGAGGAGTGTGTTCTTGAGCGCCGAATAATATTCCCGGATTCGAACAATCAGAAACAAGAGGACTGAGAAGGGATAACGAGTCGATGAGAAACCTCCTAAAAATTCTTGGAATCTCCGAGTCTCTCGTCGAAACCCGAGCAATCTGCAATTCGTTCACTCCCTCTCAGCAAGGAAAAATTGAGCCAAACGGCCTCGAGACGAAAGCTGTCAAGTCTTGTCGGCGCCGTTGGCACTAAGCTCCTTCACCGGCTCCCCTGGATGATCTCCCGGAATGCCCCTGAAAAATTGGATCGAACACAGGTTGGTGGGCCCAGGAGCCTAAAGAAACGAGCCGGGAATGCCAGCGCGAGCCCCGGTCGGTCAGTCTAGCCAGGATTCATTCATCCAGCGCCAGTGGTGCAGCATTTTGGAGCGACGTTGTGTTTGACTTTCACTCATGATTCGCCGCTTGATGCTGGGTAATCCACCGCGTCGTCAAATGGACAAATAGGACTTGCTTCGCTGCAATTGGTGACGGCTATCAGCCCCATCCCGCTGTGCGATGAACATCTCATCTGCAGAGCAATATGCGGCCGGTCCCGATTTGTAGTCCTCCCAGGTCGCTCCGAGTCAGAGCCGTCGGCTACGCAGCTCGATTCGGGCTCAATAAGGCAGCTTGGCAGGGTAGGGTTGGAAATGCATCCTTCTGGTAGGGATATTTGGACGGAGCCCGAGGATTGGAAAAAGACAGCTGTTGGAGCAGACAAGAGACAACAGACGGTCTCGGTGCTCGAATCAAAAGTTCTCCCGTGTATCCCCAACAGCGCTAGGCCTGTAAAAGTGAGGGACAGGGCGGCGCCGGGCTGTCCCTTTCGTTTCCGCGAGCCAGATCAGCACTAAGCGAACAACGAGCACATGTAAGAGAAGAGAGGCTCCGGTGCCAAGTGCTGGAATGGAGATTGGAGAGAGCGAGGAAGGAAGCGAGAGAGAGCGAATATGTCCGTGTGTCCGATGTCTGAACCAGCAGGGTGCAGGAGTTCAGGTGCCGAGTAAGGAATCCAACGTGGTTTGAAGACATGTGCGTGTCGTCGATTGGTTTTCTCGTCATGTCGCTGGACATTAGCTGCTGAAGAGTTGGAGGGCACGGTAGGCCAACGGCAAGGCGTCATTCGGGCCAGCAGCGGCGCACATGTCTAGGCGAGGAAATCTCTCGGTTGATCTGAGTGCGCGCGCGTTGTGATGGAAATAGAAGTGAGTGTTGGTTGTGTGGTTTGTTGGTGCTCTTGGTTAAGATGATGAGGGAAGGTGGAAGGCGAGATACGTACCTGAGTGCCTAGCCAATTGAACCCTACCTTACCTTCCTTAGCGGCAGAGGTAAGGTAGGTACGCGGTAAGGAAGGTGCCTTCCCTCCCGGTCTGCGTTTTATTCACGGAAGGTGGTGGTAATAATAGGCGCCCCATCGCACCTGCCATTGATTCTCATCTGCATCCACGAGTTCGAGTACACAGATGCAGCTGCAGATATTCAAACCATTGTGCAAAACAACCTACTCGCATACTCTGTACAGATACATTGGATTGCATCTGCCTCCAGAGGTGGGACCAGCATACGGCCCTGAACGGGCTGATCTGGGCCGTCCTTGGCTCCGTCTGTGCTGCCCACTGGCGCCAATCTGGGGGAACTGGACGGGATGGGGGGAAGCAAGCTCGACTTTTTTTTTGGCGCGGGTCGGCGGTGCTACCCCTGCCGTCCTGCCTTATTAAAAAAACTGCAATAATTAAATCCCGGGTGACATTTTTGCACTTCCCCTTACTCTCCATCTGTACATCACCTTCCACCTCCCGTCTACCCTCTCCCACCCCCCTACCTCCTCACCCGCCCAGAGGCCCAGAGACTGCGAGCGTCCATGGTTGAAATAGAGACTGCAACGGCGTGATTGTTCCTGCATATCGTCTTTACAGGTCCGATCCGAGGGAAAGATATCCAGAAAACTCCTCTCTCGCCAAGAGCCTCGCCTCGCCTCGCTACTCCTCCCCCCGACCCGAACCACCTCATCCCGACTCTATCACAAGGATCGGCTGTGTTCTGCTCGCACGGGGGTTTGGCAGCTGCTTCTCGACATCTCCCACCGACCTCCTTCTCTACCTTACACACTCGTTTAGCTCTTCAGCATCTTGTCCTTCCTTCCCATCGCTCGTTCTTCTCCTTGAGTCGCATCCACTCTGTCCTTTCCACCTCCTTTCCTTTTCGTACCTACCGTACCTACTGCCATAAACTCTTTTTAAATTGTGCTTCTTCTCGTCTATAACCCCCTTTTCTCTGCCAACAAAACACATATCATTACATATCAACACACCGCATGAGCCTCGACTGCATAGCTCCCACGGGGCAGCTCCTTATTCGACCGAACGATCTGTAGCCACGTACCGAATACATCCACCTTCGAATCATTCACTACCCACCACCTCTTTCAGGGACTTACCGAAAAAAGTCGACCCACGATGGCCGAAACCGCGAGCAACGCCGATTCGAACCAGAAACTAGGCGCCCCTAAGGACAAGAATTGTCCTTACTGTGGTCAGGCCTTCACCTCGTCCTCTCTCGGTCGACACCTCGATCTATACATCAAGGAGAAGAACCCCAAGCCTCCCGATGGCGTTCACGACGTTGAGGCCATAAAGCGCTTGAGAGGGGGCATCACGAGGAGACAGCCAAGGGGCTCGCTGCCCAGTACTAGTAGGAACGTATCCACCCCGGCGAGTACACCGAGGGCCGCACCTCCAAAGCGCGAACCCGTCTCCAACGAAACCGAATCACACAAGTCTCCTCCTTTGCCCAAGGATGGCCAGTATGCTGTGGACTCGACTTTGAGCAAATACCCCTGGACCCCTTCTTGGGAGGCTACGGGCGTCATGAACAACATTCCCCCGAATGGCGAAACGGCCAACTCCACAGACGGAGAGGGTAGCCAGAACGCCGGGAGGAGACAGAGACAAGTGAGCAAGCAGATGCAAAAGGCAAACTTCGACCAGAAGCAAAAGATGGCCGACATCTACGACAACGCTCGGGCTGCAGAGCTTGCCTTTAGAGAGCTCTACAGCTCGCTGAGAGCTGCCAAGTATGTACCTGCGGGCTCCTGAAGATGACCATGTTTGCTGACCCGGACGACAGACAAAACATCGACAATAGCTCCATGCCTTTTGACTTTGATCCTCTTGCTCTGGACTTTCCGGCATTAACTCTGCAGTGTCTCGCCCCGCCTCCGACACTATTTTCTTCCACTCAACATCCCACATCGACCTCCTGGTCAGTACAGTCACCCGGCCAAAGGGAGTACGATGCGTTGCGCGCCCATTTCCAAAAGGAGTTTAGTAACTGGAAGGTTACATGCGCAACGGCCACCACGGCCGTGATAGAAGAACTGACATATCCTCCCCGCGATGGTCCGTTCCGAGATGGCCGTGAGGCTGTCAAGAAGGCCGAGAAATCTGCCGAGCATCTCGAGACGCAGGTCAACGAACATTTGCAGTCGGCTTTTGCCGTTTGGAACTCTCTGCCCGTTCAGCGGCGCCACGAGCTGTGGCAGCTGGAGTTAGCCAGGAGTGTCGGGAGGAAACAGACCGAAATCAGCAAGATGAAGGACCAACAACACAAATTGGAGCAGGAGAACGCCCATTTGAAATCCCAAATCGACCAGCTGAACCGTCTTCAACAGCCGCGGGAATTCAAGCTGTTCGCCCCGACTCTCATCCCATTCGATCGTCAACTGATGGCACACGTGTTGGAAACGGGCGTAAAGGGTGGCGCACGCGGCGTCGGGCTGCGGCTTGAGGATAGGCACCTGGATATGAACGACGTGGTGTCGCAGAGCATCGAGCGGTGGAAGAACGTTATCCAATCAGCCCGCGTGGCTAGCTCTGGCATGAACGCCCAGCGGCCTTTGGATCAAACAGGAAGCAAAACGCCAACCCCGACCCCGACTCCTCACCAGCAACAACAACAACAGCAGCAGAACCAGCAACAATCACAGCAGCAGACTCAGCCATCGCAACCGCAGCAGCAACAGCAGCAGCAGGTTCAGCAGCAACAACAACAGCAGCAGCAACAGCAACAGGTGCAGCAGCAAATGCAACAGCAGGTTCAGCAGCAACCCATGCCCGTTCAGCGACAGTCGACGACAAGCACCAATGGCAACAGCGATCAGGGTGCGTCAACGAGCGGCCCGCCCTCGATCGATGAGAATAGCGACCAGGATGCGGATGCGGATGCCGACGCCGACGCAGAAATGGAGGACGATGACAGTTTCGCCGTGATGAATACGCCAACCGCGAAACCCATGCCGCAGCAGCCGGTACAAAGGCAGGCTACACTCGATGTGCCTCGGTCAAGACCGGTGCAGAGAGGCGCGAGTGATGCGCGGTTCATGGCGCAAAACGCAAATGCGAATGCGAACCGGGGCGCAATCAACATGAGCCGGTCAATGCCCAACATGCAGGCAACGATGCAGGCCATGCACGGCGGCGACATGGGAATGGTCATGTCCCAGGTACGGGGCGATCCAATGTATATGGATTGAGGAGATCCGTTCTTCACTTGGATGGATGACTAGGGTAATTCAATGGGTTTGGGAGAAAATAAAAAACTTGCATTGGAGGGTCAACGGCCGCAGTATTCCTTTCTTCAGGCCGCGGCTTACTTTTATGGCGACAGCCTACTGTACAACCTTACTTCAGGAGTTAGTAATTCAGAGGCTTACCAGAATGAACCCGCGATATCTTGCATGTTTGGTGTGATGGTACAAATTCACATGTCGGAATATAGGATTCCATCACCGCATTGGTTCTCGGGCGCACATGGGAAGCACCCTTCGTCTTACGTTCTATCCGATCAATCTCTGGCGTGTCTCACGAGACCTCTGCGATCTTCAGATGACTGCCCGACGCTTTGATTGCGGGCTGATGAAGCCGATTCCCAGGATCTGATTCTGGAACCTGTCAAATTGCTTAGTGTTACCATTGCGCCGGGCACGCAGCGGTAGGAGTGGGGGTTTGCCTCTCCACTGTGGGATGCCACGGGCCGGGGGTTCGTCACAGGTTAAGAGAGCCCTGAAGCATAAAGCAACTTCGTTTAACTCGGTAAGGGAAGGCCACCGAGATGGGCAATGAAAGTCTGGGGTGCATATCGTGAAATGAGTTCCGTGGGGGAGGGGAGTGATGAGAGGGTTCACGAGAAGTCGTGAGAATTGTGAAGAGGTTGATGAAATGAGACGATCCACCGAGAGTTCTATGAGGCGCAAGGGTTTCCGGTGAGTGTGCTCCATCGTGGGTTCAATATTGAGACGGTGCCGCTGATGGGTGTGGTCTGGTATTGCACAGTCATTTTCATTTCATCTTATGAGTGTCTCATACATGGGATACTCGCCGCCGTCCTCCCTGGTCGTCTTTCACGTCTCCATGCCGGACATCGCCCCCAATCATCCTCTCCATCTCCATTCGTCACCGGGTATTACACAAACGACGCATCCTGGTGGCCAATAATACCACCTTACCGGTAAGACTTTGTCTGATCAGAATCGTGACAATTTTATTGGGAGGGTCGGGAAGTTTATTCTTAGCATCTGGAGGGGTAACCGGGCCTTTGGCGGCGGGACAGGGAGGAGACGAAGGCTTCATTTCCACTGCCGAGAACCACTTCCGAGCGTTCATCTTCTGGAACCCAATATCCCATTTCCCGAAACCCGGGAAGATGGAGATGACAAGCTGCTTTCTCGCGAATGCAGTTCCGGTGACCTCCTCTCGTTGGTGTCCTCGCGCACCTGCCTCATTCCCGCATTCGGATCTGTGGGCCGAACGCGTCAGGTCCCACGCTCGTTTTAATGATGACCCCTTGCTCCCGTTTTTGTAGCTGGATGTCCGCCGCCTGGGCTCGCGCCTGGGATTCCTCCGCCATCAGGCCGTGTTCCGTGACGGCGATGGACTGGACCCGGGAGAGTCTCTCCTGGAGGGAGAGAAGTTCGGCGTTCAGGGGGGAGTTGGTCACGAGCTGCTGTTGGCGGAGGACGATTCCGCCGAGGCCTTCGAGGATGTCGTTGAACTCCAGGATCGCGTTGCTGACTTTGGCCTTGCCGAGGATGAGCTCGGCCGGGGTGCAGGCTGCGTAGGGGTTGAGGGTGGCGGAAGTGGTGTGAGCTTCGTCGTCGGCGGTGCTGGTGGGAGGGTCTACCGGCGTCGGCGTGTCGTCGTCGGTTGGGGTGGGAGGGAAGTTGATGTCGTGGGAGAGGCTTTGGGTACCTGGTGTGGAGGCGTCGTCGTCGACTGGGGAGGGCGGGAGGTTTAGAGTGCCGGCTTCGTGTAAGAGGCTTTCTCTTCGTTTGATGGAGCGGACTCGCTCTTCTGTTTGGATTGTTTGGAGCTGGTCGAGCATCATCTGTGGAGTCAAACGTTTTGGTGTCTTCGGGGGTGATGCTGGGACGCCTGAAGGCATATAAGTTGATGATGGGATGTGTGGGAGAGGCTGTTGTTTGGATCGGGATCGTGTTTTTAGGCTGGACGACTCCGATGTGTCGTTGCTTGCTGTAAGCTTCGTTGAGTTTGGACGAGTGGAGACTGCTTCTCCTCGGGTCTTCTTGGATACCGAAGCCACGTCTATCCGGGTTCCTAGTAGCGCCATCCTTTCTGCGAGTTTGCGGTTCCTGTTGTAGTCATCCTTGGAGTTGGAGTCATTCCGGTTCTTGCAGTCCTCCTCGAGGACCGGCTCAAGCATATCTGGGAAGGACTCTGGTGTCTTGTGCTGAGGGAAGTCGAGATATTGGTTTCATGGACACGAAGCCGGATGAGCTCCGTCACGCTGTTATTCCCAAAGACATAAGTATCTTAACTTGAAGGTGCTTCGAACAGGTATTAAAGTTGGTGGCGTGCTGTGCTGTTGAAGTTCGTTTGCTTTTCGGTCCACTAGGTGGCTTGCTGAGAAACGATCTTCCCTCAATGCAAGTAAACGGAAGAACGAGGGAATAGAAGCAGGGGTTGAATGAGTTCAACATGGCCTTTTGTCAGTTATTCTGATCAGTCTCACTGACACGTATGACATAGCATGGCTACAACGGTCATCTCTTGGTATTATGAAACCTGAGGGTACGATAAGTGATGTCAAATTGCCCGGAACTCAAGCGTTACACGGCAGTATTTGTTTGCTGAAGATGAATGATGCAACCAATCAAACAGGACGTCGCCGTTTGTCGTCTTGACGGGAAACGTCAGCCCACGGGTACACTGGTTTCTGTCGGATGGTGAGTGTATGGTCACTCATCGGTGACGGATACAATGATTCTAGTGAAGTTTTGGTGTTACTGCCGGAATTGGGTTGGATGGCGTTTAGGCATGGAGCTCTTCAGCGTGGGATGAGGCCGTGTTACACGTCCGTTCTACAGAACGCTTTTCGGCTGCTATTTGGTATGTCATATGAACTTGTTTCTGGCGGCAAGTCGGGTTTGGCTTTTCAGTTAGTCCCTGTCCTCAATTCGCCATCCTTCTATAACTTTCGCCTGAGTCTTATCCCTTGCAGTCTTCGCTGCTCCCGTTGCTATTGTTGGTTGAGAGACATGACCTCGGAATGCTCAAAGATAGATATGGTGATGATGGCCGTGGTATCAACGATGAAGACATCAGCAAATGATGGCAGTTTTGACAGCAGCATTGTGAACAGATTTCGGGAATTATAGAGCCGCCACCGCAGGCCGCAGCGAGGGGCTTACACCACTCCACGGTTACTGTCCCTAGTCATATACTTGCGTAGTGACAACAAAGAGAATAGCAATGGTAGCGCTCAGTCATAGAGGTAGCGAGCAGTGGTTGTCAGGAAAAACAATCGTGGAGGACTGTATATGGGCAAAACACCCTGTCTGACCATACGACAAGTCAGATTGCTTCCAGAAGAAGCTGAATGCTAGGGTGAAATGGACAGGAAGCTAAAGACTTTGAAACTCGTCAAGACGAATGAAATATTCGACCAACAACTGAATGATCAGACGGCTGAAATGAGATGACCTCATGAGCAGTGTTCGGATCTTTGGAACAAGCAACAAGTCACTGTCAAGAGACTGTCTGCAGGTGTTTATGAGCTTTCAAAACATTCTGTCATCCAGGGTCTAGAAACCGTCCGATATGTGAGAGCACAGGCCACGCGAAGTTGCCGTAGGTGGTGAGAATGATGACTGAAGGTTTTGTCTGAGCATGACGGCCATCGTGCCCGGGGCATGATCCTTGGCGACCGGAAGATGACGTCTCAAGTTCGGGGGGAGAGGCGGCCCGAAAGGCGTCAAGCGCAACGTCAGAAGTGCCCGGAGGCTCGGCAGGGATAGCATTGGGCTTCCGGCAGTTGAAGCGGCCGGAGTGTGGAGGGGGCTTTCTCATTCATGGACAGGGCATCTTTGAAACAAGGACGAGTGGGAGGCATGACGACGAGCGCCCGAGCTCTCTGGCGGCAACCTTGCTCCGATGATGCGTCTGATATCGGTTCGGTGCATAGATCGCGAGAGATAGCATGAATATGGGCGAATCGTCGTCGACGGTGGTTGTGATTTGATGAGGCGAGGTCAAATTATGAGCGCGAAACTTGCCGTGGTGAGAAGACGTTCGCCAATGGTGAGATTGTTGGAATGGATAAGGATAAGCTCATTACAGGCGAACGAGCCAGGCGATTGCGAGGAAGAAAAAAGCTGAGAAGTCAATTGGTGGCGGTACATGCCGCCATGACATTTTGGTTCGCCCTTGACCCTCCTCCCCTCCCAACCGCCAACTACACGCACCCGACTGGCGGGCACAGGGGAGCAGAGGCCGCTGCAAGTTCCCGTCAGGTAGCAGATATACAGGCATTGGGTCAGGTACAAACAAGTATCGTGGAGTTGATGCGGAACCGAAGTGTTTAGGGATACTCGCGATGAGAATGGTTAACGTAAGCTATAGAAGGGAAGAAAGACGTCTGAATTTATGGAAATTGGTGAAATTCCAGAGACCATCTTTAAAACATCAGACCAGCCACATGCACCTCCTATTAGCCTCCAAGTGATGAAGTGGCGGGAGGTGCTGCTGTGCTTCTTAGTCCCGCACTAACAGAAACCCCATCCTGCAGGACTGAGATACTTTCACCCCCCAATTCTCAGCGGGTCTCAAGGCTGGCAGCAAGCTTCCCCCAAGAACAGACACAGCACACGTCGCTCCCCTTCTGCTGTGGCCTGCATCACGACACGACCTCGAAATCCCACTTCAACCTTCAACTTAATCATCCCCTTCGAACCCGAAGCGCCCCATCGACCGCCACACCAACGTCCGACGTCGAGATAAACATGCGCATGCTTTCCCCCTCTGCTCGACGAACCCCCTCATGAAAGCTCCCTCAAACTGCCACCGATCGCCCACCCGGAGCAGCGAGCAGCCATGGACAACAGGGCGCAGCGATTCGAGGATGAAAAGCGTCGCATCATCGACAGCTGCTTCACCAAGAAGGATGTAGATGGATCGCGTACGTCTCTCCTTTCAGTTCCCTTCGATTCCATGCCCTGATGCTGACCTCCGATAGTGCTCGAGACATACATCACCCACATCCGAATCACCGAGTACTCCTCCCATCCAACCTCTCCTCCACCCCCCGAAGCACGAACGCCCCAATCCGAGAAGCCCCGTATCATTGTTGTTGCCGTCAGGAAATCAGGTCGTGTGCGCATGCACAAGACAAAAGAGAATGCGAACGGCTCTTTCTCGATTGGAAAAACATGGAACCTCGACGACCTTTCAGCCATCGAGTCCTTCACAGCACCCCCGGCCAACCCGACACTACGCGAATATGCTGGCGACACCGGCTTTGTCGTCACCATCGGCAAACCCTACTTCTGGAATGCCCAATCGGACAAGGAAAAGAAATTCTTCATCGCCAGCTTGGTCAAGATCTATGGCAAGTATACGGGAGGCAAGGTCCCAGAGCTGTCGGGCTTCGACCAGGCCGAAATGGCCCAGATCCTGCGAAATGACCGACGACCGCCGCCGCCTGCTCAGGTCCCCTTCAGACCCCCGGCCATGACACCGGACACCATCAACACTCTGAATACTGCGAATGCACCCTCGAACTACGGCACTCCCTCGCCAGGACCGCCGGGTCCTCGCCGGCCGCCACCCCTCAATGGCCCGCCGCCCATCAACGGTACCAACTCTCCTGTGGGAAGCCTGAACTCGTCTTTGTCGCAGCCAGAACCGCCCACCCTGCGACGCTTCGGTAACAAGAGCCAGGAGTCTTTTGCCCCGTCAATGGGAGGGAGGAGCGACGATACAGGCAGTGTACCACCCCGCTCGAGGAACGGCATGCCGGGACCGGGTGGCTTTGGCAGATTCGGCGACAACACACCTGAGCCGATTCCTATACCCCCGCCGCAGCGCCCAGAGAGCAGAGAGCCTCCCCCCGAAAGGAGGAGGCCCCCGATGGACCCGGCGCGGCAGGGCAGTTCCGACCGAGACTTGGTTCCCGCGCCCTTGGTAAGCCCAGGAATGCGACGAGATCAGGTGGCCCCTCCGCCGAGAAGCACAGCAAGGAAAAATTCAGTATCGCAGCGATCCGACGCTGGATCCTACAAGGACAGACCGGTTACCCCTCTCACTCCCGGCGGAGACCTTGGACCGGTCGATGTACCACCAGCACTCAGGACCCCGACCCGAAATGGCGCTACACCGACAAGGCTCCCTCCGATGGTGTCGCCGCCACCTGAAATTCCCGTTCCTCCGGCGCCCGTTTCTCCTATCGCACCGCCCCCGGCCCCAGCTCCGATCCCCGAGCCGGAACCCTTGGTTGCAGAGTCCCCTATCGAGCCGCCCGAACCTCCGGCCCCTGAAGCCACCCCTCCTGTACCGGATGTGCCCGAGGAAGAGGTGAGACCCGGCCTTGGCCCCATGATCAAGTCGAAGAAGTCCAAGGGCGACCTGGCTGGCGTGCTTTGGAAGGCTGCCTCTGCTGCTGCTGCTTTCAAGCCTCGAGCTGGCGGTGCGGGCGAGAGACTGCGCATGGCCGCGAACAAGAGCGCAGAGCCAGCTGAAGGAATTACCACAGTGTTCCGTCCTCCGCCTCGCCCTACGTCCTCTGATGGTCCCAAGGAGACGACACCAGAGCCCACTCCGGAAGCTGCTCCTGCACCGACAGAACCGCCCAAGCGAGTATCGGGCGTACCGGAGGTTAAGGTTACAGTGCCCAACTCTAGTCGCCCAACTAGTCTGCAGCCCTCTGTCAAGGAGGTCAAGAAACCCGAGGAATCAGCAGCCAAGGAAGAGGCTCGCAAGTCACTTGTGGTCGGTAATGACGCCAAGTACCTGGCCTCTCTCGGTGTGGATCCCTCGGTTCTGGACAAGAGGAGCATGGAATTCACGAAATGGCTCGACTACTTTGGTTGGGTCCCTGGTGACAAGATGAGATCTCGCAATGTCGACGAGATGAAGACGGACCTTGAACGTGAACTCAACAAGGCTCAGGCGGGCGGCTGGGTTGCTCGATTCCAGGAAGAAGACGACCGCGTAGAAGCGATCAAGCGTGGCATTGATCTCGCCGTTTCCGAATGTGAGGAGATGGAGAACCTGCTGACGCTGTACAGCGTCGAGCTCTCGGTAAGCGATGTATCGTCACTGATTCGTCAACACCCACTAATGCAGTGTAGACCCTGTCCGACGATATCGCATACATTGAGGCCCAAGGTCAAGGTCTGCAAGTCCAGACCGCTAATCAGAAGCTGCTCAAGAAAGAGCTCGAATCTCTTTTGGAGACAACCACTATCACCTCGGCGGATCTCAATGCTTTGCGAGCGGCACCACTGGAGGACGTGGGAGGTCTCGAAGACATTGAAATGTCGCTTGTGACGTTGTACAAGGCCATGAGCAAGATTGACCCCTCACTACTTGGTGGCGAGTCGAGAAAGAGCGAAGAAATCGATGGCGAAAGCGTCGACCAAGCAGTCGGTCTTGAGAACACTGACTACGGCAAGATGCGAATCGTTCAAGAAAAGAAGGAAATGTATCGCCAAGAAAGCAACATGTTCCTGAGACGCCTGGTCGAGTACATGGCTCGGCAGTTTGATGATGCCTATAACGAAACGAACAGAGCGCTCAGCGAGGCGTTGTCGAGGAAGGTGGACTCGCGTCACCACGACGCAGGTCGTGACATGCTTTGGAAGTACAGCCCACTGATCAAGTACGCCAAGGATGTGGACCCTAAGAACTGGGATCGCATGATTCAAGTCTACCAGGACAAGAGCTATCCCGTGTACAAGAACGAATTCCGCCAGGTTCTGGAGGCGTGGAAGCGCAACGCTCGCAAGATGAGCACGGAAGAGACTGAGCAGCTCCTATTCACGTATGAAGTCGAGAAGCAGCAGGAAGGCCGAGCGACGACGGTCAGGAAGCTTACAGTCAAGCGAAGTCAGACTTTGGCCAAGAGTCTGCGTTCGCCCATCGACAGTAGCAGCAGGTCGAACCTCAAGGAAGCAGCAGAAAGCCGCAGCCTGCCCTATGAGGTATTCGGCAGCATTATGGACGACCTTTTGCCCTTGGTAGAAATGGAGCAGAACTTCATTGTCGACTTTTTCCACGCCACAACAATGGAGCAGTCCGATTTCCCCGATCTCGTGGCAGCCACCAGACCGAGGGAGCGCAGAGGAGGCGATTTGCGGCGGCATCGTATGATGGAGCCCGACCGTGACCTTGCTCGAAGAGTGACCAAGGCAATGGAAGTGATCTTCTCTTTTCTGGAGCGCGAGCTTGGGAACCTTGTGCAATGGGTTCTTCAGGCAGATGCTTTGTAAGTCTACTCGTTCCAACAGGAAGACGACGTACTAACGACTTCCAGGCAAGGTGCTGGTGTTCTGGCTGTCATCGAGCGTAGTCTCGTTGACATCCAACAGTCAAACCAGGACTTCCTCAACACACTTTTGCAGAAGCTTCACGGCGCACTGGAGAGTCAGTTTAAGAAATTCGTCGACCTCCAAATCTCAGCCATCGAGGAGACAAAGGTCAAGATCAACAAGCGCAAGGGAGTCATCTCCTTCATCCGCGTCTTCCCTCACTTCTCCAATGCGGTGGAGAACATCCTCACGGGCATCGACCCGAACCTTGGTGTGCGTAGGACGGTCGACCGCGAGTACGATCGTATCCTCAAGTCCATGTTCGACTCCCTCAAGATTATCGCCCGCGAGAACCCGGCAGTCAGCGTTGGTGCTGCTGGCGCGGACCCGGAGGACAAGGAGGCACTCAACTTCCACATCCTGCTCATTGAGAACATGAACCACTTCCTCGAGGAAGTGAACACCCACGGCCTCGAGGTGCTCGAGGACTGGCGCCAGGCGGCCACGAACGAGCTCAACGAGCACATGGGCTTGTACCTGAACGCGGTTATGCGCCGCCCTCTCGGCAAGCTCCTCGAGTACATTGAGAACATCGAGGGCCAGCTGCAGTCGGGCAAGGCCGGCTCCAGCATCGCCGCGCAGCCCTCCAACTCGAGATCGACCTTCAACAAGGTGCTGTCGACGTACGACGCGCGCGAGGTCCGCAAGGGCATCGAGACGCTCCGCAAGCGCGTCGACAAGCACTTTGGCGACGCGGACGACCCTGCTCTCAGCCAGAAGCTGGTGAACAAGGTGCTCCGCGAGTGCGAACGCTTCTACGGCGAGGTCGAGCTGCGCATCAGCCGCATCACCTCGGACGTCTACGGCGGCGACGTCGTCTTCGAGTGGCCGCGCGTCGAGGTTAAGTCCAGCTTCCGCTAGGCAACGAAGCCGTTTTAATATTTCCTCGGACGAACGCGTGACGGCAGCCCGCCCGGCCAACAGAGATGTTTTGTGTGTGTTTGACGGATTACCCCTTTTGCATTGTTTTGCTCAAGTCAGGCACTGACTGTCCTGGCTCCTACTGGAGGAAGGGAAGGGAGGGAGGGCAGATGATTTTGTCTGTTTTTTGTGTTTTTATAGGCGGGGAGGGCGGCGAGACCGAGGTTCCGGTACCCAGGGCATTTTGATGCGTCAAGTAGGGACGAGAAAGATCCTGTGATGAAATGAGACTTTTGTTACGCATTCACGATGGCATCTGTGCCGTTGGAGATACCGAGTGACGGCACCTACTCATCACGTCTTTTACCGCAAGCACAAGCGTAGATGATTCGCTCATACCAATCAATTGACATTCTAATTACGAAAAATGACCCATTGAAGCTCTGCTTGGAGCCCGATCTGAACCAAAGCGTCGGCCCAGGAGACAGAAGTGCTGAACATGCAGAAAGAAATGCCTCGAGGCCAGAGCGTGGAGGCCGACTCGGAAATGGAAGCTCTGACGCCTTAACAACCCTGTCATGCAAAGTTGGGTGGGGTTTCTTCCTGTGCCCTCACCCTCCATCCCGCCTCGCTGGTGTTCTCCGTACCAGGCCGTTCCCATCCCGAATGTCTTTGTGTGTTTGTGAAAAGAATACTATGATCAGACGCAGATGGGATGCCTCTCCCTCTAGCCTTGATAACCGCATCGCTAATCGCGTAATCCATACTAATCCATCGCAGCTAGATCTCGTCTGCTGCGATACCGCTATGGGCATTCGCCTTTCGTCTTTTTTATTTTTGTTTGGTACCGCTATTTCGTACACCCGGCCGACTATAGAAACGTTCTTTTAAGATAGATGGAACGCTCCCTGTCCCTCCTTGATTGCTGTGGAGAGTTGCTTGCGCATGATGTCGATGGTGGTGTAATCGGGCAATTTGAGGTAGTTCACACAGGTCATGACGCTGGGGAGGTAGTCGTCAGATGTGTATGGGGCCTCGCTGGGCTTGCAGACAACCGTGAACATGGGCGTCAAGCTCTTGAAGCCTACATCAAAGTTAGCATCATTGCGTGGAAATGGGACAGCAGCCGACTTACCCCCAATCGGGAGCTTGGGGCTACCAGTCGTGAATTGCAAGAAGTCGCGGCGCTCAGCAGGAGTCAACTCGCTCATCGTCTGGAGCAGGTTCTTGACGCTCCTGCTGTCCATATTGTAGCCGTGGTCTGCCTTGATCGAGTCCATGAGAGCTGCAACGGGGGTCAGTAACTGCTCGGGAGGAGATGATGTGGTCAACTTACTTTCAAGGGACCAGTCTTCTTCGACTCTACCGAACAAGGTGACGAGTTCGTCAGGGGTGAATGCGCTCAAGGCCGAGTAAGGGAAGACTTGGGAGAAGCCAGTCCGGAAGGCATCGACTTGTCGGCGCACGCCAGCTCCCAAGGTCATGTCAACCACGCGCTCGAGGTACGAATCCACGTTGTCGATGGTGACGCGCGATTGGGCGCCATTAGGTGTGAGCTCGATTTCGGGGTGTCCTGGAAGGGTGAAATCCAGGCAAAGGTCATCCAACTTGACACCATCTATAGTGATGTCTTCAGTGTCCGCCACCTTTTGCGCGGCCGTGCGAGAGGGATCTTCGTCGATCTCCTTCTTGGCCAAGGCGAACTTCTTGATAGTCTTCAGAGATCGAGCCAAACCGGGGTCGACGACCTTAACGGCACCAAGAGAAGGCTTCACGCCGGGTGCAAATGAGCTGTCTCCAATGCGGAAGAAGATGGGGTTGAAGTTCAAGTCGATGATACGGGAGTCAATCATGGACCGAGCGACGAACTTGCCGAGCGTCTTGAACAGCTGCAGAATGCGTTCGCCATTGGGGGAGGATGAATCGTCGTCGCTAAGCGGTCGAGGGAAGAGCCCACTTGCGCCAGAGATGTACTCTTCCGAGTCGTTCGAGTCCATCTCTCTCCAGAGCTTGAGCTTCTTCTTGGCGAACTCCTTGGAGACAGTCGAGTAGAACTCCAGAGTAGGACCCAGGCCAGTGCCGACCTCTTCAAAGTACTCGACTTCGAGAATACTCTGCGAAGCCCCATAAAGCTCCATCACCTTCAACGCAGACTCCAAAATCTTAGACCTGGAGATGCGGACCTTCTGGCGTTGAAGTCGGCCTAAGAAAGGACGGTCGTGATCCCTACGGTCGCGTCTGGAATCGTCTGCCGATGCGTTTTGCCAGCGCGTCATGGAGCGAGCATACCCGAATGAGGTTGATTGCAGGAACAAGTGTCTCGTCTCAAAGGGGAAGAGGAAGGGGTATAACCTCGCCAGATCCTCCACCCAACTGGGAATGCAATTGCTTGCCACAATGAGCGGCTCCTCCAGTTGTCTGTTCAGCTTGGCAGTGAGCTTTGTGTTGACGAACTGAGACAGGGGCTCGACATTCAGTCGAACGGCGTCCTTCTCACTGTTCTCGACCATGACGTCTTCAATGTTGGCGTTCAAGTCGTGAAGAATGTTGAGTAGACGAAGAATCGAGGCAGTAGATGGATGCTTCGCCAGAGACGCGGGGACGTTTCCGTCGCCGCTCTCCTCGTTACTCGACTCAGTGTTGGGACTGAAGGACAAGGTCTCCGCAGGAGGAGGTCCTGGGGCACGGCGGAACTTGATGGGATGAACAGCAGACCACACGCTGCGGCTAAGGTGCTCGTCGGAGTTCGAAGCCATGGTGTGAACCGCGCGATAGATGGTAGTCTCACTAGGGATCACCTTACCGTCGAGGGTGAACTCGATGTGCCAGTCTTGCGGCACAGCCTGGATAGCAGCGGCGTATGACATGGCTCGAGAGGGAGCCGACGGCGTCGGAGTTTCTTGCGACGGCGGGGCCGGAAGACCACTGGACCGAGTGGGAAGGGCGCTTTGAGATGGCGTTGGAACTCTAGTACCATCGTCCTTGCGTGCGGTAACCTTTCCACCGGCCGCGATCTCCATATTGACAGCGCCAGGCTCAGGACCAGGCGACTCGCCCATATCCTCATCCAGATCACCAACAATAGCGTCGAGAGCACTGCTGCCGCCAATCTCTTCGTCGTCGGACAATTGCTTCTCGTCTGCACACTCGAGTGCGTTCTGCAGGTCGTCGTCTTCCTCCGGAGGCGGTCTCGAGGGAGCCGGGCTATCTGCAGGGGCACCGGCGCTTCGACGCGTCGATCTGCGCAACACACCCTTGTCTCTGGTGCTCGAAGAGGTATCAGGAGTGGCTGCGGCGTCCGACTGCGGTGTTGACTTGGTCTTCGTCTTGCGCAGGGACCGCGAACCACCAGGCGTGGGAGCGCTGGGTGGAGGGGGAATGGGGCTCGACCCAGAAGCAGCTGAGGCGCGTTCGGCAAGTCTTGCGGCAGCATGGCTCAGGGGCAACCCAGCAGAGCCAGCAAGCGAGGCAAGGGCTCTGGAGAGGTTGTCAGCTCGCCTAGAACCGCGTGGCCTCTCTGACAAGCTGATCCTTGGGCGTAAGTAATCATCAAGGGACTTGAACGTTGCTATTGCGTGAATCGACACCATGATGTTACGATAAGACCTCGGGATTTCCGACTCATCATCCGCTACCAGTCTTAGCCTTATCTGCTTCGCAAGCATGGAAGCCGCACTGCTGCGGTTACCGTCAAATGTGTTTTGGTGAACTGTGATGACTTCGAAGTGCTCAGACCTACTGAGCAGGTCTTGAAGCTTGTGGACCATCACACTGAAGGGAGTCGCTGGAGAGTCAGCGGTGGCAGTCTTGGGCTTGGACTTGACTGTGTATCCCATGAAGACTTGCAGGAAAGCAGACTGTGCCGATCGAGCCAGTTCCTCGTCAGGGTTGCTGAACACGTCCAACAGAACTCGTACGAGGCCAGATGCCAAAAGCTCTGCACTCGTGACGCTCTCAAGGACATCGGCGTCAAAAGACGATGCCAGCCTCTTGAACAGCTCCACACCATTCTCAGGTGCGAGATTGCTTGCGGTTCTGTGGAGGTAGAAGGCTTCGATTTCTTCCGCAAGGTCCGAAAGGTTGGAAAGAATCTTGGCGGCCTTCTTCTTCATGGTCTTACCATGCTTCTCGGTCTCGTGGTTCTCCAAGAACTTCTTCGCCACCTCGCGGATTCGAGAGCGCATGGACTGAATATCGGACAGGAAGTGCTGAGGGGGCCCGTCAAGGGACATGGTAGATCCTCTTGAGCTAACGGGCGACCCTGAAATATCGTCAGGGTGAGGCTCGTTTTCATGATCCTCGTCGTTCTCGTCATCGTCAGACTCTTCGTGCTCCTCTTCGTCTTCCGACTCTTCGTTGTCTGATGACTGATCTCCAGGCTCTGCCGATGCCTGTCGATCCGCGGTGTTGGCTTCTTGCGGCTCGTTTGCCTCGGGGGCGGGTGGCGGCGTTTGCTCCTCGGCAGCAAGCTTGGTGATTTCTGAAATGACACCCTCGCGGTAAAGCTGGTAGCGGTATACGTCATCCAGGCGGCTCAGAAGAAGCTCAGTAGCCTGCAGCGCCAACATCACGAGAGAAGGGTGATCCTGCTGCGAGAGAATCGAGGCGAGGAAAGAGGCGTAGGGGACAGTCTTCAAGGATTCTCCCAGGATACCTTCATCCAGGTTTGAGAGCATCTTCAACTGCGCCGTGAGGACCTTTTGCCGGACGTTGAGGTTGACGGTGCTTGAGAAGGCGTCCGTCAAGGTCGGGAACAAGATCAGGGCAAAACGGCGGACCTCGGCTTTGCACCCGTCCAACAGCTCAATACGCTTGTCGTTTGGCGACTTGCGCGCCCTTCCGGGGGTGGTCGAGGCAGGAGTGATGGGCTCGGTCGCGTTCATCTCGACAAAGTCGCCGTATGAAGGGTCCGCGTTGCGAGGAAGACTGGGGAGAAGCTCGCAAATGACGTTCAAAGTCTCAATGATCTGCTCTCTTGGGCGATGAATCAGTGCTTGCATGATAACAACACTGTCAAGCTTAGAGGCGACGTCGTCCGTCCCACTGGGCGGAGAAACGCCGGTGAGAATCTGATAGAGCGTCTCGACGACATTTAGCTTGAATAGCTCCGCCGAAAGTTGGGGACTGGCACGGGCTGTGAACGCCAGAACTCGGAGGAACTGGGTGTGGATGTTAGGTCCAATGAGGTTGGTCGTGCCTGGTACGAGCAGCCGCAGGACAGCCTTCAAGAGATCCACGCTGACGAGCTCCTCCAGCTTTGCTGATTGGTACTTGAAGCTCTCGACGATTCCCGAGACGCAAATAGAGGCCTGCTCGACCACGCGCTGGTCACTGCTACCCAGGACGTTGAGAAGGGTGGGCATAACGTCTTTGATGACGGGAAATGAGTCCTCGGGAATGTTTCGACAACAGTTCGCCGCTGTTGTCACGGCCGTCCTTTGTGTGCTGGTAGCAAAGAAGTCTAGGTATGACAAGCAGGCCGTAAGGCCGCCCTCCCTGACGATGCTGGAAGGATACTCGGCAGAAATCTTCTCCAACGTGCTCAGAGCTTGCTCGGCAAGGTCGATGAAGGAGATCTCCAAGAGCTTTTGGCAAAGAACCGGCACAGCACCGCCGTAGACGACGTTGGCGACGCTGCTGGGAAGGGCCTCCATCAGATTCGCCAAGCACCGGCACGCGAGAAGCATGATCTCCGGGTTCTCCTCGCCGGTGATCTCGTTAGGCTGCATGAGGATCACAAGTTCCTTGACAAACGAGTCGGGAGAGAAGTGGCCAGTCAGGTTGTCTTCGTTTGATACCAGCAAAATCTCGGACAGTTCTTGCAAAGCGATCAGCTGGATAGAAGGGTCGTCCTTTTGCCGAAGGTTGATCAGAAGCTCGCGCAACCTAGACGAGATGCCTGACATCATGCCCGTGAGTGCCCGCAGTGTGCTGGACAGTCCTCCAGGGCCTCCGGGGCCGCCAAACCCACCGAAGGGGTCATCATCGTCATCATCGTATCTCCGACCGTCGTCATCGTCGTCGTTCTCGTCACTATCATCGTCGTCGTGATGCTCGGGAGGGGGAGGTGGCGGCGGAGGCGGGATTGCCCCCTTCTCTGCTTCCTCTGTGCCGGTCATGGGAGTATCTTGATCAGCGTTGTTTGCGGCGTTTCGTTTCGTCCGACGAGAAGAGCTGGATGTGTTGGCAGACGGATCTGGAGCGGTCGGGTTAGTACGACAGGCCACGAGCCCATGGCCGTTTGTCTTGGGGTTACCTGTAGCACTGGGGGCAGTCCTCTTGCTTCTGCTCGATTTGCGGCTAGAGGATCCGGAAGGAGCATTGTTCTCTGATGTGTTTGCAGCAGCTGCAGGGGTGCTATTGAATAGGGTCAGCGTGATGTGACTAGAAGGGGAATTGAGCATGTGCTTCTTACTCTGGGCTGGACATGGCTGCAGAAGCTTTGCCTTTTCTCTTGGGACGTAGAGGTGCAGGCGGCGTTTGGGTAGGAAGTTGAGGTGCCGGAGCGGGATCAGCGACTTTCTGGCGCTTCGATCGTCTCGTTGAGGCGGTCGACGACTGCTGGGTTCCCGGAGTAGGGCTGGGTGGTTGAGCTGGAGCCTTTCGCTTCCGTGACGCAGAGGCGGTAGCGGTAGGGTTCTGAGGACTGGAGCTCGCGGGTGCGGGTGCAGGGGCGTTCGCGGCGGGATCGGCGCCGGCAGCGGATTGTGTCGATGAAGCTGCGAGACTAGCTGCTTGCCGGGCAGAAGATCTTGTTATTCTAGGAGACATGAGTGACTGGGTTTTGCGAGGCATTGCCGACAGAAAAAACAGAAGAACGAAAATCAAATCAAGTCGGGAGAGTCAGTTGGCAATCCAGGATGCCGCCAGCCATCTATGTCTCCAGCCAGGGTCAGATGTGTGGGTGCGAGTGGGTGCGGGTGTACAGTGTAAGGTATGTGTGGATTGATGGGCCGGGGAGAGACAGAGAGGGGTCGATGGCCGCGATCTGGAGATGATGCAAGCAGGCCAGAGGGGTGAAGGAGCGGAAGAGGTATCGAGGAGACGAGAGAGATAGATGGTCGAGTAGAGGATCAAGAGTCGGCGGTGCGGGTTGCAGAGAGGCGCGATGCAGGCGTGTTTCAATGTTGGGAAGTAGGCCTCTCTCTCTCTTTTTTTTTTCTGAGGTAGAGAAGGTGCGTTGCGGTGCCTAGCAGAGGCGTACGGTAGGCGACCCGCTTAAGCTCGACATCCAACCGGTCGGGTACCTAAGATGGTACCTTTTGAGGGGAGCCAGGTACGCCAGATCCTGAGGCAGAGATGATCTCCAACGATTTTGTTTCTGAGGAATAAGGCGATGCAGATGGGAAGGCGGGAGGCATGGAAGTTGTAGACGGAGGCAGAAAGGCGACCGTCGACTGCCCCCAAGACAGGTGGACGTTCCTGCTACCAACGGCGGTGCTTCTGCTTTGCTCCTTCTCGATGTGCTCTTTCCTCGATTTCTCCTCTCTCGTATGTTTTTTTTCTTCTTCTCGCTCTTTATAATCTCTCTTCCTCTCCTCTGTCTCTCGCAACGCACAAAACAGTGTAAGGGGACCGAAAAGACCGGCAAGCAGGGGAAACGCAGTTACCTACCGGTGGGAAGGCGAGGTCGTAGCTAAGGCGGGCGAGCCCGACCCTGAGGACGATATCGTCGGCGTGGACGGGAGGCGCGCGGGGGGATCGTGGTCGACTACCGATCTGGAGCGCGGGTTTGCAGAGGCGATTCGTTCTGCCATGGATTACGCCATGAGGCAGGGCAGCTCGGAGCGGTGCTGACGATTGGCAGAGCGGTGTATTGATGCTATCGGATCGTTCTTGGTGGGAGCGTGACCGCCCGGTGAATGGGACGTGGCCAGCGAGAAGCGAGAATGTCGACCAAATCAACTGGTCAAAAGGAGCTTCTTTCGGTGGTGGGAAATCATCGGCAGTCGAGTGTGCTTTCTGCGGTCGTTATCGTCGGCGATGTTGTCGGTGTCGTCGTGTGTCGTCGTCGAAAAAAAAAGGCCTGAATAACGAAAAGGTTACGGTGCTCGGTCGAAGTTACGGCAGAACTAAAAGCAGCATGGAGGGAGAGGTGAGTGACTGGCCTGACTGGGAGCCGGACCACACACACACACACTGATGGAATGACTGATGGATGGCCGTGGCCGGCCGACACACCACACACTCTCTATCCAGGTCCGTATCAACTCACACAATACTTCTCCGCTAACAAGGCACAGCAAGCACCTTCATCGCTCCAAACACGCACCAACACGCGGCTCTGATATTGCTGGAGTCCTGGACCAACCCGTTTCCCTCCAAGCAGCGACAGTCGACTGGGCCCGCGGGAGCACCACTCCCAACAGTCCAAGGGGTATCCCTGCGGTAAAGGGCCTTGGGTCCTTGGCTCCAACAACGCCTTATGTCATGATACCGTCTCCGACTGTCACGCCCACCGTTTGGGTCCCGTCCAAGAGGGCGCCAATCAGGGACGTGCCGCATTCTGTCTATCTGCTGCTCGGTTCACTTCCCTCAAAGCCATTTGGCCACCTGACAGCGCCCCAGCGTCCGACCGTACAGCACCTGGCAGGCCGATGCCGCTGGTGGAAGTGTGTTGGCACGCCCTGGACGACAGTGGCCATCATGCCTAATCTTGCGCTACGCAGGCGTGGGACAGCACCGCAAAGCGCCATGTCATTACGGGACCCTGTCTCCGTTCTCGTCTCCACATTTGCGCTTAGAGCCCCAGATCTTGACGGAGCTGATTCAAGCGTGGTGGAGAGTCGGAATTAATGACTCCTGTTACGCCATCCGACTTGGGGATGGAATTTCTAAGCAACGGGGGAAAAAACACCTCACGGGAATTTGGTCAGAAATCTTTGTCAAACATCGCTTGTTTTCTGGAACCTAGGCTATCTCTGAAGTACCGACAACTCCGTATCTTTTTCTAAGCAGTATTACTATACGCATGCGACAACGGAGACGGCCTGGTCTACGCCTTCAGGCTATCCTTGCCCCCCTCGAATTCATTGAAATCGTACTCGTCCGGATACTTGTCGAGGTGCTCCCGTAGCTGCGCCATCTGCTGCTTCAGGTCCGGTGTCAACTCCTCATAGACATCCTCGAACATGGCGCGGATGGGCGGCTTCTTGCCCATCTCGGCCTCCTTGAACGCCTTGAGGATTTCACGTCTTGTCGAGTCTCGGCATTCCTTCTCTTTGGTCTCGTCCCACATCCCTTTGGCCTCCATGTACTTGCGCAACCGCGTGATCGGGTTGTCCCTCCTCTTCCAGTCTTCGACTTCCACCCTGGCGCGGTACGCAAAAGAATCGTCCGACGTGCTATGGTGGCTCACACGGTAAGTCATGGCCTCGATCAGGACGGGCTTGCCCCCGTTCTCGAGCGCCATCTCGCGTGCTCGCTTGGTGGCCTCTCGGACAGCCCAGATATCGTTGCCGTCCACACGGATGGTGTCGATGCCGTAGCCGAGACCGCGACTGGCGATGCCGTCTCCTCTGTACTGCTCCAGCGTCGGTGTCGAAATGGCGTAGCCGTTGTTTCGGCAGATAAAAATCACGGGGCATGACCTCGTGGCTGCGATATTGAGAGCCGCGTGGAAGTCGCCTTCGCTCGCCGCACCCTCACCGAAATACGCAGCCACGACTCTCGGTGGTATCGACTCATCCTGCATCCTATGCATCTTCAGAGCATACGCCGCTCCTGAAGCTTGCGGCAGCTGTGTCGCCAGCGGTGATGAGATAGTATGCTGTGAAGCGTCCTGTTAGCCCAAGACGTCCATACTCAAATCAAAAGAGGAAACCCACAATGTTCAGCTCCTTGCTGCCGTAGTGCACCGGCATGTTCCTCCCCCTGCCGGGGTCCTTGCTGTTGGCAAACAGCTGGTTCATAAAGTCCGCCGTCGTGAAGCCGCGCTGCTTGAAGACGCCCTGCTCGCGGTACTGGCAGAAGATGACGTCCTCGGGCGAGAGCACGCTCGCCGAGCCCACGCTCAGCGCCTCCTCGCCCGCCGAGACCATGTAGAAGCTCAGCCGGCCCTGGCGCTGGGCGTCGAACATGATGAGGTCCATGACCGAGATGAACAGCATGTCCTTGTACAGCTTCACGACCTCCTCCTCCCCCAGGTCCGGCGTGAACGACTCGTCCACGATGGAGCCGTCCTGGTCGACGACCCGGTACGTCGGCACCGCGGCGTAGTCCTCGGGGGTCTCGAACTTGAGCGCGCTCGTGAAGGCGCTCTTGACGGCGCCCGGGAAGGAGACGTGGTTCGCGTTCGGTCGTTGCGAGAGGCTGCTCGCCGATCGGCTCGGCGCGGCCAGGGGCGTCGTCGTCGTCCTGGCGGCTCGGGGGAGGACCCCGCGTAGGGGTGCACGGCGAAGCATCCTGGAGGACCTCATTTTGGTAATCGGGCGAGATTCCTGGCTTTCAAAATCTTACAATGACAAAATCGGACGCTCAATTCCACGATATCTGGGAAGTAATCGAGGGAGCGGGAAGCCGAGACACAAGCAACCTCACGGCGGGAGTATCGTCGTCTACCGTCGGCCGGCGCCTGGTGAACGTCATGAGCCGAAGGAAAGCGAGCACGATAAACCCGAGCTTTCCATGGGTACCACCCCCGTCCCCATCCCCATCCCATGCCGCCCGCCCCCGCGCCCCGCGTGGCTGGAGCCGATAAGGAACCGAACGAACCTTGACAGGGGCACAATGGCGACATTCTCCGTGGGCGCTGATGATAGAGTTATGTTTTCACCCGAGCTGGACACACATGTCTGGGACTTTGGGCCCAACTTTTTTCTTCATGTTTGAGGATCAGAACTGACAGCTTTTGTTTGGCGCATAAATGAGGCTGTTTACCGTTTGGTTCCATGACGTGCGCCCATGGTTACGGTACGTTCTTGGAACCGTAAAGTTAACTGTCCCAAGTCAGTCGGCAGTGAATCGGGCCACGCTATCACCAGCTATAGGACACACATGACTACAACATTCAGGTTGGCGTCGTACCAATATCCTCGCCAGGCTTGGGCGGGCTGATTCGCGTGTAAATAATCGTTTAGAGGCTCTATTCGGCCCATCTCATAACTAATCACAGAACAGTCTAGTACGTGTAACGGAACCCCTTGTTCTCCCAGTCCGTCTTGTCCTCCCTCTCCGACTCCAGGCCGGCCTGCACCATGTCCTCCGGGACACCATACTTCGAATCGCGGCGCTTGTTCTCGGCAACGCACAGCAGATAGTAAACCACGCCCGACGCCGCCATGAGGGCAAAGGCGAACATCATGGAACCGATACCGAGCGGATACCTCGGCGCCTGGCTCGACAAGAACATCTGCGGGCCGATGATGTTGCCGAGTGCGTAGCAAACCGCGACAGAGACGCCCATGAAGCTCTTCTTCGTCGCGCCCGCCGTGTTGGACGAGTTGAGACTTAGCATGAACACCCAGGGGACGTTGTAGAAACCCATGATGTAGACACCTGGCTGCGGTTAGTATAAGTTCCAAGAACTATCCAAGTTGATAAAGGACTCCTTACCCGCCAAAGAAGCATCGCGGTGATCGTTGGTGTCGAGCGTGTGCACCATGACGGCGCCCGCGAGCCCGATGAGCGCCGAGACGATCCAGAACACGCACCGCAGGTTCCGCACGAAGAGCGAGACCGCCGTCAGCACGGTACCGGCGACCATGGCGACGGCGGCCTGCGGCGTGGCCATGAGCACCGTCTTGGTCTGGCTGAAGCCGTAGCCGGCGATGATGAGGGGGTTGAAGTTGGTGATGCCCGCGTTGGCGATGGCGTAGCCGATGCCGCAGGCCCAGACGCACCAGCACTTGGGGTCCTTGAGGGCCTCGAGGATCTGCCTGCCGTTGAATTTCTGTGTTTGTGTGGCGCGGGTTAGTTTTCTGCAGTGGTGAATTTGAAGAACAAAAGTGTTGAGAATCGCGCGGGGTAAACACGCACCTTGTCGACGTCGACGCCCGTCTGGTTCTCCGCCAGACGCACGATAACTGCCTTTCGCTCTTCTTCGTTGAAGAACCAGGCCTTGGCGGGGGAATCTGGCAAGACTACGAGGACGACGAGGCCTGTGAGGACGGTGACGGCCCCGTAGATGATGAAAATGTACTGAATCTCATGTTAGCCAGCCGCTTCTTCTTACGATGCGCGGCTTTACTCACCTTCCAAGTCGACAACGACCCTTTGATATTGCCAATAGCGTACGACAGGATACCGCCGAAAACACCAGCAAAGGTGTTATGCCACAACGCCGTCCGCAGCGGTTGCTCATCGCGGCGATACCACGTCGAGTTGAGAACCAGCATAAGGGGCAACAACGCAGCCTCGAAAATCCCCAAAAACACACGGATCGCCGCGAGCCCGGCGAAGTTGTGACACACCGACATCAAGCAGATCGCGGCGCCCCAGAGCACGAGGCAAGATCCCATGTACTTCCCAATGGGCACCTTTCTCATGAGCCACAAGCTGGGCAGTTCCATGGCCAAGTAACCAAAGTAGAAGATGCTGCCGAGCCAGGAGTACTCTTGGCCCTTGAGATTGGTGTCCTGTCTGAGGCCGAAGATGGCGGCGAAACCCAGGGCGTTCTGGTTCGCGGTCGTCAGAGAGATATTCACGGGGTCGAGAACAGGGGCGGCGTTACCTTGTCGAGGAAAGCGAGCGTCATGCTGATGACGGCGCAGGGCAAGACGACCATGTCCGTCTTCATACGCAGCCGTCTGTTCTGCGCGGGCGATATCGCCTCGGCCTCGTCAAAGTCGGGCGCATCGCGGGGATCATTCAACACTTTCGGCTCGTTCGCCTTGTGGTCGTCGCCAGGTTTGTGGTCCATCTCCGGGGTTTCTTCGTTTTAGAACCGTGTAAGTCGAATCCTACCCTCTTATCTCAAAGAACCGCAATCAAATCGACGAAGATAATCACGGACCAAAACCGAAGTTGAGACAAGAGTCGAAGGAAGACAGACAAGAAACCGACAGTCTCGCCATGCAGGGCTAGAAATCCAAGGGGCCACGGGGGAAACACAGATATTTCACGTCGACGCCTACCATCATCCACAATCTTGGGTAATGGAAACCGGGGAAGACGTTTTTGATATGGAGAACGCAGCTTCGAAGTCAATTGACGAAATCCCACCTCGGGATCACGCCATGGAGGAAGGTGGATCGGCCTCGGTGGGGACCGAGATGAGGGCCGGTTGATAGCGGTCGGCCGAGTTCTCGACGCTGACTCGTCGCTCCGGGCTGTGGGCGTTGAGTGACACCCGGGAGATATCGGTGTGTCGATCACAAAAGGTTCGATAGCGCGTGAAGAATGTGTAGGTTCTGAGGTTCGTATCTCAGCTTGTGGCCATTGTTGAGCTTTGGCGTCTTTGGCGTGGATACCTTCCCCGCGTATCTGGGACAGAGAGGTTGCGATCTACGTACACGGTTCTAGATCGTGGAATGAAGAGGACTCTAACAAACACGTAGGAGTCATAGTAAACAAGCCGGGAAGCCTACCCGCCGGCAGTCACTATTAGTGGCTGATGGAAGACCCCTTGTGAAAGTGGGAGACGAGAATTTGGAAACAATTATTAGGATGGATCATGCTCTTATATATTCTAGTCCAAAACCGTCTACTACACTGGCTTTTAATTTTGATTTTGAGATAGAACGTCCAGACAAGCATTGCTTTCCTTCACCATGCCTAAGACGGCTACATCAGTATGCCGAACCATCACGGCGATGGTCAGCTGAGGATAAGCTCAACTACCGTTGCTGATGACTTATCTTTCTCGATTCGACGGAGCGAACTCATCGGTTACTTCGTTCGGCATGAGATTGAGCCGGGATTCCAGGGGCTTGGCCTGCGCCGAGCCGGAGCGGCGGGGCTCATCTCGGAAAACAAGCCTTCGGCCTCCACCGAGCGTAGTCGGGTGCTACCCAGTATTTCGACATGGATGATTTTCTGCTCCGACAAGCGGTCAACTTCTCTCATGACAAAACTTATCATCGGCGTCGTTTTGGGAATTCTCTAATCGATTCCGGATCTGAACGCCAAACACACCTTTTGGAGACTCACTGCCGTTATCACCCACCCCCGGCCGAAAGCTGAAGAACCATGTCTCCGCCGGAAGGAAAGAAGCAGGCGGCTAACAGCCACACATCTGTTCTCAACGCCAAAAACGCTTCCATCTTGGCAAGTTCTGACAGTTATGACGCCTGTACAATATCTAATCAGTTCGTAGGTTGGAATTCGCGATGGAGTAAGCAAAGAGTTCCGCCTAGTCCCGAGAGACCAGGCGGTGGTGTCGGTCTTTGACTCGAACTTCCTCATCGGTGACGGCATCTGGGTAAGTCCAGATAAACCAACCCAGTAGTCGGAGTTGGGCTGACGGGAATCCGCATCAAGGAAGGCATCCGCGCCGTCAGAGGCCGCGTCCAGTTCGCAAAGGAACACATCAACAGACTCTTCCAGTCCGCAAAGGCAATGTACATGGACCTGGGTCTCACCAAAGGAGACCTCCTCTCCCTCCTCCACCAGACCATCGACGCCAACGACATGACCGACGAGCCTCACGTGCACATCCGCCTCGTGGTCAGCCGCGGCCTCAAGTCAACGCCGTACCAGAACCCGCACGTCAACATCGGCCTCCCGCTCATCGTCATCATCCCCGAGATCAAGGCCGTCGACCCGGCCGCCAAGGAGCGCGGCCTCCGCCTCGCCACGACCTGGGTGCGCCGCGGGCCGCCGGACGTCAAGGACGAGCAGTGGAACCACATCTCAAAGGCCACGGACGTGCAGGCGTGCGTGAGCGCCAACGTGATGGGCGTCGACGAGGCGCTGATGCTGGACCTGAACGGGTTCGTCAAGACGTGCAACTCGGTCAACTTCTTCATCGTCCGCGGCGACGAGGTCTGGGCGCCCACCAAGGACAACCAGATGCAGGGAATCACCCGCCAGAAGACCATCGACGTGTGCCGCGCCCACGGCATAAAGGTCAGGGAGCTCGACTTCGCGCTCACCGAGGTGTATGGGGCCGACGAGGCCTTCTGCACCGGGACTTTCCCGTCTCAGATTCATGTCACTGAGGTTGATGGGCGCAAGATTGGAGATGGACAGAAGGGGCCTTTCACTGCGGCCATCCAGAAGTTGTACGCGGCGGAAGTGGCGATGGATGTTGCAAGGTCGAGAGAGGAGATTATGGCCGAGCTGGAGAAACCGCGAGATCTGAGTGTTCTGAAGCTTCTGAAATTGTGAAAGGGAAGCAAGTCGACTACCTAACAATATACAGCGTAATCCCTTTTCTTCGGACCAGCCACAAAGCAATAACCTAATGCTCAGTTTGCTCGCGCGGGTTGACTGGGAGGAGTTATATCAAGGAATGGGTCATACCAAGCCGCTAGGCCCTCATCCAACTTCATCTGGCCATCGTTAAAGTATCCTTCCACTTGACTCACACACGTTTCCAGCCCCTCGCCTCGGAAAAAACTTTCCGACGGGTTGCTATTTGCTAGATCGAGAACTAACTGAGGGCCGGGGCCGTAGACTCTGAGACTCGCGTCTTTGAGAAGGTTGCGATATCTCACTAATGAGTGCTCTCTCATATGGGCAATGCCGCCCTCAATCAGACGGACGCATGATGCTACATCGTCTCCATGAGGACGATATTGGTAGGAGGCGTTTTTCTTTTTCTTTCTTTCGTTGTTCCTGAAAATAATGGGCCGTCAGTACTTTCCAAGATGAAAAGGCATTCGACCTACCAATCACAGTAGAGGCCCGCGAGCCCGACTATTAAAATCGACCGCACATGGCGAAAGCACCGACACGCTGGGCTGACGAGTTGATCGGTCTCCATTAGTTTCCACTGGCTTACAGTATCAGACACTGCGTCGGAGCACTTCCGGAGCATCTTTTCGGGCGGTTCAAACGTACGGTACGGCCGACACGTTCTGATCACGAAAAGGCCATACTCGACCTCCATCTCCCAATGCTCCCGGGTGTCCTGGAAGCCCAACGATGCAATTTTTTGCTTGTAGCTTTGCAAGCCTTTCTGGATCCTGTTGATCTTGTCGCAGATCTGGTTTCTCGATGCTCGTTTGCCCGTCCCCTAAATGAACTCCAGCACGGGAGAGGCAATTCGTCGCAGTTCAACCAAGTGTGTGAAAATCATGATGCTGAATTTGTGGAAGGCGGGGGCTGATTGTTCTTCTTCTGGCGTTAGGTCGTCCATTTTGCTCCGCACCAGCGCCGGTGCGTATATCTGGTCGTGTCGAATAGGCAACCCCTTCCCTGTGATGACGGCTACCTGTTTTTCCAATGCATCGACGCACCACCAAGTGCGCGTTCGTACCTCGAGAGCCTCCGCGTCGTGACGACCCGGTGGGTACCGGCCAACGCCCAATTCTTTGGCAACAGATGCTGCCCACTGGCTGACTTGCCAAAGGTTTTCGCCGTGACTTCCATCGTTTGAATCCAGCATCCACACACCCAGCAGTAATATGAAATGCAGGTCTTGGAATTTTCTTGGACGATCGATGATACCGAGGAAAAGCCGCAAACTCGTCTCGAAGTAATTCTCTGGGTTGTTCACGTCCCTCCTGCTGTATTCTGGATGTTGGGATGAGTGCTTCGCGGCTAGGGCTAGAACTTGAAAAACAACAAACTTGTCGTAGAGATTGTGCCCCGACGGCGCAGTATTCTGCCCCGCCACAGGAGTGTTGTATAAATTACTGATACTATCTCTCAAGAAAGGGAGCCTAATGAACGGCCACCAAAGGTGGACATGACGGATGTAAGCAGCGACGAGGAAGTTCGCAACTGGTTGTGGTGGGAGAACTGCATCGTAGAGTTTTTGATACAAGATCTTCGTGCAGACACGGCGAGCTGAAGTCGATCCGGGAGCGGTGTACACTGAGGAGCACTTGATCAGATTTCTAGCTTCAAGATACTACCTCGAGTCCAGAGATGACTTACGGTTGATCCTGTCTCCCTGGTTGCTCGGCTGCCCAATGGCTGGAACGGCAATCTTTTGGGCTTCTTCGCGCACATCACCGAAGCCACCGGCATCTGGGACTTGTTTGGCCCGGTCTCTAGTTCCCCCCTCAATGGGACCCTTGTTTTGGTCCTTGAGGCGTTTGGAGGGACCATCGTAGTGAGCGTTTTCAGTGCCCCTCTTGCTGGAAGTTTCAACCTCGTCCTGTAGTTCCTTGTCTTGGTTCTCGAGACTTTTGACGGTATCATCCTGGTAAGCGCAATCGGCGCCGTCCTTCTGACAGGCAGAGCATTTAGGTATTTGCTGTTCGCACTAGGATGAGGCGAAGAATAGTTCAGTAACCCGTTCTGCATCTGAGGATGATCTCCCATACCTCTATATTCTGAGTACGGCATCGCGTGCAGGCTTTTGCCTTAGTTGGCGGAGACGGTGTCTCCCGGTCCGGGGTTGTTATGTCAGAAATATCCATCGTTTCGAGACGGGAGGACGGTGTCGGTCGAATAGAATGAGGTCCCGCGGCTCGGACGTGTGCAAGACCAGAGGTGTGCACAGTGTAATACAGTACTCTTGACTGTAAAATACTGTGAGGTATGTCTAGCGGCTTATCGTATGTCTTGACGTGGTGTAAGTGAAATCGCACTGTGCTTGGTGAGGCAGCGCGCAGATGTGGGAGGTAGAGGAGGAAAGCTAAGGCATCAAGTTCAATAAGAAGAAGTGTTGCTTTATGGTTGTATGTTGGATTGAAGAAGATGACAATGTCAATTGCTTGCGAGAATGCAGAATGTCAAGAAGCCCGCCCGCTACCTTCTCCTTCCCAAACTCGCAACAATCGGAGGTCGCTCCTTCCAAATCCAACTCGACCTCATCGTCAACTTCACAACTTGCCCTTTCCATTCAGCAAAAAAATACTCACAAGACCTATTTGATCACCCAGAAAGTAGGAGCTATCCAATGCACCAAAATGAGTCCTTCCGCCAAGATCGCCGTCTTGATCATCATGATCACCCTCCTCCTCTGCGTCGCCGCCTACTACGCCCGCAACCAGATTCACAACTTCGCCAAGGCCCTCGCCCAGCACCGAGCCCGTGCCAAAGAGCGCGAGACCAGCGACGTCAGCGAGACCGGAGACGCGACTACCACAGTCACTGCCACGGCCACGGTCTAAGGTATATTTCTACCCATCGAAGTTTCCACATTGGATTTCACGATGTCCATCCCGTCCGGGGTGATCGTCCTCGACCCTGGTCAATTCAAGATGTGGCTTGGACACCCCACGTCGGGTCGCCCCAGCCACACCAATCGCATCTCCACCAAAATTTCCATCCCGAAAGCTCTCTCGATCGACTGACACTTACAACCCCAGGACCTCCCGTCGTTCCGCGAAAGCAAGCCATTCCCTCAAGATGGCGACCAGACGTGCCCTCCGCACGCCATTGAGCGCGCGCTCAATCTCAAATTCCTTCGCCTCCTCCCAATCCCTCCCCCGTCCCTTCGCAATCGCCTCCCGATCCATCAACACCGACTCGTCCGCCAAGACGACACACTTCGGCTTCAAGACCGTCGCCGAATCCGAAAAAGCCGACCGCGTCGCCGGCGTCTTCCACAGCGTCGCAGACAGCTACGACCGCATGAACGACCTCATGTCCTTCGGCTGGCACAGAATATGGAAGTACGTCAAGCTCCCCACGAAACCACCTCACACACACACATCACTAACACGCCTCCCAGGGACCACTTCGTCTCCTCCCTCCAGCCCGGCTACTCAGCAACCAACCCCCCGACCCCCCAACACATCCTCGACATCGCAGGCGGCACCGGCGACATCGCCTTCCGCATGCTCCACACCGCCCACAACCTCAACCACAACCCCGACGTCCGGGTTACAATCTCCGACATCAACCCCTCCATGCTCGCCGTCGGCCGCGACCGCTCCAAGTCCCTCCCGGCCTCCCAGCAGGCCGCCCTCTCCTGGCTCGAGGCCAACGCCGAGAAGCTCCCCGACGGCGCCGTCCCCGACAACTCCGTCGACCTCTACACCGTCGCCTTCGGCATCCGCAACTTCACAAACATCCCCGCCGCTCTGCGCGAGGCCCACCGCGTCCTCAAGCCCGGCGGCGTCTTCGCCTGCCTCGAGTTCTCAAAGGCCGACGACTACCCCCTCTTCAACGCCGTCTACAAGCGCTGGTCCTTCTCCGCCATCCCCCTCATCGGCCAGGTCGTCGCCGGCGACAGGGACAGCTACCAGTACCTCGTCGAGAGCATCGAGCGCTTCCCCAGCCAGACCGAGTTCCGCGACATGATCAAAGACGCCGGCTTCGTCGTCGCCGGCGAGGGCTACGAGAACCTGACCGGCGGTGTCGCGGCTATTCACAAGGGCATGAAGCCCCTGGCTTGAGCGGAAGATGTGTGCAGAGAGGACGTGACGAAAACGGCGAGAGGCAGACGGGCCCCGGAAGAGAAAGGGCTCCTGTACAATGTTGAATCTGTACTAATACGAAAGAAACAAAACGGACATGGCTGCATGAGGTAGACGGCGGGCAACCAGATAGACTCTCTACACACAAATGTATATCAGACGGCCGCTGGCCTTGTATAACAGCCACACGAGGGATTATCGAGGATTGAATGATCGGATGCTCCTATTGCTCCTCCGTGTTAGTATGAGAAAGCTGACTCAATGTAATCGCGTCTCACTGATGCTGAGACCTCAGACAAGGCCCGGGTCTCAACGGGGCACTGCACTGCATCTCTAATCCCATGTGACGGCAAACTCAATTCACGTGGCACAAGACGTAGCGACGGCATCATCCTAATTGATCACATGGATTCAACTCTATCTGATCCCGTCCTCACCATCACCGAAAAAGAAATGGACGACGAGGGGTAATACCTAAATCCGGCTCTCTCTCAACTCCACCGAAGCCGTAAAGCCTTTTATTTCTCATCGACGAAGAACTCCTAACATGGAAAAACGGGAAAACGGAGCCAAAAAGGACCAAACATCCCGGATGAGCTCGTCCAGCCCGAGAAACCCTCCCCCTAAGTTATCTCATTAAGGTACGCGTACAAGAATTGGTAGCACTTATTTTCTTTGCCCCCCTTTCTCCTTTCATAACCGGAAAAGAATTTGGTTCGTGTCCTTCATTCCCCTTGCTCGGAGGGACCACAGTTGGCCAGTAGGGCTGCAAGAACATCATTAGCGTGGGACAGGCGACGTCTCTTCGATCCGGAAGAGCTCGAGTCGCCCGCCTTAGCATACTCATCAGTGACTCTGAGAGAAGAGTCCTAATCCGCCGGGGTGGCGGGACCAGGGGCAGGTGACGCGCCACCGTCACCCTTGAGTCCGCCTCGGCCACGACCGCGACCCCGCTCGCCTCCGCGGCCGCCTCGAGCTCCTCCACGGCCGCGGCGGTTGCTCTCAGAGTCACTGGCCCCACCGGCACTACGGTAGCCGCTGCCCGTGTTCGCCGAGTTGCCGCCGCCTCTGCTGCTTCCCCAGTTGCCGGCGCCGCTACGGGGCTGGAACTTGGTCTCGCGGTGCTGGAACACCTTGACGAGGGGACGAGAGCGGTCCTCCTGGGCGCGCGTCTTGAGATCCTCGGGAAGGCTTGCGAGCGCGGCATCACGATCCTCCATGGTCTTGAATTGAACAACCTTGTTGGAATTGCCCCACTTCTCAATCTTGAGAATGTTGGCCTTGTGTTCGCCGTCGAAGAGGTCGCGTGTTTGCTCCTCGGAGCTGACATTCATAATGAACAGACCGATGATATCTTGCGCGGGAGTCTTGGGAGCGGGAGAGGAGATGGGGTCAGGGCCGTGGGCTGATCCGTTAGCAGCCGCGGGAGCCGGACGCTCATCCTTAGGAGGCACGGCGGGCGGCGTGGGAGCGGCAGCAGGCTGAGGAGTCGCGGGCTTGGCAGGCGGCAGCGGCGTCGCGACGGCAGGCTTGGGAGGGGCTTGAGATGAAGGTTGTCTGCTCGCAGGAGGGGGAGCTGTGCTTTGCGTCGAGGGAGGAGCCGGAGCCGGGAGGTTGCCGGGAGCACCAGCGGGGGCTGCGGCCGGGACGGGCGCCGCCGCCTTAGCACCCCTATGTGAGAAGTTGAAGCCCTGCGCACGCATCTCGGTTCCGATACGCCCGTCTTGGATCTCAAGCACAAGCCAGCCGAAGGCGGCATCTGCCAGGTTGAAGTTCCACATGTTCTTGAAGGCGCTCTCATCCACCTGGCCCAGCTGTGCTTGGCCGGCGACGGGACCACCGAAGGGGTTGCCGCCGGCAGCCGTGGTAGGCATCTTCTCCACAAGCTGCAGGGCGTTCTTGAGCAGGTTCTGCTGCGCCTCGTTCTGGGAGATGGCCGGCTCGACCTCGCCCTTGACAGTCTCCCAGACGTCGTTGAAGGAGGCCTTGGAGGCGGCGAGCTTGCCGCGGTAGTGGTCGAGGGTAGGGTTGACGCTGAACTCGTTGTAGGAGCTGCCGTAGCGGAAGTGCAGTCCAGCAGAGATGGAGAAATCGGCCTTCAGGGTGACGGAGAGCTGGTTGAGGATACCCTCACGGGCAGGAGAAGCGTGGGTGACGAAAACACGGGTCTCGGTAGGGTCGTAGACTCGGTGGGCAGTGTCGACGAGCTCACCCATCTGCAGGAGGGTGGTCCACATGGTACCCTGACCTCCTGCGATCGTAGTGCGTCCCTCGCCGTTGTCGAACAGCTTGTGCATGACGACAGCACCGCCAAGACCGAGCAGACGGAGCTTCACTCCGCCAATCTCCAAAAGCATCGACCGAGCCTCGTCGATGATGTGCAAGTTCTGTACCTTATACTCGCCGGACCGGAACTTCTCAAGAACGCGCACATCTTCGCAGGCACCCCATACGGTGTAGACGGGGACATCGAGCTTGATTTCGCCGCTCAGGAGTAGGGAGAGTTCGGAGAGGGGAAGCTCGTTGGGAGGGAATCGGCTCTTGACTGGACCGGGACCGCCCTGCTGGATCGCCTTCTTGACGGGCTCGGAAATCAGGGGGGAGTATTGGGCAACATGCTTGAGGGTCCTTGTTTGCCAATGTCAGAACGACAGCGGTCGGGTGTAGGATCGCGGGGGGTCCTTACTTTTCTGCGATTCGCTCCAAGGAGGTGTCGTCGTAGAAGCCAAAGTCGCCAGTGTGAATGATGTGGTCGGCTCGTGCTTGTTTTGCGAGGTCGTTCAAAGATGTGAGGTTTCCTGTGACGAGCGGATTAGATTGAAGCTCCACAATCGGGCCCGGCGCCCAACCGCATTCGATGGAATGGCAACGAACCTCGAACATCAGCTATGCACAAGACACGGATGGGGCCAGTCTGGAGGACACGGCCTTGGTTGGGAAGGAGCGGCGCAGCTCCAGGTTGGATGGAAGAAGCTCCGTTAGGCATGTAGCCCGGGTTGGTGTTGTTGTTGTATGGGCGAGGCTAAAATGGCGATGGTGTGTCAGCACGTGTCTGCGGCGGGACGACATGAGCTATCAAGACCCCGGCGCCAGCGACGAGGCATCGCGACACAGAGCAATCGGTGAGGCCGTGTGCGCAATCGTGTAGAGCAGAAGCGTGCTTCTGATGTCGGCACCATGGAGGCCTGGATGTGACGGGAAAGGGGAGAACTCACAGCAGCCATGCTAGGTGGTTGTCCTGGTAATCGCGAGATGGAGTCGGGGATGGAGGCCAGAGGGGGGGGATCGGTCGGGATCGGGGTGTTCGTCAGGGTCTGGACCGGGTGCTCGGGTCGGGAGGTCGTGGGCGGAAGGGTTTGGGTATCAACGGAGATGGAAATGAGGTTGGAAGGAGCAGACGGTGATGTTTGCGACGGAGAAAGGAACAAGCTCCCCTTACAAGGCTGGTGATATTTTTCTGGAGGTTGAGTGTAAGGAAAAGTGCCAGGTGTAGGTGGAAGCAACGAACGGACGAATTGGCGCCCTGCCAGAAGAGGCTGCCCTTGCCCCAAACGGTTTAGCGCGGATGGTCACAGCTGGCAGGGGCTAGAATTGCTCCTTCGCAGCATCCGCGCACCTTGTTTCTGGCCCGGACGGCGGGATGGACACTGGAGTGCTGGGCACTTCCAGGCACCACGGCGGGGCTCGGGCAGCTGCCTCTTGCGCTAGACCACCTAAAGATGCCCGCCCCGACCTGGGCCTCTCAGGGATAGACACGACAGTCACTCACGACAAACGGACGCTATGAGTTCTCCTCAGCTCACTTTCTTGGACAGCATGAGGAGGCAGCTGGTGGCAAACGGTACCGATTGTATAGAGGTTCCCGAAGTGGTTTGGCTTCACCGCTCAAGGTATCCGACTTCTATCTGAGGGCCTCCCGCCGCTACCAACAACACTCATGGGCACCTCGGGCAGAGAGCAGCGATATCCCAACAACGACAAGTGATGAGCAGGAGATCCACCATATGCTGTGCTACCTTTACCATGTTCTTCTTCCCCGCGCCTCTCAACGAACCTAAAAGTAGCCTCCAAAATATCCCGGCCGCTATGCTATCTGTGTACATGTGCTTCGACAAACTCCTCCGCCCAACGCAATAAAAAAAACCGGACAGAACAGTAGATATGATGTGATATAAGATGAGAAAGAGACCCAAGAGGTGACTCGCCCAAGCCACCAACATGAGTCTCTTAAGAATATATGTCGCACTGTCACCCTTCAAACTCCGCCGTATGCACAAACGTTTGGATTATACAGCGCCTCCGGACGAGATCACTATCACGAGCCGGATCTGGCGGGAGCGTTTCCTTACTCGACGGTCGCGTCTTGCCGCTCCGATTTTACCCCGCCTCGCCATTTGAGACTACCACATGTCGTCTCGTCCGTCACGTCGCCTGTCGTCGTCGCCGGCATCGCGCCCATACTGGTCGTGATAATACTGCTTGCCAGGCTGAGGATCATAGCTGTCAGGGCCGTTGTAGCCATCGCGTCCATGGTCCGCATCGCCGCCATGGTCGTACTCGTAGATCTGAGCGTCGTCGACATAGTCCACCTCGTCATGAGGATGGTCTCCGTATTGGGAGTCGCCCTGGGGCAAGTCAGCATAGGCTCGATGAGCGTTTGCTCCAAGTAAACTTACGCGATGGTAATCAAAATCGTACTGGCCCTCCTGACCCCCGGATTCTTGATCCTGTTGCATCTGCTGCTGCGCAAGGTACTGTTCCTCTTGCTCCTTCCGGCGGCGCTCCTCTTCCAAGCGGCGCTGTTGCGGCGACTGCGGAACCTGCATCTGCGGATGCATCGCTTGGACGATGGCAAGGTAGTTGTACATGAAGTTGCTGAGCAGGACCTGACTCATCAACGACCGACGTGGGTTGGCGAGCTTAATGTGAGCCATCCGATAAATCGCCCTCTCCTCGAGCAGCGGGAATCTGGTCCAGTGGTAGTCTACGTCGGGCTTCAGAGGCCTGTAGGGAACCTCCTCCGAGACGCGCAGATGCTGATTCTTCTTGCTGCCACTCTCCTTGTCGCTCTTCTTCTTGCCGCCGCCAAACAGACCCGAGAACAAACCGCCTTCCTTCTCCTTCTTAGCCTCTGATTTACGGCTTTCCTTCTTGCGCTCCTCTGCGAGCTTGTTGTCGACATTTTCGCGATCCACAATGATGCTTTCTCTGCCTTTGGCGCCCTCGATCGAGTTCTGGAGAACGTCCAGTCGCGCGTTGTCCTGGGTCTTGTCTGTGTAGTGCTTTTTCTTCTTTTCTTCTTCCTTCTTCTTCTTGTCCTTGTCGTCGCTGCCGCCCTTGAGCCATTTAGACCATCCGCCAGACGACTTGGTCGAAGACACGCTCGCCGAGTCATCGTCTCTCTCTTTTTGAAGCTTCTTCTTAACCTTCTCCTCCTTTTTCTCCTCCACGGCCATGGGGATGAAAGTGAGCGTGTCGGTACGATTAGCACCACTACCGGGCAGCGCAGACGGGTGAGACGCCATGTCGTTCAAAGAGTGGTTGGAAGCACTCGCCTGCTGCTTGACAGACTGCTGGGATGGCGGCTGGTGCATCGTGGGCGTTGTCGGACTCTGTGCCGAATGAGCACTCTGGGCTGAGTGAGAACTTTGTACAGAGTGCGACGAGCCAGGGCGCAGATTTGAGCGAGCAGGAGGCTCTTCCACAGGAGACTGCGGAGCAACCGGTGAGCTTGGATGCTGGGACGAAGACGATCGCTGGGGGAATTGCTGCCGTTGGACGTTGTCATCGGTAGTCGGCGACTCGACAATAGACGGCACAGACTGTCTTGCGTCTGCCGATGCTGATGAGACCCGAGTGGGATGCTGCTGAGTCGGCTGCAGCGCTGGCTCAGGACGCGTGTTGGTAGGAGACACGGGCTCGTCGACCTCAGCCGAAGCTCCGTCAGATCCGCCTGGTGGCGTACTCATGTCTTGGGAGAACTTTTGTTGACGTCGCACTGATCGGTTCGGGCGTGAGAAATTCTCTGATACCGGCTCGGAAGGAACGCGGGCGTGTGTGGCGGTCTTGGGTATTTCGCTGGGCAGAGGAGGCACCGTATCGGCCGAGTCAGAAGAATCCGTATGACCGTGGCGGTTCGCGACCCGTTTTGAAAAGGGCAGACGCTCCGATCGCATACTTCCGTTCTTTCGATAAGTCGTGCGCGTCGAACGACGAAGTCCCATGCCGGGGGCCACTGGCAAGATGGGCACATCTTCGGCACCAGCCTCTGCCTGGGAGTCCTTTGACAGCTTCTGCACTACCTTGGTAGGGTCCTTGACGAGTTCGCCAAGGTCCAACTCCGGGGTCGAGTAGTCCCTGAGAGAACTCTTTCGCGACAGCCTCTCGGCACCATCGATGTATCCGTCCCCACCTCTGGTGCCTGAAGTGTCGATTTGTCTGGAGAGCATGCTCTTCTTTCTCCTCAGCCCGCCACCGGAGTCACTGCGATCGATGCTGCCATCGCCGGAAATGAAGGAGTCGCCTGATCGTCTTTTAATGGTGTTGACGCGAGTTTCCAAAAAGTTCTTGAACTCTGTTGGCGCAAGTTCGGGGTGGACAGCTGCGGGCACCCACAGCAACCTCGACGGATCGTTCTCGTCATCGTCGCCTGTGGGGGCGATGGGGGGCATGGCCATGAGCGAGAGGCCGGAGAATGGCAACATATCAGGGTCAGCATTGTTTCCCACATCCATCGACATACGTCTCAGGGCCTGCAAGTTGCTAAGCTCCTGTGCGATATCATTAGGGTTCTCGATGTTGCCCAAAGGAAACTGAGAGGACTCGTTCTTGACGTCTCGCAGAGATAAAGGGGGCGACTTGGGGCCATTTTCGAAATTGGTGCTTCGCTGACTGGGCGAGCGGGTAGGCAAAGTCTGCGACTTTTTCAGCGTCGGAGCACCGTTCTGCGCCATGTTCAAGCCTGTCTTGTCCGAAGCTGAGCGTATCATCTGTCTACGCGGGTCTTCGGCGGGATCGGCATCGTAGTCGTTTTGGTCGCCGTAATGTTGACTCAGGAAACTCATGCGTTGCTCGTTCGAGTAGTTGTCGTCCCCGTAAAGGGTTCCAATAGCCTCGGTCACATGGTGACTGGGGTCAGAGATTGACAGCTGGCTGGCATGACCGCGTCGACTCGCAAAGCTGCCACCAACATCGGCGCGGGGTCTAGATGAGGTCTGCATGGGAGACACGAGTTAGCGAGAACGGCGATCTATCAGAAGACAACAGCCGACACGGCCGAGGCCAGGGCCCCGTGAAGGCTGAGGGGTGTTGGCGGGATTCGCGACTGGAGGTTTAGGAGCGTCGGGGGACGCAGGAAAAGCCGGAAGAAAGGGTTGGTGGAGTGGACGACGCACCATCATCTAGAAAAGACAAAGACCCGCAGGGAGGCCGAAAAGCCAGCGATTCCCTTGAATACACCACTTGTCTACCAAGTATCTCGTTCGGAAAGGGTTCGTCGGTGAGCTCTCATCTGTCTGGGGTAGGGGGTAGCATCAGGCGGCGCGGGCAGCAGTGAGGGAAACGAGCGTCGAAGTTGAAGGTCGAGGAGGTAGGTCGTCGGCGGGTCGGGATACAGATGCAAGTATCTATTCGAGAGTTGGTCGCGGTGGTCGGGATCGCATGGGAGGGTTTATTGGAGCAGTACCCACGGCGTACGTGACTGGCGATAAGAATGGGTAGACTGGAGAAGTCGACCGTTGCGAAAGAGAGAAAAAGCAAGCGGCAAAGGAGTGTTGGGAGCGTGGAATAGGCGAGGACAGCGCCGGGCAGAACGGGGCACGTCACGGCGGGTAGACGGTTGGCGTGCTACTGGTGCTCGTTAAGTTGTATTGGAGGCGGCGGCAGACAGCAGACGTATACTCTGATAGGTAGGTAGGTAAATGGTGGTTGGTGTTTTGGTGGTGGTGGTGGTCATGTAGTCGAACCGCTGTTGCTCCTGTCGGTAAGGTAAGGCAAGTTCACCGTCCGGTCTTTCTGGACATTGGGGGCCTCTTTGGAGAATAGACTTCTGGGCTGCCTGGGAAATCAGTTCGGGCAGTGCAGTGAGGGTGAGAGTGAGGTGTGTGCAAGTCAATTCGCTGCCTACCCCCTACTGCCTACTGGTAATTACCTTACGGATACTGCAGGTCAACTCGGAGAGCGGACAGAAGACACAGCGCGAGCGAGAGCGATAGACAGGCCGGGAAAGCGGCGCTACCAAGTTGGAGGTCACGCCGTGGAGATCAGGTACTTGGGCATCGAGGTAGACAGGTACAAGTTCTATTTGCAGAAGAAGGCCAGACAGACCCCCTGCACCGTTGCTGTCTCGGGTTGCGGACCGCTGGGACCAACCAGGTGGAGGCGGACGGGGTCAGGTACCGAGTACCTTCCAATGAGCAGGCGAGACATGTCACCTCGAGTGAGGGGCGCCACCCAAAGTGCATTAGCGCAATCAAACCGGGCTGCTCGCTGCTTCGCATACCTACCAGGTACCTAAGTACCGTGCCTAGGGGACACCTGCCTGTCACGTGCCGTTTTCCAGGCCGTCCTTTTTGCTTTGCTTCACTCTGAGCACTTGGAGTGCGAGCGCAGGTGGTCTGTTTGGCTTGGTCTTCTGCTGCGGTCAGGGGCTCTGTCACCTTTGAAGTGTACCTTACAGATTGACTACGTAAGGGAACGGACGGTAAAGGACGAATTTAGCTCTCCAGAATGCAGTGTGCCTGATCCAAGCACGGTACTACATGCAGACGCCTCAAAGGCAATTGGTCTGCTAATAAGAATAAGAGACGAAATGCGTCTTACCTAAGAATGGGCATCCTACGTCTTGCGTACCGTACCTTGCAGAGAACCTCTACTGCGTATGCCATGTTGCTCTGATCATCTGCATTTCTTTAGTTCTCTCCCGTCTGCGTCATAGTAAAGCTGACGGAGTTTCCAAGGGAAAATAGAAAAAAACCGGTACCCGGGTAGAACGATGGATGATGCCTTCTGCAGTTCCGGATTATTCTCTCCCCTGTTCGAATACATGTTCCAAGCACGCGCTTATTCCTTAGTGCTCGCCTTGCTAGTCATTCGCAAGACGTGCACTGGCGTGTGGCCTGCTGCCCAATGGTTAGTGGGATCCGGGACTGAGACCAGAGAAAAAAAAATAAGGGCCACCGAGTCACATCGTCTTGAACTCATTACAAAAGAATGATTTCGTACCGCACATTACCTCTTCCACGCCAAGACCCGACTGACACCGGATGACGAGACAAATCAACAGGCTCCGGCCGACTCTCCCCCGAAAAGAAGATGGCGACTCCAGGGTCCGGATATTGGAGTGGATGGTGCGATGGATCGGATGGCCGCAGAGCAACACCGCACGCCTGTCGTTCCATCAAAGAGAGAGACCAGAGGAACTTTCCTCCACAATCCGACACGACCCTCGACTCTGACGTGAAACACGCAAACGCGATACGAGTTCTAGACTTTTCGTGTCTTTTTCTAACTCGAGCTGAATCCGAATCTGTCATCGCCAAAAGCGTGTTTCTCATGCCATTTCCATTCACTGCCACAACCACGTCCGACCCGCGCAGGGAATACCCGACCAAAGGAAAGAAGTTCATGACGTGCAACCGGGACCAGCGTCACTCGTCTACTATTTGCAGAAGTTCAAGGAAGCCTCGACTTGACCTCAGCATCGCAGCACGATGTACATACGGCAATTCTCTGGATAGCTGTCATTTATCGAGTTCCAACACCTATCGGCTAACCTCGTCGACGCCCATCGAATCGACATCGAAACGGCATCGGGCTTCGCTGCGGGCTGCTACCGAGAATCGAGCCTAGGGCGGCCCATTGGCACCAAGCATACGGGGTCCATCCCAGACCACCAACCTGGCAAAAGGAAAGCCCCCAGAATAGCTCTGTGCAGTTACGCCAGGGAACGCTGAACAACGTCTTCTTTTACTTCTTCACTGGAGTACAAACGCCATCCGCTCGCCGATAATAGTCGCCATACTATTCCATCTTATTGAAGCCCGACAACGCCGTCTTCCGAATCCAACGTTCCCTGTCGTTCCTTGAGCCTCGAGGAATGCTACCCACAGGTCTGAACCGCACGACGGCCCTGACCCCGGTGTTCCACGTCCTTCTCGAAGAATTGGACACTGGGGCCCGACTGGAGACGGACGGGGGCTGGAGACTCGCATCGCCGCTGGAGACTGACCACTCTTTGGCCTGTGAGATGGTGGTGGCCCGACGGCCATGTCACCGCCTCGGGCCCCTATTCACCACCGGCGCTGCCGGCCGTCGTCTCCGTCTTCTCGGGGTCATCTCCCAGACTCCCACTTTCGCCCCTTCAAGCCTGGGGGGATGACTGTGATTTCAAGGCCTGAACCGCCTGGTCTCCACTGCGCCAGACCGACCTGAATCGGCAATCTCATTTCATAGTCGACGTATTCTTTCCTCTGGCCTCTCAGCGCTCAAGCTGTGCGTAACCCCTGTTCACCATCGCATCCACGCGAAGCGCCCTAGCCGGCTCTGAAAAAAGAACCCTACGGGACAGCCAACCAGAGGCCGGTCGGATGCGATCGCAGCGTCGTATGCCATCCCATCTGCCGCCGCCCGCCAGTGATAAAGACCCGGCGCCGGTCGCTGGCGTTTGACGGTTGGCCGCTGGCCGCTGACCGCTGGTCTCTGCAATGAAGTGACTGCCGGAGAATGCTTCGTTCGACGGCAGACGAAAGCCACACCCTCAGAGAGCCTTCTCATCGTCATCTTGGCGCCTCCGTCATCACATCGCGTCCAGAGTACGTGGGATGACTCAAAATTCTGCAATCCTGCTGCATATTCCAACTGCAAGTGCCGATGATCAAGCGATCAACAATGTGCAACTCTCCGAAATCCCAAATCCATGTGCCAGCCCGAGCTGGGTTGGCGTCAGTCTCTTGCTGTCCAAACGAAAGGCCCCCGAAATAACACCAGACAAGCCGCTCCGAGTGGTGTGTGGCTTTCGATATCCCAACGCTCGCCGCCGTCACCCTCACAGGTGCAACAGCAAGGGTCTGCGCAAGCGTTCTTCCTTGCATTCCAGTCGGTCCAGTCGGCCGTACCGCATATGCTGAACGATACAGACAGCCACTGATTGTGGCGGATTTCGAGGTTGAAGGGGGACAAAGTGTGGACGGGAGGCGGGCTTGCATTGGTCATCCAGCGCGATCGACACCTCAGAGTTCCCCGCGCCGCCACACCATCTCGCACGGGATGGCCTTGGCCAGGCTGACGTTCGCTGAAGGGTGTCCTGGTGGTGCGTAGTGTGTGTGGCAGGCAGCTCCAACAACAGAACGCAGAAACAGCATTAGCACCAGCACCAGCACCCTCCACCATACTTCGTCATCACACCTTTCGAAACTCAGAAGCTCTGCAGCACCATCCATATCTGCATGGACGTCGCACGCACTCAAGAGAATGCCATGACTACGGATCCCAGTCAAATGGCCTTCAGAGCCGTTACGCACTGGCTTCAAAGTCAGACTATGCCGGTATACTGCTGCACCACGCCGGCATTCCGCCTTCGGATGCCATCAAAGCTCGACGCTGACCCGCCACTATTACTACAGAGCCAGCTGAGCAAGGTGTTGAGCCGACCGCAACAGAGCCAGAGCCAGCAACAGACGCAGCAGTCGATCCAATACTCTCAGCCCAACAACAGCGAGGACAGCCACGACGATAGTGCGAGGCGCGCATCCTCGACGAACCTTTGGACGAAACCGCTGCCCCAGCTGCCGCCGCCAAACATGTCCCTGTCCGGCAAAGTCGCCCTCGTCACCGGGGGTGCGAGAGGCATCGGAGCTGCCATCGCGCTGAAGCTCGCCAGAGAAGGAGCCAGAGTGCGTCTTTTGGCCCTCGTTCGTTCGTTCGCGCAGTGAAACATGAAAGGCTAAAGTTAGTGTTTATCATTCGCGCAAGTAAAGGTCGCCTTCACCTTTGTGAATACCTCGTCAATAGCCAAGGCGCATGAGGTCATATCCGAGATCGAGGCCTGCGGGTCCTCGGCCACCGCCATCCAGGCCGACGTCTCCAAGCACCAGGAAAAGGTCGTCAAGCGCGCCATGATGGCCTTCGGCGTCCAAAAGATCGACATCCTCGTCAACAACGCCGCCGCCACGCTCTCCGCGTCCCTCGACGACACCACCCCCGAGGACTACGACCGCATCTTCAACACAAACACCCGCGCCGTCTTCTTCATGATGCAGGCCGCCAAGGCCCACATCGCCCCGGGCGGCCGCATCATCAACATCTCCTCCGTCGCCGCCCGCGCCGACAGCCCCGGCAGCATGGCCTACGCCGGCTCCAAGGCCGCCGTCGAGGCCTTCACCCGCGTCGCCGCCCGCGAGATGGGCCAGGCCCACGGCGTCACCGTCAACTGCATCAGCCCCGGCACCGTCAAGACGGAGATGTTCGACGCGCTCCCGGACGACCAGCGCAGCGCCGACCTGGAAAGGGCGACGCTCACGCCCGCCGAGGCGCGGCTCGGCGCCGTCGAGGACATTGCCGACGTCGTCGCCTTCGTGGCAAGCGACGAGTCGAGGTGGATTACCGGCACCGTCATCCCCGTCAATGGGGGACGGCTGATGAACTGAAAGAGAAGACAGGTATGATACACGAAGTAATGGGCGGTCTAACGAGTTATTTATGACCTTTTTTTTTTCTCTTTCGCCTTCCGCTATTGACGACAAGGGCTGTATCGGGTAACGAAAAAACTGTAAGATGTGAGTCTGAGACATTTTGTGGGCTATTTTTTCTCTTGGTTTTCGTGTCATGGGATGGGATACTGATGGGGATACTGGTCAGGTTGGGTTTCGAGTCGGGACAAGCCATGCAGTGTTACATGAGTCTGGAATGTTTGGATTCCCCGTGGTCAGTCAGCCTTTGACCAAATCGATTGTCTCTGGGTTTTTGGTTTTGTTGTTACTTTATGAGCACACGGCTGCGATACTATTTACGAATACCACTTACGCTTTGTTTGGACACTTTTCCCTCGTCCCTCGTCGTGCGCGTTTAGACCTCTTATGAAGAGGATGAGGAGGTTGCGTGGAAGGAGTAAGATGGATTGAGGCCGGCGAGAGTCAAGCAAGACATAAAAACGGGGTCCACAACTCGGGATGTCGAAGAAAACCACCAGACAGTCTCATGACCCGCAAAGCCGGAAGAGATCAACAACGCCATGCAGGCAGATGGATTCCGAAATGTTTCTCGTGCCCCTCCCTCCCTCCCCGATCGCACGACCCTTCCTCCATCCTATTGGAATGTTTTCCCCCGACGAATCACTTGCCAAGACTGTGTCGTATTCCGCCTGACTAGAAAGTCTGCCGTTCTCAGAATCGGAGCAAAATGATAGAGGAAAGGTATGAGTCTTTAAAGAAATATCGAGATCTCTCTCAGAAAAGCCGTGTAGTATGTCTCGTTATCTCGGTCCCTCTCCTAATAGCTAGCCAGCCAGTGAAGCCGCCTGCCTCTGCTTCTCCCGTTCCATTAAGAGCAAGAGCCGTCGTTACACAACTTGATCACACATGAGAAGAAGAGATAGCAAGATACGTTCTTCGGATACTTCTGGTACTGGTGCCATCCCCTCCTGTTGGGCGCAGGTTTGAATGAGACGGTGTTCGTTTGCTTGTCTTATGAGTGAGTCGGGGAGGTTTAGATAAGAGTCGAAGAAGCAGACGAGGCATGGCGCTGTTTCTGGTTCTTGTCTTGTCTTGGTCTTCGCTGCTGCTGCTGTTTCTATCGTCGCCTCAGTCTCTGTCGTTAACTACCAGGTGATGATGATAATGTCATCTTGGTCATGGCTAGAAGATCCTAAATGCACTTTCACTGCGAAGTATGACATTTACGATCTCCCGACAACCTATTCAGCTTCACTTGCCAAGGTGATCATTCAGGAAGTACAAATCTCAGGGACTCCAGCCCAAGTCGAACACTTGGACAGTGTTGTGTATTCGGTTGCATGTCTGTATGTAGTATCAATGCCCCAACCGCCCAGATCATTGTTGACCAGTGGTTGAGAGGTTAGATCTGCTACCACTCCAAACAAGACAACATTTCACTCATATTACAGCTCCAAGCTGACAAGCCGAGTACCGAGAACGACAAGATTAGATGGATTAGAGACTACGGTCCTGTTATATATGTATGGCGGAGTTGGGTATCATAATTGTGTTCCAGCGAGTGATGTTCGAATGGCGCCAACTCCCTGAAAATGCATGTTGGAAAGAAAAAAGGGTGCCCAGCGCCGCCTCACCGCCTTCTCTATGCCGATGTGGTCGAGCGCCTCCAGATCATGAAGGCAGCAATGCCGGCACAAGCCGTTGCGCCCAGCGCGAGATACAAACTGGTTCTATCCGGAGGCGGCTCCTCGCTCCGAGGAAACGCATTGCTGGGGTTCGTTGCAGCGTCGGCAAGGGCGATGAAGAGCTCGCTGATGTTGTTCCACTTGACGGTGACGTGGAGCGGGGTGCTCATCATGAGATTCGATGTGTACGCGTCCGGCTGCATCTCGCTGCGCTGCATCGTCTTGTCCTTGTCTGCCTTCAAGGCGGTGTAAATGTTGGGGAGGTCGTCCAGCTGCGGGTAGCGCTTGCGCAGCTCGACAATGTGAGAAAAGGAGTTGGGGTCCGAAGAGTCGTACGCGTAGCAGATGAGATCGCAAGCATCGAGCTTTGCCTGGTTCTCCAGGATGGCAGGCTCCAGCTCGCCAAGCTCCTCTAGAATCATGTAGCACTGCTTTCCGCCGGGGAGCTCAACACTATTGACAGCTCGCCGCGGTTTGATGGTTGGGCGGTAGAGGCCGTCGAAGGGACGACTCAAGAAGGCGTCCAAAAGCGACGACTTGCCAGCCCCGGATGCGCCGAGAACGTAACACAGTACGACATTACGTTCGACCTTGCCAGGGCGTCTCCTGCGCTTGCGTGACTTGGTAACCTTCAGGGCAGCAGTCGTAGTCTCCCGCGGGTTTGCCGGCTCAAAGCCCAGATACGCCAGATACTCGAGCGTCGTCTTTGGCTCCATGAAGGTGGTCATACTCCACTGAGCAAGCCATCCTTGCAGTGTGACGTGCCCGGCCTCGTTCCGTACCGTAGAGGACGGGAACAACATGTCGATCCAGGAGTAAGGCAGCCCGGGCGTGGGCGCAAAGAGAGCCTCCAGCTCTTGGTCGTTGAGACCGCCGTCATTATCCTTGTCAAAAAGCAAGAACAAGTCTACAAAGAAGCGATAGCCCGCAGGGCTTAGCTCCGCTGACGAGTATTCAGGCACGTCGAACTTGGGGCGCAAGAAGCTGTCTTCCAGACTCAAGCTGTCCGTGTAGCGGAACTTGCGGAGAATGATCCATATCGTCTCGTGGCGGCCCTTTTCGGCGTAGATCTTGTTCAACTGCAAAAACCCTCTTTGGTCAATGCCCTTCTCCGCAGACCATTGGGGGAGCGACTTGATTAGGGAGAGCTTGATATTCTCCAGGTCCTCGGGGCCAAGTGGCTTATCGAAGCACCTGGCCTGGAAGCTGTGCATCTCCTGGTCGTTGAGGTATCCGTCCTGATCCTTATCGCAGAGGTAGAATATCCGTTTGAGGGCGTCGACGCAAGCCGGCTTCAGATTGCCCTCCTTGTAGTCGAATAGCGGGGCGATGGGGTGGGTGACGGCCTTCTGACAGAGGAAGAAAACTTCGTTAACGTTTCGGTGCTCCCTCGCGCTTGTCCTGATGCACGAATCGATTTCGCGGAACTCGGCCATGACGGGCAGCATCTCGCCCTCAACGACTTGTGGTGTGTTTCCATCGCCCGTCAGATCGGATTTGTTCGCGCAGAGGACGACCGGTACGTTGACGCCGAGGGATCGGAAGTAGGGCATCCAAAAGAGGGCCACTCGCTCGTAGCTGTAGTGGTCGCCGTAGACTAGGAGGATGACGTTGCACTTTCGAATCTCTTTCCGCAGTGTGGTGCGGTCTTGGGGACGGGCGGAGGTATCGACGACGGTGGTGGTGACATTGTCGGGGGTGCCGAGCTGAGGAGGGAGGGTGATGGAGGGGAGGACAGCTTGGATCTTGTTGGAGATGAAGACATCCTTGACGAGCGAGGCGATGAGGCTGGACTTGCCAGTGCCCTCGTCACCGCAGACGCAGATACGGACTAGAATGGGAACGAAATGGTCAGCTAGAAGCTCGAGAACGGATCGAGGTCGGATAGAGCTGTCCGTCAGGCCACCTACCAGAAGCCATGGTAGGAATAGGCGAAGCTCAGATTGAGAAACGTCTCTATTGCGATGCCATGGCAGGGTGGTTACTTTTGCTGGAAGGAGAGCAAGTCGGAGTGATTGAAGCTGAAAGCTCAAGCTTTGTGTTTTTGTAGGTCTCTGGGCGGAAGAAGCTCTGGAGCGGGTAGGACGGGAATCTGCAGGTCGACGGGGGTAGAGTTCGAATGACGACCTGAATTGCAAGGATGACACTGGTGGGGGACCAGTAGAAGCTGCCCGTGGGTTTTGGGAGCGAGACGCCTCGGCGATGTGAGACCCGCTGGAGCAGCAGCCGATTAGCGGATCAGCGCTGTGCGACTGGGCTGATAAGCGATGAAGGGAGCCATGTCCGAAGCAGTGACCTTGGGCGTGTCTTGAGGTGTCTTACCTTCGGTGGAATGGAATGCTCTTAAACAATTGAGATTCTGGGTGCCAAAATGGATTGATAAAGACATAGGTAATAGGTATTGAAATACCAAGGTGAATAGCTCACTTGAGTTAGTATAGACCCCGTTGGTGAATCAAGAACTCAGTAGAATCAACTCAGTATGTAGGCTGTACTTATTGATAATACCTACCCTGATGTATAACATCACTAGTATTAGACCTCTTTTCAATTTTACAGTCAGTACCACTGATTGAGTTGCCTGTTCAACTCCCAAGACATGTCTCAGTTGCGCAATACCTCATCACAAACAATGGTGCCGAAACATTACCAACGCTCAATATCTAGCCTCTCCTGATTTGGACAACATAAGTTGACCTCAGTCCAAGGATAACAGCTCGGATAGTCCCTCACAACTGCGTCAATAGAACACTTTCTTAACGACTGCACAGAAGACTCCAAGTCAGCTGTGAGTGACCTCTTTCTCCAGCTTTCTACCCCACAATCCCGCAGACCAGGGCGGCCATGACCAATGACAATTACGGAATCGAACCCGGCCGTCAGGGACGACTCGCCTGACGCAGCGCTGCAGCGTCGCTCCTGCTGCCACCACCCCCGCCAAACTGGAGACCACAACGCTCTTCTCCACGAGGTCGTTTGCTGGAGGTGGGCGTGGTGTTCCCCTCCCACCACTCACGTCGCAGCAATCCTTCTCCGGACCCCAGGCTGACCTGCCCTTTGCAGGTGCCCTGCTGCCCTCGATATTGGATGGGCAAATGGCCATGGCCAACTTGGATGGCTTATCCCAGGACCAGGTCGCAGAACATGACCACCACCCCGGGGCAATGGGAAGGCGGGGACCGAACCAGAACCAGCAGCACGTCGCTGGGTTGGGGTTGATCACCTTTTCTCCAGCCAACCACTTCGACCAGACCAACCCAAGCTTCCAACACTTTAAACCAGCCTTCCCGGCGCCGACTCTGGACTTTGGACACCTCCTCTCTGCCCTTGCATAAAGTCAGCACCCCGTCAGGGAAACTAGCTGCGTCCTGAGTTCGTCTGGTCGCCGTCGCGCACCACACCTCCTCTGCCCAATCCTCCCGCCACGACCTCGCTGTCATCCGATCACCGAATCCTGCGAGAAGCCTCACAACCTCGCCGAACCTCACATCATATCCGCCAGCCGTGAGACCCTCCCGAAACGTGCCTTGCCGCCCTCTCTCTGCGCCTCCACCGCCCCCGGCGCTCTTGGGGACCTCCACCGCAGCCGCCAGTGACGTGCGGCGGAGCCGACGACGAACCACCATCCCGAACCCCGACATTGATAACCTCAACCGTCCTCTTTCCCGCGCCTGTCGTGTGCCAATCCGCCGTGGCTCCGTGCCCGTCCAATTCCTAGTCGTAACGTCCCTGCGCGCGAGCGAGCATATCTGATCGCCCGTCATGTTGTGAGTACCCCGTGCCGACCTTATCATGTCCCTTCCCGTCAGCCGAACCCTCGTACGACCCATCGCACAACCTCCCAGCCCTACAGGCGCACAGCCAAGCTCTCCCACAACACCCATCAGAACACCGGCTGACAGACTGCCTCGTGCGACATGGACTTCAGCGTCCTCCCCCCTCCCCCGCGATACCCCTCGCATGCCGGCGCCTATGGCGCAATGGGCGCTGGCATCGCTCCCATGATCGAGACGAACAACATCCTCTCCAACCCCGAGGGTCCGGAGTACCAATTCCTGGTCGGCGAGGGAACCTACGTCCTCAAGGAGGACCTCCACCTCGCGACGCCCCCGCCTCACCCCTCCGAAGCTCCCGTCGTGAACCCGAACCCGCTCGCCACGAACCCCCAGCCCGCCTCCGCCGGCACGAAGCTCTCCCTCATAAGCCTCGACATGCGCGCCGCGCCGCCCTTCTTCTACAAGGGCTCCTCCGCCACGACGCTCTCTCTGTCGGGCGACATCAAGGAACACCCCTTCGAGGACCGGTACTCGACCGACGCGAAGCTGAGCAGCGATGGCGGCGCCGGGACCTCCGTGAGCGACGGGCCGCAGACGTCGTTGCCCATGGTCTCGGCGCCGGCGTTCGGCGACGGCAACACGGCGCTTGCGCCTGCTAATACCAAGGATGCGGCCAAGAAGAAGGTGCCGAAGCCGAAGAACAACATGACCAAGAGCAATTCGTCTTTCATTTCTAGAGTAATCGTAAACGAGAGCTTGGCCAAGAAACTTCAGGAACGGCCGTCGGACGGAGTCTTTGCGTTCGCCAACATCAATCGCGCGTTCCAATGGCTGGACTTGTCATCGCCGACGAAGGTAAGAGATGCAGTATATGACAACCAGAAGTGACACTGACACGGAGAAGGCCGACTACTTGACCAAGATCCTGTTCACCAAGGCCCACTGTCTCTGCCACGACGTCAACTCGATCACGAAGAGCATCTCCCACATTGATGTCATCATGGGCTTCTCCACCGGCGAGATTATCTGGTGGGAGCCCGTTTCGCAGCGTTACACTCGTCTGAACAAGAACGTAGGTCGCGAGCTTCAGGACTCTCTCTACGGCCCGCAAGACTGACTTTCGCAGGGCATCATCAACAGCACGCCAGTTTCCGAAATCAGATGGATTCCCGGCTCTGAGAGCTTGTTTTTAGCGGCGCACATGGACGGAGCTCTGGTCGTGTACGACAAGGACAAGGAGGATGCGCAGTTCTCGCCAGAGGAAGAGCTGGCTGCTAATGGTACGACAAACGGCGAGAGCGAGTCGACGAACGGCGTCAACCACAACCTCAAAATCCAGATCAACAAATCGGTCCACTCCAAGAACCAAAAGACGAACCCGGTGGCATCCTGGAAACTGTCCAACCAGCGCATCAACGCCTTCGCCTTTAGCCCGGACAACCGGCATCTGGCCGTGGTCTCGGAGGACGGCTCGCTCCGTATCATCGACTACCTGAAGGAGGAGTATGTTTGGTACCCCCGCCCTCTGAGATTGTATTCACTGACGCGTAACAGAATGCTCGATCTCTACCATTCGTACTACGGCGGCTTCATCAGCGTCTGCTGGTCCCCGGACGGCAAGTACGTATTGACCGGCGGCCAAGACGACCTCATCTCCATCTGGTCCGTCGTGGACTCCTGCATCGTAGCGCGCTGCCAAGGCCACCAATCATGGGTCACATCCGTCGCCTTCGACCCGTGGCGGTGCGACGACCGAAACTATCGCTTCGGAAGCGTCGGCGAGGACTGCAGGTTGTGCCTGTGGGATTTCAACGTCGGCATGCTTCACCGACCCAAGGCGGTACGTGACTCTTGACTCGGTTGCTGGGTTCCGGAGAGAGAGCAAGAAAGAGACTGACGGCAATAGGCTTCCGTCCACCACCGGGGCTCCGTGTCATCACGGTTCGCCAATCCCCTGCAGAGACAAGAAACAGCGAACACAGCAGCGAGCCGGATTCGATCCAACTCGACCGTCTCGGGAGGTGCGGTTGACGAGGAGAGCGTTGTTCATCCGGTCGAACCAAGAGCGCGAATTCCCATGCTACCCCCTGTATCGGTGCGTTAAAAGCTTCTGTCATTATGTGAATTCCATGTGTTGACGTGTCCGTAGTCCAAAGCACTTGATACCCACCCTCTCTGCTGGCTTGAGTTCACCGAAGAAGCCATCATCACTAGCTGCAAGTCAGGTAAGTTGACCTCACGCCGGCAGGAAGAGTTACGGAGCCGTCATGCTGACCGGACCAAACACAGGACACATCCGGACGTGGAACAGGCCGACAGATGCCCCGGTGCCGACGGAGGGCGCACCTTAGATGCGGTAGACTTTACGATTTGTTTCTGATGCAAATATTGGAGCTTGGATATAGGATGAGCCACTGCAGCCTATCCAAAGGTAGAACCCCCAAATGCCACGAGCAGTTATGCTTCAAATTCCGTCATCGCGAATCATGCAAGTGCGAGACTTGTGTGTGACCGGCGCGGTGTGGCAGTTCAGATGAGATGGTGATGTACGCGTCTCTCATGAGGACCAGGTCATCATGACGTTCGATCTGCATGTGAATGAGGGTCAAGAGGTCGGAGCTTCACATCCTGAAGGACCCTTTTTGAGACACAAAGTGTGCATTGGATACTCACACAATCGAGATGCGGCTCCGTGGTGGGCTGGCATGGCATGGCTGGCCCGTGGTCCCTTGCTTAGGTCCTTGGATCCTTGGATCCTTGGGGGTCCTGTCCAATGTGTTTTGCCTGCGTGCGTGGGGGTTCCACCAACCGCGTCGCCGCCGCCGCTCGCACCCGACTCTGGCCTGCTGGACGCCGACCCATGTGTCTGGTCTGCATGCGGAAAGCCGGCGGGTGAGAGTTCGTCCCCGGTCCACCACGAAAAGAAGCCGGAAGGAGAGTCGAACGGTTTTGCGCGCGTGGCTAAACGGTTCTCCTGGGTCTAATAGAGATAGGGGAGAGGGATTCTGGAACACGTCGAACGGGATATCAAATGGCGCTGTGTCCTCTCTCTTTTCTTCGGCGGTATTCATTGGATGCGTGTTGGTCTTTGAAGCAGGGAAAGGAAATTCCCGATTCTCCACCTCGTTCTGATATGCGACGAGGAAACCAAGAAAGGGTGTCGTGGTAGACAAAATGCCTCTCGGTGAAACTTCCAACGTGCGTACTACGTGGTGTAGAGCTTGAGCGGAGCCTCTTTCACATGCTGTTGAGGTGTTGGCACTAAACCATGATACGGCGGCGCGGCATGAGGCTGAGAGAGAGGACTGATAGGCTTGATGTCGTTGATGGATACTTTTTGAGTGATGCAGCCGCAGCGTGTGCTTGTGTATTATGCAGTAGCATCGACGCAAGAGGCTGCCCTGGCGTTTTGAAGTGTATGCAGGCGTATCGGGAGATCCACGTGCAGGCCATTTTTGAATTTTCTCTTCGTTGGGCTCGACTCGACCGCGAGCCCCTCTCGAGGTAACAGTAGGTGTATGCGTAGATAACGGGTAGCAGGTCCACATTGAGCGGTTTGTGTGCATGCCCAGGAGCTTAATAGGCCGGGAGCCAGGAGGCAAGGCTGAAGATTGGTTCCACACCGTGGCTTGAGGTCAGCTTGCGAGAGGTCGGATTCTGGTCCACGACGGGCGGATATCAAGGTTCACGTCTCGACGCTTGCAATCTGTGAGACGCGCCCCTTGGTTTTCACGACTGCTCCTGCAAAGGGCCGATGGTGAGAGATTTCGGCGCGGTGGGGACGATACTTCAGGGAGCGGTAGTTGGCGAGATTTCAGATGGGGCTAAGCTTCGTGACTCAGCTTGGTGCCCGAGATGGATCGTCGAGGCTCATGATTGTTGAAACGATGGGCCTGTTTTGGTATTCGGACCTTCGCGAGCCCTTCGCCATTAACGGTAATGGCGTGCTGGTACATGCTCTCCGTGTCTCCTACTGCTGTTCCGCACATTCATCTGATCTGCGGTAGAATATTTCCAGACGACCCGCTCGGTTCCGACAGACCTCAGTCGATTACGCATGCAGGCGAATATGAAGAGTGAACGATGCTCAGGCCATAATGTGCACTGAGGCGAGACCGGAACAGGCCAGACGAGACGACGGAGAAATACACGCGCTGCAGGCCAGGAAGGACTTGCTTTCCTGCGCAAGAGATGTCATGTTGATATCAGTGGATCCTGAGTGATCTGACATCAGGAGCAGGCATGATGCTATCTTTGCACACGCCCAGGGTGATGGGTGTGGTGGACCCGTGGCTGCGGATGCCATCTGCGGCAGTCGGCGAGCTGAGCCGTTGGGACGCCATCTCTAAGAGCGACCTGAAATTTGCGCTAGCAGACTGCGTGCCGCCAGTCCTCGATCCTGTCATCGTCTGGGCCCTTTTGGCTGTTGGGCCTTGGTTCCTTGTAAAAACGGCCCTCGTCTCGCGTTTCGATAAACCTTGGCTTGGCGGGCCAACCGCTCTTTGCAGACGGATACGGGTGGGTAATGGCTTGAGTTCGCTTCTGCTAGCTACCCGCCCTCTGCGCCGATGGATTCGATAGACCGGTTTTGTGGACTGGGATATCTTGAATGTCGAGATAGTGCGTGCGCGAATATGTTTGTCCTGGCTGCGAGCGACTGAAGATGATATCGTGCGTGCGTGGCAGTTTGTAGATGGAATCAGATAGACAAGAAGGATTTGAGTGTCGTCACGAATGTCTGCAACCAATCGGCGCCGTTTAACCATTAGATCAATGGGTTATGACACAATCCCGCCTTGGTCCTCGGTGAACGTGTGCCCAGATATCTCAAGCTCTCAGTCTAATCAAGACTTCCGGAGGCATTTACCGGCCAGTGAGGGTGTGCGCCGGCGAAAGCCCGCCACTGACCGAAACTCACGTCCGCATATTGACGAATAGCTCGGCGTAGCTCCGGGCTCGGCGCGGCTTCGGACCGCTGCACAGTGATTTTGCGTTTTAGTGTAATTTGTCGTTATCTCGGAGTCATTCATCCAAGTGCGACGCCTATTGGTCGCCAACCACCAACGTGCGAGGGAAAAAATCGCAGTCGGAGAAGAGAAGCAGGGTTGAAGGCGCCATCTTCAAAATTTCAGCGAAGAATCCACAACATGTCGGTGAGCGACCCATTATTTTTTTGGTTTCCGTTGGTCGTGTCCGTTCTAATCGGAAGGGGGCTGGAAGCCCTCGAAACTGGAGATGAGTCGCAACGCGAACGGTCCTGGTCGCGACATCGTATGGTGATGGATTGATGTCCGTTTCCGGTTCATGTGTTTTCTCATGCAGGTTGAAGTGGCAGCAGAGCTTAGAGGAAGGCGCTGCAACCGCGGCATCGTGACTTGACAACACGGGACTTGACGGAATGGCAGGTCAAGGCCCCTGGGCTCACGTCCGGGAGTCAGAGCCCCTTCGCTAGGAGTTGGAACGAGAAACGGCGGGATCCCGGCTCGAAGGCAACACAGGCCTGGTGCTTATCGGTGGGGTTTTCACCGAACCCTCAGTCAAGGAGAAATTCCCATCGCAGGGCTCGGGCCAGCTGCCAAAGTGCCTTCCGTCTCTCCTGGCGACGATCTCCAAGAACACAACTGGGTCCTTGCAGGGGGCCGAGAGACACAGTGGATTGGGTCCTCAACGAGATGCCCAGACCAGGAGACCAGCCAGACGTACGGTCTAGAAGGTCTGGAAGGCCTTTGTGTGCTGAGAATGCTGCATGCGGCAGAGCAGCTCGTGAAAACGAGCCTGCCAGAGCCGCTGGATAAATTGGCCTGCGTCGATTTCCTGCCGACGTGCAGATGCCAATACGGAGGGTCATGCCCCCAAAGTCTGGGACGAGGGTTGATTCAGCAGGTAGATTGAGACCCGCAGAGGCTGTCATGAGGCACGGAATCGGCGAAGCGCAGTGTGATGCCGGATTCCCCGTGTGATGGACTGCGCGGGATGTCGCAAAGCTCCCGGCTCGACACATCGTGAGATTCTAGCCACCAGGTGCAGGCTGAGGTTGCGGAGACGGCTCGGCGGTGGAATTCATCTGTCGCACGGCTGCAGGTCTTGATGTCGCACATGGCCTTGGACAAAGAGGCAAGCGTTGATCATGATCTGAAATGTTATCGCTCCGATGCGGGCAGAGGATACCCCGCCTTGCTCTCCTCATAGGTCTCCTGACAAACGATGCCCATGACCGCGGGCTGCATCTGGAGGTAAATCAGTTGGCCTCGCCTTGGCCATGATCGAAGACGGTTGTGGGGGTCCGTCAATCATGACCGTACACAGCGCAAGCAGTCGTCACTTTTTCTGACGACGATGGTCGAAACAAGGCAGGACTGGCAGCTGAAGAGCGTGGGCGTCCGGGGCGCCCTCTGTGTGGCGATGAGACAGGTCTTGGGCTGTCTGCGTTTCCCGTCGACAGGAGAAGCCGGTGCCAAAGCCACAATTGTTGACGATGGCGTTTTCGAGGCGGTCTGTTGGCGTGTTGCTGCTAGATTAGGTCGACATCTTAGCCGTATCGGTCGTGATAGATATCAGAACCAAGAAGAAAGGAGCAGGGATAGGCCGGCGAAGACTGAGGTGCCTGTGAACTGTCACTGTCAGCGAGACAACTACCACCACAGACAATAAACGCCATACCGGCTCCGAAAAGTGACGGAAGGAAGACCGCTGGAACAAGAATTGAGATGATGGATGGAAATCGAAAAACATCCCACGCGGCCCCACTCAGTTCTTGCCTCTTTCGAGGTCAGATACTTCAGTACTTTTCCAGGCGGGCGTTCAAATCTTGGAAGGCACATTTCACACAGCGGGCTGGCGGGAGGCAACCGCTGTGTGGCACCGTGGAATCGTGGCTGACAGTCACCCTCCATGCACCTCCAAATTGAGGTGGTTGCACAGAATAGAACGGCAAGATGCGCCAAGACAGGGAAGAGGCATGCTCCATAGCTTCCATTTGGCTTCCATATCATCGCACGATTCATGCAGGGGCCAATCAGTGGCGGTAGTCCTCGGTCGCCTTATCCGTCAGATGAACGGCGGCAGGCGGCAGCACCGTCTCTTTTGTCCATCTTTTTTTGACTTTCGAGTCCGGCTATTGGGTGCTTGACTCTTTCCAACCGATGATGATGGGGGTTACGGTCACCGCGGAATCTCGCAAAGGCTGCTATCCTTCGCAACTCCCTTGGCATCGATCATGCCCGGTGAGCGTTCATCGGAGTTCCTGTAAGGAGGCATGTCGGCAACTTGCGCTCTCGCCGTGTGACGACTTCAGCGCACGAATCTGGCAAATCCGAGTTACAAACAACATCAGTTGCTTCGCAAATAACGGGCGCAATTTGTATTCCGTGTAAATAAGGTGCATGCATGTGCCTTGGACCGCGGTATCGCAGCCGGGCACAGTTGCCGACAGTCCTAAATCAGGCCAGACTCGGACGGGAGCAGAGCTGTTGCCGTTGCAGGCGCTCGAACCATGTGTTTCGATTCCAGTTGCTTTTTGGCTCTCCATCGTCGTTTCCCGTGGATCGTTGCATTTTAGGTCATTTTCTTGTTTTTGAAGAGACACTAGCCAATGCATCGTGACCACATTAGCAATCCATCTTGGCGAGTCGTGTACTCGAAAGCGCTATGAATCAACGATATGGTAATTCATTGTCTCGATAATCGTTGATGCAGCTGCCCGACGACAGTCATTGTTCTCTCAAATCAGGTATTAGGTTCGTATTACACGCTGCATCATCAAAGGAAACCGCCAAGCCGGCCAGCTAGTCCACCACACCAAGCAGGACGGGCCACGGCTGGAAAAGCCACTGTGCAGCCCTAACACGGAACAGCTTGGAACGATTAGCGCTATCTCGCACTCTAATAGAGGGACGGAGAGATGCCGCGCCTCGCTGGCAGTGACGGTGACAACTGACGAGAGTCAGACACGAAGCAAACCTCAAGCTGACATCGTGCACTTATTAGACTCAGACTCAGCATCAGCATCAGCAGTAGGGGTAGCCGCACAACCAACCATAAGACCTAATCAAGAGCCAAACTTGCAACTCATGTGAAAACGCCCTTAATGATGGATGGATGGTTGGATAGTTACACCCATTCAGGGACAGTATGGAAACAATTGCGAAGTGTGCTCGTGTTGTTTGACCGAGAGACTGACCATGATTCACTCACACCCCCCTGCTGGCATCGTCATTCCCGCCATCCCTCCCTTTCTGAGGCAATGGCAAAGGAACAGTGCAAATCCATCCCACTTCCCATCCACCAGCGGTCCAGGGCACAATCGCCGCCAAACCCACCTCTCCCATCATCCATGACAGGGCAGGGCAGATAGCACAGCTGTCGCACAACTGGTCCACAACCGCCCGTCGTCGTAGGTAGGCTGGAACGCGGTGATCCTGTCAGTCGGGTGTCAGAGCTGGCTTTTCTTACTGCTGACCACGGTGGCTAGCTAGCTGAGGATTAAGGTGGTTTTTCGGTGTCGAGTCGGGATTCTCTCCCGCAGCCACCAAGGAGGGGAGGGAAGAAGAAAAAAAAAAAGAAAGAGCGCACGTACCACCCGTACCTTACGTCTCTTAAAACAATCTGCATCCAAATGTAAGGTACGTACTGTAGGAATGAATACCCGCGTTGCAGTGAGGTAAAGTATTCGCAATCTCGTACCTTTTTTACCTACGATTATCCGTACTGGCGCATCTGCTTCCCGTCGTTTCTTTGCTCGCCATGGCCCCCCCGGCTCCGTTTTGGGCCGTCTCCTTCCATTGTCCGGTGTCTGCCGCTGACCCTCATCGTCCTCACATTCGACGTACCAGGCGCAAGCAAGCGCAGCGGCAGCGCAGGTGCCAGGCCCAGCCCTCGTCCCATTCTCTCCTTATCCAACTCCGTTCAAGGTTCGGGCTCCAGGGACCCTGAACAAGGAACCGGGCCGTCCTTCTCTCTAATGGCTCTCGACAGTTCAAGGACACAAGGATGATGGCCGATGGATCTCTTCCCTTCCCGACTTGACTCCGCCCCACCACGACAAACCCGTCGTGGTCCACGCCTCTTCTCTCCCACGCCCATGCCCACGTCGACTCGTCCACCCCTCCTCGGTCCTGGTCGTCGTCTTGGTGGGCTGCCCGTTTGTGAGATGAAAGGCACCGGCGCATTTTTTTCGTAGCTTTCCCAGGTTGCGCTTGCAAATCAGGCTTGCGCTTGCTCTTTGCCTGCTCCAAAGCCCACCTTTCCATCAGATGAATGTATCTCCGTACCTAAAAAGACGCTCCTGGCTCCGTCAATAAATACAGACCTGCCTCCAGACCTCCCCTTCCTCGATGTTTAGGCCGTTTCTCTCTATCCAAGCATACCGCTTGGTACATCGCTGAAGATGCCGTCATTCAATCCATTCTCGACCGTCACGGGCAAGCATGCCGCTTCCCTCTTTGAGATCAGGTATGCGCCCCCAAAGCCCCACGTCTCTCCAAATTCCACTCGACTTTTTTTTCTCTGCCGTCCTCTTCGTCTAAGTGATTCCGAAACTGACGTCGGCATTCCACAGACTAGACAATGACTTCATAGTCTTTCGCGGAGGAGAGGATGAATCTGCCGGCCAGATTCTCAAGGGTGTCGTGGTGCTCTGTCTGCCCACGCCGCTCAAGATCGAAGACGTCCACCTCCGACTGACCGGCACCCTCCGATTATCGTATGAGTGACTCCTTATTCCCGGTTCGACTTTTTGCAGATCGGCCAGCTGACCGATCCCTCTGCATAGGTGGGATTACTCCAAGAGTGCCGCGTCTGGCGTATCGAGCCAAAAAGTCGACAAGACCACCACCCTGCTCCAACACCGCTGGGCTCCGTTCGTCGGCGGAAACGGTGGCAAGAACACCATCCTGCAAGCCGGCAACTATGAGTGGCCGTTCGAATACACCCTCCCCGGTAACACGGCCGAGAGCGTCGAAGGAATCCCCGAAGCGAGCATCACCTACAAGCTCAAGGCTACCGTTGCCCGCGGCAAGCTCGCCTACGATCTGCACGCCTACAAGGCTCTGCGCATCATCCGCACCCTCGAACCCGCCGCGCTCGAGTTCCTCCACGCCATGAGCGTCGAGAACATCTGGCCGAACAAAGTCGATTACTCCATCATCATCCCGCAAAAGGCTGTCGTCTTCGGAGCCACTGTCCCCTTGCAGATGCGTTTCACACCGCTGCTGAAGGGCCTCGAAATGGGAGAGATCTCCGTCAAGATGCTCGAGATCCGCGAGTGCACATTACAGGGACCTACTGGCAACATTTTCAAGGAGCACAGGACGGAAAGAGAAGTCTCCAACTGGAAGTTTGAGGTGGACAGGGACGAGCACTGGCACGACACCATCGAGGACACTGGCCAGGAGGGCTGGTTGGTGGAGAAGAAGCTGAACCTCCCCAAGAGATTGCGACAGTGCGTCCAAGATCTCAACCACAACGGGATCAAGGTGCGACACAAGCTTAAGCTTGTTGTTGCCCTCAAGAACCCCGATGGTCACATTTCAGAGGTAAGTCAGAGGAGACTCCACGTGGAAGTTGCTTTCAGACACTAACAGACGCCAGTTGCGAGCCACGCTCCCTGTTTCCATCTTCATCTCTCCCAACATGCCCCTCGATGAGCATGGTGTTCTCGTTGACCAGGCTCCTGGTACGGCACCAGCCGCAGAAGTCACTCGAATTGCGCCTCCCGGTTATGGCGAGCACCTTCTCGATCAACTATACGAAGATGTCGATATGAGCGGTTTCCAGACCCCTGGCGTCCAGTCAGGCTTCAGCAGTCCTTTCTACGCCCAGTCCCGCGCTGGCTCTTCGGAAAACCTTGCGGCTCTCGCCATGTCGAACGGACACGGCCATGGCGTTGCTCCAGCCGCGCTGTCATCCCGTCTCCAAAACGTGTCTCTCGAACCCTCTCAACGCAACACTTCCTTCAACTCTCTCAACGCCATTACCGAGGATGTGGCTTTCCCGACATCAGCCCCGACCGGACACAGCTCACAAACGCAATCTGCGGCGCTGACCCGCCACAACAGCGCAGAGGAGCATCCCAACTCCCACTCCTCCGGCCGCAACTCGCCTGAGCATCTCGACTTCCCCGACATGGCCACCTTGAGCAAGGTTCCCAGCTACACCACGGCAATCAGGACACCTGCTGCCCGTGTGAGAGGCCAGTCCGGCGAGGCGCTCCCTGACTACTTCTCTGCCATGAGCGCACCAAACACGCCTCCTGCCAGTGACGTCCCCGTCGCGGATCCCCTGAGCATGATTCCCGAGTCCCACGAGGCTGCCACCAGCGGTACTGGGAGTGAACCCACTACTCCAGGCGGATCTCATCGCTCATGGCATCGCCCAGCAAGCATGACCAGTCTGCTGCACGCGGTTCAAGGCGGTGATGATCGCAGGCTGCACCTTCTCCAAGGGCGCGAGCGAGTATATTGAGATTTCTTACGATATGTTTCACTCTACTCTGATTTGATTATACGTTATAGAGGGCGGCAGGCACTACTTTCCGGCATGGCATGGCATTGGCGTTGGAGGGGTTTAGAAACCCAAAGCGGGAGGGACTTTTGAGATTCACAGGTTTTAGACATGCGCCTTGAGGCACCAGGACTCTTTGGCAGCTTGGACACACGTACACGGATTGATATAATTCTATGGAAGGGGTACTGGGGGATACCAGGAAGGCATTTGTAACATACCCACCGCTTCAAGTGCGGCACACCGAATGCAAGATACCAAAGATGAACCACCACTGTTATCTCTTCATGCACAGTCTCAGCCGTGTGTAACTTGCTTGTCGCAGGTCCCGTCTCTGAATCGGTCGGAGTGGGATAAGTGGCGCGATGTCTACGAGGCAGCCTCAGTCACATGCAAACACAAATCATCCAAACGGTTTGATGGGTTCACTCGTAGAAAAATGAGTCAGTCGCGGTTCCCGGGTCGTCGCAACGCCGAGAGACCCTCGGGCCAAGGATGTGAGGTGCGGCACGGCATCGGATCCACTTCGCCGGGATGGAAGTGTGTGTGTGTTGTGTCGCCGGCCGATGTCGGACGCCGATGACGGTGCGATGGTGCGGCGATCTGGGAGGCTAGGCCGTTGCATCGTGATGCGCGGGTATTTGCATGTGTTTTAGGGGGGTGTTTGTTCTCGTGATGTGATGGGTGGTTGGTGATTTGTGCGGTTGGAGGGGTTGTTGGTTGGTTCCATAGATTGTTGGTGGTCGGGGGAGCCGGCGTGTCGGTCCGGCTTTGGACGGGTTTTCTTCGGGTAAGTATCAGTATCGGGCTGTGGTGAGCCTGGACCTACGGACGATAAGGTAAGGAGATAACTTTGGTTGCTCGGATGGTAAGGTAGTCATCGCGGTTAGTCGGTGGCTGCTTGAGGATATACGCAACTATGTGATGGAGTCCTGAATAAGCACCTAAGTTTATCCAAGTTTTGCCCTCTCTCATGCGATTGTGATGGGTTCTTACCTGCCCGCGGTTTCCCTCTATGCGTAATGATGAATTTCGATTCCAGCGACCTTTCTGGCAGGGTTCTGCAAATCATTTTATACAATCATAAAGGAGAACTGAGATACGATGAGTCGAAGCCCAACTTGATCATACCAATGCGCAAGCTTGGTGCGCTACGCAGAGCATTCTATTTCCGTTTCACCAGAGTTGGCCAACACTGTCATCCCAAGCACCAAAAGTCCAGACCATCAGATGAGACCAATCGGCACGGGCGGCCAGCCGCTGACTTTCCATCCGATTCCTCTCTCCCGGCCGTCAGGCCGCAACCTTGCTCCCGAATGACGACGGCCCCCCAAGTGGGGAAGAGGGTTTATTACACTTATATAAGAAGAGGGTAAATATTCTTATTATAGCTACTTTTAATAAATATCTATATTAATTAGGGCCTAAAATAGTTATACTTATACCTCTATAAATAACTAGTAGAACTAAATTTCTACTAATAATATCTCTCTCTAAAGTAACGTTTTAACCTTTAATATTATTAATATTACTATATTAAGATAGCGCTTATTATTAAGTTAGTATTAATATTATTAAAGTTCTCTTAATATATACCTAATTAGAGGGTATAATACTCTAAGGTTATTAAGAAGTATTATATAGCTAAATTTAAAAATTACTACTTAGAGCTAAATACTATAGAGGGTTACTACTATCTATAGCTTACTATTTAGAAGTCTAAAATAAAGCCTTTTTATAATAAAAGTATACTAATTAGCTTAATATTATATATTAGGCGGCCTTTAGCTACTATATTGCGTTTAGAAACTATATATTTAACTAACTCTAGGTTTAGCCTAGCTAACTTAACTAATTAATAGCTATTTAGTTATATAACTATATATAAGCTCTTTCTATCTTAGCTGCTATTTTATTGCTTTACGCCTTAACTTCCCCTATTATAATAATAATAATAAACTTTTTTATTAAAATATCTCTAATACTTTAAAAGATATCTCTAAAACTTCTACTATTTACTAACTAACTAACCCTTTTAACTATATAGCTATTAAGCTAGTACGCTATTATTAATTAAACTTTTTAGAAGACTTTTAGCTTACCCCTAGTACTTAAGACTATTATAGTTCTATTACTTATTATTAATAACGCTATTAATATATTATAATCTAGATCTATAGAACTTATAGATTCTTAACTTTAGGCTTAAGATCCTTAGCTATTTAGAGGAAACCTATAAGATACTTATAGGTTAATAGATTACTATTAATATCTAGAATAAATACCTTAATAATATTAAGATCCTTATCCTTAAGCCTATTAAGGGTAGGTATAATAATACCCTCCTTATTAGGGTTTAGAGCTAATAGTATAGTCTTATAAGTAAAATAAGCTATTATAACTTTTATATTAAAGTTTAAGTTATTATATTTATAGCTATTAATACCTTAAATATTATAAATATATACTAAATCTATAATATTACTATTATTAAGCTTATTATATAGTACATTAAGTTAAATAATACTTATCTTAAAGGATTTAAATATAGTAATAAATAAGAAAGATAAGGAATAGGCTTTTAGCCTAAAATAGCTAGCTTCTTATACCTACCTAATAATATAATAGAGATACCCTATTAGCTACCCTTCTAGCTAAAAGACTATAAAGGTATTATAAAGAGGGACTTATAACTAAAACGTTTAGTATTATTATAGTAGATTTAAGTTATTATTACTACCTATTAGATACCTCTATAAGGCTTTTATCTAACGTTAGTAATAAGGCTTACTACCCCCCCTTTTCCTATAGCTCTTATAAACTTATATATACTTAAAGACCTTAGCTAGGCTAAATCTTATTAGTTAATACTAATTTAACTATTATTTATATCTATTTATTATATTAAGAGATAGTATAGGCTAAAGTACTAGAATTATATTAAAGAACTAAGAAACTTATATTAGTAAACTACTATATAAAGCTCCCTTAGAGCTAGGCAATATTCCTACCTTATTATATATTAAGCTAAAGGTTATAGTTATTAATAATATAAAGTATAGCCTTAAGGTATCTATAACTTACTTATATAGTAGGATATTTAAGATAAAAATATCTATTTTAAAGTATCTACTTAAGTTAGTATACTTTTATTAAGAGAGGATAAGGGGGAGTACTTAAGTAATATAGATAAGGGGTCTTTTTTAGTTAGTACTAATATAAAGAAGAAGAGATAAATAGGGGGTTTACCTATTAGTTAGTAATTTTATATAGCTAATAGGCTATACCTTAAGGGTATTACTATAAGGGTATTACTATAAGGGTATTACTATAAGGGTATTACTATAAAAACTTAGCTATTTAGACTTTATTTACCTAGTATTTATAGAGGTTTTTATATATAACTATATATATAATAAGAGGGTATATACTTAGACGTAATTAGTTAGAAAAAATATAGGTAAAAGGGGGTAAAGATATATATATATAATAATAGAACGACGACGGCTGTCATCTCAGCGCAGCGTATCTGGACGATCCAAAAGCTTGTTCACCTGAGGAAGGGTATCCCAGCAAAGTGCGACATTGCCGCGGGATTCCAATTTATGAGCTGCTGTTAGTCGCGGTGCTGTGTTCTACACCGCCGCTCTACCAGCTCTGATAGCAGGCACTTATTTGAGATCATCCAATCTCAACTAGCGCCGTCGTACGCTGGGAAAAGTAGGGGACTATTCACTTTATGTTGACGTCATATCCACCCTCAATTACCGCCCGGCTCCCTCTTAGCGTGTCGCAAAAGGGGACACCTGATGGGCGCCAGCGCAGCAGAGAAGAGCCCTGAACAGCTGGAAATAATCTCAGCCAGCCTACCGCGCGATCTTTTTTTGCTTGTCTGGGCTGGCTTTCAGCTGGGAAGTTGGTACCAACACAGCAAAACAAAAGCTTGGATTTGGCGAGAGAAAGTGGTGATCGTCACAGGGGCTTAAGATGACCCCACTCTTCAGGGAACGTGCAAAGCTGAAGGGCCGCGGCGCTAGGGCCAGAAAAGTCCGTCAGTGGTGGTGGAGACGTCATTCGATGTTGTTCGTGCAGGAGCTTGGGCGGTTCAGTGTTTAATTACCAGCTGTCACTGGCGGGGAAGGGGGGAGGGACACGGTCTGGACGAGTGCTACTACTACCCTTTGCAATATAACTTTCTTGTGTCCTGCTTGCTTGCTCCTGCATCCCCTCGTCGCAAGCGATCTACTGCCTGACCTAAGCATCTGGAGCGACTTTCATTGCACTTGCGATACCCCTCATTCTAATTGGAAAGCACAGCTTCAACTCCGTTCCGAATTTGCATATCGTGACAATGGCGGACACCAAGACGATACCTTCGAGGTCGGCGACCATGAAGACCACCTCCACCGCCGACGAGGCCGTCCCCGAAGTCGACCCTACCAGCGTAAGTGTAGCCGCCCAGCTATCCCATTCGTTCCCAGTGATCTTCACTTCGCTGTTGCTTGTCGTTCCTACATATCGCTCTTCGGACACTGGCTAACTATTTTCGCGCAGACCGCCGGACTGCTCGCAGAGCGTCTCCAAGCCTGGAAACACGCCGTCGGATACCTGGAGGACTACATGGAGGCCGTCGAAAAGATTCACAGGGCTCAGTCGAAGGAGTACGAGAAGGCCCTCAAAGTCATCTCTCACCCCCTTAAGGAGGGCCACCACTTCGACCAAAGTCTTGGCGGAGTCGCGGGCTACTTTGAGAACATGCGCTCCAACACTCAGGCGATTATTAACACCAATCTCGAGACGGAGAAGAGCATCAAGGGTTCGGTTCTTCCGGTCATGGACCGCTTGCATAAGGAGATCAAGCACAAGGGCAAGGAGCTGGCACACGGTGCCCAGAAGGGCGCCAAGGAGGTCGAGAAGGCCCGCAACATTACCCAGAAGCACATTGAGCTTCTCGGCCAACAGACCGCCGCTTTCGAGTCCGCCGGCGGCAAGATGCACGGTTCCGACGACCCGTACGTCGTACACCGCGGTGTTCTGCACAGACTCCACAAGCAGGTTCTCGAGGAGAACAACAACCGAAACGATTTGATCGCGGTCCAAAACAACTTCGAGGCCTTCGAGGCTCATGTTATCGAGGTCATTCAGCAGGCCATGGAGGCTTTCATTCAATTGACCGGAGGCCAAGCTGAGAAGACGCGCGCTTTGTACTCGGATATGCTCGGCGCCATCCAGCGTGTCCCCCACGATCTGGAGTGGAAGGGCTTCGTCAGCCGCAGCGGTGAACGTCTGGTCAACCCGAACGATGCCCCGCGATCGGTTGAGTCTGTCACTTTCCCCAACATGGACCACCCTGGCGTCAAGCCTCTCATCGAGGGGTCCTTGGAGCGCAAGTCGCGTAACAAGTTGTCCTGGGGCATGTCCACCGGTTATTACGTCGTGACCCCGGCCAAGTTCTTGCACGAGTTCAAGGACTCTGACAATGCCCGCCACGATCCCAAGCCAGACTTGTCCATCTACTTGCCCGATGCCGTCATCGGCCAACCTAGCGGAGACAAGTTCAACGTTAAGGGCAAGGACAAGAGCGGATCGATGAGCGCCAAGCTCAGCGGCAGCGCGGAGCTGGCTTTTAAGGCACACACTCCCGCAGATGCTCAGAAGTGGTTCGAGGTTATCAAGAACGTTGCGGGTGCCACAGGCCCTGCCGAGACCTCCGCACCCACCTCTCCAGTCGTGGCCTCCGACGAGAAGTTCGCCGCCGTTTCTCCGACAGTCACCACGGGATCGGGTAGCCACCACGCCCAAGAAGCTGGCGTCACTGGAAACGATCCTACTGCCAGCCCAGAAATCATGAGCCCCGTTGACGGTCCTTCTTCAGCCTCTGCCATTCCCGCGGCCAAGACACCAGTCGCACCGGTCGACGAGAAGAAGGCTTGAGGGATTCAATGGACACCATCTTTCTACTACTCATTCCTACATGCACACCAAGACAGCCTCGGATTTGTCTTAGCGCCGCCATTCTCGCCTCATTAAAACAAAAATGAGGCGGAGTTACGTCGACAGGATGCCCTCCCTGGTTGCCTGAACACCCCTTAGCCTCGCGACAAGGCGAACTCGCCGCAGTCGCGCGGCAGTACTTTTTTGATTGGCCACACCAACTTGAGCAATACACAGCCTTATGCGTCTGCGTCTGGCGTATGCGTTACGGAGGATACCAACCTGGCTTCATGTCGATGAACATATAGCAGCTCTTAATGAAACTACATTTTTATTTGAGTCGTTTCCACCCCCCCTTTATTCCGAGAGAATGTCGAACCCGAAATATTGACCGCATCTCAGTGGATTGACGATCCAGCACTTCGCCGTTGTTCCGATGAAACTGCCTACCTGGGTAGGCATTGTGTCGTTGCCCAGAAGACGGCGCTGAGACTTGCATGCGATTCGCGTGGGCCACCACAACTGTCTGGGAAGCCTCGAGTATAAGTGCGGAAAGCCTGCCCAGTCCTTTTGATTCACCGGACTGAGACTCCCGATCTGGCTGACAAAACAAAAGCCACTGCGACGTGGACTACGACAACGGACCGGCATTATTCGAAGTCAAGGACATGGCGGAACGGCGCGCGGTGCTTCGCGCGCATCGGTCGGAAGACCACTTCGGTTTTCGACGCATGATCTATTGCACTTTCGACGTGGTGGAAACCCGTTGAAGATCCTCACACCTTGACTGACCTCCAGATTTCTCGGTGAGGGTGAGTGAGGGAGGGGCAGGGGTAATGGTGGTGTGGAACACCAACGCTCTGCCATAGCCTTCTTCCCCTCATCGAGGCTGCTTACCGAAGAGAAAGGCAGATTTTCTTTCGCACCGTTCCGCTCATGGATCCGCGCGCAATTGTGCTCTCTAGCAGATGAGGGTGTGTTGGCTCCTTCTGACTGGTCTCTTCGAAAATCAAGTCCAGACTTGTATGCAGGTCTTTTCTGTCTGCTGTGAGGTAATGGCGACGACGTCCTCACAACACACACACCCACGATGCAAGGCAGATACAGCCTACATGCTGAATGACTTCCATTTCGTCAGCCCCAGAATTGTCTTTAGAGACTCGAGGGCCGCTAAAGTCGCTGTGAAAAGAAGCGTAGAGCCTGATCATGCTTAACTCGCTCTGATATCGTATATACATAATGATGGAGCAAACGGTTTCCCCGGAATCCTTCGTACTAGACTTTTCTTTGAGATCAAACCATACTTGGATTACAACCAAATGTCACGATAGCCCCCACAATCTACAGAGCCTCTCTTTTCATTTCTGCTAGTCTCCCCCATCAACCACACTCATCCTCGACGTCTTCGTCTCTTCAATGAACCCGGATCTGCGCTGTAGAGCCCGTCGTCTACCAGCGCAACAAATATGACCAAGGCCTGGAAAGAGCACCGCGACGTCATCACGAGGCTCTACATACACGAGAGCCGGACCTTGGAGGATGTCAGGGATATTATGCAGAAGCAGTATAACTTCAAGGCATCGTCAGTCAACCCCCTTTCGTATTCAAGTCTCTTGTGTTTCCATGGGCCCCTATTCCCCTATGACTTTGGCAACTAGACTCTTAGTCTGTACAACTACTGCATCATCTCGTGCAATGGCACTACCACTCCAGAAGAGCTTCTCAGGGTGAACAAATGAAGACTAACTCGTCCAACAGAACCAGATCCTACCGCCAGCAGTTCGACAAGTGGCACCTGAGCAAGTATAACTGCAAGAAGCGCAACAGCCGTCGCCAGGTCCAACACGCAAACGGTTATGGCCAGCAGCAGCATCAGCACCAACAGCTCCAGCACACCGGGACCAGCCCGGACTTGAACGGCCTGAGCCTCACCGACGAGGGCCCCAACAGTCCCCAGAGCGTCGGGAGCGGTAGCCCGGAACATGACGCCGGCACCGAATACTACGCTCCCATGCCCCAGACCTACTCCTCATCCTCGTACCCACACCACGCCGTGCCGGCGCCGACGCCGACGTCGCTGGAGCACTACCACTGGGACCCGCAGGAACGGTACCCGCAGGACAGATATCAACAGCCCGGCTGGAGGGGCATTCCCGACATCGACGCTCTTTTGATCTCGCAGTCTGATCCCATGGACCCGATGGCTTCCCAGCAGGGCCACGCACATCAGGGCTATCCCGTTCATCATCCGGACGAGCAGGAACAGCAGCAGCAGCAGGAGCAGAGCGTGCCCCCACGCGGCCGGATCGCGTCTGCCCCTGATAATCGCTTCAGCCCGTACTACCCCGGCGTCGATTGCAGGTTCCGTTCCGGCGGGTCTGGAGGGTACCGTCGTCAGTCTGAGTAGGCTAGGAAAGGAGGGAAGGGGTGAACGAATAAATGAAAAAGACATTCGGTGGAACATTTGACATTCGCGTTGGCTTTCTGTTTAATCTGACGTTTCGGTTCTTGGTTTCTTTCCAACATGTTTAAAAAGGAAGACTTACTGGTCATTGGGACGGGAAGGCTGCTCTTGGGTGATGGAACACAGGACACACACACGATGGCACCTCGCTCCTTTATAGAAGCAGATAGATTCCTTTCGAAGTAGTTTCTCTTCGTTCGCTCGTTTATATGAAATACCCACCTAAGCAAAGAAATGAACCCGTCATTTACCTCCTGACCGTCATGCTTTTAAACCGCCTTGCGCCGCCATAACAATGCTTCTTCAATCAACGTCAATCGTCCAAACCAACCCACTACATAAAGTCGTCCTCGGTAAAGGGCTCGTCGGTGTCCCGCCTCTTGTTCGAGATGTTCATCTTGGCGGCGCTCTCGGCGAGACCGTAGGGATCGTGGACGTGCCTCTTGCCATCGCCGCCCTCCTGGGACCCGTCGCCCGCGGGGGCCGAGTTGGAGCGCACCTGGACCTTGACCTCGCCCTGGATGCCGTCCACGCGGATGGTGGAGGTGGTGGTGCCGCCGGGCGGGGGCCGCAGGTTCGTCGGGGGCGCGAGGTTGACGAGCTCGCGGAAGAAGTTGTTGGCGGCCTCGCAGCCGTCGAGGAGCCACTTGAGGCAGATGGTGACGCGCTCCTTGGCGAAGGGGTTGTGGTCGTCGTAGGCGCAGCAGTTGAGCAGGGGCACGATGCCGTTGTGGTTGACCATCTGGTTCTGCACCTCCGGGTTGCCCGGGGAGGACTGGCCGAGCGGGGGCTGGAGGAGGGTAGCGAGGATGGTGAAGATCTGGCCCTTGATGCCGGACCAGGGGTACTTGTGCGCCGGGTCGGAGAGGGAGGCCGGGGCGGGGGAGGGGGGCAGGGAGTCGCTCGTGGAGTAGGGGCGCTCGACGATGGGCGTGCTGCCGGCGCTGTTCTGGTCGGTCGGGGAGGCGGGGGCGGCCGGGGTTGCGGCGGCTTGGGGCCTGTTGCGGGAGGGGACGGCGTCGACGAGGGGTTTCTTGGAGACGCCGGCCTCGAGGCCGTTGAGGAGGGTGATGAGGTCGTAGACGGCCTCCCACTCGATGAGCTTCTTGCGGGACTCGGTGACCTCGGAGGCGGTGGTGAGGAACTCGAGGTACTGGGCCAGGCCGTCCTTTGCGCGCTCCATGTCCCAGGTGTCGACGGGGAAGTCGGACGGGTCGGCGTTCTGCTCGCGGATCTGGGCCTGGAGGTGCATGAGCGCGACGCACTCGGGGACGATGCGGGAGCGGAAGAAGCTGAAGAAGAACATGACGAGCTTGACGTCTCGGTCCTGGTCCTTCTTGTCCTGGGGCGGGTTGGCGACGCGGGAGCGGAAGATGTGGTTGACGAGGCGGAGGAGGACGGTCTGGGCCGGGGAGATGATGTCTTTCGGGATGCGGAGGGAGTTCCAGGCGTAGGGGATGAGGGCGGAGTGGTGCAGGGCCTCTATCAGCTGGGAGGTGATTTGGAAGATGAGCGTCGTCTCATCCTTTTCCCAGACGGCGATGAAGACGAGCATCTCGCGGAGGAGAGACTTGCCGCAGTCGAGGGCGAGGAACATGCGGCAGCGGGTCTTTTGGAGGTTCTCGCCGGCGCGGGTGAGGCCGGAGCCGGCGGAGTCGAGGATGCAGGACTTAACAATCATGTGGAGGGCCTCGATCTGCTTGGGGTCGAGGATGTTCGGGATCTCGGTGAGGAGGCCGGTCAGGGGGCCCTCACCATAGGACTCGTCGTCGTCGAGGTCCTCGTCGTCCATCATGTCGTCGAGGTTTCTCATGTCATCTAGGTTTCCGATGACCGGGTAGTCGTCGGCGTACTCCTCCGGCGAGCCCTCGGGCAGGTCTTCCGAGTCCTCGATCTCGTCGACCTCCGTCTCTTCCGTCGTGCGCATGTCGGGCCCCGGGTGGTAGCGGCTGACGAGGTTGTTCTTGCAATGCTCCGTCCTCTGCTTGGCGAACTCGACCGAGGGCATGGCGACCGACCAGCCGTCGTAGTTGGCGTCTCGCGCGCGCAGCCACCAGGTGTCGATTTCCCGCGAGACGCGGCAGTAGGCGCGGTCCTGCTCGAACTTGTCCTGGATTTCGGGGTCCCACGTCGGCACCACGCGCTCGCCCTCCTTGTAGTTGTCCGCGCGGACCAGGCCCTGCCCTTCAGCGTCGGGGAGCCAATTCCAGGACAGGGGCGGGATGGCGGCGAGGACGCCCGGCGGCTTGTGGGACTTGTTGCGGGAGTAATCTGAGAGGAGCTTGCGGGCGGTGTCGCACATTCTCGAGTTGCGCTCGAGCCAGTGGTGGATTTCTGTCTTGGCGACGTCGACGCGGAATCCGGAGCCGTCGCCCATGCCTTCCTGAGGATCATCGAGCTGGGCGTCTTCGTCGAAGAGGACGTCGTACCAGAAGGACATCTTGTTTCGGTCGTTCTTGGCTGTCCAGTTGTGGGCTTGCTGTAGGGATGTGACCAACAGCTTCTTGTACATTTCCGTGATCTCGTTCAGCTTGGCGCGCGAAGCGTCCTCGATGATCTCGCCGTCGTAACCCTTGCTTGTGACGTTTACGCACAGGATGATAGTCTGGTACACCATCTGGTCGAAGTGGACGGCGGCGCAGATATCCTGAGGGACCTCTGGTTCCGAAGTCACCAGTAGGTTCCTTGCGATGTGCATGAGCTTGTTGAGAATTGAGAGGTCATCCTTGAGGCTGTGGTGGTTCTTCACGATCAGGGCGGTGCTTTCCTGGGGCGAAACGCCTTTCTCGGGGTCGTTGAGGCTCGACAGCGGGCCTACCGAGCGGGTGGTGAGACTCGGAATGGCGGCGCCGAAGATTTTGGTCAACCATATCCAGATCTCGACGTTTCTCGACAACGTTTCCCTGGTTCTTGTCAGATATGTCTGGAGGTTCCTTGGACCTGCAAGCGGTGTACTTACCTCACATGCTTGAAGGTGTGTGTCTTTTCGAGGGTTTTGGCGATCATCGATGAGACCTTGGCAGCTGTTTGAGGGCCCATGGGCGGGACGGTGTAGTGGCCCTCGAGCATGATGAGGGCTGCTGAGAAGCAGCGCTCCTCGATGGTCTCGTTTGATGACGAGTCATCCTGACTTAGATTCACCTCCGTCAACGGTCCTGCGAAGTTGACCGTCATGGCTGCGCCGGACTTTGTGGTAGAGGGTGAAGTCGATGAGCCAAGACTCAGATCGCAGAATTCAGGTGGTGAGTAACAGAGCGAATTGGTGAGGATTTTGTGGCGGTCCGTCGGCCGGGTTTGTTTGAAGGCTCTCCAGATTAGTGATTATGTGTGATTGTGCACCTCTTTGTATCAACAATACCAAAAACTTTTGTATGAAGCAGTGCTTGAATTGTCATTTGAAATGAAGATGGATTGAATGGGGTGGCGGCGCCTGAATGACGGATTACAAGTCGCCAGCGAGGAAAATTTCCGCCGCCCGGCAGGTTGAAATGGATGTATCCTTCCACACAAAATTGGTAAGCAAATACACACAGACCAGCTACTCTTTCCAGCCATCAGATGTCGTGAATATCGACATGAATATCAAGTTTTGTATAGCAAGTAAATTTGCATTAAATCTCAGAAAATCCCATCAAACTTATAACAAGAGTAAATGCCAATTCAATAACGCAGCATCATTCCCGGTGTACATCCTGTGCGAAAAAAGCGAACCTGTATGCCCGGATGCGACTGCTGTACTGGGTTGAGAGCCCTGTGAAATTTTGGAGTAAGCCCCTCCGGAGGGCCCCCTGAAATCGACCAATCGTCAGGGGTATCTGCCCCGTAGACCCCTCTGTCGGCCGTGTCCGTCCTGGGCTCCGACGACCTCCCCTCGGCGGGGTAATCGCTGCAGCGTCTCGCCGCCGCTGCGAATTTGGCGACGAGTCACGAATTTGAGTCACTCGACAAGAACACAACACCACTACCGTCAAACCCGCGATCTCGCAGCCTGCGCCCAATTCACAACGACCGAATATCCCGTCGATCCACGTGCACGAAATCCTTGACCGAACTCAACATGGCGGAAGGCGCAAAGGCGAACGAGAGGTTCTCCCTCATCCAGGAGAACCTGGCCGAGGTCATGAACCCCGAGATCCTCGAGAAGATTCTGGCTGAGGGACGCAACCCGAAGATCTACTGGGGTGAGACTGATTCAATGGCGCTATTCAGATCCGTGGTGTGCGCATTGGCTGACTGAATGTATTTGCAGGTACTGCGACAACGGGCAGACCGCATTGCGGTTACTTCGTCCCGGCCATCAAGCTGGCGCAGTTCCTTGCTGCCGATTGCGAGATGACGGTCCTCCTCGCCGATATCCACGGTTTCCTCGACAACCTCAAGGCCCCGATCGAGCTCGTCGAGCAGCGCGCCAAGTTCTACAAGTTCGCCATCACACACATTCTCCAGGCCGTCGGCGTCTCGACCGAGAAGCTCAAGTTCGTCCTGGGCAGCTCTTACCAGAAGAGCCCCGAGTACATCATGGATGTCTACAAGATGAGCTCGCTCATCAGCGAAAGAGATGCCAAGAAGGCCGGCGCGGAGGTCGTCAAGCAGTCAGACGTGAGGTGACCGAGCCAATTGGATGGATACACGGCTGACAGACTTGCAGAACGCCCCCATGAGTGGTCTGCTTTACCCTGTTCTTCAAGTTTGCGACGAAGAGCACCTGGGCGTCGATGCGCAGTTTGGAGGTATGGACCCCCGCTCGCAGATCTCAATCCCTTGACTGACTCCCTTAGGCATGGACCAGAGGAAGCTATTCGCAGCGGCGACTGAATGGCTGCCCAAGGTTGGATACAGAGTGCGCGCGCATCTGCTGAACCCCATGGTTCCGGGCCTGAATGGTGGCAAGATGAGCTCGAGTGACCCTGGTAAGAAATCTCGACAAGATCGTACACAAGCGGGTGCTGACGTTGGTATGCGCAGACAGCAAAATCGACCTCCTCGATGCCCCTGACGTCGTCCAGAAGAAGCTTCGCAAGGCTGAGTGCGTGCCCAAGGTTGCTGAGGGCAACGGCGTCCTGGCCTTCGTCGAGTACGTGCTGCTCCCTGCGGCCGCTCTGAAGGGCAAGAAGGAGTTCCGCGTCGAGCGCGAGCGTGACGGCCTCGAGCCCCTGGTTTACACCGACATTGCTGCCATGCACGAGGACTACAAGAACGATGTGGTGAGTGGATACAAAGAGACAATGGTGATATCGAATACATACTTACACCTCTCTAGTTGACGCCCCAGCTCCTGAAGCCGGCTGTGACCAAGTCTCTGAATGAGCTCCTGGCACCCATCCAGGCAGCATTCCAGGCCTCCGCCGAGTGGCAAGAGGTTACGACCAAGGCCTACCCGCCAGTTGAGGACGAGAAGAAGAAGAAGAAGAAGCAGCCCAAGGACAAGGGCTCTCGCTACCCCGGCGGTGCCAAAAAGGACGGCGCGGACGGTGCCGCGAAGGAGACGGAATTGCCGGTGCGCCCGGCCGAGGAGAGCAAGTAAGCGACAGGCGTCTTGATTTGCATTGCGATAGAGATAGGTTTTCTTGGCTGTACGTACTAGGGTTGGAGTTCGGATGAAGACCATCAAAAAGAGTCTAGAGAGCTAGATACCTCAGATGAAAAGAGCATACCTTGTGAAAGAGCAAACCATCCCTGCGCGGGGAGGATTGTGCAACTCACTGCGACTTGGACCTTCCAACGCCTCACTGGAAGTGTCTCTGATCGACTGTTCCCAGCATGATCGTCAACACGTGGTGAGAAGATTGACCTTCTATGGTGGGGGTTCATGGGGGTGAACCGTCAGCGGGACACCCGGGAGGAAGCAATGGCGGGGCACTGAAGAAACGCAATCAAGGATGGCGGGGTAATTTTCGGCGGGGTCCTCAAAAAAAGAAGAATCCCGTTCACTGCCATCGCAACATCGTCCGAGATCTTGAATCAGTCGAGTTTGGAGTTTTATTCTTTCGTGCTCTTTTACAGCCCCCCTACCTTGAGATACCCCTTTCTTCCAAACACCGACATCACAGACACGATGGCCGACCTTCCCACCACTTTCGACCGTAAGTCCCTCAACCACGACCACGAGCGCGCGCAAGCTCCCAAGCCAAAGAAGTCAATAAGCTAACGGAAACCTCTCCTCCTCCAGGCCCCGTCCACATCGCCGTCATCGGCGGCACCGGCCTCGGCAAGCTGGAGGGCTACACGCCCGTCGCGGCCCTCAACCCGACGACGCCCTGGGGCCAGCCCGCGTCCCCGATCATGATCCTCGAGCACGGCGGCGTCCCCATCGCCTTCCTCGCCCGCCACGGCCTGCACCACCAGTTCGCGCCCCACGAGGTGCCCGCCCGCGCCAACATCGCCGCCCTGCGCTCCATCGGCGTCCGCTGCGTCATCGCCTTCTCCGCCGTCGGCAGCCTGCAGGAGGAGATCAAGCCCATGGACTTCGTCGTCCCGGACCAGGTCATCGACCGCACCAAGGGCATCCGCCCCTTCACCTTCTTCGAAGGCGGCGTCGTCGGACACGTTGGCTTCGCGGACCCCTTCGACAAGGGCCTCGCCGAGGTCGTCAAGAAGTGCGCGGCGCACATGCAGGGTGACGGCGTCGTGCTCCACGACAAGGGAACCATCATCTGCATGGGTAAGTCAGCGCGTTAACATGAGCTCGCGGTCGAGGAGGGACAGAAGCATGCTAACAACAAGCGTTCTCCAGAGGGCCCCCAATTCTCCACCCGCGCCGAGTCGCACATGTACCGCTCCTGGGGCGGCAGCGTCATCAACATGTCGGCGCTGCCCGAGGCCAAGCTGGCGCGCGAGGCCGAGATGGCGTACCAGATGATCTGCATGGCCACCGACTACGACTGCTGGCACTCGTTCGAGGACGTCGACGTCGCCATGGTCATGAAGTACATGGCCGCCAACGGCGAGAACGCCAAGCGCCTCGTCGGCGGCGTGCTCGACGAGCTCTCCAAGCACGAGCACAGCGAGATGGTCCTCGCCAAGCACTGGGAGGGCGCGTCGCAGGGCGCCGTCAAGTTCATGACCAAGCCCGAGGGCCGCAACCCCGAGGCCATGAAGAACGTCGAGTACCTGTTCCCCGGTTTCTGGAACTAGGCGACCTGTTTTAGGGAGGTTTGACATACAGTTTGATAAGGGTATTGGAATTTGGTGTTAATATGGGATGGTCAAAATGAGCGCAGACTTACGTGATTGGGCATGTTATGATAGATAGACAACTTCCTCAGCATCAACTGGCTAGGAAAATATGGTTGATAGATCAAGAATAGAGCACCTGCAAAAGAGGGTCCGTGTGCGACACCGTGCGATGCTGAGTATTGTTGAATTTTAAAAATCTTTGGAAATCCCCGTACATGCCTTCTTCAACTGTACAACGCCATCTAACGCCAGTCTCTGGGCTCAAAGGAAGTCTACCTCCCAGCCCCTCGTTTCGAATCACATCAAAAGGTATAATGCCCTGACGCCCTTCTCCGCTGCTGCGATGTGCCAAGGTCGTATGTCCGTCCCCCTATCTACAATGCCCCTGGCTCGAGCCAGAGTCCCAAGGCCCCTGAAGTAAGTGAGCATCTCCCGCATGAGAGACTCGTATAGCCGCGGGTTGCTTTCCACGTGCACGATGTTGACTTCCATGACCACTGGCGGGTCTTCAAGTTTCGGTCCTCCGCGTTTGACGAGGTAGCCACTGATCAGAGCAGGATTTATATCCCCCAAGGTAGCCGAGTTGCTGAGCCTGTGGGCAAGCACTGCACCCCAAGTTTGGTCCATTACATCGAGGAGGATGGCATCTCCTTCGGCGGGTTCCGCGTTGCCGTCGCCAGGTGTTCCTCCAGGTGTGGCGGCATTGACAGGATAGGTTTCCTTCATAGGCGTAACCGGAGTTCCACTCTGCTCAGGTGAGAGAATGGACGCCTGCGGTGTCGAGACGGGCGTCGTGTAGAATGCCGACGGAGCAGTTGTTGGAACTCTGATCGCCGGAGGAATCAACTGGAGAGACGGGCTGGTATCCACCGATATCAGTGTCAAGCTCACCGTCGCCACCGACTCCGTTTGCGCAAGCCCTTGCCAGAACCCGATTTCCTGCTGATCCATGGCACCGCACTTGGTGATGATGACCCGCCAGTGAACCTTCCACTTAGAGATCAGGTCGTGAGTCGTCTCCCAAATCTCGTGATATACGTCATTCAGAGAGGTCGATAGAGGTTTGCCCTTACGTCCAAGGCTGTAGGATACTGTCATTTGTTGACATCCTCTGTTGTCGGTCCATGCTGCAGTAATCCATCTCTCGTCGATGCTCTGCGCATAAGCAATATGGATACAACTATTTTCGTGCATGAGAGATGAGGACGATGTGTTTGTGAGCTTGAAGTCGATGCCCCTAGGTAACGACTGCTCCAACATGATGGCAGGCGACGGCATCGGCCCGCCAAACAAGGTGCATCGGTCATACGTCTCCAATGCGAGTTTGATCGTGTCGCTCGGCGTGGGCTCAACGATACCCGCCGACGAGGTCAAGAAGTCGAGGGGAACCAGTTGCAGAACAAGCTCATTGACTGGAACTTGTCTCTGGTTGGTCAGGGACCTCTTATACATCTCAAATAGTTGTTGGAAGGCCGTGCATTCCTCCACGATGGACCCGGGATGGTCTGGCGCGTACACAAAGTACACCACGAAATTCTTCGCCGTGACGTTCGTTGACAATAGTCCCTGGCAAAGAGCTTCCATGCGATCGCCTAGGCCTCCCCCAATGTGAGGGCTTACAGTGCCCGGTGATGTGGCAATCTTGTCCGCTTCGAATGGCATAAGCCCGTCGGCTACCTTTGAGCTAGGAGGAAGACGCTCGAAAGAGCCCAACTTGAGCAACTCGTAAACGTTCCGCATCCGATCCAAGAAGGCGGCGGCAACATCAGTCATGCCGTCCCAATTGGGAAACACGCAGACTGCGTTAACATCTTTCGTGCCTTGAGCTGGGCCGAGCCCCAAGCTTTCCCAGAACTGAACGCTTGACGGAAGGACTGAGAGTCTGGCTTCGGCTCGACGAAGCTCCATATGCGGCGCCGGAATTTGGAAAAGATTATTGGGCTTGGGCGGTTCTGCATTCGCGTCTCTCGGCGGAACCGGTCTTGGGTTCAGTCTATTTGGCTGCCCAAGCAGAGGGACGTCAGGAACCTCAACAACGCCTTTGAAGTTGCAAGTGCTGAACTCCCCAAGACAAGCAGGTACAACCTCCCGCAGAGTCTGCAAGGCAGTTCTGCCCAACGAGGACAACTGACGGCGCGTTTCTGATACAATGGCCGTATTCAGAGTGTTGGATTGTGAATCACGCACTTTCAGATTACCGGTCACCGCCTGCTCTGTTACAATCTGAGCGATCGTGATCATGTCCTCGTCCGTAATTGAGAGGTGTATTGGAAGCGACTCGGCGTCCTCAAAGTACCTCGTCACCGATACCTCTTTAGCCTCGACAATGGCTAGCTTTGGAAGGTCCAAGGCTAAAGTCGGGTCGGAATCTTCGACGGATTCAATGTCCCTCAAGGAGGTAACATGAGAAACAACATCATCGTCAAAGTTCATCCTCTTCATGCTTGATTTGAAAGGAGATGCTGGCTCATCTGTGCTCGAGCTAGAATCGTCCTGGTCCGAAACCAAGCTCAAATCGTCTGCGTCGGATGCTAAATCGTCCCCCTTTCCAGGACTTGTGTTGAGAGTTGCGTTCTCAAGGCCGCCTGTAATTGTGCGAATGACAGCGTTCTTCTGTTCTGCTGGGTGTTTCAGCATCTTCTTTTGCTTTCCGTGTCTTCGCAGATAGTCGGTGGTAGGTGGCCCTTGAAAACTAGGTTGCGTGACTGGTTCTTGTGATATTCCTCGTGAAGTCGGGTTGCAATCAAAACGGCCACCCTGCTCATATTTCTTGTTCACCAGAGGCAAAACCGGATCAAAGTCCACACTGTCGAAGATACTCCCTTTACGAGAAGGTGTTCTGGTAGGCGTGGATCGAATGTCTGCCAGTGAGGCGCGCACTCTCTTGTAAACGGTGTCTGGGTCGAACGGGCTCGACTCTCTCTTGATTCCTGTTGGCCTTTCCGTGTTGATTTTTTGCTTCCCTTCGTCCATCAAAGTGCTTCTGGCATGTTTCAGTTCGGGTTTGGTGAATATTGGAGGAGTCGGTTCAGGTTTTGCCTCATGTATCGGAGGAGCCTTTATTTTCGCAGGCTCAGGCACTGGAGCTGATATGACGGAGGGCACCAAAGACGCGTCTGGCATGCCCAAATCCGGCAGACCTGATAAGTCCAAGTCATCGCCTGGTTGCTCATCGAAGAAGCTGAAGTCGGCATCGGTTATGTCGGCGTCTCCAAACATATCTGGCCCAATATCTCCAAACAGATTGTCGTTATCGCCTCCGAGAAACGAGTCCGCTCTTGGCTTGGTGTCGTTCGAAGTCCACCCATCCCCGTAGTGTTCGGTTTGCTGGCCGATGTTCGGCATATTCGTCATATGAGTTTCAGGAACGGTAACATCTGCCATAGCAGTGTCTATATCAGCCACCGCAACTGTCGCATTCGGGGCTCCCGGACTCGAGGTTGTGCCATCAATGGAAGGCGTGATACCAAGAGGGTTCTGGACTGCATCTGGTGGAGTCGGATACATGGTGCCCACAGCAGCTGCGTTGCTTGCACGTCTCAGTCCCAGAGGAGAATGTCCGTTGGGTTGTGGTGGGGGGGCCACCGCCGATGCCTCTTTCGTCGCAGCGATCTCCCTCTCTTTCTTCCGCTTCACAACCTTGTCGTCCCTATCAGCTCCCATCTGGAACCAGGTTCGGGCTTCACTGAGGAAATCCGTAGTTTCCTCTTGGGCCAAGAGCATAGCATCCCCAAGACCATGATTTCGCGCCAGTACAACAGACTTCTTCCGGAAACAGAGAACAGCCGGCCAAGATATTGTTGCCAAAGTCGAGGGAAACGGCGTTGTCCTTCCGCTCTGGTCACCAGTTTTGCGGCGGATCATCTGGAGTGCGATCCAGGGACAAGACTGAAGCAGTGCGGGAGAGAGGCCACGAGACAGCAGAATCTTGATACATGTGTCTCTCCATTGCGAGGATTTCGCATCTGCGTTTCTCCAAAGTTGTGTATCTGGCGTTTGTCCTAAACCAAGCTCTGGATATGACAAGCCTCCGCCCATGAACCCTTGATAATTCGCCAAAACACCAAAGGGAGCTGCCAGGATCTGCGAACCTAGGACAATCTGACCCGGACTTGACGGTTCGTTCACCGACAACATGCCTTCGCAACATGATAAAGAGAGGCTCATGACCAGGGCGCCCTTGGTTGTCAAATAGACCCTGAAGGACCCAACAACTGCAGCTTCGGCATCGAGAGCTCGGTCGGATTGTGTTTCGCGGGTTACTTTGGATGGCAAGAGAACGGTTCGGTAGTTTAGAGGGATCGCGGCAACGCGGTTGCAGAAAGATGCCGAAACGGTCGCTAAAAGCGCCGTGACGAACTGTTCGTAGGCGATGCTCAGGGAGACGGACCCTGTACCCTTCGTATCGGATCCTCCGGCCGAGGCCGGTTTCGAATCGGGATCGGAAGCACTTGGCGTCCCGGAGCCAGCCGTCTGTGGATTCCGGAGCGACAGATCGAGAGCCGAAGCGCTTGATGACGAGCTTGTAGGTGTATTCGCAGCTTGTTGGCCCGGCGCGCGGCCTTTGAACAAGCTGATCGGCTCGAACGACCCATCCTCCACCATCAGCAACGTCGCACCAGCTGCCTCGACGGTCTGGCCCAGGATCTCGTTGCTATCGTCGGAAGAGGCCGCATCTTTGCTCGAAATGGAATAATACCACAAGACGCGTTTTACCGTATCATAGTAGACGATGTGGCCGCGACTCCGTAGTTGGGTCTCTACATCAGCAGCTGCCGAAGGGAAGGTTTGCGCCTGGTCCAGAGAAGGTTCATATACTCGGAAAGCGATTGACGAGATGTTATTCTAAGAAAATCAACGTCAGTCTTACACCTGAAACCAAGGAAACAATGCCACACACATTTAATAAGGTATTAGTATCGTATTCGCTTGTGTCCATGTCGACGGTCGAGTCTCGCGAAGGCGGGAGCCGTTCCGTGTCGCAACATCAACTCCCTGGGCCGCTAAAGCTCCCGAAGGCTGCAAGAGCCAGTTTATTTCAGGGGAAATACAATCATAAAATTGCACCGTCGCTTCGGCATCGATTGGAGTCCAGTAAGCGATTCAAAGTGCGTTCCGAAGGGTTGTCTGCTGGGTTTCGCGAAGTCATCGACTCCATCTCCGTGGGTCGAAATCGCGACCAAGGAACCGGCTTCTCGGTATCAACCGAGTTCGAGACCGTTCCGGGTCCGTCGGGAGTGGTTCGATGAGAAATGCAGGCAGCGAATCGCAAGGTGATGCAGCACCTAGGATTCTTCGATGCTCGATCGTCGAGGTCGTCGTTGGGGGAAGAAGTTGTCGGGGCTTTCGCAACGATTACTGTGTGTTCAGCCAGGTCTGGCCGGGTCGGGATAGCGGCGGAAATTCAGCACGTCCTCCCCTAGGTAGAGAGAGGCCTGGGACCTTAGGGAGCAGTTCGTTCGGCTGAACACTAACAGGGTCTAGTTGAATCGGAAGTCGGGCACGTCTTCGGGCCAATCATCGCGGCGATCCTGGATAATGTCCCTGACCAGCGGCCGGGATAGACGCTAATGCAGCGTCGCCTGATTCAGCGGGGAGCCGCCCGGAGCCAGGACTTACTTTTCCACCGCCTCACCGAACGAAACCCCACTCCAGGTCTGCCGGCCCACGCCAGGTGTGGCTCTCATCCACCGACGCGCCTGTTCTTATCTTATCAGAACTTTTTTTTCTTTGGCTCCCCTCGGCCTCAGATTTCCTCCATCTTCGTCGCATCGTCGCGCAGAAACCCGCACGTGTATCCCAGCCTCCGGTCCTCGACAGTCAAGATGCAGTTGACAAATCCGGGCACCGTGCCGGTTTACACCGTCTCTGGTGCTTCAACATCCAGACCTTTGCCCGATTGGCTCGCCAAACGTAGGAAGCGATCGCTCAAGAACGACCCGGAGTACCAGAACCGAGTCGAGCTGCTCCAGGATTTCGAATTCGAGGAGGCAAGCACCTGCATCAAGGTCAGCGAGGATGGCGACTGGGCCGTCAGCGCAGGAACCTACAAACCTCAGATCCACGTCCACAACCTCCCGCAACTGTCGCTTTCTTTTGCGCGCCATACCAACTCTCTCACGGAGAAGTTAGAGATCCTCTCCGCCGACTACTCGAAAACTCTGCTTCTCCAGGATGACCGACGACTCGAGTTCCACACCCCGATGGGCTGTCACTACACGATTCGGATACCCCGGTATGGAAGAGATTTGCTGTACGACAGGCAATCCACGGAGGCGTTCGTGCCGTCTGTCGGCGTTGACCAGGACGGCTTGGGCGAGGTTTTCCGGTTGAACCTCGAGATTGGAAGATTCATGAAGTCATTCCAGATTGATGTTGGAGGAGATGAAGAGGGTGCTGGCTTGCAAGGCGGCATCGAAGCCGGCAGCGTCAACGCCGGCGCCTTGGCTGAGAAGTCCCACGGTCTGGCTGCTTTTGGAACGTCCCTCGGCACAGTGGAATTTTGGGATCCGAGGTCCAAGTCAAGAGTTGCGCGCCTTGCCTGTCAAGAAGGAGCCATCACCGCTCTGGACTTCAGCTCTTCTGGATTGTCCATCGCCACAGGTTCCTCCAACGGCATGGTCCAGCTGTTTGATTTGCGTCGCCCAGTTCCGCTTTTGAGCAAGGATCAAGGATACGGTTTCCCGATCAAGAAGTTGATTCACATGACGACTGCCTCCCAAGAAAAGAAGATTCTCTCGGCCGACAAGAGGATCATCAAGATTTGGGACCAGACCGACGGTACGCCTTGGACCTCGGTCGAGCCCATCGTGGACATCAACGATATGTGAGTTCCGAACACTTCCTCGTACAAGTGATACAAGCTAACGAATAATTAGCGCATGGTGCAAGGACACCGGTATGCTTCTGACTGCCAACGAGGGCAAGCAGCAGCACTCGTTCTTCATTCCCAGCTTGGGTCCCGCTCCCAGATGGTGCTCATTCTTGGACAACATGGTGGAGGAGATGGCCGAGGAGGTTCGCACCGAGACTTACGACAACTACAAGTTCTTGACGCTGCCCGAGCTCAAGCAACTCAGCATGGAACACCTTATTGGCAAGACCAACCTGCTCAGGCCGTACATGCACGGTTACTTCGTGGCCTCGAAGCTCTACGAGCAAGCTCGTCTTATCGCGAACCCCTACGTTTGGGAGGAGGAGAGGACGAAGCGCATCAAGGAGAAGGTCGAGAAGGAGCGCGCCAGCAGAATCAGAGGCAACAAGAAGGTCAAGGTCAACCAGAAGGTGGCCGACAAGCTTCTCAAGAAGCAGGAGAACAGAGAGGTCGTGGACACCAAGGCCGGTCTGCTCGGCGACGACCGTTTCGCCAAGCTCTTCGAAGACGAGAAATTCGCCGTCGACGAGACCAGTTACGAGTTCCGCGCTCTCAACCCGAGCACCACTGTTGCTGCCAAGGATACCCACGAAGTCGGTGTCAGCTCTGCTGCGAAGCCTGCTGAGGCGCCTAAGTTCGGTCTGGGTAAGAAGGCCCAGGCTGCTAAGGCCGCTGCTGAGGAGGGAGTGACCATGAAGGTTTCCTCGTCAACCCAAAAGGGTGGAAGGCAGAGGGATACCGCATTGGGCTCCAGAGTGCAAAAGTCTGGACGCATCAACAAGACCAACCGCGGAGACACTTACGGCGAGAAGCAAGTCACATTCGTCCCGGACGCGAGGAAGAAGAGCAGGGGCCCGCCGCAGCCACAAGAAGAGAGCACGCCACGGGGCAAGCGCGATGCGAGAAGAAGCGCAAGCTCGAACACGTTCAGGAGGATGTAAAGAAAACGCTATGAGTAACCCAGGGGTTTAATAATGGTACAAGAAGGGGCATTTCTATTCGCCAAGCAGATCCCGGCTGCCGAAATCATCAATCATTCAAGTCTCCAACCCCCTCGACGAGCGACCCATTACACCCGCACCAACCCAGTTGGCGATCTTTCGAACTCGACATCTGTCACCCTCTCTCTTTCCCTAGCTCATTTCCGTCCCCATCTCATGAGCTTCCGCTTCTTCTCGGCCTGCTCGATTCCCTTCTCGAGATCTTCCGGGCGGAGCCTCGGCGTCGGGGGCACATCGTCCAGTCTAGCGCGGCCGCGGTGGCTGCGCGGCGGCGAGGACGACTCCTTGACGGACTTGGGAAATTCGGTCCTCCGCGGCGTGAGAGCAGTGACGACTTTCCTGGCCGACTTGCGCATGGTCTCCCTAATCTTCCATTCGCGCTTCTTGGCAATGTAGAACAAAACAGCCATACCGACTGTACGAGTAGAAGAGGTGGTTAGTATTTCTTGTGGGCGTTTGGTATTTGAAAAAGGGTTATGCATACTTCCGAGGGCGCCCACGATGGAGACGACCACGATGATGGCAATCATGGCGCTGGATGAAAGACCGACGGCTCCGGGGCTGTCTCCAGAAGCGCCGGCCTCGTTGTCGACGCGGCCGCCGGACGAGGAGCTGGCATCGCCGGCGGGATCTGGGTAGTAGGTCTCCGTCGCCAGAGGGAAGAAGTTGGAGGTTGTGGTCGCCATGGTGCTCAGGCTGTGTGCCGCTCAAGTGCAGTACACGAAGGCTGGGAAAAGCGCGCTGGTAGTCGGGGAGAGATTAAAACGGCGTCAGGATCGTATGAGTAGTAGTAGAGAAAAGCTGAACAAAAATCGAAAGGATACCCGGCGCCACGAATGTGGCCCAACTCAGTATTTACATGTTCAACCGCCCAGAACTCAGCGCCAATCGTTGTCCCCTCCCTCCCCCTCTCCTGCAACTAGCCTATGAATAATACCCTTACCAGCGAAAAAGCCATGAATGTGACGAGCGAGTCGACCGCCCCCCTTGGAAGTGCATCTGGTCCCCCAGCGGCAGTTGTGCGTAGCGTGGGGCTCGTCTACTACGAACCGTACCTGTTGCCATGGGACGTCCGAGCCCAGGGACGGTCGAAATAGGCTCGCGATGCTCCCATTGGTGTTCAGCGGCCTCGAAGCGCCGGCACACGGCGCTTTCACATCGGGACCGGGGTGCGCCGGCCAATGAGCGCCCGGGGCCTGGGATCCGGCGGCACGGGCGATTTTCATCAGTGGCAGGGGTCCTGAATCACATCTCCGGCTTTCTTACGTCCTGCATCCCATTTCATGTCTCGTCTGCACCTCTCTGCTTGGCCGGTTCGGGGTGACCAGTCTACGTCGCCGGTCCGGCAGTATCTGCAATATCAACAAGCTTAATTGTGTGATCGGGGCGCGCACTCGTCGACTCGGAAGCATGCGGTGTGACGAGGGCTCATGGATTCTGACCTGTAGCCTCCATCGAGAGGTCGCCGCTGGATGTTGGTCGTCTGTGATGGCACCTGCACGCCTTGTCACTATCACGAAGCCGTCTGCAGATGGATGGCCTGGTGAACATCTCCACGCAGCGTCCCCAAGCTGCAAGTTTCGTAAGTTGGCTGAGTTGTGTGGCCACTCATTGCCTTAGTGATCATCTTCTCTTTCTCGAACGCGGAAAGCACCTCCAGCCTCTGGATATGATGCCTTTGCGGTATCACTTGCCGCCAGTCTGCTATCCCGTCAATTTCTTCGTACATTTGGCATTTCTCGGCATGGTCTGAGGCCTTCTAAATTTGGACAGCGGCCTCGGCCGACATCCCATGGCCTCCCCGCACACTTAGTTGTCAGTGTCACTCGAGTTTCGGTGCTAGCATCTTGTCCGCCACTCAGAGAGTCATACCTGAATGTGAATCGCGGGGTCAATGGTCAAGCGGCCTTCTTCAGTTGTATCGCAGCCTTCGGGCTTCTGAGGTTCCGGTGCTGATCGTTACACTGTCGATTTGGTAGAAACGGCTACCCAAGGAGGACTTTTGCAGATAATGGATGAACCACAGCTCATATGTCCTTGCAGCAAAATACCATTGTTGTTTTCATTTTTTGTAGGAGACTACTTCCCGTCGTGCCGTCCTCGCTCGTTGATAGCGTAAGGACAGGTAGATCATGGGTGATACATAATACGAGTTGATGATTGTACACCTAGCTTACAAAGCCTGACCTATAAAGCCCCTTCTCGTCGACCCTGTACCTCAAACTATGAAACATAAATCGATATCGTTACGTCGTAAGTCATGTCCCTCCACCGCCTAGTTCCGACTAGTCACTATCAACAACACCAGGTTCGCCCCAACCATGACCGTAATGACCAGCCACAGAAACACCGCGACGACCGTAGTATACCACGAGTTCGCCATCTTGACTCCGACGGTGCTAAACCTCCTCGCCGGCACGACCCCCGTGTCAGACCCATAACTAGCCGCCCCGGGTACCACAGTCATGTACTTGTTGAACGAGGTGAAGTAAATCAGCGGCGCCGTGATGACGGGCAGCACCGTGCTCAGCACAACCTGCGTGCCCGTGAGGGCGTTGCTCAACCCGGACTGCCCCGCAACCGCAACGACCACGGCCGCGGGCGTGATGCTGATGACCCTCGTGATCAGCCGACGAAGCCAGGGCCTCATCCGCCAGCCCAGGGCCCCCTCGCTGACGAGCTGTCCGGCGATGGTGCACACCAGACCCGCCGAGACGCCCGACAGCAACAAAGCAAAGGCGAAGATGATGCCGGCAGCGGAGGAGATGCTGTTCGCGAGCAAGTCGTGCATACCGAAGATATCCGATGCCAGGCTCGTCTGTCCCTGGTACAGCGCGGCGCCGGCGACAACGAGAATGGCCGAGTTGACGAAGAGGGCGAAGATGAAGAGCGAGAAGATGATCTCGGCGATGGAGAACTTCATGCAGTGCTTGATGGCGGCCATGGAGGGGAAGTAGAAGACTTTCTGGACGCTGTCGACGGTGGTCATGGTGTCGGTGCGCGGTAGTTCTTGGAGGTTTCCTTCTTTCATGTCGAAGTCTTTGAGACGGGATTGGACGACGCCGGAGCCGAGGTGTAGACTGTGTGGCATCACCGTCGCTCCTAGAATGCCGCAGGATTGGTAAAGTCTGCCAGTGTTAGTCGAATCATTCAGTAGCTGTGTCGGTTTGCTTACCCCTGAGTTTGGATGATCGAGCCGGAAGGGAGGTAACCGCGGAAGACCTGGCCGACGGTGGTATTCTCGATGAGAGATAGTTGAATGCAGAAGCAAACGACGACCCCAAGGACGAGAAAGCAGACGGCAATCTCAAATAACCGCAGACCCCTCATGGAACCGTCAGGCCGATAGAAGACGACGATGAAGACGACATCCAGCATCGTTAAGATCACACACGCCAGCAGCGGTAGTTTTGGGATGAGTAGATGTATCGCCGTCGCGGTGCCGATCACAACAGCCATGTCTGTCGCGATGATGGCGATCTCTCCCAAGACGTAAACAGTCACATTCATCCATTTTGGTAGGAAGACGCGGCAGGCGGTGGCTAGATCGAGGCCCGTGATGGTGCCCAGTTTAATGGCGAGGCTTTGGAGAAAGATGGCGATGATATTACTCAGGAGCACGATGAACAACAGATCAAAATGGTAGGACGCTCCCGCTGCGATGTCGGTTGCGTAGTTTCCCGGGTCGACTGTAAGGCGTCAGCTCATCGACTTGAATGGCGAGAAAGAGGACTTACTATATGCGACGGCAATCATGAACCCTGGCCCAACAAACTGACCAAAAGTGACGAGGTCGCTCCATCGTCTATTCCACCACCCCGCTTGGCTTTTTCTGTAGGAATCATTGGGAAGAGGCAGGGTCGGACCAGCCAGAAGAGCCAGCGGCTCAGTTTCTTTCTTCTCAATCGGCGTATCGAGCCTGAAAGTGGTTTCCGATGGCCCTGGAGTTGCGGGAATGGTATCGAGTCTGATGAAGTCGGTCCTTCCGAAATCTGGCGGCACCTCGATGTCTAACGTCAACCGCCTCGACCGCCGACGGTCCGTATGCGATAGACCATGCAAGGTCTGGTCGATAGTGTAGTCCGCAGTGAAGGGATTCGCGCTGTTCCTGCGGGAGTTGCTCCCATGCTGGGTTTCGTCCACCCAAGTGGGCTTCATGGTATTCCCGGTAACAACGATCGTAGACGGGCGGAATCTTGAAGCTGGTGAGGAGTCAGTGTCGTGCAAATGGCCAAGAAGTAGAGCCGGGTACTTGCCATCAACATGAGCGACAGCGAGTGAGAACGTTAGCTTTCCGTCAGTAGCATTAGGAAGAGACAACGCAGGAAGAAAGAGACAAAAGACGACCGATTCGAGCAGGCATTTTGGAAATGAAGCGGTTTTGTCATGTTACTGGCCCCGGGCTGAAAGCATCTCTCTAAAACGACTCGGGATGCCTCACAACGGTAAGGCATGCCGAAAGCGGCATCAACAAGGGGACACGGTCTCGTCCGTTTAAGACACATGTTCGTCATGGTCAAGCCGTGGGGGGCATCACCGAATCAGTGGGACGCCCAGAACCAGGTCCTTGTGGCACAACTCAAGGGCTTCTTCTCGAACGACTCGAGACTGAAGGGTCCTTCTTGGCTAGCGGATCGTCGGACGAGGCCGTGGAAGAAGTCCTCAAGATGTTGGCCGCCACTAGCCCACAAGGCAGGCTTCTGGACCGGAATTCCTGAGATCTTGGCGCCCCGGCTTGGGAATAGCGGACGCAAATGGCACATGTTAGTGACAATCAGCATGGCAAAAATCAACGATTACGGCATGGCTTGTCCAGTTAGGTACTGTATGGGAGTGGATAAGAGCCTGTGGCGTTATTGATGGGAGGCGCGCAACCTTTCTGCCAAGTGATTTTGTATTTGCTGGTTCGGCCATTAGGCTCGGCCTGACTAGAAGCGAAGTTGTGCACCCTCTTATGGACGCTATTCGCCAGCCGCTCTCTGTTGAAGGCTGATCTCTTGTTCTTGGAGGGCCGGTTTTGGCTTGACTCAACCGGCCTCGTATGGATGCGGGACGGTCAGCAGCTCACCGGGCTGACCGGGCTCACCGGCGACCCATTTTGGCGTATCTCCGGGCGGGTCCCGTTTTCCGTACATCCTTGTCACTCCGGCTTGACATTCGGCCCCGTGCCGGACTGCGGACGTAGATTTATGTGGGTTTGCTGTTGAAGCTTTCGGGCCTCTATTCACACATTCACCGAATCTTCTTGGTCTCCTTTCCGGCGGCACGCTCGCGGTCTCTCTTGGCGTAGATGCCCGCGGTGAAGGGGTTCTCGTAGCTCAGGGCGATCTTGTAGACGATGAAGACCCACACGGTCAACAGAATGCCGGCGGGCTTGCCGTAGATGAGCGCAGCACCGAGGAAGCTCAGGGTGGAGCCGTTGTACATGGGCGCGTCGGTGACGTTGAAGGGGAAGCCAGTCACGATGCTGTCCATCAAGATGCCAAAGTAGTCACCAAGGAAAGTGCCGGTGATGCCCAGCTGCCATGTCGAGGAGAGAACGAGCACATTGCCGGTCGCGACTAGGGCATAGCCAATGTAGGTCGCAGTGTCGGACGCGAGCAACGGGTGTGCGGGCTGGAAGCGGAGAGCGCGTTCGTAGAGGAGGTCACGGAAGATTCCCAGAGAGAAAATGGTGACAGCGAGCGCGTAACAAGCAGTCTGCGAGCGTCCGCCAAACAGCTTGGTGAGGAGCTTATTATTGTACTCTGGTCGGGTTAGAGGCGTCTAGTCGGGCAGGTGAGGACCCTACGAACCTTGTCGCGCGACGATGCTATGCAATTGTCAGCCGGCAAATTGGCTAGAACTTTGAGGAGACTTCACTTACTTCCAGAACAGAGGATTGAAGGCGATAGAAGCGGCAGAGACTGGTTGGGGGTCAGCGACGAGGACGGCAATGTGAAGCTCCAGAGGCCCAAGCTCCACGCAGACGACATGACGTACTGAACAAGCTCTTCTGGTCAAAGTCAACCAGCGCCTTGCTTTCGATGTCGATGGGTGCCATGGCGAAGGGTTTTTGACAAGGGAAAAAAAAAAAGATGAGGGTAAATGGCTGAATCGTTGAATTCCTGGCGAAGCAAACTCGTGGGGAAAACCGTTGAGGAATAGTTGTAGGTTCTTGGTGCGCTTTTGCTTGTGACAGAGCTCAGCTCCACCAGTATTTATGTCGGCGGGGACACCTGGCCATAGCGCATCATTACGCATGATGCATGGGGTCACTTTTTTCTCTATGGGGTTTCGGGGGCCTTCGGGGAATGGGGTAACAACCTCCCCGCCGTAGCCGACACTGGGCAGGCACCGAATGGCCAATTCACTTTTCACGCACAGAATGCGAGGGCCTAGGCGGAAACACCGAAAGGCCGTGAATGTCAGACGGTGCCATGATCCATCGAGGAAAGGAATTTATCATTGAGTCTACCGAGAATCCACAAAAAGCGCCGACGTCAAATCGAAAATGGGTATCAACCGCAACCTCAAAACCACTGGAGAAGCCAACAACGCCCCGAGCACAAATCACCTGCGATTCCTAGTCTTCTTGGCCACTGTGCCCGTGTCTTCTTCCTCGTCGTCCTGGCCCTTCTTAAGGTCCTCGGTCAAGCCCCATTCCTCCTTGTCGTACCAGTCTTCGCCGTCCGACATGTCGCGGTTCGGTCCGCAGTGAGCCTCCGCCTTGGACCAGTGGAGGACGGTCCTGCGAAGACGATTCGCCTTGAGGAGGCCTTCGTGGAGCTTCCTGGCTCCGCGGCAGACCTCTTCCTGCTTTTGCACGTACAGCGCGAGTAGCCGGCGGATATCCTCGGCTTCTGGCTCCGGAATACCCACATTCTGGTCTGGGCGGGCGTTTGGCGGCGGCCGGAAGAATGGGTGCACAAAGGTCTCATCCATCTGGTCCGACTCTACTGACGGCACGTGCGTGCCGTTCCGGTTCGTCGCCTCCGCGTCCTGATGTGGTGGAGGAACGGCGCCGGCCTGGTGCATTTCGACATCGGTGGCCTTCTGCTTCTGTTTCTTATCCGCGCTTGCCTCCTCTCCCTCCTTCGGGGTAGCGTCGGTCGAGGTTTGTCCTTCTGATGGTTTGGCAGTGTCACCCTCAGCTTTTGCGTCGTCCTTTGCGGGTTTGTCTGGCAGTGGCTTGCGGCCCTCTGGCTTGTCTGACCCAGCGTCTGTCATCGTGATATCGCCATCGCCGCTGTCCTTGTCGCCTGATGGTTCTCCATTCGTGCCATTCGGCGCCTGGTTCGGCCTTGCGTCGCCGTTGACCGGCGCCGGAGAAGGCTCCTCGTTCTCGGTCGAGGTCTTTAGGCCGCCCTGAAATGCACGCTCCAGATATTCGGCCGAGTACAGCTCAACGTCGTCAGGGCCCACCATCATGCCACAGGGAATCCAGGTGTAGTCGCCGCATAGCCTCGTGAAGAGGTGCTTAACTTTCCACAGGGATCTGTTCTCTTTTCGCATCACTTCGCAGCTCTGGTCGGCAATCTCGTTCAAGGTCTTGGCCGTGAAGGGTTTCGAGAGGGTAGGATGGGTCGGGAGGTCGGTCGACGCGGTCAATGGGGCGAGGATCTCTGAGGAGGGTCAGCGGAGTGGCTATGGTGCCGCAAGGGTAGGACTCACGTTCGATCCGAATGTTGGCATAGGGGTCGAGCTCTGTGGCAGAGGCGACGGCCTCCTGTATACGCTCTTCGTCGTCGTCGCTGTCAATCTCGTAGCCTTCTTCGTCGACTATCGGAGGGTTGCGACTAATTATTGTGCGTTGTTGTCCGGCGTAGTCGATCACCTGCAATCGTCAGTCCCGTCGTCTACCCACCAGAAGGACGCGCGACGCACCTCATTGTAGACCTCGGGTCCGGAGGGAGGCGCAAGCTGGCCTTGGTGAGAGAAGAGGGCACGCTTCTTAAGCTTGTGGCCGCGGTTCCCGTAGTGGTCAATCTCATCGTCTGAATCGGATTCTGCGGCTGCTCGTCAGAATGCTGCGGCAACAGCGAGGGCGTCTCGTGTGTGTTGGGTCGCGTACCGTAAGCTTTGCGCTTGAGGGCCTTTTTCATCGCGGCCACGGTCTCGGCGAAGAGGATCTGTTGGGTAGCCATTGCGCCGTCGTGTCCTGGCTCCTGGCAATGGGCCCAGAGCGATCACGGAGGTCGGTCGGCAGCGAGGACGAGGTGGTCGGCTTTGGGGAGGTTTTTGGAGCGAATAGAACAGTAATCTCACACAGTTTTCGTCGGGCCAAGATTCGCGTCGAAACAAGGTCGCAAGGGAGGCATTTACCGGCTTGAGCAATGCGGTGGTGTGGTGTGGGAGAAGTGGTAGAATGGGTAGCCCTCAATTTCTGCGCGCAGTCTCTGTGACGAGGCGGGAGGAGACCTACTACTGCCGTAACCACGCGGGCGGCAAGGCTGGCTTTGCGCTGCGCTGCCAGTGCCAGGTTCACTCAGGTTCCTTCAGGGCACTTTGGGCCGTGGACCATGACCGCATCCGCCGCCTCAGCCAATCAAAAGCCTGTATTACGGCACCCATTTTTACCGATCCAGCCCGAAGATTTCCCGCCCGCGGCCAAGTCGAACGATCGCTGCAGCGCTCACAGGGGGGTGACGCCCTCTGTGAAGTCACTGGGTACAGTGGGCCAACGCTGGAATGGAGCTGCGATACCTGTGACATGTACAGATCGGTACCTTGAACCCCATGCTTTCACGATTATCATTTGAATGAGGCCTTCCTTGGCGACAATCCGCAATTTTGTTCGTCTTGCTGTCGAACCTCGAAACACAAGCTCGGCAACCATGCGCCCTTGAGTCTGCTCTTGTGAGATCCCCGCAAAGTTTCGCTAAGAGCTCCAGCTAACCTGCGCCAGAGCTCCCGCGACGAATCCCTCACTGCCCCTCGATACCTCACCTCGGTCGACTCGCCCATGAGTAGATAGGAATACCTTGAAAATGGACGGATATCCAGTTGGAAGCCTGGATCACAACATCCCGCACGTCGTCCTCGCCGGTCTCACCTCGAGCCCCGCCAAGGACCTGCCTCTGAACGCCGAGCTTCGGGACCAGGCGTTTCTGTTGCGATCAGAGCTACCGAACCTCGAGACGCCAGATGCCGAAGCGCTGAGGGACTACATCGTGCGCCAGGATGGGAGGAATCAACCGTGGAACGGGAGAGACAGCGGGAAGCCTTACAAGCTCCGCGTCACCGTGGCTGGTCGGGTACGGCTTATACCATCCGCATGTGTTCTCTAAGACTAACCCCCTGGATAGTCGTTTGTCCTTCCTCCCCGGCGAGCCAGGCTTCCAGAGGGTATCGAAGCCCCCGATACACCTCCCGTGCTGCACTCTCCCTTCTCGCCATTGAGCCCCGTCTCTCCTCTGTACCCCGACGGCCTCATGAACACGGAATGGCTGCACAAACATGAGGATCTGGTCCCGAGCGTCTACGTTTCTTTCTGCATCCTTACCTCCGACCCGACCCTCGCAACGCTGCACGACAACCAGCTAAAGACCGACATCAACAACCTCAAGACCGCTCTTGGCAAATCTGGATATAGAACGCGACTCGCTGTGGTGCTCTTGAGCGATGGCACTGCGTCTTCCTCCATGGTCGACCTCGTCCAGGACCGGCTTGACAACATTAGGAGAGGCGTAGGTCTAGACACCAAATCATTCTTCTACCTCTCTCCCGGCGACCTGTCCATCGATCTCGAGCATACGGCAGACTCCATGCTGGCTGCGGTGTTCCTGCAAGCTATAGAGTACTATAGAGACCTCGGCCGTCATGCGCGGAAGAAGCGCAGTCGTGGCGTTGCCCCGCCGCCCACGGTACCGCCTACAAACACCTCACAAACACTCACGGTCCAGGACTGGAACGTGAGATACGACTATAAGACGGGCATATTTGCCGAGTTCCGCCAGGAGATGGACGCTGCGCTGCGCTCATACGATCAAGCGTACGAGGAGCTCCTCAGCCAGGATGTGATGGACGTCATCCCGAGCTGGAGTCCGCGGTGGAACGAGGCGCGCATGCTTGCCGACACTATTGCCATACGCGGCATCCGGTGCGTGCTCTGGGGCGGGCAAACCACCTCAGCAGTGCGGAGATGGCAGACACACCGCGATAAGATAGCCGACTTTATTGATCGACGAGGCCGAGGCACGCACAACTACGGCTGGAAGGCGTGGGAGTCGAGGTGGGCCGTTGTCATGGCGAACTTGATCGAGAGAGTAGACTTGCGCAGTCTAGCACCATCAACGAAGACGCTCTTCCTTCAACCGGAGAAGGCTGCTGCGGTGGATAGACTACAACCCTGGGACATGCTACATCACACTGGGTACTGGTACCGCACTGCGGCAGAGCATCTCGCAGCCAGGCGCGCCCTTGCTCGATCAATTCCCGAGGAAGACCGCAGGTCACCAGATACCACACCCGCATCAGCTGTGGCCGGCAAAGCCTTCACATACGACACCTACATGTGCCCAGATCCTCACGAGGAGTTCCCCCTCCAGGGTATGGGAGTCAACCACTCTCAGCTCATCATCGACCTCCTGATGGCAGCAAGATCCCAGTTCCAGGCGCGGAAGCAGCACAGGATATCAGCAGAGCTGTCTCTCCAGTGCGCCAAAGAAATGGCAAACTTGAAGGCGTGGGATGACGTTGTTGCGTTGCTGCGCCCGTTATGGGAAGATATGTCGTTCAGGGCGGAAGGTTGGCTCAACATTGCCGAGGACCTCAGCTGGGTTCTTCGGGCTGCTGCTGCCCACACCGGAAATGGGCCGCTTGTGGTTGCCATTGACTGGGAGCTGATGAACAGGAGTAAGTTTCTCGCTGGGCTTTTGCACTTTCTTTACTTACCTTCTGCAGAGTTCACACGGCGACCCAAGTGGCACTACGACATCTCCAAGTCCTTGGAGGGCTTGTCGATTGAGACCAAGCCTACGGTCACCATCAACGACGACGTCGTATCGTCCTTCATCTCGGCATCGTTCATTTTCAAGGCCGAAGACGGAAAAGCCGGCGAAACCTGTCAAGCTCAAGTTGCGATCAAGTCGGAAGCGTTCCCGGATGCAGCCCTAGTAACACTGAAGGGACTGCATGTTGACTTCGAGGGTAGTCTCAAGACCATCACCCTAGACCACACCCCAGACTCCAATGCTCGCACAGAAAGGGGCAGCGTGACTCTTTCAAACGTGCCGCTGGCAGAGACACCTCGTGATGACAATGAAGAAGAGGGTGCCTCAGTCCTGAGCGGGTCGGCCGATCTGTCGATCAAGCCCGGCTCTACCAATGTCTACGAAATGGCGATACCGTTGCGAGAACCTGGCGAGGCCCGCGCATCCTCAGCAACCCTGATCTTGGAGGCAGACGACTTTTTGCTTAATTACACGATTGCGTTCCAGGATCTCGGCGCGGGGGATTTCTGGTTCAGTCCGTCTCTGTCCAGACGACGCATTGTGCGGCAAAGCGCCCACGTCATCCAAGTGCAGCCCAGGCCGCCCAAGATGGAAATCAAGCTTGCAAAGCCCCTCGAACAGTTCTACGCGAACGAGCCCATGGAGCTCCTTCTTGACGTACTCAATGCGGAGGATGAAGAAGCCGTCGCCAAGTTGGAGGTCCACGTATTCGGCGAGCATATTCCCTCTTTTCGAGTCCGAGTCGAGGATCAAGACGAACACTTTGCAGAAGAAGCCAAGGAGGAAGCCAAGCTCACCGGTCTACCTCTCGGCACACTTGGAACGTCGCAATCAACAAAGGTCAAGGTTTCTCTTGATCCTATTCAGTTGACAACCTCCTACGACGTCACATTACGAGTCTTCTACCACCTCGTCTCCGATCCAGCGACCCTGATCATGCAAATCCTCCCCGTCCAGCTCAATGTCGTCAATCCTTTCGAAGCCAACTACGACCTCATCCCCCGCCTCCATCCCGATCCTTGGCCCTCGCTTTTTGACTACGAGGGCGTCCAAGACCCGACAATCACCAACGAAGCCGCCATCCAACCGCGCGGTCTGGCCCAGAAGTGGTGCCTCGTATGCCACTTCGCCTCCTTTGCCTCGGAAGACCTCGAAATCGTTGGCATGGACGCCGAGGTGGTCGCATGCCAGAACAACGCCAGGTGCACAACCGCATCCCGGCCCGAAATCCCAGCGGACGGCCTCCGCATATCCCCCAAGTCGATGCAAGAAGCACACTTCAACCTGGTCGCCCAGAAATTGAGCCTTGACGACCGCGGTCCCGCGTCGCTCGACGTCGCGTTCGTCCTCAAATGGCGCCGCGCGTCAGCAGACCCGTCCTCTAAGGCGAACACCACGACGATGCTCGTGCCGAGATACATCGTTCTCGGCTCCGAGCCCCGCGTCCTCGCCTCCTACTCCCTTGCCAACCCCGCCACCGGGCTGATCCACCTAGACGTCACAATCGAGAACGGGTCGAGCCACTTCTTGACCTTCGGCCTCAGCATGGAACCCAGCGACGAGTTCGCCTTCTCGGGCGCCAAACAAACCACGGTCCACGTTCTTCCGGTCTCGCGGCGCTCGGTGACCTACCGCCTCCTCCCCCTCGTACGCGGCGCCTACATCAGGCCGAGTCTGGTGGTAAGAGACAAGTACTTCCAGAAGGTTCTCAGAATCATCCCGACAGAGGGCATGAAAATCGACAAGGACGGTCTCCTAGTGTGGATCCCGCCAGAGGAGGAGGAGGAAGAGGATAGCTAGTCACGCTTGCATACATACTCTACATCTAAGAATCTCTAAGCACCAGCATCTATCGTGACCTACATCTTGGCCTTTGGCGGCCTCTCCGGCCTGCCGATCCTCTTCATCCACTCGTCCGTCAACGTGGTCTTCTCTTGGACGCTCAACTTCGACCACCTCTCATACTCATCCTGCTCCCTCCTCCACTCGCCCAGCCCCTTCACAATCCACTCCGCTGTCAACTTCGCACTCAGCCCCGGTATCTCCATGGGGAAAAGGTGCCCCGCCTCGGGCAGCGTGACCTCCTTCACCCGCCCCCTCGCCACGCCGCCGCTCCCGCCGGGCCCGGTCCCCGTAAGCCTCATCTTCTCCTCCCTCAGCTCCGGCGTCGACAGATCGCTCGTCCCGCCAAAGACGTACAGGGCCCCGGGCCTCAGGTGCGGCAGCCTCGCCAGCGTGCTCGCCCCCTCGGAGCGGTACACGGGGAACGTGTAATACCTCTCGTTCAACGACTGGTCCAGGTCCGGCACGAGGTCGGGCCGCACAACCGCCCGCCCCGTCTTGTCGTACGCGTCCCAGCTCGGCCTGAAGTACGTGAAGACCTCCTGGTGCTTCGTCGTCGTCAGCGTCACGCCCTTGCCCTGCGGGTACAGCTGCGTCGGCACGTCCCGCAGCCCGTTGTCCACCCAGGCGTCGAACACGCGGGGGTCCCAGGCCCTGTAGAAGGGGCTCTTCTGGAAGGCGGCGCGGGCCTCGGCGCGCGAGGGCCAGAGGTCGCGGCGGTAGGCGGAGGCGGCGGCGGGGCTGGCGGCGATGCTGCCGCGGGCGTTGGAGGACCACTTGGAGATGACGGGGTCGAGGAGGACGACGGCGGAGAGGAGGCGGGGGTTGGCGAGGGCGAGGTTGACGATGGAGTTGCCGCCGAAGGAGTGGCCGACGCCGAAGAGGGGGCGGGGCGGGCGGAGGGTGTTGACGACGTGGAGGAGGTCGCGCGGGTGGTCGAACCAGCCCGGGTCGTTGCCGAGCTTGCCCTCGTTGAGGACGGAGGAGGCGCCCTGCCAGGCGGCGTCGGCGATGATGATGGAGCGGATGCGGAAGGTCTGCGTCTTGACGGACTCGGCGTGGAGGTCTTCCCAGAGGGCCTCGTAGAGTTCCTGGGTGCTGTTGTCAGTATCGTGGTCTCAATCAAGGATCTCGCCGGTTTTGTGCATCTGATGTGTTTTGATGAAAGTGATGAAATGAAATGAGATGAGATGAGCGATGCGTGACGGACGCACCTTTGGAAACCCGTTGGCGTGCGCGCCGATGATGGTCACGTCGCCGGGCTGAGGGTTCGTGTTGTCCTTGGGGATGTACTCCTTGACGGACAGCTTGAGGACGTCATCTTGGGAGTTTGCGAGGGCGTGGGGGAACTCGCGGACGTGAGAAGCGTCGAGGATGTGCTCCTTGATGTGGAAGACGGATGACGGTGACATGGCGGTTATGGTTGGCTGGCTGCTCGTTTGAGCCGGCCGGTTTCTGAGTGAGTGTATCTACAAAACGTTCGAACGCGAGAGGCTGTCTCAATTGTTTGGCAGTCAACTAAATGAGTGTGTCTGAATTACTGAGACGAAAAGACTTGACGAACGTCTCAATTTCAAAGAGGATGAAGCTGAACTGAGAAACCCGAGGGACCGAATCGCATCCCGGGCGATGGAGAGTCTGGGGTGTGTGGAGCTGAGATGCCGAGGTCCCAACGGCACGCTGCCAATCCGCAGATTCCACCGGCAAACAAACCGCCGCTGCGACCGTTCTCTCTGCACCTCCCCGAGACAGGGAGGCAGGACTCGGCGGCAGTTGTATTCGGCGAGGGAAAAGCCGATGAAACCCATCATCTCCCTTCCATCACGGATTGCGGAGATGTCACAGAGGTGTACCCGTCAGCCCTGTGTTTTGGGATCCTGCGGCTTTCCAAGAGATTAATTGAGTTCCCGAGCAAGGTAACCAACCTGTCACTTTCTCCTGGCGTGTCACCCGTCTTGTGTCTTTTTTTCGTCCCTTCTTCACCTCAGGGAGAGACACTCGCTTCCGTTGTTGTACCGTGTGTGACTTGGCTGCAAGGCACGGCACGGGGCAATCTAAGGTACCTACCCCGCGGTTTGCTCTCTCGTCTCCTCCCCCACCATTCATTCCTGCACTCCACACGCACATCCCGTCCCGTCCTCTCTCCATCAAAAAAACCACCGGAGCACAACTCGCCACACCCCGGCCGGCCCTGCATGCCCCGGGTCCTCATCTTCGCCGGCGCCCCGGAGGCGGACTGGTCCTCCCCGGACCTCCTCCCACCACCACCACTCCAAACGCCGCCGGCCGGCCCCTCCTGGCGTTCACTATCCCTCCACCGCGCGCCCCTCGTCACGGGCTTCTCCCAACCCCACGGCCTACCCACCGACTTCAGACCCCCGGCGCACTTCTTCAGCCTCTCCATCTCCGCCTCGCAAGACCCAAGCGGCGCCGCGTCCCAGCAGGACCTCCTCCTCTCCCAGTTCTACGACCACTCGCTGGCCCTGCACCACGACATCCCCTCGTCCCAGCTCCCGCACTCGCAGGGCACGCAGTCCTTCGAGACGACGGTCACGGACTCCTTTCTGACGGAAGAAACGACGTCGTCCTCGTTCGCGGGCGACGGCGACACCACCACGACGAGCGTCCGCCCGCCCCTCGCGACGTCCCACCACCTCAGCGACCTCGAGGACGTCCCCGCCGGCCCGGCCCTCCTCCAACTCGCCCCGCAGACCGTCACGGTCAACCTCATCGCGGGCGTCATCTCCGTCTCGCCCGCGCGGTCCATCACCACGCGCTGGGGCACCGAGCTGGCCCTGGTGGAGGTCCTCGTCGGCGACGACACCCGCGCCGGGTTCGGCGTCACCTTCTGGCTGCCCGCGAACGCCAAGAGTAGCAGTAGCGGTGGTGGGAGTAACGTCCTCCCGACGGAGCTGCGGCGGCAGGACGTGGTCCTGATGCAGAACGTCGCGCTGCACGTCTTCCGGGGCAAGGTGTACGGGCAGAGCCTGCGCAAGGGGCTGACGCGGACGACGGTGCTGTACCGGCGGAGGGTCGGGGAGGGGGACGAGGGCGGGTATTACCGCCGCAAGGACCTGGAGTCTCGGGGGTCTGGGGCTGCGAATCCGCAGTTGGCTAAGACGAGGAGGGTGTGGGATTGGGTCTTGAGGTTTGTTGGTGGCGAGGAGAGGACGGAGGGGAAGGGGAAGGGGAAAGGAAGGAAGAAGGGGTGGGATTTGCCGCCTGATGATACCCAGTGAATTGGATTTAAGCTTGGATAAGAAAGAGTGTATTTGGATTCTTTTGGATAACTTCATTAATCGACTCTATTGTCGTCATTACAATTCCTAGTCTAAGCAGAGTGAGTTCTAGCCCGGGTATCCTCTAAACACATCCGACACGCATCGTACACCAACATCTTCTTCAAACGTCTAAACAGCAACGGCAGTGGCGCCCTTGCCCTCCTTCTTAACACTCCTCCACTGCAGACCGAGGCAAGCCACGAAGGCGGCGGCGGCACAGGCGACCGTGACGTAGTACGTGTGTCTCAGACCAACCATGTAAGCCTCCAGAACCGCCTCAATCGCATCGGCACGACCCATCTTGGTCAAGATGCTCCGGACCTGGTCGGCGCCGCCGTTGATGAAGATGGTCGGGTTGATATCGGGGACGCGGGAGGCGACGCCGCTGACGAGGCCGGTCTGGAAGAGACTCTGGGCGACGGCGATCATGATGGCGCCGCCAAAGGCCTGGAAAAACTGCACGCAGGCGGTCGCGACGGGGACGTCCTCGAGCGGCAGGACGGTCTGGACGACGAGGACGCCGATCTGGAAGCCGGCGCCAATGCCGAGGCCGGCGAGGACCTGGTAGCCGAACCACTCACGCATGGGCGTGGTGAGGTCGAAAGTCGTGATGAGGCCGGAGCCGACGGTGAAGAGGACGAGAGAGGGGAGGATGATGGCGCTGTAGTAGCCGATGACGGAGATGAGGGCGCCGCTGGCCATGCTGGCGACGACGGTGGCCAGCAGGAGGGGGAGGATCTTGATGCCGGCCTGGACGGCGCTGACGCCCTGGATGGCTTGGAAGTAGAGGGCTGCGCTTGTTAGTGCCTGTTCTGCGTGAGGTGCAGGAGAGAGACTTACAGAGGTAGTAGATGAGGGGGAAGAAGGCGGCGCCAAAGAAGCAGGCGAAGAGCATCGCGCAGACTACATTGCGGTTCTTGAACAAGTAGGGAGGGAGTGTTCCCTTGTCACCCTGCCAGATCTGAATTCCGATGAACAGAATGATCATGAGGCCGAATCCGACGAAAAGACCGATGATCTTGGAGCTGTTCCAGGGGTACTCGGCGCCGCCCCATTGCAGGGCGAGGAGAAGGCAGATGATGGCGGGGATGAAGATGGCGGTACCAATGATATCGAGCTGCATGAGGCGCTGGACGAACGTCTTTCCGTCGGGGTTGTTCTTGCGGCTGATGTGAAGCAGGAAGAAGACGAAGACCATGGCAATGCCGCCGATGGGCAGGTTGATGTAGAAACACCATCTCCAGGTAGCCTTCTCAGTGAAGACACCTCCCAGGAGAGGACCAGCGACGGAAGCCACTCCCCACATGCCACCGATGAGACCGAACGCCAGGGGACGCTTCTCCAAGGGCATCGTGTAGCTGAGGATGACGATGGAGCCGGAGAACAGGCCAGCGGTGCCGATGCCCGCGATGGCTCGGCCGACGATGAAGGCGGTGGACGACGGGGCCAGGGCGCAGAGCAGGGATCCGACCTCGAAGACGAAGATGGCTGCCAGGTACGAGTACTTGATGCTGAAGAGCTTGTAGATCGTGCCGTACATGGGCTGCAGAGCGGTGGTGGTGAGCAGGTAGGACGAGCCGTACCAGCCAATGTCCTTGACGCTGCCATACTCGGAGGTGATGGCGCCGAGGGCCGGGGCGATGATGGTCTGGTCGAGGGCCACGAGGAAGACGGCGAGGCAGAGAGAGGCGATGATGAGGATGAGCTTCAGGCCGTGGGGGTATTCGACCTCATCTTCGTGAATGGAGGGTGCTTGCTTGCTGTTGCTGTCCGTCGCTGTCATGTCATGGGGAGGCTTCTCTGTGAGAATCGAGGGGTCGGCAGAGGTGGTCTCGCCGGGCCTCTCTTCGCGATGCTTCGTATCCATGGTGATGAACCCTGCTGTATGAGTAAAAATATTTCTTGAATACGCTGACCGATTAGGGTTGAGGGACGGTTCACGTATAAGTGGTAAGCAGAGTGACGGAAGGAGTAAGACGGCAGAACTACCGAAGCCGCTGAAAGAAACGATCAACCCTGGAAGATGATTCAACAAGAAGGGACGAAAGCAAAAATCAGCAGACGGCAGGTGGGATACTTATGCCCTACATGACACCCGAGATCGTGAAATTTCCTTCCAGCACAACAGCAGCAGCATCCCATCGGGTGTTAGCAGCGCAGCGCGGGCCTATCCCGATCTGGACCTGTTTGCAAGCCACAGGGAGGGTCCAGCCTGGAACCAGGACCCCAAGCCAAGGGGCCAACTAGCCATTAGCATGAGCTTGTTTGTCTTTGGGTATGTGGGAAAGTGGGAAGCGCCGCCAAAGGAGTCGGACGAGGACGAGGGTGCGGACGAATTCGAGGCAGGGGTCGTTGGATGGAAAAGAAATCTCTCCGAGGGGCTGTCATAAGGTAAGGAGAAATAATGACGACTGCATTATCGGCGTCATCACCATCACTATCCCGATCACCGCAGTTACCAGCACATTCTGCCGCTGCCGCGTGCCAGAGGAGGAGGAATCCGCAGAAGGAATCCGTACCTGGTGCATATCGGACGAGCCAGGGACCCAAGTTGTGCGAAGGGAAGATGTGAAGAGAAGCCTCGATCAGCGATTTACGGCCTTTGCGCCAGATTCACAAGCCATGTGGCAGTGGGCCGGGTGGGAATGACCGACGGGATAGAGGATATAGGGTGGAAATTCCGAAGAATCACTGCAAAAAAAGTGCAGGTCGGGGCGGCCTAAGCGGCCCCCTCTCGGAGGTCGGCGAGTAAACTTGTCCGACTGACACGGCGCCGTGTCGGATGATTGGTCGATTCGCCCTTCGGCACTCTTATTTGGTCACCATTCCTCTTTCGGATTTACGACGTCGAGACAAAATTGCTGGATTCCCGGCGATTTTTTTCATTTTCGTTCCAAAAAATATTGCTCCGGGTCTCGGTGCACAACATTGCCTGCCCAGAGGACCTAGCGGGCCACCGGCTTCGACCGACTGCAAACATGCGCCGTGGCTTGCTCACTGCCTGTCGGGCTCTTTTGTGTGACACCCCGACATGACTCACTTAGCCCGTAGATCGGTGTTATGTCGAATGCGGTTCAAAGTCTCCCCGGCGTGTCAGTCATGTCGGCCTCGTCCGGCCCTGTTCGGAGGACGAAGAGGATGTTGTACCGGGGAGTGGTTCCCATTCCGTGTCGCTGGATTTCCGTGGTGTAACTTGGACGCGTCATAAAGAGCGGGACGGCGCGTCGTTTTAGATGGTGGTATTGATGAAATCTGTTCACTTGAGATATCCTCATGACAGACGCGTATGATGGCCACGAGTTCACCACCCACTACCTAGTGAGCCTCCAGAAGAGATGGCTTACATCTTGATGGCTAATGGTCCGCGCACCATCCCCACCAAATATGCCGTCGTCTCCCGTCTCAGTCTCCAGCTCTTCATGGCTTACACGCGACGTGGCTGAATAATCTTGGTCTTCTGATGCCACGGCATTCACGTTAAGCTTAAATTGTGGCCAGGTTTAACGGGTATGAGAGACAGCAAGGTTGATCCCGCTGTGGCCTATCAACTTGGGAAACACGGCTGACCTCTGACGGATTGCGCAATATCTAGATTACGTCTCCGGAATCCGAGCCAAATCAGAAGTCTTCCACCTACTTGAAGCATCTCTTGAGGAACGTGACGGCTTACTATGTTGATGGCCAGCTTGCCGCCATTGAGAAGATCACCTCAGAGAAGCTCTCTGCAACAGCGTCTTTAGGTGCTATTTTAAGGGCATTCCCCGCGACGTTTCGGCACCGTTGTGGAGACCAGGAAACAAATGCTGTTGGCAGTCATGGCGACCAAGTACCGATGCACGCACTTTAGGCGCTGCAGTACATGTGCAAGGTGACGCCTGCGAAGGAGCCTCAGCGTCACCCGCCAAGCTCGCTGTAAAGGGCCTGGCCTATCTAATCTCGGCGCATCCAATCCAATGGAACCTTGCAACATCCGCCCGCATCGCAGCGTCGTCTGCGCTTAACGCAACTACCTTACCTTTTTGACCTCCGCCGTGTCCGTTGGCGTCGACGTCGTCGCGTCTTCACCTTTTCTTCGAATGGCACTTTTGGTCTATCCATCACAGAAAATGCCATTTGCTTATTCACCTATAGCAACCGAAATCTCAATGACCGAACCGAAGCCGTAATCCACCATCGAGCCCCAACCAAACGGTCCACCGTCTAGCCCACCCACCCGCCGCGCGCCGCCGGATATCATTCCCCATCCGTCGAGAGCCTGTCCTCTCGACCAACACTTCGCCGTCATGGACCGTGCCATGGCTATGAGGGATATGGAATACGACGAAAACGCCATCATGGACGACGACAGGGACGCCGAGCCCCCCGTGACCGGAACCCCTCAGCGTCTTCTCCTCGGCCGCTCGCCCTTGTCCAAGACGCGCTCCATGTCGGACGGCGGGACGCCCTCAAAGCTTTCACCATCGCCTCACATCACCGAGCGGAACACATCCAAGGACGACAGCCATATCGGGAGCGCGGGTGCGGCGGCGGCGGTGGCGCCTCCCGTCACTCCCCACCGATCCGAGTTCCCGCTCCGCGGACTGTCACTGCAGATGCCTGCAAACTCTCCGTCCTCGTCGTCCTCCGCCACCTTCACGAAACCCGCGCCGTTGTCACCGAAGCTCGACCACTCCCAGATCTACGCGAGCCCGACAAACATCCTTCCGCGTCGCTCCCGCGGTCTTGATTTCTCCCGCGCCGCTACCAGCCTGCACCACTCGACCCTCGCGGAGTCGTCGCCCGACTCGTCACCCACGATCGGAGGAAGAGGAATGAACATTCCGGGAAGGAGGAGCAACGATTACGGCCAGGCCGAGCAGACGACCAATTCGTTGTGGTCGATGATGGGCAACCACGAGCGCATGACCGTGTCGAGCTCACTAGGCAGCGCGAACCACCCGCTGGGGTCGGATTCTTCGTCTTCATCCGACGACGACGACATCATGGATGAAGACATGGATGAGCCGTACATTGGTACGCCGCAGGCCAACAAAACCAGCGCGCCGATCGGAACACAGTCTCCTGCTCCGTGGATGGGGTCTCCTGCAATGAACAGCCTGATGAGCTTTCAGCAGCGGCAGCGCCAGAGGAAACTGCCCAAAAAGAAACATAAGCCCCCATTGGGTCTCGGATTCAGCCCGGCCACCGTCGCCGGTCTGTCGAAGTCACCGCCAAGTAACAGTTCAAAGGATGCCTCCGCCCATAACCGGAGAGAGAGCATCAGCTGGCAGGCGAACCAGCTGCATATATCCGGCGAGGAGGAGAGGGGGGATATCGACCATCTCTTGACGACACCCAGCCGTGACGGACAGCGACCAACAATTATGAAACGCGTGGTCACCCGTCGCGCAAATCTCTTGGTCAGTTGGATAAGTTGTTCCTGCCTGAAGACGCGTTACTAACTGAATCCAGCCCAAAACGAAGAACTTTGCTCGCATCAGAGCGGCTCTGTTTGAGGAAGGCGCGCCTGTGGAGGTGGAAACCCGGCGCGAGGCCGAAGTCGTGCGCCAAGTGCGTGAAAGCGACATGGACCTCGAGCCGCCACGCCAACCAACGGCACCGGCCACACAACATTCATCACCGAACCTCGGAACGCAGGAAACCTCTCTAGACGACATTCCGGAGAGTATGATAACCGATTCCGCGCTTAGCCTCTCGGGTAGCTTCAAGCAGCAGGCACTAAAGAACTCAAAAGGCTCCAAATTCTGGGATACGTTCTCGGAAGCCAGCAGCGCCGGCACACGCACAACACCGCCCCCTCCCAACGGACTGCCCCGCGGATCGTCTTCCGGCATGAGCGAGGACATCTCCATGGACTCGCCGTCTCTAGGACCGACAGCAGGCTTCGCCATGGCCGCAAGCAGCGGCGAGTCGCAGAAAGGCGACACACCCCTCCTGACACAAGGCCCGCAACCAGCCCCCAGCGCGGCCGAGATCACGCGGCGCATTAACAGCAAGCGCCGCCGCGAAGACGACTTCGACCCCGTCAGCTTCAAGCGCCGTGCCGTGAGCCCCGGCATGAGCGTCCACAACTCCCCGATCATGCAGAGCCCCATGCAACGCGACGTGCAACCGTGGGGGTCCAGACCCGGCAGCAACAGCGGCGACCGTGGCGGTGACCGTGGCGGCGGCGAACGCGGCGGCAGCGGCGCGCCCAGCGAGTCGGGAAGTCTGGGCGGCACGCCGGGCAGCAACCCGAACGGCAACGGCCGGGTGAACGGGACCAAGGGTAGGGTCGGGTTCCAGGGCATGGTCGACACCAGCGACGGCCTGATGCGGATGAGCATCGAGTGAGGCAACATTTACATATGATTTGGAGCAGTATAAGGAGAGAACACGCGTAGTATTACTGGTGGCGCGGTCTTTGCATTGGCGTTATTTTGGTAGGGAAACATTGACAGACAGAAAAGTACGGCGCGGGCGAACCGGTGGTTGGTTTCACGGGACAGACAGAGAGAGAATATCCATAGAGCCGTACTCGGCATCACATCACATCACACACAAACAGCGAATGAGCACAGCATTTAATGACCGACGCATATTGGTTTGAAGAAATGATGAGTTTTCTTTCGTCGTGGTATCTTCGCAACGCCGTGTACGCCTTGTAATCGCAGCTTATCCTCCCACAAATCAAATGACCATGCAACAAACAATCAGATCAGTCCTCCATCAAGCAGCATCCTCGTAAGTTCACTCCACGCCGACGCCTTCCTCGGGAACCCTCAAACTACCGAGCTTATCGTCCAACCACCGCGCCAGGTCCTCCGCGTGCCGCCGCATAACCACCACGCCCGCCGTGTTCACGCTCCCGACGCTCCCCAGGCTCGCCGTCGTCACGCCGCCCACGCTCAGCACGCTGTCGACCTCGGACGGCGACGCGGGCGCGGCGCTCGGCGTCGCGCCGCCGGATCTCTCGCCGTTGCCGTGGTGGAGGTGCTGGGCGGAGGAGGTCGACTCGTCGATGTGTTCCGCTAGGGGCCCGATGCAGACGAAGAGCAGGCCGCACTTGAGCCTCCTGATGACAACAACGCCGGCCGCGAGCTGCACCGTGATCGTGAGCGGTTTCCCCCCTGCTCCTTCCGCTAGAGGAGCAGGGGAGGAGAGGGAGGAGGAGGTCGGGAGGGCGTCGGGGATGTCCGGGGCCGTGGAGGCGTGGAGGGCGAAGAGGGAGGAGGCGACGGTGGACTGGGTGCGGAGGAGGGAGACGGGGTGCGGCGAGGCGTGGGCGAGGAGGCGGCCCGAGGGGGTCGCGAGGAGGGCCGTGTGCAGGTGGGCGTTGAGGTTGGAGGCGAGGAAGGCGGTGAGGCGTTTTGTGAGGAGGAGGGGAGGGGTCGGTTGGTTGAAGGACATTTTGTGTTCGTCCGGTTTTGGGGGTTGAGGTCGAGGATGCGGATGGCTTCGGAGGGGGGGGGAGGATGGCCCCGGTTGAGGCTGTGTGGTCGGTTCGTTTGCTTCGCAGCTTGCTGTTCTGTTTTCTCGCGTGACGTTTGTGGTCCTATTTGACTGTGTGAGGTGCGAGACTGGTTCGGAATGCGGTTCGAAGATGTGTTCGTGGGAGCTCTCGGAGCTGTTTCTGAGCTGGGTTGAGGTGGTGTGTGTTGAGATTGAGGTTCGGTCCACTGTCCGGAGCTCTGAGGCAGCCTTGTGCAGCTTCGGGCTGCGGCGGGGCAGCTGCGAAAATAAAGAGGTACGTACCTCCGAGGACTCCACTGTTGGGCATCCACTCCGGGAGGCATGGCACGTGGGAACGGATACCTGTCACCGACATCCCGTCACCGTGCTGGCTTTTAGGTCGCGGCGTCTGCTGCGGACTACTGCGCGCTCTGTGATCACGACATTGGATGAACTTGGACGAGCGCTGGCGCCACTGGGCTAAAGCTACGTTGGATAGGTATTCAAAGATGGGTTTACTGCAAGATACAACGCGACGGAGACTAAATCACTCCGCCGCCTTCTCGTCCAGCCCGTTCAACGAAAAGAACCGGCCTCGAAGATCGTCCATGACGTCGATGTACTCCCTCCCGTCCTCCGTCTTGTTCCGCCACTTGCGATACAGCACCTCGACCTCGTCACACAGGCGCTGCGAGCCCGCCGCCGGGTTCATGAGGTCGTAGTCCAGGAGAAGCCGCACCGCGAGCTTGAGGTACTTGGAGTAGCCCACCCGCATGAGGTTCTCGTCGATGTGGATGTCGGTATGGGACTCGCACTGGTTGACGCACTTGCAGCCCTGGAAGTTGGGGTGCTCGCAGCCGCGGCCGAGGTGGCTCTCGCCGCCGATGCACTGGATGCTCTCGCACCGCCGGATATGGACGCAGTTGCAGGTCTCGCAGCCGTCAAAGGTCGGAAGGGGGTAGCCGACCATCATGCGGAAGAGGACGGCGCCGAGGTCCCAGTGGTCGTCGCTGATGGTGTGCAGGCGTTTGCTCTGTTGGTATTAGTGATGAGTGCATCATGGGCGGGGGAGGGGGATGGACTTACGTTGTGACCTGTTTCGAGGTACTCCTCCCACTGCTTCTTCATCTCACGCAGCCCCATGTGGCCGTGCTGTGGCGCCATTGGGATTCCCTCGCTGTTGGGAAAAGGGTTCCCGTTAGACAGCTGGGCTTGGCGGCGAGCCGGGACGCCAGATACAAATGCGTTGCCGAACTTGCCCAGCTTGCAGACGCCGTACGTCTCGTCGCCTCGCGAGTGCTGGAAGAAGATGGTCGACCCGCTGATGCCACGGTGCAGGATGGGCATCCACTCCATGTCCGTCCGAACCCATCGCGCCTCGCTCGTGACCCAGTCGACTTCCTGGCGGTAGCCGTCGTGTAGCCAAACGAGGGCGCGGAGGATGGACGTCAGGACGTGCCAGCAGAGCGACTCGGGCATGTAGCAGTTGGGCTCGCGCTCCGAGTGGCGGTCCGCGAAGAGGAGCTCCAGGGTGCCGGCATCACAGATGTCCCAGACGAGGTAGTCCTCGGTGGCGTCCACCTGAGAGTGGAAGGGCCTTTGGCGGAGGTATCCCGCGAGTGAGATGATGTTCTCATGGTTAAAGATGTGGGAGATGTTGCGGCCGATGCTGCAGTCGTACAGCAGGTCCATCAGCCCCTTGATTTGGCGCTGCTTCTTGGTCGTGAAGCCGAGCGAGTATTTCCCGGCATCGTAGTACTCGTCAAAGTCGTCCACTTTCCGAGCGATGAACTCTTCGCCGTCGGCATATCCTATGTGCTGGGCGTGTCTCCTCGCCAGCCATATATTGCCCCTGACTTTTTTGACCAGTTGGAAGGTCGGCTGAGGGTGGTCTGGGTCTTCCATTTCTGCGGTGTCACGTTGAACTCGTAGAGAAGATGGGCATCGCGAGAACGAGTGCTGGGTGAACTCAAGGCATCTTTGTAGGGCATTGTGTTGTGTTTAATGCCAGAGCAGAACTCTCTGTTGTATCAATTGCTGCCAATGGCTTCAAAGAAGCGCAACCTCGTCAATGGAGCCTCATAATGGACTGCCTTGACTTCAAAGCAGGGCACCATCATGAAAGAAACCACCAACATTATGGATGTAAGCCGTCCTGAATGGATATGGTCCATTGAGGCTTCCTGCATCACGACAAAGACACACCAGACATTGTCGGTATTCGTCCAACGGTTTCGAGCTTGGCAGTCCGCAAATGGCCATCCTGTGCGCCTCATCCGTAATTAGTGTCACGGCCGTTGGATGCCGCTCCGCAGCCGCAGTACTACAGGAAACATCCGCCAGCCAGCGGTCGGACGAACTGCGAGGCAGCCACGATCCCTTACCGAGTAGTTGGCGCAGACCAAATGAGAAACAACCCAAGCACGCGCGCCGAAGCGCCGCCACTTGGCGGAACACACGACGACGACGACCATGGATTTCCTGGAAACATTGTGTCTACCTTTGGTCGCGCGTTCTTTGTCGACTGTCTCAACAAGATTGGGCTGGCGATAAAGATAGCCGAATGGCCGGGGTAATCCACGTGCGGCCGGCGGCCAAATTGGCATTGGAAAAAGCGAAATGTCGCGTTTGCCCGAAGTGGGAGGAGCCCGGTTTTCGCAGGGTCATGTTGGCCAAGACCTGCCGTCTGATCCGTGGGTGTTTGCAGGCTCCTCCCTTTGCCCATTGCGCCGTTTGCGAGGGTTGGGAGCCCTTTGAATGTCGAGCTATGCTGGAGAGGGAGAGGATAACTGCGACTTCGTGCGACCCTGCGGTTCAACTGAATTCCGTCGAATGACATGGCCAGCCGGGGCTCAATCAATGCGAAGGGGCGCATTGGCCAAGTCGGAGGTAAAAGAAGCAGTTGCGAAGCCGATTTGGCGTCCAGGGTGCCGTCACCGGGGTGTCGACATCATGCATACCGTTGTACGGTTTGAGGGGAGCACGTTTCATCGATAGGAAAGCTGAGCAAGACTGCCGCGAGTTGAGACGGGATTCCCGGTGGCAGCGAGAGTCTCCGGCGGGAGAGAGCATCCGTTATGGTTGGAGTCCTCCAGATGTCGGAGAGCGATGTTCAATCGTCAGGAAGACGATGTGTTCTAGTCGGATTGACCTAAGGTACGGAGGTATTAGTGGTCAGCGTCAGTGTCAGGGAGCAGCCGCGCTCCTTCAGGGCGGTCGAAACAATGCGACCAAAGTTGGCCTCCCGCTGGGCCTCCCGCCGCTTCGAGAGGCGCAGGACTTGGGTCAATGGTTGGATGGGTTGGGCGGGCGCGTCCGAGCCGCGGCTATAAAGATGAGGCCGCGAACTTGTGTGGCCGTGTTTAACTCGAACGAGGCAGCCGTCTCAAACAGAGGATTCGTCCAGTGAGAGGCGATTGTGGTGGTGGTGCTGCAAGTAAGACTTTGGGGGTCTTGGGGGCAGAAGACGCTCTGAGAGGCCGACACTGAATGTGAGAGCTGGAGGTGCCTGAATGGAAGGAAGGAAAGGCCTGACAAGGGAAGAGGCAAGGCAAGGGAAGGGACCTAACAGGGGGAACACACTGTGGAACCCCTTATCAACCCTATATGTGACCGTGGCCAATGACATGTCGTAATTGGGGCGGGAAATGGGACCTCAAACGCTCTGATGGGGAGCTATTCCGATTCGGGACTTGGCGATTTGGTACCTGCGTTAAAAGACCCGCGCTTGAGTCGCTCTATTGCTCCACATGCGCCGCGGACGGCTCGAAACCGTCAAGACTGCCCACGACGCCAACGTCCACCCGCATCCTACGGGACGCCAGACCGGGAACCCTCAACCACACACAATTATTGGACGGAACCGCCAGAGACGCCCCCCTTTCCTTCCTCTTTCGGCGTCTCTTGTCTCTGGGTGCGCCCCTCTCGCCGATCCCTCTTGAAGGCCTCCACTCCCCTCTAACTCGCCCGGTCACGTTCACGTCGATGCTCTCAGTCAAATCTCACTCACTGACACCTCCCGCATTCCTCCCTCCAGCTTCGCGAAGCAGTCCATGGCCTCGAGAGTGAGCCTCGATCTTTCCATCGACCGCCAGCATTCCAGTCCTGCGTGAAAATTCCACGCCGTCCGCTCATTATCGTCTCGTCCTGTCTCGCGCCTCTCGCTCTCGATCGATTCGAACGCACGTACACTCATTCGCTGTATCACCTCTGCCCTTTTCGACATTCTGATACTCAGCCTTGCAACTTACGGCGGCCGATCAAACGCGGATATTCGCCCTACCACATTATCACCACCAAGACCCTCCACGACACCGCCTGTCTTCGGCTTCCCCTTGTTATTCAACAACTCGGACAAGCCCGATTGAATGATTGACGGGCTGAGCTGAATTTCCCCGGCTCGCTGTCGTCACCTTGCCGTGGCGTTTCTCTCAACCGCCATCTTAATCCACCCTCAAACGCCTGGTCGCTCGACCATGTCTTTCTGAGTCCTGACAGCCCACGGTCCGAACTCTTGTCTCGCAAAAGTCAGCCCTCTGACCCCCGACCCACATTCCGTTCTCCCTCTCCTTCACGCCTCTACGGATACTTCTCTTCTTTTACTCTTTCGTCTCGTCCCGTCACGAAATCGACCTTTCTTTTCTATCCGTCAAGACGAGAGCACAGTCGATTACTTCGCGGGCGAGTAACGACTAGTGCAGGGCAGGCCCGGATTTCTGGTATCACCATCATCCGCGACACGGTCCCAGTCGGCCAACCATTTCCTATCTTCTCTTCGCCCCTCGACTGTGTCGATTTTTAACGATACCTTTTATCCGTCATCAACCGAAAAATTAGTTCAAGATGGGGTGCATTGATCATCGTCGGAAGAACATCCAGTACAAGGCGGAACAGAAGTGGGATTACATCGTATGTGCGACCGCGGGAATGGTCGAACCATCTCCAATGCTAACCCGTCACAGAGCCTGAACGATTTCCGTTCGCGAGGATGCCTAACCCCGTTCGCGTACTTCTACCTCTGGCTCATGCTGCTCATCTCAGTCGCCGTCTACGGCGTTGATATGTTCACTGCCATCAACCTGCTCGCCTTCGACAAGTGGTCTTCCGAAATCGATCCCGCCATCGACTTTAAGATATCGAAATGGATCTTTTCCGTCTCCATCATTGCGTCCTTCGTCAACCTTGCCTTTGAGCAGTTCCGGGCTTTGCGCGTCATGAAGCGAGGAAACGTTGCTGAATGCTACCTCGACAACATTGCCGTCCGCCTGGAGAGTACTCGCATGGGAAAGGGACAGGGCTGGAGACGTTTCCTGGTTTTTGCCGAACTCACCAAGAGCAAGAAGGGAGCCGAGTACATCGCTCTGTTCACCTACTTCAGCTTCCAGTGTGAGTTGGTCCGATCACGTCACATAGAACGCCACTAACATGAACAGCCTGGATCCGTGTCATCGTCTGTTCCGGCCCCCGTCAAGTCGTCAACGCCCTCACCCTGAAGTCCGTCTACGACGCCAAGCTTGCCGTTCACGAAGCTTCCGTTGAGGGTTCCCTGCTGGGTTTCTTCGAGAAGATCAGGCAACTTGCTACCGAGGACTACCAGCAGGCACTGATCTTGTCTGGTATGCTCTTCACCCTCATCATCTGGGTCTTCTCCGCTCTCTACCTCATCATGGCGGTTCTGTTCTACGTCCTGTTCCTGTGGCACTGGATTCCCAAGGATGACGGTGGTCTCTCCGGATACTGCGAACGCAAGGTCAACAAGGCCCTCACCAAGGTTGTCACGGCCAAGGTCAACAAAGCGTTAGCCAAACAGGATGCAGACAGGAAGAAGGCGGAGATGAAGGCAGCCAGGAAGAACGGCGAGAAGATTGCCCCTGAGCGACAGGCAACTCTTCCCACCATCCCCAACGTGGGAGACCCCGACAAGCTCGCCGAGATGCCCATGATCAGCCGCAGCGACACCTTCGCGACGCTGCCTGCTTACGAGTCTCGCCCTGGCACTCCTGGCAGCTTCGAACTCGGCGCCATGGACCAGAAGCGGCCAGTCCCGTCGAGGATGGGCACCACCACCTCAACTGCCAGCTACTCTTCTCGCGCGCCTCTCGTCGGTGGTGCTGCGGACATGGGCTACCAGCGATCCGCGTCTCCCGCTCCCTCGCTGCCTCCCTTGGACCTCAACAACTACCCCCCACCCGCACGACCCGGCACCTCGAATTCGCAAAGAAGCTTCCGCCCTCAGCTGTCACATGTGCACACCAACTCACAAAGCTCCCTGCGGGGTATCTCGGAGAGTCCCGCTACCTATTCCCCGGATACGATGCCACCTTTCCCGCCCCCTGTTCGAACTGGCACTGGCGACAGCTACAGATCCCAGGGCCCTTACCAGGGTGGCCGGCCTACTCCTGCTCCGCGGGCCACCTACGACGACTACTCTGGTCAGTCCAACGGAAGAGCCAGCCCAGCGCCTTCGTCCTACTCATCACGCACCCCTGCTCCGCGGGCCCCTGGCTACCAAGCCTATCAGCCTTTCAACCCCCAGCAGCGAAGTGCCACTGGTCCGATTCCTCCGCGTGGCCCGACCACTGCTCCCACGCGGAACATGACGGCGCCTGTTCCTCCTCGACCTCAGGAGGACTACTTCGCCCGTCCGGGAACGTCACAGAGCCAGAGACCCCCGAGAAACCAGGGCTACGGCGGCTACAACGGCTACAACGATGACGTCGAGTCCCAGAGAGGCCCGCGGTACTAGGGATACCGGACGTCTCCCTTGGGTCCATAGAGGAGCATTGGGTTCGGTACAACCAGCATTTTCTTTTCATAATGTCTTTATGATTCGTGGGCGTCCACTTTAGCGACTTGTGTAAGGACGGCCGATCTTTGGCAAAAGGGGTTCTAACCCGTTGTATCGCCTCACCAAACCCCACGCGGGCTTGGCAGACTTGGATCAAAAGAGCTTTGGGAAAGAGCTTTGGGCCACAGTCTGGATTCGATTCTTCTTCATCTTTCAAAACTTCCATCCTTTCGATACCCACCGAATTTCACTTCAATCCATTCTCAGTGTACTATAGGAAAAGGGCGTACCCCTCGGCAAAGGGGACCATGTTCATGACCGAAGAGCGAGAGAGAAACAAGGACCAAACTTGTATTTTTAGTCAAATACAGCCATCGTCGATGATGACAATCCAATGTTTCCGAACGCAGTCTCCGTGAATGACGTTCCCCCCCTCCCCACGCCCTGCCAAGGCCCTCGAGTTTGGGGTACATAAGCAGCGGGGCGAAACCTTATTAATCGTCAAAGCAGAGCGCGCCAGGGGCGTCTAAGACGTTTCGGGCATCTCGAGGTGGTTCGGGATGGGATTGCGCCCTTCAGGTGCCTGATTTGTCACCGACATGTCACCATCAGACCCCGAAGCTGACGAGATTGAATTTCTCCTCGGGCACTGTTTAGAAATGCGGAATCGAGAATCTTGACATGGAGTGGGTTACCAAAGGGCGCAGTTCAACGATCACTTCAAAAGAGCATAATCTGCAATTGTCCGAAGGTCGAACCTACTAAGCTTTCCGCAACCTCGGATGAATTGCACGCTGCTCCTCACCAGTCTCCTCGCATCAAACTCCCTCCCGCCGGACAGCATTTTCTTCTCCCTCGGATCGAACACCATGCCGGCCGCGACGATCGCGTGGCACGAGGGCGAGCTCGCCGTGCACGAGCTCCTCAAGATCCCGACGCGGCAGAACCCGACCCGGGCGGGCCTGCCCTCCTCCTTCGGGCAGCGCGTCGCCGTCGCGCCGCTGCTGGCGCTCGGCGCGCTCGACGAGCGGGGCCGGCCGTGGACGACGCTCTGGGGCGGGGAGGCCGGGGCCGTGGCGCGGCCTATCGCGGAGGACGTGCTGGGCGTGCGGAGCAAGGTCGATGTCGTCGATGATCCGGTCATCAGGGCGCTCTGGGGGGGTCAGGAGAGGGAGATCAGGGAGGGCGAGGTGCTGCAGCCTGGGGTCGCGGGGGAGGGGAAGGTTGTTTCTGGGCTTGCTATCGATTTGAGGACGAGGGATCGGGTTAAGTTTGGGGGGAGGATGATTGCGGGGGCTGTTACGAAGGTGGATGGGGACGGAGGGGGGGAGCTGCAGATTGCGGTCAAGGTCGAGGAGAGTCTTGGGAATTGTCCGAAGTATCTCAATAAGAAGGACGTTAGGGGGAGGGAGGCGGTGGTTAAGGGGCGTGTGGAGCGCGGGTTGCCGTTGTCTGGGGATGCCGTCGCGGTGATTCGGCAGGCGGACATGATCTTCCTGTCCAGCGGGAACGGAGAGAGCATGGATACGAATCACCGTGGAGGATCGAAGGGGTTCGTGAGGGTTGCGAGGAATGACGACGGTGGTCTGGAAATTATATACCCCGAATGTGAGTTGCTCCTTGCTGTATGTCCGATGCCATACTGACGGTCACAGTCTCTGGGAACAGGTTATACCAGACGCTGGGGAACTTGAAAGTCAACCCTCGGGTAGGCGTCGCGATTCCGGACTTTGAAACGTCGAATGTCCTCTATGTAAGTTATTGTCAATCGTGTCCCCGAGGCCAGCAGCTAACACCGCAAGATCACGGGAACGGCATCCATCCTGTTCGGCGACGACGCGGCAGCACACCTTCCACGCACCAAGCTCGCCGTCAAAATCACCGCCTCCTCCGCCGTCTTCGTCCAGTCCGGCCTTCCCTTCACCGGCACCCCGCGGGAGCCGTCACCCTACAACCCGCCCGTCCGCCCCCTGCACACCGAGCAGCAAATCCCAGGGGCGGCCCTATCCTCGACAACAACAGAAACGACGGCGACACTGCTCGCCCGCGACATCATCACGCCCACCGTCGCGCGCTTCACCTTCGGCCTGGAGCCCCCGGGACGGTGGGAGCCCGGGCAGTACGTCACGCTCGACTTCGCGGAGGAGCTGGACGTCGGGTGGAGCCACATGCGGGACGACGAGCCGCAGGCGCTGAACGACGACTACGTGCGGACGTTTACGGTGTCGAACAGACCCGGGGGAGGGGGCCAGAGGGTGGAGATCACGGCGCGGAGGAAGGGGCCCGTCACGGGGCTGCTGTGGAGGTGGAACCCGCGGGCGCCGTTGACGGTGCCGGTGTTGGGCTTCGGCGGCGAGGAGGCGTTCAGGATGGGCAGGTCTGGGGGGGAAGAGGTTTTCGTTGCGGCGGGGGTCGGGATCACGCCGGTTATGGCGCAGGCTGAGGGGGTGTTGGAGGCCGGGGGCAGGTTGAGGGTGTTGTGGAGCGTGAAGGGGGAGGATTTGAAGTTTGCGAAGCATGTTCTTGATACTGTTCGGGGGCTGGCTCAGGTCACGACGGTGTTTGTGACTGGACGGGTTGAAGAGGAGGACATCTTGATTGACGAGATTCGGGATCTCGGGGCTTCGATTGAGAGGAGAAGGATGGTTGAGAGTGATGTGAAAGGACCTGGAGCTGGGAAGAGCAAGTATTTTCTGTGTACTGGGCCGACGATGTTGAAAATGTTGAATGAGTGGTTGGAAGGGGAGGAGGTTGCTTTCGAGGACTTTGCGTACTAGATGATTGGATAAAATCAGACGTATGTAGACCACTGTCAAAAGTCCGGAGTTCATAAGATGACTAAAATACTCCAAGCCGAATTCAGCATAACAACATTCAGGTCAAGGTTATGAATCGATTTTCTGAGCGCTCCTGCTTTGACAATTATTCTTCTGGTGAGATGATAAACAGTTGCGCAGTTAGCACCTCAAATACAGAATTTCTTTACTAGGGGCTCCGTCGTGTAATCCGAAATACTCCATGCTGCATGGCATTGGCCACCAAACCATACTACATGCTGTTCTAGAACCCAAGTATATGAACCGAGGTACTTGTAGCGAGGCAAACCCTTACAGGGCCAAACAACAAAAGGTAGGTAAATCGCACAAGGTGAGCAAAAGCAGTCCTATCCAAGTATATGAATCTAATAATCCATGCCCTAAGTGACATCAGACCTCTTCGCAATTCTCGACCAGTCTCGAATCAATGTAATCCGAAGTACGGATACTGCTGCTGAGGAGGTTGCTCCGGAAACCTTCACATACTGATGATTGGATGAAATAAAGGCCAATGAGCGTCATTAATCAGACAAGAGGAGAAATCATGTCCAATGATAATCGCTGGAAACTGTTCCGATCATTCGGCTGCGCTGCTCCTTCCATCGAGATGCTTGGTTCGTGTGAAGCAAGCAGCCGCTACTTCTTTCCCAGTGCATCACTCGTGTAATCCCAAGTACTCCTGCCGCCACACCTGGCAAGCGGCAGTGTCACCTGCCGCCAGCCGTCTCATACATCACGATCCCCAGTCGCGATGGCACACCTTTTCCCGATGCCCATCAATCCCCAGAATTCCCCATGTCGCTGAATCGGTTTTCGAGCGCCCATCGCAACGGGCATGTGCGACGGGAAGCGCCAAGTCCGCCTCGTGTCCAGCAAAATATCCTCCGAAAAGAATGGAAAATCGCACCAGGATCCGTCGAAACGAAACGGGGCCTGCACGCCCTCGTTGGTTCTGCACGACGCCGGCGGCGGTTCTTCGTTGATCGATCAGGCCTTAACGAAACCGAGAGTCAGCCTCAAGCAGGGGATGTCTTCGATTGAGACCGCATCGCCCGACTTCAATCTATCGATGCGATGCTGCCGTCTGCTATTACTGCTGCTCAACCACAGATGATGTCGCCGCCTCTGCCAGCACATGGCTGCATCAGCACTTCTGCACCTGCACACCGGTTGACTCTCGATTCGGTGGGGACGGCAGGCCGGGGGATGCGGAATTTACAGAGTCGGGACTCGGATACGATGCGATAGGGGATTCCTCTCCGGGGGCCTAGGAATCGCGGGAATCACGATCACCCAGAGACATGGGGGTGGATCACCGGTGAATGAAGCCATCGTCGGGTTCGCCCGAACCCGCTCGAGTCAGCAACAACACCACAACAACACTCAGCTGTTACGTCTGCTGCTTACTGAGCATTTCTTCGCCGGCCTCACATCATCGTCACGTTCGTTCTGCCAACACAAGAACACTTGCTGTTGAGCCATTGGTTTGCTGAGCTCTTGACTTTCGGCCGATTTAGCGATCAAGAAGCCCGAGCAGGCATTCGACACAGAGTTCTAGACCGTCCAACCGAAGCGAGGCGGCGCGGCGCAACCAGCCTTCGGCAACGTCCCGGATGACTGGGATGCGAAATGTGAGATCTCGATGAGCCACACCCATGCCACAGACGACACTGGCAGAACGCACCACGTCTGCGGTAAATCAAGCACTCGGTCGACATTCAATCATTACGGCCGACCGGCCCTGAAACCTGGATTGAACGGGGCCGAACGTTCAAGACGTCTTCCCTGGATAATGACGGTGGAATGGAACCATCTCCAGCTCTGAGACTGATGAAGCTGCCGCCTGTCAGGACAAAGTCAATGTCGGCCTTGGGATAAGGCGGCGGAGAATTCCAAGACGGAACGACATTCCTTCGCAAAACCGATCACGTTCGCAGCAGAAACAGGAGCCAGAAGCCAGAAGCACACCACTTGGGATGGAGAACAGGCAAACAGGGCAAAAATGCAGTCCGTAACTCCCAGTCGTCGGCCGAGGAGGGGGTAGGGGGGCTGCAGGGGTCCAACCAAATCGAGATTGTGGGAAAGCCGTTGCGTCGATCGCCGTGATCGCTGAGGCAAACGCGAATCTGAGAATCGGATTTCGCTCCGCTCCGACTCATCATCCACGTCCACGTCCACCTACACACACCACACGCCCACTGCGTCCGGCGGTTTTTAGTGCCACTCTGCAACAGCTTCAGCAACAGGACGAGCACCGACAGCAGCCAGAGACTCGGACATGATCCAAGCCACGAACGCATATCTAAAAGCATTGACATGACTCTAACATTGGGATGCCTCGTCTCATCGTCGATCGCCGGGTCAGCACAGCTTGTCGCGATGGTGTCCTGTTAGGCGTCTGTTATCCCGCTCACGTCCCATCGCTTCCGTCCAAACATGACGTCCACTGCCATCATTGCTCATCCTGCAGTCCATTCCCACTCATCGTGGACCTTCCGGGGCATGATAGGTGCGAACCGTCGACATGGGCCCGGCAGGATACTTTGTTGATGTAATGCCCATCGTCCATCGGTCAAATGCCCTCCTCTCTCGGATTGGATGGAAAGGCTCTTGCTGGAGGCGGTACCTCGTCCGTCAGTCCCTCACACCCAAATCTGCAGCGAGCAAGCTGGAGCTAGATGTACTCCTATAGCCGTCAGAGACTCTTTACCGACAAGCGGCAGATGCAGACAGACCCTTACCTTTGGGCCTCCTTTTACTATCCCCACTCCCTCCCTCCCCCGATCACCAAGTGTACCGCATCGACTCGCGATCAAGCCAACGAACTGAACGATCGCTCCGCTCGCAATGGGACAACGGTATCTGGATTCCCACACCATCGGTCATCATATTACCCCAAGTAGTCGGCCACTGCCTTTTACTACCTGCCGTACAACAAACCACTTGCATACTGATATTCAGCCGTCACCCATCAACCTGCTTCATGGCTATCTCGTGCATACCATTCAACGACCTGTCACTTTTCAGCCTTTTTGACCATTTGGTGTGCGTCGAATCGACAAAGTCCCTTCGGTCTGCCGCCTTCCTGCCAACGCATCCAGACGCATAATGCAAATCGCCTAAATCACCCTGTCACCTCACGAGATCTGCTTCGAGGCCCTGCTCTCGCAGCTGGACCCAGTCGAGACCCCGGACAGTACCGTCGACGTCTTCGCTCGCTCTGCGTCGCTTTATAATTACGAATCGTGCTCGCCGTTATTCTTCACCATGACCAAACAAGAAATCCAGTATCCCGCCGCCTACCTCCAGTCGGAAACGGAGCGTATTCTATCATTTCGGGCTCACTATCAAGTCTCCTCCACAATGAATCCTTGGGAATCATGCGCGTTGCAGGTATGAAAAACGATTCAGTCTTCGTAGTTCGTAACTAACAACACCAGTACCAATACCCCGATGAGTCGGACCAGACCTCACGTGGAAAGACAACGGCGAGGCGTCAACAAAATGCCGCCGCCGATCCCGTCATGTACCCTGGGCTCTACTGCCCCAGCGGCTTCGACATGATGAGCATTCTCGTAAGTTTCCTATTTGGGCGTTATCGACGTTGTTCTAACTGTCACAGCTCCGCGTTGCCGGCAGACCTAACCCCAAGGTTTCACTCGGTGCCATCGACTGCTCCGTCGCCCTCATTCTTTGCGATCTCGAGCAACCAGACACCCCCATCGTCTACGCCTCCGAGCACTTCAGCATTCTGACCGGTTACTCCAACAAGGAGATCATGGGCAAGAACTGCCGATTCCTACAGGCACCCGGCGGCAAGGTCCGACAGAAGTCCGCACGCAAGAACGTCGACAAGGACACCATCAAGCAGATGAAGCGAGCCGTTGAGACCAACGATGAGTTCCAAACGGAGGTTCTCAACTTCAAGAAGGACGGAACTCCCTTCGTCAACATCCTCACCATGATCCCGGTGCACTGGGACTCGCCAGGCTTCCGCTACTCCGTCGGCTTCCAGGTGGAGCGGGAGGACTAAACTCTATTTCGATTCACGCACGTCTACGATCGAATCCTAAATTGCAACGACTGTTTTTGGTCGTTTTTCTCGAGGGCGGATTTTCCGACGCCGCCATTTTCTCACGTCAATACTTCTACGGCAACGTTACGACTTCCTTACGAGCGAGGCATCTTCTGCTATTAGGCATTCGTGATACCCACACATCAGCATGCGAGTTAGAGCTCAGGCATGTCGTGTTAACGACCTGTTTTTTCTGGTTTGATATTTCGATTCGGCGTTACAACGGAGCGACACATGAAAAAAAGCGCAGCAGCATTCTCGGGTCACTATTAGGTGCATTAAAGATACAACTTTTCCCCACTACCCAACCTCGCTGGAGGCACAAGGGTGGCAGCATTATTCTCTACCGGGGAAACAAACGAGACAGCATTTGGGAACGGCGTTTGCAAACCCAGTCGGCTCTGGCCTGGACTGGAAGAGGTGTTGGAAGAGGCATTTTGATAGCTTAGCCATGATATTTTGATCATGACGACATGGGGTAAATAGTACAGAGGCCCAAGCCGTCCACAAATGAATAGGCGTTTTATGGCAAATTTACGGCTTTCTATGGACTACACCTGAACGAAACTGTTCGATAAATCCCTTCTCTGTGTTCACCGATCTGCCGCGTTGCTGGTCACTGCAAATAGCATCTCGCGAAGCTCTTCGTTTCCCCTGGTGGCAACCCCTCTTTCGTTTAAGTCGTCCGCGTCATGGTATCCCCACGACAGCAGCTACCCACCGATCAGATACACTAGACGGTTGGCAGCCGCAGCAGGCGCCTCTCCTTGGACCTGAATCACGTCGCCAGATCCAATGTAGAGTAAGACAAAGAAACCACCCAGACGAAGCTCTAACCCATTTCCTCGCAAACGGCATATCCGATATGACGCTGTCTTACAGTGTTACCTAAGCCAACCCAAATTCATCTCAAGTGATTGGCCATGAAACCCCCCGTAGAATGAGCAACCGGAGCTCCGATCGACCTTGCATCTTATCTTGCTCTTTTCCTTCATTGTTGTTGCTGCTGTTGATATTGTGATTGCTTATCAATTGGAAATTTCGAAGAAAAACAAGAAACACAAGATGCCTCTCCGCGGACCCGTACCGGTTAAATTGTGCACCAAGGAGAACACCGAGAAGCTCGTCCTTGGCCCGATGACGATCTACATCTTCGAGGACGGGACCAACACGGACAACCGCATCGGGTGCATGACGCTGGAGCTGCCGCCGGGACAGTCGGGACCGCCCATGCATTGGCACCGGTTCCACGACGAGTGCTTCTACATCTCTAAGGGTATGTTCTCGCGTCTGTTGTGAGGAGTGAACAGCGTATTGACTCTCTCTAGGGACGGTGCGGTTCACGACGCCTGACGGGGACCTCGATGCTAAGGAGGGTGAGTTGATGGTGGTCCCGCCAAGGGCCATTCATACGTTTGTGAACCCGTCGGAGACCGAGCCTGCTGAGTTCTTCATGACCTCTACCCCTGGTACGTGTTCTCCCCAAATGATGACCACCGCGGACGCAGGGCTGACTTTCGGGCAGGATATTACATGGACTGTGAGTACTGCAAGCAAGCTTGAGAAGTGGAGGAGCTGGTGCTGATTTGACAGACTTCCGGATGATGGGCAAGAACGTCGAGGCGGGGAAGAAGCTGAACCGGGAGGACACGAAGCACTTGATGTCGCTGTTCGGCACGTTTCCGCCGGACGTGGAGTCGGAGCCATGATGGTGTAGAGATCACAAATAATTGTGACTTTTTTCCGATAGTCGTCTCGATAATTCATTTTCTTAATCGCTGCGACCTTCGTCTCCCCGTGTCCACCGGTTCGTCCGGCTTCTCCTCCGTTTTAGGGGGCGGAGCTTTGGCTTTCTGAGCTTGAACCTTTGAACCCCGCGATTTCTTGCTGGGCGCTGCGGCGGCGGTAACTGGCTCGGGAGACTCCTCCTTTACCTCCTCCTTCACCCTCTTCGAAACCTTGGCCTTTTTGCTGGGTTTCTCCTCAGCTTCGGCATCCTTCGCTGCCCGTTTCGCTTTCGGTTTAGCCTTCGCCTCCTCTCCGCCGTCCAGCGGTTCCTCCTTCGCCGAGGCTGGTACCCGTCCCGTCTTCTTCTGCCGCGCCGGCGCGTAACAACTCGTCCGCCCGCCCACCGTGATGAAGGCGAGCTTCTCCCCGTTCGGCAGCGCGGTCGAGGCGCCCTTGCTCCCCTTGCCCCAGCGATGGTTAAAAAGCCAATCACCGGGGAACTCGTCCGAGTCGCCGAGCTTGTCGACGGCCGTCTGGCAGACGTATCGGATGGCCTCGTACAGTGTGCGGATCTCCCCCTCGCTGAAGTCGTCGCAGTACTGCTCCGGGTGCAGCTTAGACTGGTAGAGGACCTCGTCCGCGACCCAGTTCCCGATGCCGCTGATGTGGGTCTGGTCGAGGAGCAGGGCCTTGACGGGGACGTGCCGGGACTGCATCTTCTGCTTGAGGTAGTCCTCCGTGAAGACGTCGACGTCGACGACGGGGTCCGGGCCGTTCTCCTTCAGGGGCGAATGGTTGCGGATGTCCTCGCCGGGGCAGTCGACGAGTCTGATGCGGCCGAACCTGCGGGGGTCCGTGAACGCGGCTTGAACTGTCGGGTTGCCTTCTGTTTCGATCTGGAACTTCCAGTATTTGGGAGGCCAGACGTCTGCTTCGCCCTCCTTCATCTTCTTGTAGTAGTTGGTATATGCGGTCTTGTCACCTTTGATGTGGATCCATCCTAGAACACGTTGGTCAGAGCAGACGCATCGTGGGGTCGAAACACTGCTCACCCGTCATTCCCAAGTGCATCACAGCATGAGGCGGTTTGTCAAAGGTTATCCTGGTGGCGTGAGTTGGAGGCGTCTTGGGTTGGAGAAGGACGCTCACCAAAAGTACTTGCCCTGGCTTCCAACGGAGACCACCTTCTTCCCTTTCACGGCTTTTTCAAACGCAGGGCCGCTGGTTCCAACTTTTCCGAAGACATTGGCATCATCGGGGGCAGAGACCTTGGCAATCTTCTTGCCCAGGAGATGCAAGCGCAGGAAGTGCACGCACCGGGCGACTGGTGGAAGTCAGTGACTACGTGCTACGCATATGCGTCTAGGACCTCACCTTCAGCAATTTCAGGCATTTTGTCCAAACACGCTCACGAACAAATCAATCGCTGACTCCAAGAGCAGTTCTCCGTGAATCCAAGCGATGACGCGACGACATCACCGGCGGCCCACCCAAGGGGACGCGAGCTCTACGCGAGGCACGTGACCTGACCCAGCTACAGTGGGTCGTGGCCGACCGCCGGCCGAATTTTTCCCAGGTGCCCCCACATTGAAGGCTCTCTCCATCCGCCTTTTAAAAAATCTTCCTCGTCAATCCTTCCACCTCACGATCTTTCTTCACTACCAAAATCACCAACGGCTTCGTAGCCTCGCATGGTCCGGTAAGTTCTCTCGCGCGCAGCGAAGATTTTATTTCTCTCTCTCTCTCCCTCTCCATCCTGATGACAACCAAACACCGCAAACTAGAGTCTTTGACCTCTCGGAATGAAAACTCTGTTTTACACGTCAGTCTGAACGGCTTCGACAATTTCGTCTATTCTACCACGAGTCTACAGCTTCTCCCAAGCATGACGCTGACTCAACACAGGCTTTTGCAGATTTGCTTCTGACGCCGGCGCCACCGCGACTACGTCGTCTTCTCGAGATGGCTGTCTGAATGGTAAGCTTTGCGCTCTTTCCTTCCCATCCCCCGAGAACCTGATGATTCATTTTTCATACGTTTGTATGGTTGGAATTACCGGCTGAAAATCATTGACGATAACAACTGGCTGTTTCTGACTGTTCTCCCATCAACATCTTGTCTTCTGTCGTGTCTTGATTGGACTAGTCGCTAACATTGACAACCAGGCCATCTCCAGCTTCCTACCGACAAGGTACATACACTCCCTTCCCACTTCACCACCCGTCCATCATCGCCTGATGAAACGGCACTGGGCTCCGAGAGTACCCAAAAGGGACTCGCTACATGAGCAGACAAGCCACTTTGCGGCAGGCCTAGAAAACCTCGCCCACTGATCCTTCGATCCGGACACTCAACTTGTCGGGCCACGACTTTGCACAGCAGAGGCTGACCAGCAACAGTGTCGTTTTGTTTCTTGAATCATCAGTTGCCCTTGAAAGCAGCATGGTTCTGGTGTTGTCATGGTAGGTCGCAGTTTTTTTCTTCATCTCCCCCATGCCTTCCTGATGAACACCTAGATGACGAGTCTGATTTGGATCTTCCAATGCGGATAACTTTTTACCTTTACCATTCATGCAACACTGAATTGGCACTTCACACTACATTATTTTGATACGATGTGGCATGAACATCGCTGACCGTCTCTAGATCTCACAGCATCGTGATCAGCACCGGAACCTGCTTGGTTCAGTGGTACGTTCTCACAGCTCTCTTTCCCTTCCGCAGCCACCCGGCTCCGTTCTCCTGATGAACGATAAAACAAAAGACAAGCATATGTCAGAGCCTAACGGCGAAGCTGAGAAACGTTGACCACAAGTCATTCTGATCAGACATCTCACATGCAACATCTTTGAATCTCCAAGATGGCAAGGTGGCTAATAATTATCAGAACAGTGGACAACCGTGCTTGACTAACCGTCATTCATCACGCTCTCACTTGGTAAGCTCTTTTTCTCTCTCTCTCTTGCTCTTCCTGATGCATCCCCACAGCGTCTCATATGATGATCATAAAATTTTCACGACGGTCTCCATAGCCATATGCTTTGATGATAATGCCTTTGACAAGGCCCCATACTGATTTTTGACGCTTCTATCACTGTTTTCAAGAATCGTGTTTTGTTTACAGCTGCTAACTGAAGTCGTCCAGGTCCTGATCCTTGTGGGTTGATGAGTTCTTTTCATTGTGTCCATCGCCTACGTGCGGTGGTATGAAGAAGAGACAAACTGTGTCCGAGTTTGGCAGGGAGCGTTATGATGTAACATCTTGGAATTCCTCGATGCCCCTCTCTGTCCCATATCTAAGATGTCTACAGATGAGGCCGTTTTCGCGACTGGAATGTCCAAGTCAGCACCTGAATCAACCTACCACGAGCTGTACGCCAGCCCTTGGTCAGGTAGTCAGACGTCCCTGACAGGGATGTTGCAGTCGGGTCACTCACTGCTCGAAACAAATGAAGATACAAGTCATTATTAGCTATCATTATGGGTATCATTAAGTATCAGCAAAGCTGCCAGAACAACTGCGCGCCCTTTTGTTTTATCCAAGTCCAAACGCCATACCGGGCACCGACCGCATCAAGTGCCGTTCCCATCTGTCCTAGTCTATATTCCGGTACATTGCATGTACAAATCTTGCTGTTGTTGTGTTCTCAAATGCTCAGCACCACGACGCCCGCGAAGGCGGCCACCAACGCGGCGAACGAGTCTCGGGGGTTGTTTGTGAGGCCGCCACTCTTGGGCGTCGATGTTGCCGTGAAGACGCCCGTCAGGACCGTGGTCGAAGACGAAGCCGCGGGCTGGGTCGAGGTCGGCGCCTGCGTTGCCAGAGGCCAGTCGCTGGACGCGCTGTACAGCACGCCGTTGATGACGGTGCCCTCGCCCTGCTGGAGCATCTTGACCTGGTCGTCGCTGCACGAGGACTGCATGTAGCGCAGCCAGCAGGTCGGCTCCGGCGAGTCCGGCAGCTTGTCCGTGTGCGTGGCGTGAGCGTCTCCCGTCGTGTTGTACTTGGACAAGTCGACCGCATCACCTGTCGAGACGGACGTGCCGAGGATAACGCGGGCGAAGACCTGGAACGCAGTCTCCGGCTGGTAGGCCGGGACCGAGTGGCCCGCTTGGTAAATGCGACTGAAGGACAGGTTCCCGAACTGCCGGACGACGCCGCCGATGTAGGAGTCGTTAACGATGATGGGCGCGTAGCCGGCGGAGCTGAACTTCTGCCCATACGTGGTCCCGGCCTGCCACGCGAGGTTGACGGAGGCGGCCTCTCCGCCCAGCCAGTTGCAGATGTAGTCGCGGTCGCCGTATATCAGAGCAACGCGGATGCCGCGCTCGAGGAGGCCAGCCAGCTTCGGGATGATGGGTCCTCGCATGTAATCGCCGGTGGAGTCGAAATTCGAGAGGACTGCCTGGCTGGTCATGGTGAAGTTCACCACGGACCCGATTGCTTGCTGGAAGCCTGCCGTGTTGACGTACTCGAGGTAGGTGTTCGGCGGGAACGAGTCGGGGTTCTTGCGCGCAATGTCGTACCAGCTCCTCCCAGCCTCCGCGTACGGCGACATGACGTTTTGGTTGCAAGTGTCGTAGGCCTGAGAGCACAACTCGTTGACCTCTCTCACTGTGCCGGTGTTGTTGGCGTCATAAACGGAGTTTGCGGTGCGGCATTGTCGAATACGGTCCAGGCAGCCGCCGGTGGTGTACAGACTGCCGTTGGCGAGGTTCAGACGGACGTCGCTCATGGCTTTGAAACCATACGTGTTGTTGTTCGCCATGGCTGGGTAGTACGGCGCCTGGACCTGATCGTCGATGCAGCCGTTGACGATACCGAGAGAGGTGAGGTGGATTTCAAGCGTCGTGTTGGTGGAGAGCGTGCCGTTCTCGCGCTTCTCGTTCTGTCGTTCCCAGACGTCAGAGAAGACCGGCCCGTACTTTCCACCGTAGCTCTCCGCAAACAGGTTGATGCCAAGCGCGCTGTTGTTGGGCGGATTGTACTGAGGGAATGCGCCCAAGAAGCCCTGCAACATATGCCATATCGCCATGGCCGCCGTCTCAGTGGTGTTGGCCGTGTTGTTCGTGTTCAGCGAGCTGAAGGTGCCGTTGAGGAACGTCGCGGGGAGCTGTCCTTGTGGCACTGGCTGCGGCGGGGTGGACTGGTTGGCGTTAAACAGGTCCATTGAGCCATTGGTCGCGATGTCGTAGGAGAAACCAACTTGGTTGGGCTAGAAGGTCAGCATGACGGCGCCATACATCAGAGCTGTCGAGACCTACCTGGTCGATGAACAGCATGTTGGAAGCGCGGTCCCAGCCCCATTCCCTCGCAACAGTATCGTACTGATCCAATCCCTTCTCGACAACCTCGCAAGGACCGACCTCGGTGAACATTCCAAACAGCGAGCTGACACCAGGCCCTCCATTGAGCCAGATAGTCATTGTGTCTGTCGGTTCGCGTGCGCCGACAAACCAAAAGAACATGTTGGCCGGGAACGGGCCCGGAACGTTGACCCATCCCGAGTACTGCTGCTGGTTCGCGTAGGCCGTTTTGCATGCGCCTGTCGGGATCTTGTAGCTGACGGTGACGTTGCCGTCTACGGGCGAGGTGATGGTGGTGAGATTGACATTGGTCGAAGGAAACTGGGCGCCGACGAAGCCGCAGAGCAGGCTGCCGAGGGCGAGGGAACGAATGAAGCGCATGTTGAGATGTCCCGCATCGTGCCTTGCGCGCATAGTAGCCTCTACAATGGCCGGGGGGTGGCACTGTCGGGGACGTAGAGATGCTTTCAAAAGGCCAACGTCGAGACGTGGGAAAAGAGAGAAGTGACGCAGCGCAGCACAATGTTGAGAGCTGCGAGGAATGTCGAGGTTTTGAAGGTTCGCCCGTAGCGGCTTGGCAGACGTGAGCCCCCTGCATTTAGCGGCCCTTTGTTGGTGCAACGGGCGCCCACAGTGCCTTACGGAGCCCCGAACACCTAAATTAGCTGGCTGCCCCGGGTACCTCTCGCCAGTCCAGGGCTCCAGGCCGACACGCGGCCCGCGGGGAGTTTCTTGCGGATCGACGATGTTCCAGGGCGTCTGGGGGAGGAACAGTGGCCGGGGTCTAGGGGAGACGCTGATGTGAGAGGAAGACGTAGGAGCTGAGTCGTGTCGTTACCCAACCACCATCCTCGTGCAACACAATGGAACCACGCCATAACCTGCCCTGCATTGCATCCTGCAGCTCATCAGCAACCATCCTGGAAGTCCCGTATCCTGCCGCCTTACCCGCTGCGTTGCCGGGCGTTCATCTCAAGTACACGAACGAGAAAAAACAGGTTGATTCGAAACTTTATTGGGCGATCAATTCTGCGGATTACTGGAGCCATTGGAGACTTTGGTTTAAATGAAAGGATCACTTTGACGTCTGTCAGCCGTCAAACTAATCCGATCCCTCAAAACTCAATTGCCGGCATCGGATGACGCGACGACTTTTGGGGTCATTGAGTTGCCGAGTCGTCTTCTGCAGGGAGATATCGGTATTCCGACTTGCAGGCGCATCCGCCCGCGAGGACGCCGCTCTAACAATTCATTCAGTGGTTTTACGGGCTTCACTCCTTTCACTCAAACATGGGGAAAGAGAACACAAGAGTACTCCGAAGTTATTGGAGAGGAATGCAACTCCTTCGACCACCACACAAACATTCCAGATCAACGGACAATGCTGTTATCACAGATCTGGGTCGTCTAATTGTCTCCGATTGACCCAACTGGATGGAATTTGAGTATGCAGCACAATGGCGCGAGCAACCGTCGACGAATGCTGGTCCAAAGAGGTAAGGTCGGTCAAGAACTATCGCCAACGGCGCAAATCCGCCAGTAGCTGGTGCGGCTGAGCCGGTCGGCCAGGGGTAAAAGTCGACAGGAAGCCTAGATCAAAACAAGCTCTCATATTCAAAAATGTTCTGATGTTCGAACATTATTGACATTCACGATCTGCCCCGCGTGTTGTCCATCATCAGTTGATCCCGGAACCCCGCCCGGCACAATGTCCGACTCCGGCACATCCTCAGCGGACATCATCACTTACATCGGCGTACCCCTGGCCGTTCTCGGCGTTCTCCCGATTCTGTACAACACCGTAGCCACCCTCGCCGCCCGCTCGCGCATCTTGCGCATGCTCCGTCATGCCAGACTGACCGCCCTCACCCGCTCGGACGTTGTCAACCGTGTCATTGAGGTCGACCTCCCTCGGTATGCCGTCACTCCATGGGACCGGTTCGACCATCGCGAGGAGTACTGGGCTCTGTCCCGGCACCCGTCATCCATCCCGGGCGGTAGTTGGACGACCTTCAACTGGCGCACGAATACCATTGGCCTGAAGACTCAGCGTGTCGAATATGCGGACCAGCTGCGGCAGCCCCAAGTCGATGTCACTTTTGATGAGTTGATCTGCTACCTCCTAGACCTCGGTGCCGTGCCTGATCCTCACGGTTGGAGGTTACTCAGGAGTACCGGCCTATGGACCCCAGTTGGATGTACTCTGATGAAGAGCCCCGATGATCAACATAAAGCTCTCACCGTCGCGCCGCTTAACGACTCAGACGGCCATCTGTCACTGGCAGTAACTTGGTCTTCCCACTGGACCACCAGAAGCCATGAGTCTTTACCTCCCTACTGGGTCCGCCTTCCGCCTCCTCCAGCACTCGAAAACCAGGACGAGGAACCCAAAGATACGATCACCGAAGAATCAGACACCGCATCAGACACCAAGAAAGTCCCCTCCCCAACGTCCTCCGTCGACTCCATCTCCCGCGCCGTCACCACCAACGCCCAGAAGCCCATAGCCTGCAAGATATCCAGCCACGGCCTCATCAGCGCCATCCCCGAAGACGAGGACCACCCCACCACAAGCCTCTACATCGACCACGTCCGCGTCCGCCCCGGCTCCTCCACGGGCGTCTGGTTCGCCAGCGCCGCCACCGCCTACGGCACCTCCAGCACCACCATGCTCTGGAACTACCGCATCCCGGACGACATCCTCACCTTCGCCCGCGCCTCCTCCGTCCCCTGCGGCGTTCTCGAGCTCCTCGGCATCGTCGACGACTCCCAGACGCCCGAATGGGCCTCCAAGAACGACGATATGAGAGACCACATGGATCTGATGAGCCGCCGCATGCGCGAGCAGCAGAGCGCCGTCCAGGCTGAGTTGCGCATGAGTCCCGCTGACCGCGAGAACGCCATACGGGCACGCATGCGGAAGGAGACAGACCAGCGTCTCGACGATCGTGAGTCCCGACTTTCTCTTGCCATCATTCAAGGTTGCTAACGAAACTCTCAAGTCCGAGATAGGATGCGCCGCGACGCCCAGCGCAGGGAAACCCGAACCCACGAGGCGATGCAGTCCCCGAAATGGGACGCCGCCCTCGTGGCCTCCCACAGCCTCCGCTGGCTGCAGCACCACGGCCACGTCTCCTCGGACCCCATCAGCGGCTCGCTGCGCGCCGTCGCCGCGGGGCTGCTGCACCGGATGATCCTGGACGGGGTGTTCGCGGGCGAGATGGGTGCCGTGCTGGACCAGTGGAAGACATGGGCCGAAAACGGCGGGATGCGCAAGTCGGATTACGAGAGGCTGCGGGAGGGCCCGAAGAACTTTGCGCTGGCGAGCTTGTTGGTCGCGGTGATTAAGGACGCGGGAGGGGCGACGGAGGGGACTTTGAGCATGGATTTGCAGGAGTGTCTGCGCATGTGGCGGCAGGTAAGGTTAGGATGACGAACATTATGATTACACCTCTCGTTGGTGCTTGTGTTAAAATCGAATCTTGAAAGCCACATGAGAATTACTGTCTACTATGTATAAGCCATTCCTACGCCAGTAGGTTACTTGCCATACCCGTCCTATTCAAACAGAATACCGAACTCCATCGCTCTGGACAATAGCCTCCCTTGTCCTCCAAGTAAAATGGATGCAATTTCACAACTCATCATCCTGCTCTGAATCATAGATGATGTCCTCCCCCTCATCCTCCCGCAGCAGACTCTCCGGCAGCATCTGGCTCTTAGACAGCAGCTGAGACGAGTCTAGGTTGAAAGTGCCGGGTGGCAGACGAATCGGGCTGTCGTCCTCCTCGTCCACAAAGATCGGCATGCTCGAGTCATTATTTGCTGGCCGCGGCACTGATCTGGCCGGCGACAGGGACGGACTCGAGGACTGGCTGACTGTAGTCGCCTGTGACGGCCGGACCGCGCGTCTGGGCGTGGGGTTCGGCGGCCGGCTGAACGGGGTCGGAGGTAAGGCGGGCTTGGGGAAGAGTTCCGTGCCGAACGCCCGCTTCTGGTTGCGAGTGGGTGTCTGGCTTGAGGGCACGAGAATGTCGGCCTCGGACGAGAGCAGGGTCGAGTGCTCGATGTCGCTCCGGATCTGGTCGGCCAGCTCTTGGGAGACGGTGCGAGTGATGGAGGTCTGCGACGCCTGCTTCCTGGCAACCTCCGGCTCCGATTCGAACTCTTCCTGATTCTCTCCTTGCAATTCATCTTCCTCGTCCTCGCCGAATATGGAACATCGCAGATTCGCCATCAAGTGACCCACAACCGCCGGCGGCACGTAGTTGTATTTCTGCGGCGGGCCGTGAAGCCACCCGTTCTCGATCATTTCCGGCAGAGGACTGGGGTCGTTCAGCTCGTAGACCTCGTACAGGCGGTACGCGAATTTGGCGCCGGGCGTCTTGAGCTGGTTGAATTCGGCGTTGCCGATCCCGTCGCCCTCGACCTCGCCGGGCACCTTCGCCTCGCTGATGCACGCCATGTACTGCAGCTGCGCGACCGGCTTGGTGATGTACAGCCACATGCGCGAGACCGTGTTTGGGATCTTGTAGGCGCGGAACTCGTGGTTCTTTGTACCGTCGACGATGTTCTGCATGTGATCTGGGTGTATGGAAATGAAGATGTCGGATCGGTCTGTCTGAGGTGCCATGGCACGGATGACGTCTAGAGAGATGCGCTGACTCTCAAGACCTTGCGTGTGAGGTGTCTTGGGCGTTTCTTCGACGTCCTTGCCTTTGCCTTTCGGCCTCGGCGTTCTTTGGCTTTGAGTCGGAGTTTCAGAGATCGATTCCTCGGTTGTCTCCTCCTGAGGAACACTGGAGTCGCTGTGCCGAGTCGGCTCTGGGGAAGAGGTGATGACCTCCACAGTCTCCCTGCGTTCTGAATCGGATAGACCGCGGGACAACTTGGGCAAAACAAAAGGTTTCGACAGGATCACCGTTGCCTCTTCTTCTTCCTCCTCACTGGTAGCAGGGGTGACGTTCTCCTTATCAGAGTCACCTTCCTCTCCAGGGGATGGTTCCTTGGTGCCTGCCTGTTCCGACGAAGTAAGAAGCTGGTCCATCTGGAACTGAGTCTCTTCGCCAACGGCATCGTAGCCCTCAGCCTCCTCATCCAGTATGTCAAGTGCATCTGAGTCATCATCAGAGTCGGCGATCTCGCGTAGAGGTGATCTTGGCCGCCGTTTAGGAGACGGGCTGACTTCCCGCGCATTCTCCTCGTTTTCCTCGTTTTCTTCGTCCTCTGTCTCTTCCTCGTCCACAGGCACAAGACTAGCCGATGGGTGTGGCGTAATGAAGCGCACGTTCTTCGCCGGCTGCAGTGGAGCTCTCAGAGGAGACGAACGCTGAGTTGGGCTCTGGCTGCCGACCGTCGCATAAGAATCTTGAATCGTCAGAGTTCGCGGGCGTTTGACAGAGCCAGTGAGCTTGATTGGCGTGTTGGTGTTCGTAGACTTGTCCTTCAAGGGAGACCTTTTGGGGGCAGGGCTATATCTTGCCAGCATTGGTGTAAGGGGGCTACCCTGAGAGGATGGAATCTCAAAAACTGTCCGCTTGTTTGTGGGCGTTTGCGGCACGACAGACGGCGTCCTGCTGGGTGGCTTCTTTCCTGGGACGAGGTTCTCCTTATCATTCGCCGAAGGGAGAACAGGCTTTTCTGGTTCCTCGTCGGATGGCTGGAACTGCCAAATGTCATCCTCCTCCTCTGGCGACTTCTCAGCCGATCTCCTTGACATCTGGGTCAACGTCTGCGTGTGGAAAGAAGAGCTCGGGGTCGGCTCGTCGCCCGTCGTCTTTCTCCTCTTCTTCTTGCGCGCTGGCTCCTCTTCCTCTTCATCGTCGGATAGCGCGATGCGTATCGGCGACGAGCGCGTAGATTCGTACATTTGGGTCAATGTCTTTTGCTTGTGGCTAGTGACTCGAGCAGTCGGTTTACGGGCGCTATACGTGCGCACTTCAGTCTTTCGATGCGGGAACTTGACCTGCTTGGGAGGTCTGCTGGACTTGTAGACTCGGTCAGGAGGGGCAGCAACGGGCCGGACCCCGCCGGAGCGAGTTTGTGGTGGCATGTTGGGCACAATCGGGATCGTCAGGACTGAAGCGTGAAAGCTGAGAGACTCGATCGCCGTCCGTGTAATGTCAACGATATCTTGGACTCGCAGGGGGGAGATCAGCCCGCGGAGTGTATGCTGACTAGTCCCTGTGCGGACATTGAGGTCGCGTCGCGTGAAATCGATTTACGCGTGGTGGCGCCGTGGTAGTGACATCACATGCAACTACCGGGGTGCTCGGGTCGAGGGGCATTTCTCTAATTGCATCACAGACGCACCAATATTTAACGACGGCAGCCTGGGGACAAAAAGGTAGCAGATTATTTTTCCCATGTCAGAGTTATCAGAATCACAACCAGAGGGGACTCGCATGGTTTTGATGTTCTTGTATTAAGACCTATCAATTTGTAGTAGTGACAGCCTTGTGTTCCATTTAGACTATCAACTGATCTCATGAATTGTCAATTTCAGAGGGTATCCTTCAACGCCAAGATGACCAAATATACAACCGGTACGCCTGTCTGCGTTACTCTTTCCAAAATTCCGAGGCCGAGCCTTTCTCTGGAATAATGTCATGTTATTGCAAGTCCTTGGAGCATGCTCATGACACCATTCCGATACACCTTCTTTTTGGTGTGTTGCCTAGTTGTTGTCGAGAATCTTCTTCCGAGTGATACGGTTGAGAAAACGTCTGAGCTTGGAGGCAGTCTTGTTTGTTGAAGCGATTGAGGCGGAGGCTGGGGTGACGGGCTTGGACTGTGCCTGATAGGCTGCCTCGATGTAGTCGTCGATGAAGTCCTCGTAGTGGACATCGTTGATCGTAGCATCGCAAATGTGCTGGTGATAGTAGAGAGTCTTTGCCTCGTATCTGAGCTCTTGGAGCTTGGCTGCAGAGAAGCAAGGCTCAGCGAGGTAGAGGGTGATCGAAGCCATTTCGTTGAGGTGAGGTGAATTTGAAGCTGAATTGGTGTTGATAGGCGACTGAACCGATGACGAGGCTATGAATAGCAAGTGAGATGAAGTGCAGAGAAATGGTGTGAATGGAAACGCAGAATCATGACAGAAACACCGGGATCTGGGCGAGCTTTATACTATTGAGAGGATAAGGTTCGTGAGAATTTGGTTGCACAATCACTCGCGGAGCTTTGGGTGTTGCCCGACTATGAGTCAATGGAGATAGACAGGTATGATAATACCAAGGGCTGTACAGCTCAGTGTTGGGGGTTTCCCGGTGGTCTCAGTGGTAGACGTTGGGTGTGCCAATGGCAACAACACAAGGTTGAGATTCCGGAGATAGTTGCTTAGTGGTTAGCCTTGCCCACGGCGAACTCAAATCACACCATGGAACGAGCGATGCAACGCGAAATGGTTGTACAAAAGGACTCTAGCGCGGTCAGTTATATACACATCAGGACCTTCTGATTTATTTCTTGGGCTCCTCCTTCTTCTCCTCAGGCTTCGGCGTCGGCAGCTTGAAGGTATCGGGACGTCTGTCCGTGCCAGCTCCAACCTGCTCCCAAGAGCTAGTGCCACCCTCGAAGTTGCGGAAAGCCTGGGTAAGCTCCAGAGGCTCGGTGACAATACGCTTCTTCTCCTCGTCATATCTGATCTCGGTGTAGCCAGTAAGGGGGAAATCCTTTCGCAACGGGTGGCCCTCGAAACCGTAGTCGGTCATGATTCTGCGCAGATCGGGGTGGTCGGTGAAGTAGACACCAAAAAGATCGTAGACCTCACGCTCGTACCAGTTGGCGCCGTCGAAGAGAGGGGTGACGCTGGGCACGGGCGAGGCTTCGTCGGCGTAGGTCTTGACGCGGATGCGGGCGTTGTGGCGGACGCTGAGGAGGTTGTAGACGACCTCGAATCGCTGGTCTCGGGTGGGGTAGTCGGCGGCGGTAATGTCGCTGATCTGAGTGAACTCGGCCGAAGTGTTGTCTGGCAATTGTTAGATTACATCCATCGCATATCAGGACCAATTGGCTCTTACACTTCAAGAACGAGAAGACGGGGATGATTCCGGAGGGAGAGACGTAGATGGTGAGCTCGTCCTTCCAGACAGAGATCTGCTGAACGTACTTGGGCAGGCAGCCCATGATCCAGGATCCATACTTGTGCATGTTGTCGCCCTTGGACTCATACTTGTCGGCAGGGTTGACGAGGGGAGCCTTCAGGGTGCCGACAGGAGGGCGAGGAGCCTTCCTGATGTCCGCAACATCGGGCTGGCCGGTCGGGAAGCCGGCCAATTGAGGGATGGTGGTCGAGAAGCATCGGATCTCGGTAGGGCGGCAGTTGCGCAAGCCCGCCAGAGCCCTACTACGGTAGAGCCTCGTCGCCATTGTTGCGGTTGTTGCAATGCTGAGGGGGCTTGATGCCTCTGTGGGAGTTGATTGATGATGCTGTGCTCCTGCGATGCTTGGGGATTGAAAGAAGCTAGCCGACTTGGGCACGCCCGGTGTGGGCTTAGCGGGCCTGCTTGCTGCAAAACACCCGGTGCCTAAGGTAAGGTGCTTGAAGATGTTTTTTTATACAACCTAACCAAGGGCGCGGTTTTCTGGAAGGAACCAAAAAACTCAAACCTGAGAAGAAAAATCTTTCACGTCAACTTTTCTCCGTTTTATTTTTTTTAACCCTTTTGTGCCCTGGTTCACTCGACCGCACCCTCATCGCACCTTCTTCAGGTGGTTTTCAGACAGAGGGTGAGCCTAAACCCTGCTGACTTGCACTATTCTGAGCGGTTCTATTGGTTCAAGGGACGGTCTCAATCACAATCACGTGAGGCCGGCTTCGTCGACCCGCTTACCTAAGGCACTAACCCAGCGGGCGACCCATCCGAGAAAGGCTTTGGCTTCACTTGGCCGTATTGAACAACTTCCCTCTCCTTACCACCTCCACAGAAATCGTCACCTACCCTCCCGCAATACATCAATACCCTCCCCTACAGACTGTCGACACCATGGCGCCCCAAGATACCTTCATCGAGGAGGAGGAAGATACCTGGTATGTTTGCTCCCTGCTCTGCGCGCCTTGTCTTCGATAGCCACCTTGCCCCATTGGGTGGCTTCGCCTCAGCCTTCACCCGCATCACCACCCCAGGTGTCGCGATCCCACGGTCTGACGCGAATACCAAAAGCTTTGGTTTTTGAAGCCTCTTTCCAAGCTGGAAGTGGAGCGACGTCGCTGCGACCCTCGCTTCTACGTTACAGCTCTTTCACAATGTCGTGCAGTATCAGGAAGCTAACTTGTCTCCAGCCCGCTATGCATAGAAGAGTTCGACCTGTCAGATCGGAATTTCCGACCATGCCCCTGTGGCTACCAGGTACGCCGATCCGTCCCACGATGCCATCCGTTCTGCCTCCGCCGATCGCCGATCTCTGACTGTTTCATAGGTGTGCCAGTTCTGCTTTAACAACATCAAGAACAACATGAACGGCCTGTGTCCCGCGTGCCGCAGACCTTACGACGAGAAGACGATAGAGTGGAAAGTCGTCACTCAAGAAGAGTGCGTTCTCCTCTTCCAGATACAATGACACCACGCTGACACTATTTGCAGGGTCGCCCAGTTCAGAGCCAACATCCAGAAGAACCAGAAGAAGCGAGCTCAGGAACAAAGGCAAAAGGAGGCTCAGAAGCGCGAGGCTGAGAAGGAGAACCGCAAGAACCTCGTCGGCGTCCGGGTCGTTCAGAAGAATCTGGTTTACGTGACCGGCCTGACACCTACAGTTCGAGAGGACGAGCTGCTCAAGACGCTCCGCAAGCCGGAGTTCTTCGGTCAGTACGGCAACATCCAGAAAATTTCGATTAGCAATCGGAAGAGTCAAGACGGCCAAAACCAGTCACTCGGCATCTATGTGACGTTCGAGAAGAAGGAGGATGCGCAACGGTGCATCCAGGCTGTCAACGGCTCGCAGAACGGCGACCGCGTCCTCAGAGCCCAGCTCGGTACGACTAAGTACTGCTCGGCATGGCTGCGTCACGAGCAGTGCACCAACAGGCAGTGCATGTTCTTACATGAGCTCGGTGACGAAGAGGACAGCTACACTCGCCAGGACCTGTCATCGATGAACAGTATCAGCTCGCAGACGCAGCAAGCACGGCCAGTGGCGGGTGGATCATCAACCAGCGGTGGAAACAGCGCTGCCGGTCCTTCGCGGTCTGCATCTCGACAACAGAATACCCCTTCAGCACCCCCAGCGTCGCAACCCATGGTACGCACTTCGAGCAAGGAGGACTCCGAGAACGGTGGCGATGGCTCGGCGCTCCCGTCGTCGGCCAACTGGGCCAGAAACCCTCAACGCAGTCGGAGAGGAAGCCACGCCACGAGTGGCGCTGCCTCAAGCCCCGCAATTTCGACATCGCTCCCCGCAACCGCTGAGGCCGTCCCCGAGGCCGTCGAATCGCCGCCGAGAAGAGAGACCCCCGTGTCCACGGATAGCAAGGCATCCAAGCCGGCCAGTGGCGGCAGGAGCGTGTTCGGCCTGACCGAGACCACCTTGAAGGACATCCTGAGGATCATGAATGGATGCCCGTTCAGCTACCGCGTGCCTGACACGAATCAGATTGAGACGATTTACCCACCCATGTTCGACATCCGTGGCGGCGAGAAGAGAAGAGCGATGCGTGAGGAGGAGGAGTCGCGTCTCGGCGTTGAGGAGCAGCAGAGCGAGGCTCAAGAGCCCTCCGAGGGAGAGCCCGAAACCGGTGGTAGTCTCGCCCTTGGCGGTGAGCCCGAGGACCGCGATGCTGCCAGAGATTCAGGCTTCGAGCAGCGAAGACCCGGCACGCAGCCCCCCATTCAGCGGACCAACACCGACGGCCTCTTTGGCCCCGCGCTCGGCTCGGCCTTCGGTCAGGCCTCGGTGACTTCTGGCTCCGTCGCCGGCAGCCGTTCGATGACTCCCCAGCAGCAGTTGTTCATCCGCTCTCAGGGCACATTCGGTGATCACTTGCCTCCCGGCATCCCGACCGCTCAGCCTGCGGTTCAGCAACAGGGTGGCAACGGCCACAACAGACAGGGATCGAGGTTCAGCTTTGCTAACGACAGCGCGGGCACCTCCGCTTCGGTCAAGGTAGCCGCCAACCCTCGCATCATGGCACAGCAGACCGCCATGATGCCTTCGACCTTCCAGTCGCAGCCCGGCAGCCAGTATTACGCTTCGTCCATGCCGGGTCCGCCTCCGGGTCTCAAGTCGACGGGCACGCCACCAAGCATGTTTGGACAGGGTCACTCTTTCGGGGGCAGCTTTCCGTCAAAGGATTCCGCCGAGCTTCTTCAGACGTTGATTCGGGGTCGTGGAGCCAATGGACAGGGCCATGATGCTGGTAAGCGTGAGTACATGTTATCTTCTTTTTCTAATCAGTACCCATCCTCTACCTCCTCCACCCCAGCTCCTGCTTCGAATCTCCTGGCGTCGCTCTACGGTACCCAGCCCGGAGCATTCCAAGACTTCGGTCCCAAGCAGAAGAAGAAGGGGAAGAAGCACAGACATGCTAACACTTCCTCCTCTGGGGGAGGTGGCTTAGTTGATCTTGCGGACCCGAGTATCCTGCAAGCGAGAATGCAGCACCAGTCGCAGAGCAACGCCGGAGTCGGACAGGGACTGTTCGGTGGTCAGAGCCAAGGTGGGTACAACCCGAACATGATGTACAACACGCGTTTCCCGGGTGCCGGCTGGTGAGCCCGCCAGGAACGCGACTAGACGAAGGGCGGTGTTGGTCGTTCAAGGGATTTGTTTTACACTTCATGTATCATGAGAGGGGGGCGTCGCGGCATATCACAGGCGGGCGACCGTCCTCGAGGGACCGGGAAGAACCGCGCATTACACGCATTGATTCAGCGAGCATTGCGGAAAAACACATCAGGGCCGCTCAGGGGAGTGGCAAGGGCTGCATTTGGCGTCGTCTCGCGTTTCTTCTGGGCAAGGACCGACACTACAATCGTCCCGACATTATACCTCTTTTCTTTTGGACCCGCATGTCATGGTTTATGGGATCACGTCAGTCAGGCAAGCCATCATCGTCTTCCAATCGCCTAATGTACGTTAACTCACAGGCCATCCTCTGGTGACGAGGATGGCGGTGATATGAGGACAAATATAGCAAGCATCTTGCGCAAACACTTCGCTCGTTGTACCCCGCAAATCATCAAGGAAGACGATGATGGCTGCCGTGACTTGATCCTGTAAACTCGCACCGCATGTATATAAGTGCTCATGTTTCTGCGACGTTTCCTATCGTCTTTTCATCACTCCAGGGAACCTTGGCTAACTGGTTCCCTAGATGACGAGCAGCTCTCGATCGAAGAGACGGTCTTCTCAGTCGACGCCCTGGTCTCCGATGACCCTCTCCCGGCCTATGGTGGAGCGTCGATCACCGCTACCCCGACACCTCCGCCTGGTCTTGGACCTCAGCGCACAGCATCGCCGGCTATTAAGCAAGCACCAGTCCCGGTCGTTCCGTTGACGCCGAATGTACCCACGGGTCCGAAGGCGACGCCGACGATGGCCAACATCATCCGGACGGCTACACCCGACATCACGCCCCGCAAGAAGGCCCCAGGATCGGAGGCCAAGAAGAACATCAAGGCACTTGCCGTCGAAAGTGGTCTGTCCAAGGACATCGTGGCCCAGGCATCTCCGTCCAAGGGTAAGTCCGTCTTGCAGGAGGAGGACTTTCCGGCGCTCGCTGCGAGGGTCACCGCACAACGGCCTAGCACTCCGGCCAAGTCTGTCGCCTCGACTCCCAAGATTGCGCCGGCGAGCATCAAGAAGGCTCAGGCGGAACCTCCTGCTCCGGCTACCGAGCCCCCCAAGCCGACTCCCAAGCCAGTCGAGAAGAAGCCTGTTCCGGGCGTTTTGAACATTGCCGCAGCCACCAAGGCTGCCCAGACGAAGCCCGTGGAGTCCGCGAAGTCCGCAACGGCCGAGCATTCGGATTCGTCTGCCTTCCCGGCTCTGCCAACGCCCACTACCGCCGTTGCATCGCCGGTAGCCAGAGCTGCCCCCAAGACGTTGCGAGTCGTCCCAACCCCCAAGGTGGAGATGCCTCCCGCTTTGGCGTCTGGCGCTTTCTCCGCCGCCGCCAGAGCTGTTTCGTCTGCATCTGGTCGCCCCGGAACCCCTGCGAGCGAGATCATCAGCGACAGCGCGTCCATCGTATCTGCGTCCGTCTCTGCATCTCGCACAAGCTCGCCTCCTCCCACCAGGGTCGGCACCGCTCCTGTGCGTTCAACAACTAAAAGCCAACAGCGCAAACAACGCAAGGAGGCTCATAAGGAGCAGTCAGCCGTCGTTGCCGAGACAGTGAAGCAAGCCGAGCCCGAAGAGCAGGCCCCTATCATGGGCCGCAAGAAGAAGCAGAAGAAGGAGAAGCCGGTCAGCACAACCACCACAGCGGTGAAGAAGGCAGCGGAGCGTGTCGTCACACCCCCCGAGCCTCCGAAGAAGGAAGAGCCTCCTGCTCCGAAGCCTTTCGTTGAGAGAACGGTGGTGGAAGACTTGCCTACTCCCAAGGGCAGGTCGGCCAAGGCGGCTAAGAACGCTGCAAAGTCCGCCGCTCTCGAGGATCTATTCAAAGCCAGGGAGGCTACAGCAGTCTCGCCGCCCAACCCCCCCGCCTCGAGTGCGGTCGCCACAGCTGAGGAGTCTCAAGACATTGCCGAAAACCCCATGAGCCTGCCCGAAATGGTCTTTCAGGACCTCGTCAACTCCGGCTTGGCCCTCCCTGCCGAACTCCTCACTCTGCTCAAGACCTTTCCCGAGCAGAACACTCGCCCCGACCGCTCGATGGCCGCTGCGCAAGGAAACAACCCGCCCCCGTCTACTACGACCAAGGGCATCGTCAATGATGCTGACCATGCCGTTCTCCTGTCTGGAGAGCCGGTTCGCAAGGTGATTGAGGGTCAGCGTGTGCTCATCACCCCCAACGGCGATTGCCTTCGCAACTTGACCGAGGAAGAGGAGAACAAGTACCTTGAGCTGCAAAAGGTTGTCGCCGAGGCCAGTGAGCAGCCCGACAGCTTCGTCGCTCCCCGCCACCAGGCCCGCCCGGGTGGCTTCTCTCTCATCAAGGGTCGTGCCGTGCCCAACGGTCCTCCTTCTTACTTTCCCCCGTCCCCCAACGCTCAGAAGATGTTCTCTGACGACCCCGTGAACAAGATTCAGCGTGAGGAGGCCATCAGCTACATCAACCAATATGTCCTCCCTCGTCTGAACCTGGGCAACACGAACCTCTTCCCGGGCAGCTGGAAGTCGGCGCCCGGCGCGAAGGACGCCCTCTCCGCTCGTGAGACCGCCGCCGCTAGCCTTAACTCTCTGGCTCCGTACATCTATGGGCATGACGCTGCCGCGGGTGCTGGCATCTACTCCGCTGAGAGCGGCGGTTCTGGCAAAGACATCCCTGAGGACGAGACGCCGTTTGGAGGCCTCGACTCGCCGCAGCACAACGAAGCTGCCGTTAATGCTTCTGCGTCTGCTGCGTCTGCCGCTGCTGCTGCCGCCGCCCAGGCTCATGCTCAGCACAGCGCGCACCCCAGACTCCCTGGCACGCCGCTCAACAGCATGACTCTCATGAGCGTGGATGATGCTGAGGCCGCCCTTGCTCTCGCGCGTAAGGAGACCGAGAAGCTGGAGAAGAACCTCAACCAGGCCATCAAGCGCAACCGCAGACTGCTGCTCGGCGGCAGATGACTAGCCGTGGAGCTGGCGGGAATTGTGGAGAGAATCGTTTTGGTGACGGTCCAGACACTCGTTTTTGGGGTCGGAGTCGTCGGGACTGTGGTGGACATGTTAGCTGGCGCGGGAGGGCAGAGTTGGTGAAAATTTTCACCAGTAGCTGCTACTGCGCTTCATCAAAGGATATGAAGCATTGAGGATACAAAGAATCAGGGATACGACACGGGCTTTTGTGTAGCTGGAGGACACTCATTGGTTCACAGCGTTGAGTATTGGTACGATTGTGTTGGTTTTTGCTACGAGCATCATTGCCAAAGTAGCGTTTGTAAGAACATTTTGTATTCTACAAGGTACCTAGCGAGGACAGCCCTGGGTTTGGGGGTTGTCTTGGTCAAGGATGGGCGGCGTCCCAGCGAATTCACAAACTTAATGATAGTATTGATACCCATTCAGAAAGGTGCGTCCAGTTGTCTTCATCGTGAACTCCCTTTGACAGTGTTCCTTTGAGCCTTGGTTCACACATTCATTTAAGTAAGCACCTTTCAAATGCAGCAGTAGTTGGTCAAGTCGAATTCACAGACATGCTGTATGAGTTGGGTTTAATGCTTGAGGTGAATGCTTTAAATCAGGCAAAATTGCAAGTGCATACTTATACAAACGTCCACTTCCCTTGCCTGCCTGGGGTAGAATGCTAGGCGCAGCAAGGCAGTCTCGCGTCGTACAAGCCTCTGCAGGCAGAGGAGTGGTGGCCACGAGCATGATTGGGTGCCAGCCTGATCAGCCCAACCAGCCTGCACTGCCAACATCAATCCCCGCTTCCCCTCTTGACTCCTTCATGTCAGCTTCTCTGAATCAATCCATTCGACATCTTGCTAATGAGGGCAAAAGCAGCGGATGAGAACTGACTTCGACGCTTCAAACAGATTCGTAGACACTCGGAACCCTCGCGCGTTTCAAAAACTTGATTGCCACAATGGAAGCGATCGGGTTGACGGCCAGCCTAATCGCAATCCTGGAACTATGCGGCAAAACCATTCTCTACATCCAAACGGCCAAAGGCGGAAGTAAGCAGAAGGCCCAGTTGATGACCGAGATACAGTCTTTGCAGCTTGTCACCGGCCAACTTCACGATGTCTCCGATGACGATGGGTGGAAGAGGACGATGGAGATTCTCGCCGAACCCGGCGCGCCCCTGAAGCTGCTCGAAGAAACGCTGAGATCTCTGGTGCAGAAGCTAGGTTCAAACGCCGGCTTACGCCGTGGTCTCGATGTCGTTCTGTGGCCCTTTCAAGAGAAGGAAGTGAATAGCATACTCGCTATGATTGAGCGCCAGAAGGCATCTCTTTCCCTGGCCCTGGAAAACAACAGCAGGTCAGTCTTACCGGTGTGTAGCATGGATACGTAGATAGGCTTACTTCTTTGCAGGCTGTTACAGGACAGGATCGCGTCGCAAGTTAACAGCAACCACGACAGTCTGGAAGAACTCAAAACGATATGCGGCGGTCTACATGACGAGATCAATAGTAAGCAGGATTATCAGGTCTCGAAGGGGCGAACCGTTTGACTGACCATTCAACAGCGGTGAAGCGCAGCTTAGAGCAGTCCAGAGTGCGGGAGACACTCCAGTGGATGACCAAGCTGAACTTCGGGCCTCGACACGATACCATATTACAGTCATGGGACAGAAAATCAGGAACGGGCACGTGGATACTTCGTCATCCCTTGTTTATTGAATGGACGGCGAGCAAGACTACAGAAACCAAGCTCTGGTGTTATGGAATACGTACGTCAACGCCCTGAAACCGACGACGCTCTTTCTAACTAGTAATCGGTGCAGCTGGTGCCGGCAAATCTGTGATTGCGTAAGTAAGAGACGACGTTTGTGATGTAAAAATCTCACAATATCTCAGGGCAATCATATTCGATCACCTGAGGGAAAGCCTAAAGCCATCAAATCAATATGTTAGTGTGGCGACTTTGTATTGCGACCACGAACAACAAGCGGATCAGAATTTGGATGAACTTGAGCGCAGCATTCTTCACCGAGCTCTGGCCGACTGCGTAACGCTTCCAGCAGCCCTTCAAGATCTTCGAAACGAAACGAAAGATGGATTCTCTCCGTCACTGGTCAAACTTCACTCAGTCATCGCATCATCACCGGCCGCATCTCAGACTCTATTTGTCGTACTGGATGCTCTGGATGAGGCCAGCGAGATTGTACAGGATCAACTTGTTGACCGGATCTCAGCGCTCCCGTTCAGAGACGTGAGGGTTTTGTGCACGTCGCGTACATGGCCCAAGTTTGAGGAGACTTTCGCAGGTTCGCCACAGATCGAGGTCTCTGCATCCGACAACGATGTCGAACACTTCGTACTCAAGAAGATTGAGGACGTATCGAGATTGCGCAAATTCATGGGAGAAAGTACCACTCTCAGAGATCAAGTGGTTACCAAGGTCCTCGAAAAGGCCAAAGGAAGGTATGTTGAGACTTCAGTATCACAGAAGGTCAAGTTTGACACGAAGAAACTATAGCTTTCTCATGGCAAAGCACCACATGGACGAGCTTTCCTCCGCAAATACCCGGAAGCAGTTACTTAAAAAGCTTGAGAAGCTACCAGAAAAGATGCAAGATGCCTATGACCTTACTATGAAGAGAATACGACAGCAGCCCAGCTCCGACAAGACCTTAGCTGAGAGAACTCTATCGTTGGTCTTCGGTGCTCACACGCAACTCAATCTCTGGGAAATTCAGCACGCCCTAGCCACTTTGACTCTCTACAAATACGATAGGGACGATGAGGAGGATGAGCCAGACGGAATCGAGGAAGACGATCTGCCGAGCGCGGACACCATCGTCCAATGCTGCCAGGGGCTTCTGATTGTAGAATACGGAGACTCTGAATGGTTCTTTCCTGGTATCCGCGCTTCTCACTACACTGCTAGTGAGTATTTTCGTCAAACATACCGAGACTGTTTTCCGGATGGACAAGTGCTACTTGCCACGGCTTGCTGCTACTACTTGACGCTACCCAGCCTGCAGAATGCCTTCAAAGACAAACCACAGTTCGGTAAATTCCCGCCGGACTTCCCACTTGAGCCTTACGCTAGTGATCACTGGGGTGTTCACTTTTTTGAAGCTCGTAGCGAGTCACCGATTTCCTTGAGGAGCCATGTTGAGGGCGCATTGCAACATGGTTGGACGAGGTTGAAGGAACTCGCAGGGATGTCGAGGTACGATACAGAAACAGTACGCGATATCCTGGCGCCTTTTCGTGTCCTCCGGGTAATTGATCAGTGGGGAGGCGACGTCAACGCAGTTGACGGCAAAGGAGAAAGCCTACTGTACAGTGCTGTGGCCAATGGCGACATTTATGCTGCCAAATTCCTTCTCAAGCTACCAAGCCTCGAAATCGATCCCATGAGCCCTTACTTTGATCGGTTGCTGAAATTGGCCGTAAGAACTCTATGGGCAGATTTGATACAACATCTGGTCAAGGTCCTCGCTCTCGATAAAAGGCTGGTGCGGAGGAGGGACGGCGCCCTGTCGGAAAGACTGAGAAAGGTCCAGAACGACGTAATTGCGGAATTTCACAATCATTCAGTGGAAAAGCACGATTTCTTCAAAGTAGACGATCTTTTCGGGTTTTTCGATACAGTCTTGAGAACTCTGCAAAAGTTTGATCCTCAAGACGACAGAATGCTGCTCATCAACCTGATCTCGGCCCTCGATTATGTTGCTGAAGATCAATTTGAGCTTATTCGGTTTTTCTGCGATCATGATCTCCGTCTCAAAGCCACAGACGCCGATGGAAATAATATCCTACACCTGGCAGCTAAGCTTGTCCACGATGACGCTACGAGTTTCCTTCTGGAGCAAGGTCTCAGCCCGGACCTGGTCAACGTGCAAGGAAAGTCGCCTGCTCAGGTGGCAATTGATAACAACAACTTTCGTGTTTTCTTGCAGCTTCTCTCCGCGATGAGCGTCTCGGCCAGATGTCAACTGACCGACACAAGGCAGGCTGCAATTGCAAATTCGCATATAGAAAGGCCTGAAGACGACGGCTTCTCGATTCTTTTATCTGAAGCCAAGACAGGGCACTTTGGCTCGGCAATCGACGCAAGGAAAAGAACGGCCCTTATGTGGGTAGTCAGCGAGGGCAGACTCAATACAGCCGAAAAGCTGGAATGCATCAACTTGCTTTTGGACCTCGGCACAGACATCAGCTCGCAAGACGACAATGGCATGACTGCTCTGTCATATCTAACAGCCGGACCTTCTGCCTGGTCTATTAATCTCTACGACGAGCTACTTGCTGCTGGCGTAGACCAGAACGCACAAGACTGCAAGGCCATGGCACCGATTCACCATATAGTTTTTCAAAGACCATGGGTCCCAAGTGGCCAGCTGAGCTTAATTGTTGAACTTCTGCTCGACAAAGGCGCCAACGCTGGCGACAAAGATAGTTCTGGTATTTCTGCAGTCGGCCATCTTATTCATTCAGGGGGATATGCGGACGACGACGCGCTTGAAGCGGCGCAGATTCTGGCTAACGAATACGGCGAATTGGGTCCTACCTATCCTACCTTGGAAAACACCTTCGTCGCCAGTGATCAGAAAACCTCCAGGTGGGCGGAAGTCGATATCAAACCTACTCTTGCCACCCTGTGGCTTCTTCTCGGCAACGAGGCTCTGGACACGGTATCATTATTCGGGCTGAAGGTTGAAAACACCACTGGATATAAAGCCACGCTACGGTTGACTGAGCTAGTCAAGTCTGAGAAAGATGCTCTTGAGGAATGCTATCAATCTGATAAGCCGCTGGAGTGGCTCGGTCGGACTCAAATCGACAGAAGGATCAAAGAGGAGATCGGTGAGCTTCTCAATCTGGCAGGGATGGAGCTAACAAGTCCATCGAGTTACGAGGGGTCGGATACCAGTTCATGCGAATCGACTTGATGCTGCTGGGCACCTCGAAATGGCTGCTGGATATCTGCTGGGTAGAGCTGCCGTCTTGCATTTTCTTTTTGTTTAACGCACGCAGTTATTTTCAGTTCATCAGTTCATATGTCTAGAACATCAATACATTCTCATATTCAACATGCAAATCACACTGATCAGACCATCGGAACCAGAATATTTGACTGGGCCCCGAACTTGTCATCCCCGGCCGCGCCTGACACGACTGACAAGGTGGCGAGTCAAACTAGCATGACACAAAGCGAGTCCCAGCGAGTGAGAGGTCTGGAGATGAATATGCATTTAGATTTGCGCGGCAGGAAGGAGAACCGGTAGGCGGGCAGTCCTTTTGGGCAAGGGCGGCCGGGATGAGGTGAAGATACGGATTGATGGGCCGGGATCGACATACCATGGAAAGCCTCTGGTTTGTATTTGATGCTGATTATATGTATAGGTCAAGAATCACGAATCTATTAATCAGCTCAATCCAAGTAAGCATATGATAGGTTGTATGATGAAGAGCTTTTCCTCTCGTCACGTCTTTGGGCAAAGCATCCTCGAGGAAAGTCTCAACAGCCAACATGGACCATCACATCAAAAGCGACAGCAGCAAAGAAAAGCATCTGAAACATCCCTATTGTTGGCAAGAGCAAAAGAACTTTTCCTATGAGTACACTCTGAAAACTCCAAACCTGTCCACGGGATATCCTCCATCCTACCACTCAAGTCCAAAGGCCAATGCATTCCAAGGCAAGTTCTCGACTAAATTCATCGTCTTGTACAAAAGCCCGAGTCTTACCAGCCATGTTCCCATCATTCGTATTCTCATGATTCGTTGCAAGTCCATCTGTAGCAATAATCCGTGATCCCGATGGCGAAGCAGACCAAAACCTCAACGGCTCTGGTTCTCACTTGGCCTGACGACGCTTCTTGGGCTGAGGCTGCTCCTCCTCCTCCTCCTCCTCGGAGTCGCTCGAGATGTTGATGACAGGTCCCTGGCGCTTGGCGCCAGCAGTGCCAGGCTCGATCTTGGGAGCCACGGTCTTGGAAGCCGCAGCCTTGGGAGCAGCGGCCTTCTTGGTGGCCGGCTTCTTCTGCGCGTTGTTGGCACCGGCGTTGTTGGCAGGGGCGGGCTTCTTGTCCGCCTGGCCCTGGGCGATGTTGGGACGAACGGGGTTGGGGCGCGCAGCGGCGGCCTCATTGGGGTAGTACACGACATGGGTGCGCGCGGGAAGCTGCCAGATGGCCAGGCCTCCGAACATAGGACTCTGCTGATGACCCTCGATGGCTCTGAGAGCCGAGTCCCTGGCCAAGCGACCGGTCTGGTGGGCTCTGTTGCGGATGAAGGTGAGAATGTCGAGAGGGGGGTTCGCCGGGGCGCTGCCGTGGATCTTGAGCTGCTCGGCCCAGTCGAAGATGATCTTCCAGGCTCTCCAGCGGCAGGCGGCATGGTCCTCGATGATGAAGGGGGTGACGGTCTCCTGAATCCTCTGGGCGGGGTAGAGGTCGATCTTGATGACAGGGGGGTAGCGCTTGGAGGTGACGTGGACTCCGAGGTAGTGGAAGACGAGGCTGGCGTTGTTGTCGACGTGAACGCGGGTGTCCATGTTGGGAGGCAGGGGGATCTCCCAGGGGCCGCAGCCGGGGAGCTTGGGAGCCTCGACGGTGGCGCCGTCAAGGGTGAGACGGGTCCAGTAGTCGTAGGTTCTGGCGATGCGCGGCAGAGTAAGGGGCTGTCTCTGAACATTGGAGTAGTTCAGGATAGGGCCAGCAACAGGGTTAATAGCAGGAGGACCGTTGGCGTTCTGGGCGGGCTCATCGGGAGGAGTAGGCATAGGAGCGTCCATGTGAGCAGGGCGTCTGTAACGAGGAAAGCCATCCGTGGCGGCACCGATTCCAGTGGCAGGAGCCGGGATCGCAAGAGACGCGGAGGCACGAGCAGCAGCGCCATGAGCAGCAGCGCCACCAGCGATAGAGACAGTAGCCGCGGAGGCAGGAGTAGCAGTAGCAGTCGAGGTGATGTATCTCTCAGCGGAAGGCTCAGAGACGGTCGAAGCCTGGGCGGTGGTCGACTCGACGTTATCATCATCGTCAGCGATAGGAGCAAGGGGCTCGCTGGTGATACGCTCCATCAGCTCAGCAGGAGCAACGGGAAGCGGCTTCAAAGCAGGAGTGAAGGCCTTGACAGGAGCCTCGTCGTCACCCGAGCCGTCCTTGTCGGCGTTGGTGTTCCAGGTCTGGGGAACGTGCTTGGGAAGCTTGACGGCCTTGGCCTTGCGACCCGCCGACGACGACGACTTGAGAGGCGAGAAGCCCTGGGACGAGGCCTTGTTGCGGAAGGCGTAGCGGGGGGAGCCGCCGCTCTGCTTGTTGTTGTGGAACGGCATGGTTCCAGTCTGATCCGAGGCAGATCTCTTGTGAGCGCGAGGCAGGACCATAGCGATTGTCAGGCTGCTGTTCCTGTTCGACCGTCAGCCTCTGCCGCCTCTATTCCGAGTCTCTCGCGCTGTACTCGGCCCCCCGACGAGGAACGGAGAAAATAAAAAATGTAACGACGAAAAAGACGACGGGGAAAACGATGGAAACAAAGTTGACTGTCGCCATCTTCGATGGTAGAATGACTTACCTGATCACTTCAATGAGCGGTTGCAAACAATGCGATGTTTGCTCGATTGTTTGTTTGTGAAAGAGCGAGTGTGAGTGAGGTTTTTCAGGAAGATTCTTCACCTGCCCAAGAGAACCGTGAAGAAAAAAGATAATTGAAAGTCAGGAAGTGAGCTGCCGGTCTCTTCCACGCTTTGAAATTGCCCTCAAGGGCAGGCAACTTCACCAGCCGCATGGCCAGTCTGACGGGGATGACCGGTTCATGAGGGGCTGCTCCTTCCTCGAAATACAGATATTAAGCGAGTTTGTAAACAACGCGTAAAATTTGATCGAGGTAGGGCTGGGGATTTGGCAAAACAACGTTGGTTGAAGTCGCGGTTGAAGTCACGATAGTTGCGGTGGTGGAGTTGCGAAGAGTCTCTGACTTACACGGTGTCAATTCAGGGGTAGTCAAGAAAAGGGGGAGATACATAACTTACATTCTACAATACGACAAGTCTTGCACTTTAAGTAGTCGTCAAATCCACCTAAACATGATATTGCTCAACAACACCGCTTGCTTCGTCACGATATTGAAGACGGCCGTGGTGACCACACCGAGCTCACCTCGGTGAAAACACCACGCAGGGCCCTCCCTGCGAACATCGTGGGTCTCGGTATCACAACCCCGAATTTCCCGAGGGGCCCATGTCACCAAAAAATGCATCTCGGAATGCTGCGCCAGAGACATTCGCCCTCGCCGACCACTCCCATCGCGGAAGCCCAGCAATTCAATGCGTCTCTCCAAAGCAGCCCCCCATTCACTCCCCAGGATTCTCCCCCAAACCAGCCATTCGGTTTCAATATGCCGTCGAAACCACCCCGGCAGCCTCTCACCGAGGCCACCGAGGAGGACGACGCAGCTTTCCGCACAATGGCGTCGCACCAAACAGCAGCAGCAGCCGTTGAGTCGTGGCTGCTGTGACGGTCGCACGCATTCGCAACAGCTCTTTAAACCCCTCAATTCTTCCTCCAATCAGCCACCCCCGCCCGCTTCTGACATCATCCCGAACGTCGGTGTAAAGCCGTCGCCGCCGCGACACCACCACCAAGGGCTGCTGTCCGTCCGAAATTCGACGCCGCCGCCGCCGCGGAACCAGACGCAGACCCTTACCCTGGGGATCCTGAAGGCTAATGCGGCCGTATACGCCCCACGAGTTTACTCAACGTCTACTCGTGCTCGCGAGAGCTTCCGTCCCGTCCAGATCCAGACCGCGAGGGCCACGCATCCAACGGCTATTAGCCAGCCTCGGCCGACGGTATATTTAGCCAGGTAGTTTTCCAGCTCCAAGACACACACACACACCTCGCCCCCCGGTTCTCCATCGTAATTTTCCCATGTCTTCACACGATTCCCGACTTGTCCCCGTTTGCCCCGCCACATCCTCACGGATCCCACGGTCTTTTGCTTTAGGATACCCATTGTCAATTTGATCGCACGCGCGTGATACCCGTCCCCAGTTTCTCCATTCGAAGCCCTCCCCAGCTTTTGCTTTAATCCCTCTTGACCTCCTTTCGAAACTCGTTTTCCCACCAAAAAAAAAACTTGTCAACCAACCAACTCGACACAGCAGAAGAAACCACCATACAATGGCCGAGCAAAGAGACCACAAACGCCCCCGTGTGGCCGCCGACCCTGGCGAGCACCTCCCGGCCGGCATCACCGAGACGGAGGAGGAACTCCAGAAGCACTGGTTCGTCGGCAGCATCGACCAGGGCACGACGTCGACGCGCTTCCTCGTCTTCAACGGCCTGGGCGACCCCGTCGCGATGCACCAGATCGAGTTCGAGAACCACTACCCTCACTCGGGGTAAGTCCTCACAACCCGTCCTCGTGTCGTGTCCGAACCGCGGCTAACACACACCCTCCAGATGGCACGAACACGACCCCCTCGAACTCCTCTCCTCGGTCGAAGAGTGTATCGAAAAGGCCATGGCCAAGTTCGCCGAGCAGGGCTACTCCGCCTCCGACATCCGCGGCGTCGGCATCACGAACCAGCGCGAGACGACCGTCCTCTGGGACTCCCGCACCGGCGAGCCCCTCCACAGGGCCGTCGTCTGGCCCGACACCCGCACCACCTCCCTCGTCCGCGAACTGCGCTCCCGCCCGGGCGCCGACAAGCTCCAGGACCTCTGCGGCCTGCCCCTGTCGACCTACCCCTCCAGCGTCAAGCTCCGCTGGCTCCTCGATAACGTCCCGTCCATCCGCGAGGCCTACGACGGGGGCTACCTCGCCTTCGGCACCGTCGACTCCTGGCTCATCTACCGCCTCAACGGCGGCGCGTCCCTCGGCGACTCCGCCGTCCACGTAACAGACTCCACCAACGCCTCCCGCACCATGTTCATGAACCTGCGCACCCTCAAGTACGACGACGAGCTCCTCTCCTTCTTCGGCATCGACAAGTCCAAAATCATCCTCCCCAAGATCGTCCCCTCCTCCGACCCCACCGCCTTCGGCAAGATCGCCACCGGCGTCCTCAAGGGCGTCCCCATCGCGGGCTGCCTCGGCGATCAATCCTCGGCGCTAGTCGGCCAGTGCGGCTTCTCCCCGGGCCAGGCCAAGAACACCTACGGAACGGGCTGCTTCCTCTTGTACAACGTCGGCGACGAGCCCGTCATTTCCAAGTCGGGCCTGCTCGCCACGATTGCCTACGACTTCGGCAAGGGCCGCAAGCCCGTGTACGCGCTCGAGGGCTCGGTCGCGGTGGCCGGCTCCGGCGTTAAGTTTTTGGTCAAGAACCTCTCCTTCGTCGAGGACTCGACCCGCATCTCGGAGCTGGCCGAGAGCGTGCCGGACAACGGCGGCGTGGTCTTCGTGACGGCCTTCAGCGGCCTCTTCGCGCCGTACTGGATCGACGACGCCAAGGGAACCCTCTGTAAGCTCGCCTCGCCTCATTCGTGTCTTAGTCACCTACTAACACCGGTCAGTCGGAATAACCCAGCACACCCAAAAGGGCCACATCGCCCGCGCGACCCTCGAGGCGACGTGCTACCAGACGAAGGCCATCCTGGACGCCATGGCCAAGGACTCGGGCCACGCGCTCGAGTCCCTCGCCGTCGACGGCGGCCTCTCCAACTCGGACCTGTGCATGCAGAGCCAGGCCGATATCAGCGGGATCCGCGTCGACCGCCCGGCCATGCGCGAGACGACGGCCCTCGGCGCGGCCATCGCCGCCGGCCTGGCGCTGGGGGTCTGGGACGAGCTCGCGGACCTCAAGAACGTCAACCAGGCGGGCCGCAAGGTCTTCACCCCGTCGCCGGACCGCGAGAAGAACCAGAAGATGTTCAAGAAGTGGGAGCAGGCCGTCGACATGTCGAGGGGCTGGGTGCGGGATAATCTAGAGTAGACATATTATTCTGCGGGAGACGATTGTTTTTGGTTATACGGAGTATTGGATCTATAGAGAAAAAAAATAGAGAAGCGGCTCTGGGATGGGATGATTGATGTAAGGGGTGTGTGTATTTTTGGTTCGGAAAGAGATACCTATAAAGTACTATGAAGTCAGTTGGTTCCGTCCAATATGAGAATGTGACCCAAGTAACTCGTTCGTGGTCATGAGGCAGTCGTTCGACACTCGCATGACGGGGCGCATAACACGGTAAACACGGCCATCTGGTCTGGGGTCGGGAAAAGAGTCCACAGGTATCGTCTTTATTGTCATCTGTCTCGGGAGGGAGAAACCCCCACAATTCGGGTCCTCCGTCCACGGCAGGTCGAAGGGGGAAAAAAATTCCGTCACGGATGTTTTCAATCCCTCGACGCCGTTTTCTCTCTGCATTCGTGGTCTTCCCAAGGAGAGAAAAATAACAAGAAAAAAGGAGTATGTGTGAAAAGAAACACACATCATGAACAACATTTCGCAAAGCCAAGTGCTTTTTTTCGTGCTCGCCAAATGGATTTCCCTGCCGACGCCAGCCAAAAATGTGAAATGTTTGGTTTCCGCCCCGCCCCCCTTTCTGTAACAGAATCTCGTGAGTGGAGTGGTGAATCGTATCGCGACTTTGGAATTAGAAGGTCGATAAGAACAGGCGCGCAGGCAAGAAGTATGAAGAGCTTTGCTGGGGCGTCTCGGGGATATGATCCGAGGGCCTGGTATAATGTTTTTTTCTGGTCCCAGAGGGTGGTGTTTTACATGATGATGGCGGGGATGTCGACGTTGGCCTTGATGCTCTTGTGGGGGAGAATGCTGCCGCCGTTGACGTAGATCTCGTCGCCGATGGTCACGTCGTCGCCGAGGACGGTGACGTTCTCCAGACGAGCCCACTTGCCGACGGTGCTGTTCCAGCCGACGATGGTGCTCTTGACCCAGGCGTGGTCCTTGACCTTTGAGCCGGGCAGGAGCACACACCTTTGCAGACGGCAGCCGTCGCCAATAACGACGTTGGGGCCGACGGTGACGTTGGGGCCGATCTTGCAGTTCTTGCCGATCTTGGCGGAGGGGTCGATGAGGACGTTGCCGGCGTGGACGTAGGGCTCGGAGGGGGGCGCGAGGAGCTTGGAGCCCTGCTTGGTGAGGGAGGTGAGGTAGAGGCAGGTTCCGGTGAGGAAGTCCTTGGGCTGGCCGACGTCCATCCAGAAGCCGGGGAGGTCGAAGCTGTGGAGCTGGCCGTCGCGGACGATGGCGGGGAAGGTCTCCTTCTCGATGGAGGTGGGGCGGAGCTCGATGCGCTTGAGGACGCTGGTGTTGAGGATGTACATGCCGGCGTTGATGCGGTTGCCGACGAACTCGACGGGCTTCTCGACGAAGCGGTCGATCTTGGTGGCGTGGCCGGGCTTGTGGACGACGACACCGTACTTGGAGGGCTCCTCGACCTTTGTGACGACGATGGTGCCCTCGTCGCCGTGGTTCTTGTGGAACTCGGCGAGGTCCTTGAAGGGGAAGTCGCAGATGACGTCCGAGTTGAGGACGAAGAAGGGGGAGTCGTCCTTGGCGAGGATCTCCTCGGCGAGCTTCAGGGGGCCGGCGGTATCGAGGGGCTCGGTCTCGATGGAGAAGGTGATCTTGAGGCCGAACCTCTTCTCGTACTGTGATGAGGGCTTTCGTCAGCACAGGTCGACATAGGAAGGGGGAGAGCGTCAGGTTGTTTGGGGGGTCCCACCTCTGCCAAGTGCTTCTCCATAACCTCAGGGCGGTAGTTGACGGCGAGGACGACATCGGTGACACCTGCGGCGGCGAGGGCCTCGATCTGGTGCTCGATCATGGGCTTGTTGGCGAACTCGACGAGGGGCTTGGGGAGGGTGAGGGTCTGGCATTGTAGTCAGTATTGGGTCGTTGCTGCTAAGTGTCCGCAGCTGAAGCAACTGGCGATATCGTGGAGGCCGCGCGTTCAAGAGCTGGGAGGAGGAGGCAGGCGTACAAGAGGGCGGAGGCGAGTGCCAAAGCCACCGACGAGAATAATGGCTGTTGCGCGCGAAGGTCAGCCAGGTCCTGCATCGTCACTACCCCATCCTGCAGCTGCCAATCTGGGGTTGCAGAAGCGCCCGTCAAAGCATGGCAGGGGGTTGAGTGGAGGGGGAGCTTCTAGAAGCTGGGGAGAGCGACTTACCCTTCATCTTGGAGTTGTTTGGTTATGTGTGTGAGGATTGACTTGGTTCTCGTGAGAAGCGGAAAGGGAGACGCGATGGGCTTCCTTTAGAGTTGCGCGCGCGCGGGGAACAAGCGAGTGTACGAATTGGGAAAGGGTGTGGAAGTTTCTCAGCAGTGAATGGTCTGTTCAGGAACGGCTCCAGTGACGGGAGAGAAGAGAGAGAGGGTAGTGAGAAAAAATTAATAAAGCTGGTACAAAGAGCGTGCCTTCCTCTTGAGGGTATATTGAGGGTTTGGTGAATTCACACACTGAGGAGTGGTGGATCGGCAGGCTAAGGAAGTTGCTAGAGCGAGCGCAAAGAATAAAGTAAGGTAAGGTGGTGGTGAGGCAAGGCAAGGCAAGGCAAGGCCAGGTCGAGGTGGGAGGAGGGAGGTTTAGTTTGACCTGGATGGATGGGTGAATGGGAAAGGATAAGGTAGGATGGGATGGGATGAGATGGATAAGATGGGAAAGGGGAGAGAGGCACCTGGACCTTCAAAAATGACACGACATCGCCTTACCTCCCCCAAGCCTCAAGGTACCTGCTCCTCCTCCTCCTCCTCCTGTCTCGACTCTCCCGATCGACTCCTCGAGCCTAGCAGGTAGCGGGTGGTTCATGCCGCTGTCAATCAGGAGCCCAGGCCAGCCCGGGGCAATCAATTGGGGGCAGTGAGTGGAAAGGCACAGCACGGGGGTCCCCCCCAAGGCTCAAGGGCCAAGGGCAAGGCAAGGGGCCAAGCCTCATCCCGTCCCCTCAGGTCAGCTCAACAATTTGACATTGGCACCCCTGGAACGGCTACACCAACGGCCGCGTTTGTGCCACTATTAAAGGTACTGCGCGGTAAGGAGCGCTATGGAAGCCTCGAGTTGTCTGACACATTCTTCCCTTTGGTTTCTGTTCGGTCCCAATCAACACGAGCAACAAATGCACGTTTACGAGGTTCGGTATCAATCATCACTCAGCATATGCTCCCACGTTGCAGTCAGCCTCCGAAATGGTTGAGCGCATCTTCTTTACGAGCTGACCTGACTGATGCCGGATTGCTCTTTTTCAGAGGTACACTGCTACCAACGGCGAGGTACGTCCCTCCAAAAATGGCCAATGCCCACTCCCATCCAATCACCATCCTCCATTCGCCATGGTGGTCCCCCCATGTGATCCAATGACCCAATCCCGATGCCCTCAGCTGTCAAGGGTGGGGCTTGTGCGCTGAGGGCCACTGAACACTGGACGCTGCACCCTGAACTCGGTCGTCGTCGTCGTCGTCGTCGTCGTCCTCTGGGCCCGGGCGCCTCGGTCCTCCGACCTCTAAATGGCCGGATGACACAAAAGCGGGTTCCTCCCAAGGACAGCGACCCCAATTTCCCTGGCGAAATTGTTAATGCCCCCCCTTGCTTGAAGGCATGAAGCTTGAACTGGACACCCGCAGCGAGTCTGGATGAACCTCAAGACTCTTGCAAGTCACAGTCTCAAGAAATCAAAAAACCGCCGTCCTCCGAAATCGACCGCGCGTAAATCCGCCAGACTGGTCTCTCTTTCTCTCTCTCGCTCCGTACCCGGCCGAAGATCATCCAGCCGGGTCCCTCCCTACATCCGACCAACATCTGACCTCGCCCCTACTCAACTCGCAACCGTAGTCTCGGGGATCTTGGTTGCCTCTAAATCCAGCCTTCTTTTGTTCTAGAATAGCAATCTAGTGTGCTTTCTGCTCAGAACAAGTTCGCCAGTCCTCAAAGCGAACAGTTGCAGTCGCAGTTACATCCGGGCAAACCAAAAACCCTCGTGTCGAACCACGGAGATTTTCTCATTACGAGGCCAATCCTCCCTCCCTCCCTTTCCTCCCTTGCCCTCTCTTCTCTCCGATTGGATGGTGTTCAACCACGCCAGTTTCCATCATTAGAACAAACCACTGGGACTCAATCAACTCCAAGTCTCCAACATTCGCCGCAACGCCTCACCAGTGGAACCCCCCTTCCTCCTCGTGACCCTTCAAAACAAAACGGGTCCAATTCCCAAGTCGCAAAGCCACATTCAACGTTTCCAACATCCCCAAAAGCCTCACTCCATTGCGCTGTTCAAACTCGAAAAAAATAGGGGCCGCTCAACATGCGACGTGACGTACGTGTTCAACCTCCATCCATACGCCACAAGCCCTTCCAGGAATCCGCCATCCACATCCCGGGACCGCCCGGATTCCATCGCCCTCTGTGCCTCCGTATATTTAAAAATACCGCGACCGCCTGATTTTCTCCATGGTCATCCTCGACATCGGACCTCCAGAATATAAACCCCGGTCTCCCGTGATTACGAGATTCGCAATCCCAGCAACGCACGCGCACACGGACTCCCGTCCCTTCCCTTCCCTTTCCATCTGCATCAGGAGGAAATCGTCCGAATCATCCATCACCTCTGCATCGACAAACTCAATGGGCATGGGCAAAAAAACAGACCACCTCGGCACGTGGATATAAGGGAAAAAAAAAAAAAAAACTTACCTGCCATCCCATCTCAGACATCCAAATCAAACAAGCCCCCCCAAAACCTCTGATTCAGCCGCATCTTCTTCCATCACATATAGAAGAAGACGACACGTTGCCCAACCGTCGTCTCCCTTACCGACGTACCGAGAGACAAAAATGTCTAGAAAGTGTGTACCTGACCATGTCTAGAACATACCAAACCACGGGAAGCCTTTCTTCTAACCCGCCCGCCCCCGTGCCCCCCTTGCATCGATCCAGTCCATCAGGAAAAAGCCGAGTAATCTTAATCTGAGTACAT